ACCCTTAATACCAGCTGCCTCCGCACGAACCGTTGGTTTTTCAGAAGTCGTTTCTTCAATTGCTGTCAATGTATTTAAATAATTCTTCCAACTTCCGCATAAACTCATTAAAGCATCATGGCGTGCAGACCACCGTGTTACGTCGATTCGTTTTGGAACTTTGGCACCGACTTTTAAATTAGACAATAAAATTTCCCAACGACGAGTGGATGCCGAAAAAAATGTATAAAGATTCTGCAAAGTGTCGAAAAATGTTACAGCTTCGTTGACACACTCTGCAGCGCAGACACCAACCAAATTCAATGAATGGGCAGCACAGGGTATGTAATCAGCCAGCGGGTTGCGATTTAAAATTCTTGCTTGCAAGCCGGTGTAACAGCCCGACATGTTGCTGGCGTTATCATAGGACTGACCTCGACAATGTTTTATTTTCAAATTGTGCATCTCCAATTTAGATATTAAGGCATTTTCCAAACCTTCAGATTTATGCCCCACGTTTGGTAGAAAGCCAATAAAACGCTCCAGTGGTTTTCCATCGTTTCCAACATATCTGATAATTATAGATAACTGATCAATGTGAGCCACGTCAGGTGTTGAGTCAACTATGACGGAGTAGTATTTGGACTTTTCAATTTCGGAAACGATTTTATGTAAAACTTCAGCTGACATTAATTCGATAAATTCATCACATACTGTAGACGAGAGATATGATGTTTTGCCACTTCCAGGATTTCCGTATTGCGACAGGTGCGTTGCTAAAAAGGGATCGAATTCGGCCATCAACTCGAGGCACATCATGAAATTTCCGTTTTTTGGATCGCCGAACTTCTCCACAGTTCCTCTAAATGGCAGACCTCTGGAAGCCAATTTCTTTACCACTGCAACTACCCTTTTCAACACATTTCGCCAGTACTCTGTTTCGACTCTTATTTGCTGAGTGAGCAATGTGTCAATTCTATTGAAAGTACTTTTCCGACATAAGAAGGTGACCTGACATTTAGCGTGTTCTTGGGAATTTTCATGCAAATTCAAAATTTTATTTACATTACTCCAGTCATTGATTCCGTCAGTGGCAATTTTGGATGTCCCTCCGAAAAGGCGGCACGGAATGCAAAACACGGTCTTTTTTGAGGGCGAATATACTAAATATCTACGAGGTTGTTTTTCTCCATTGGCAAGTTTGCGATAGAAAACGTTCTTGGTTAGACAACGTGTTGTACTGCCAAAAACAGTTTTTGTTAAAGAAAAATCCTCATCTGTATTTTGGCAAATTTCCTTAGGTAAGGACAGCAAATAATCGATGGTTACATCGTTTATCTTCCATTCAGCAGGGTCGTTACTGACACTGATATTGGCTGATTGAAAACTAAAACGCGTCGAAACGCTTGAAGTGCCTTCAGATGACAATTCTGACCCTATATAAAAATGATCTACCTAATTAAAAGCTCATCATTTACAGCTGTACTTACTAATATCGTTCACGCTATCGACAGGGTTATTTCCGATATCGTTATTGGCGGAGGCTGAATGTAATCGCGATGGGACGTCTGCTTCTGATTCTGACCCTAGATTGAAAATCACGCTGGTAAAAAGCTCGATTCTCGATTTAAAGCTTTCACATGAGAACTTACAGCTACAGGTATCTTTCACGTTCACTTCTGGTACTTTTGGTCTGAGGGCTGCGGATGGTACACCAATAGTAGTCTCGATTTCCGGATCCGCATCCGGTGCCGGCGTTTGGTCTTTCGAAGTGGTAGGTACAATTGAAAAATAATTCACCAGTTTGGGTGTATTTTCTAAGACTGCCTGGCGTTTTATTCGCTTTTCTTCAGCGAGCGCCTTGTATCGCGCCCCACTTAACCGTTTTCGGCCGTCACTCATAGTAGTTAATTAGTTAGGTAATACACTACACGTAGAAGTACACATATTGTAACAAAAACTCTTATTTTGCAAAATATTTGACTGCAATACGACCTACACACGAACACGAGGGACGAGCGTCGAGGACGAGGCAAAATATAATTGTATGGAACCGAAATGAGAGTCAAGAGACGCAGTTTTAAAACGCCGCACATAAATAGGTACTGTTCTATGAAAAGAAAAATAATATCGGCGTCTCTTTGATTCAGATGATTGTAGTGGTGCCGCGCCTGATAAGGCCATCGCCGTTCGCCGCCCTGCAAAAGTCAAAGGTGCCGGCCAGCCGCCGACGTTGTTGTCGGGTCGTTTTGTTTTGGCCAATTAAAATAATGCCGCCTCTGCAGGTTTGCCGCCTTACGCAAGTGCGTAATTTGCGTCATGGTAAATACGGCCCTGATCCCACGACATTCTTTTAATCTAGAATTGACAGAAACTAAAAATTTATTTCATTCAATCAAAATTATATAACTACAAATATGCTTTTGAAAAAGTAAAAACCAAGTTAGGTATTAAAATATGCAATATGCATGTGTGAAAATACCAAACTACCCACAAATAACCAGATTTATGTCACCTGGACAAAATAACCGAGGCAGACGCTCAAAAACATTTATTTTTAGAATTTTATGATTAGTTTATCTTGAAGTTTAGGTAGTAGTATGGTGTACATATTTGTTTTTTAATTATTTTAAGAGCTTCCTGTTTTAAATTTTGAAGACAAAATTTACACATTTGATTCTTAATTAAAAGATAATAAAGTGTTTATTAGTACCTATCATGCGAAATTGCGTTAATTAAATTAAGATATCTGGATCTAAATAAGGAAACTAGTTTTTGTCATTAAACCTTCTACATCTTGTGCACTAATATTACCATAAAAACTAGGTACTTTATGTTACAATTTTATCTACTTTTTTACATTTTATCACTCCTAGCAAATATAGGTAGTGAAACGAAATCTATAGATTATAAAGGCAAATTATATTTTCATTTTAATAAATATGCGACCAACTCCCAATATCTTTCTCGGCCGTTTCAAGAGTGCGCACTCTTGCACCTTCTTACCTTGCGATGCGCACTTTTAGCCGCTCGTACCTTGCAATCGGCAGCAAGACGAATTCTAATGAATACCGCTCCGTTAAACTCATTAACTATGAAATTATTTTTAATAGGTGACTAACGAATGGCGACCTTTAACATTCTGCTGCATCCTTCGAATGGTAAAAGTTGAAATTTGAAATGTGAAAATTTTAAAGTAGCAAAATCCGTGCAATTGCCGCCGCAAAGGAGGGTCATTCCAGGAAATACGCCCAACTGTCAGTTCTGAAAATGACCACCTTTTAATTTATTTTCTACCTGCCTAAAATGTATGTCAAAAATAGACCTAATATATCGTTTTAGGGTCTCATTAGTTTTAATAAAAATAGAACACTTTGTTGGATTCGCTTTAAGGGGTGTCCAAAACATTGCAAATTATTGCAAAATGTATTGTTTTAATGTTTATACATAGGTGTGAATTGCATTAACCATCACAAATGCTTTTTTAAAATAATAATTAGGTACAATTGCTTTGATTTATTTTAATGTTCTACTTCTACGTCATTTCCTGGAAAATTTCAATCGGCATGGATTAATTAAAATTCAGATACTAAATTATAAGGAAAATGTTTCAACAGGAAGTCTATAGTTTGTTTATTATTTTACTAGTTACTTTGCAGATGCAATATGCTAAAGTTTAGATAATATCTCCTACAAAAAGAACAAAATCATTTTCTTTGATCATTAATATACTGATATTATCAGTCTGAAAAACATACTATACAGGATGGCTCCAAAAAACACTTAAAAATTGAAAGGGGCATATCCCTCTTATAGAATTTTTGACCCAATCTTCTTGGTAACTTTTTTCATAATTTTCGCTGTAGATTCACCCTCATAGTTTTTGGATGAAATTTGGAGACACCCTGTATATCCCACTTCTGATGTGCCACCTTTCAAGGAGATTTTTTTCATAATCTCTGTAGATTCACCCTTTTTTTAAATTCTTAATCTGTAGAATAACCCATGTGTTTCGGTTAAAGTTGTTTAAATTAATAAACATTTTTTTATTTGTTTAAAGATTAAAGTAAACAAAACCGTGAATGCCTTGCACACAATATTTTCTATTTTAGAACAGCAGTGTTACTGTTAAAACATGTTTTATGGCTATTAGCTTATACCGTCTGGTTTATGGCAAATATAAATATAGATTCTTTACAGTACAGGGGTGAGAGTTTAGAGAACAAGCTGCAATAAAATTTCAGGTTCATTTTTTATTGACTTTTGGCAAGTTTTATCCCCCTCGGTCTCCAGACTTCGGTCCATGTTTAAAATTTATCAGGTTTTTGACCTGCATATACATAGGTATAAAAATCACATATTATTTGCTTAACTATTAACATCTACTTGCGAACACGTGTTAACTACCTATTTAAAATGATTTCTTCGTTTACAATGCGAGCTAAAACCACATCAAATATTGTCTGAAAAAATTTAATACGCATACAAGAGCTCTTTTATGGTTTGGACCAAGCAGCTGATCAAAAACAAACAAAAAACAGCCAATACCTTTTGAGGTCATTCTTCATCGCAAAATTTAAGTTCCCAAGAAGACAGGGTCAAAAATGATTTATAAGGAAGGCACATCAGAAGTGGGACATTATGAATTTTATACAAAAAATTTAAGGTGTGATTCTTCATCGCAAAATATGGAAAAAAGTTCCCAAGAAGACAGGGTCAAAAATGCTTTATAAGGGAGCTAAACCCCTTTAAAGGTGGCACATCAGAAGTGGGATATACAGGGTTTCTCTGAATTTCATCCAAAAAATTTAAGGTATGATTCTTCATCGCAAAATATGAAATAAAGTTCCCAAACGATACGGTCAAAAATGCTTTATAAGGGAGCTACGCTTATTTGAAGTAGCACTCAAATTTTGGCACACGCTCTACTGTTAACAAATGCCACTTTTCCGTTGCTATATCATTTTAAATGTTTTAGAATATGCAAAAAATGTTCCAACTAAAACTGTTTTTGTTTCTAGATTGCTTGGAGCCCACGTGTCTAAAATGCGGCCCAAAGGGGTGCATGAAATGCCCGAGCCTGATAGTATACCCTTCAAGGGAGTGCGTGAATATCTGCCCCCATGGCTACAACCCAAAATGGTCGACCATCGTGGATATAATGGGAAAAGTCTGCGTGCACAACGGAAACTTTTTGGGGCTATCTACAAACGCAATAGCGGTGCTAACCGGGGTTTTCACCGGAGTTATATTGTGCACGATCTTCATACTTTTGGCAGGGGTGTACCTGAGATACAAGCGCAAAAAATTCCCGCCTCTGAGTGAAACCAGCTCAGAGTTAGATGATGGTAGAGACAGAAAAGACTTTATAAAACAACTGGAAACGCTGAGACCCTACGCTAAGAACTACTTGGACATGTTAAACGACACCAGAAAGCAGTTGAGAGAGCTGCATCAGAATGGCGACAACAACGCCATCTCTGCCTACAAACCTGTACTAAGAGACCTGGCCAAAATACTCATACTCTTGAACAAACCCACGGAGAAAATCACTGTTCCGGACGACTGGGAGCATCTTTTCAACTGGGCTGAGAAAGCCCTGAAGAGATACAAACGCATGAGCGAGCCCCAGATAGCGCAGCTCATCGACTTCCTGCAGGACCCTGTAATACCGGCCGAAGAGCCGGACTACTCCGTTCGCGGGAGCACCACAATGAGTACCTTCAAACCCGAGCAAATATTCGGGTCTTCGGCGTCTCTGGAAGATGTCGCTGTCAAAAACTTTAACAGCAACTACGAAAGCACCTTCCCCCAACTGAACCCCCAATGGAAGTTCGAGTACTCCCTAGTCTCGAATAACGCGCCTTCCTCGGAGTTCAATCCCCAGCTCTGGAAAAACAGCAAGGAGTACCTCAATAGTGCTCTTTTTTCAGACGACGATTTCTGTCAGTTGGGCTTTAGGCCGCAAGATGAAATCACCACGGAACTCTGACGAAAATTCACGATTTTCGTTTAAACCAAATTTTACTAGTCACTTATTTTTTTACCCTTAATTGTAATGTAGAGTTAAGATTATCGTGTAAGCATTTTTTAAATAAATTTATTTATGAAACTGGCGTTTATTTTTTGATTTTTATAAGAATATTTACCAAAAGTTTCAACATTCGTTAGGCAACCCAGATTGCAACAATATGTTTGGGTAAAGTATAACACTACGTTCATTATTCTTCTTTAAATCATGCAATATTTTAACTTAAAAATTATGAAACAATAATAATTGGTTAAAACTTTTTTTTAATTATTATAACTAAAAACTTTTGATTGGGCATGTGCCGCCATCTTTGGGCGGGCGTCCGAAGCTCGCTAGATATTCGTCTCGGCCGGTAATAACAAAAGAATGCGCTCCGCCTACTCCGCGATCATTTTGAGCCGGTCAGTGACACAAACTACGTGTTCTGTGGTGTATAAATGGTTTTTGAGGAGCGTGCACTCGCTCGCCAGTGTTAATGTTATTAAATTTGTTGTTTGTTTTTGTAAATTAATCGTAGCCCGTCGTTGAAGGTAATTAATTTGTGTTTTTGTCGTTGAAAAATTTGACGTTTCCGTTTCGTTTAAATTTTGTTATTTTCGAGCAGGCGTTGCCGTTTCGACATTCTTCTGTTTTTGTTTTGACGTTTGTCGCGAAAATTCGACAAATAAAAGTGTTTTTTGTGTTTATAGGCTGAAAATGTTTAAGTTTATTAAGGCGAAGGGGCCCCACCAGACGGCCGAAAGGCAGAAACTCCAAAAGGAATTGTTTTCATTCAGAAGGGTAAGTCAAAAATTCCAATTACATCCTTTTTAACGAACTGATAGCTACGCTTTTGTTTGTACTGATTTTGAAAGGTTTTATTATCTCTGATACGCAAAATAAACATTAGAAATTGGGGTACAAACAGGTAGATTATAAAACACACCCAAGCAATGCTTTTGCAATTGTTTTATTTCATCAAAAAAGGATTTATGACTTATTAAAAGTTGGGTTATTAGGTAGTTAAAATTTATATTAATATATTAATAGTATTATTATTATACGAGAGCGTGCTTTTTTAACTCGTATTGTATAATCATCTTTGGGTGAAATGAGGCAGAAATTAAATAGTGTGGTTAGATCATTTGACAGGTGTCAGATTTTATTTAGTATACCAGAGGCATCTATGATGTTTTTGGAATTGCAACTACCCGATTGGTCAAAATCACTGATGCCTAGCAACGGGAATAATGAGTTCATTATTTCCTTAGTTATTATAGAAAACCCCAAACAATGTCAGTTTTATGCAATAGGTATGAGTAGAAAAAATAATATAATCGTTTAAAGTATAAACATTAACGCTTGTATATGATCCGTGGAAATTATTTTAATTAAAAACATTCAGATGATCGCGATTATATGTCATTTTCACTTCTCATTCGCATGTGTTGACCACATTCTGCTTTAATGTAATAAATTGTTGCAAACCTTCAACATTTCATTAAGTTTGTTTTTTAAATTGCCTTTGAATGTTTCTAACTTTAACTAGTTTCATGTTACATTCTATTACCTACTTTAATTGTAATACCTATTTGGGTATTATTTTTCGAGTGGAGTAAAATTTTGTCATCTTTATTATAGGTAATCCCTAAAAAACTCTTATTGGAGCGGAAACGTAAAAACTTGATTCAGATATCAGTTTCAGGGAAATTCGGTATTATTTAATACTGAATAGGTCTTCTTTTAATTTTTAATCTTGTTTTTCTCGTATTGTGAGCAACGACTGGAAATAATTTCGTAATTGAAGACAAATTCTGTAACGAATTGACCTTTTAATGGGAGATGTGGGTAGAGGAGTCAATAGCTTTAACATTTACCACTTTAATTCAGTCGAGTTCTGTTTAAATTCATTGATGTAAAATTATTCAAAGTTTTAAATTTTAGGTATAGAAAATTTGTATTCGAAATACATTTTTTTATTTGTTTTTGTTGGTAGGCTATGTATTTTTTCCTACTAGTAGTTGGCATACCTGTTTGAATATTTTGACAGTTATGAACAAATTTTTATATTTATATTCATAAAGCATTAACAAGTTAAATTAAAATAAAGTTTAGTGTCTAAATAACAAATATTTACCACTTTTACAGGTGTTTATATTTGCATTGCGATTAGGTTTATTTTACTAGTATTTCAAAATATTACAAATAATTCTGTCACACAGAAATTATTAATTTCTAGAAAAATTACCCAACAATACTTAATAGAACAATGGCAATAAAGTTTTAATCGTTTTTTTTTATATTACATCGATTACATGCACTTGTGGGAAATTTATTTATTTGTTAATTATGTTAAAAACATATACCTACCTATACAGTTCATTTTTTTAAATTTCTTCCTTTAATTTGCAAGTTACTGATCATTAATAGTCCTGGACAATATACATATATATTATAATTATTATCAAGCCACTACAAGTATTAACGTCCAGTGGCTGTAACAAAATACCCATTCACCATTGGAGTCCAATGATTGGACAACATTCACGTGTGTTCACATAAAACTTTAATTTCTTTTATATAAATTCTTTTCAAAGCGAAGATTATTATCCGCTAGGAATACTTTGTCTCTCCTGGGCCGTAGTCACCTATATTTAACTACTTTTTTATATGATTTTACTCATCTACGCACCACCAAAGCCAAATTAATTGCATTTTTAACTACGCATTTTGACAACTCAATGATTTTGTACAATACTTTTGCCTACCACTGTATATTAATTAGAAATTAACAGAAACAGAAAATTTATATAGGAATGAGAACCACTCATTTTAAAATTAAATTTTAATTTTAATTCGTATCTCGATGTTTGCGTGTGGGCAAGCCTTTATATTAGCGGTGCAACGTTGCAATCTAGAGTTGTGAGTGAATTATAAAAATCTATGACTAAGTTTGTAACGGTGTAAGTTTTTTCGAGAACCGGCTCGGATCATTTGCCACCATCGACTATATATATAGTTTTGTTTCCTACATATTTCGAAAAATTTTATGATTCATTTATTGGTGGAAATTAATATATATTCCAAGCATATTTTTGTTACTTCAGTTAGTTTAATAACTAAATATTTACGTAATTTAAAATACTAATTCGCTAAAGAAGTATCGCTAGTAGCGCCACCACTCGGCTGTTATCATCGTAATAGAAGTATAACTTTTAATAATTAGCTTATGTTACAAACGAATGTTTTTGAGAATAAAGCCGGAAAATGTTAAAAAATATCGGGAAAAAAACCTTCCCTCGATTTGTTGTGTTGTTGGGTGTATTTCGAGAGGAAATCCTGGGTTGAGTTTTTACCAGTTTTCCAATAAACAGTGTTAATCTGGAAGAAGAAATCAATCGCATACAGTCTCTGTAAATATAAATTGTACCTATTAGATACAATAAATACACATTTTAGTAGTGATTAACGTGATATTTCAATTCAGTAAAAATCGTCAAACAAATAAGTCGTCTAAATTTAAACAGCATTTAGCATAAAAGCGTTGATTAAGAAAGTCTCCACTCAATGGTAAAATACCATTATATTATGTATTATATGTAATATTATTGCTATAAATCCGCAGGTATATTTTGTTGTTTAAAATGCAGTTGTCGGCGTTTTTTAGCGAAATGGTTGATTTTAAGGTTATGTTTGTTCAAAAATTATTTTTGACTAATTTCTTAAAAATGTCCAAACTTAAATATAAATTATATTAGGTAAAGTTATCATTAGTTAATTCTGCACCAACAAATGTACTTACCGAATTGGATCCTTTGGCAAAACATGAAAATGCAACGATTTAGTTCTTGAATTTTATTTACAATTAAAAACACAATAATTCAGCATGATCCCTTAGATAAAATACACACACTAACGTAACTATATATGCATTTAAGCGTTGAGTTTCTTAATCAATGATGTAAGGAATAATCAATCGAAATCGAGTACTAAAAAAGTTTTTTAATTTTTTCCTTGCAACGTAAAACACAAATAACGTGCGCGATTTAGCTGTGCAATTGAACAAAATTTGTCGAGTAAGACTTCTGCCTTCCTCTCTTTTGTGAAAAAACTACCTTTTTATTTAAAAAGATGTATAATCTGTGCCGCCATCTAGCGACAGAATTAGTTTGAAATGCTAGGGGTGTCCAAACTATCAATCCGAATTAAAAATACCGCATCCGCATTTTGTTATTTCGTTTCATTTATTTTAAAATAAATACAAATTAAATCAAGACCAAAGTAGGAGATTAGATAAGTATCTGTACCTCATGAAAATGCTTATCAGTTGCCTTTGTTTTCATATATGCACATAGGTATATACAACAAAACATGACTCACATAAAATAAATATAAAGTAAAATATAGTAATATATAATAATAATAGTTATTTATGTCATTAGTTTAAGAAGTAAGGCTTTTTGTGCTAAGCTCAAGGTTTGAGCGAAGCACAAAAATGCACTTCTTGGCCGAATGGCATACAACATTTTATCTTCAAAGCACTATATATAGGTCAATTTAATTCAACATCAAAGCGGCCTAACCTCACTTTTTTAGAATCTCATTTATTTATTAGCTAAAGATTACATTAAATGTACAATAATTATTATTGCTTTTAGAAGCAGTAATAGTTTGACAATACCTAGCAACATGATTTTAGCAGAAATGGATTTTTGCTATTACATTGAATTCAATTAATTGTTTAATAAATAGGTAGGTATCTAATTTCAATTTGTTTGGATTTTTATTTATAAAATAGGTAGTTTGGAATGTTTAAGCTGTGTTTAACATTTAATTTTACTGAAAACTTAAAGCAAATTAAAACTTAAAGATAATTTAAATCGTAGAAAAAGAATCGTGCGTTTTCTTGGTTGCCTAACCTCACTTTTTGTTTTATTATTCATATTTAATTTTACAATAATTTAATGAAAAATATTAAACATTAACAGTAAAACAAACAAATTAGTGCTTATTATAAATAAATGAAACCAGTTTAGTACGTTAATTTCTTAGAAAAGGATTAATTTGTCAAAACAATACCCCTAGCGAGAAAAAATCGAACTAATTACTTGCCTCATAAAAATTTTTATCGGCCTAGGCCATAACAAGGTATTTCTTTATCGAATGTTGACAACAATAAAGTTTAATAAATTATAGACCGCGTGTAGATAAAAATACTTGTTTTCAGACTCTTCAACATGGCTTTCCCCACAAACCTACCGCACTCGCCTGGGACCCGTCGCTGCGGCTTCTGTGCATCGGTACCGCCACCGGGGCGGTCAAAGTCTTCGGACGGGCAGGTGTGGAATTCTACGGTCAACATCAGAACCCGAACGCCGTCACCAAGGTGATATTCGTGCCGGATCAGGGTCGTGTCGTCACATTGTGCGACGACAACTCCTTGCATCTTTGGGAGGTAAGAAAAAAATATATAGGGACAACCACAATCCACACAACAAGGTCTCTTCTATCTCGTACTAAAAATACAAAAAATCACTGCAACACTGCACAGTTTAACGGCGGCCATTTTTGTCGTTTACAATTTTTCTGCTTTGGATTTGTGCTCTGTTTATACAGATTAATAATCGTTTTAAACGTTGTCTTTCTCATAGTAAGCCTTAAAAGAGTTCTTAAAGTGCTAAGAACAACCATTTTACTTCTCTATTGTAAAAAATAAACTTTATTCTATCAGGGCTGTCATAAAACTGTCAAATGTCAATTTTGAGGTTAAATTATAACCATAAAACTGTCAAATGTCAATTTTGAGGTTAAATTATAACCCACAAATTAACCTTCAAATTGTCATTTGACAGCCCTGATAGAATAAGGTATATTTATTATAAAAGAGGAGTAAAATATTTGTCCTTAGCACTTAAAGGCCTTATTTGAGGCTTACAAGTGCCTCTGTAAGAAACACAACGTTTAAAACAATTATTAAACAGCACAAACCCAAAGCACAAGAATTGTAAACAACAAAAATGGCCGCCGTTAAACTCTGTGCAGTGTTGCAGTGATTTTTTAGTATTTTTAGCATGAAATAGAACAGACCTTGTTGCGTGGATTGTGGGAACAACCAGTGGCGGCCCAAAATTTCTACTTTGCTTATAAAAAATCTTGCATTCAAAGGTTAACAAAAGTTCCTTGGTCGAAGTGAAATCGCAGGCCCTGGAAGGAAAATTGAAGAAAATATCGACGCTGTGTTTGGAAAGTGCAGGCAACCACTTGTTGCTCGGCACGGAGGGTGGAAATATTTATTTGTTAGACATTCACACGTTCACCATGACGCCCGATATTATTTACCAGGACGTCGTCATGCAAAAGTAAGCAACAAAATACACGCACAAGCAAAATAATCGATCCACACAAATTTTCGATGAATTTCAATCGTAAATAACTTTTTTATTTGATGTCGGATTTAAACGAGTATTAAAGAATATTGTAGATACATTAATGGAGAATCGCTCACATTTTAAAAATTACTAAAAAATACACGCACGTTTATAATATACAGGTTTAAACAAAAAGATGTTTTTTACCATAAGTTTAAGACAATCTGTAGAGTGGCAAAACCGTATATTGTTCTAAATTAAGTTTTAATTATCAAGTCACATCTATTTTTAATAGTTTTGTTTTTGGTTCACTTTGATATACTTATTTTTGTGGAAAATATGGATTTTTGTAAAAAACCATTGCAATTTCCAATATTTTTCCTGTATAAAGAACTAAGATTGCTATGGTCCATCCATAGCCTATGGAGGATGAGTTTTGTTGAATCATCCCATACTTGGACATGTCATATACAGCTTTCAAAAGCTATCAAATTGTTTTTTTGTAAATTAATGTGTTAATTTTGAGGTTTCTTCTTACTTTTAAAAATGTCTCCGACTGATGTTGCCCTTTGTACTTTACTTCTTGTGAGGTTTAAAACCCTTGCCACGTAACACTATGACCGTCCATTCTAAATTAAATTAATGGCAACATCAGTCGGAGACATATTCATTTTTTAAGTAAGAAGACATCTCAAAATTTAAACATTAATTTGCATAAAACAATTTGATAGCTTTTGAAAGCCGTGTATGACATGTCCAAGTATGGAATGATTCAACAAAACTGTCATTGTCATTCTTCATAGCCTATGGATGGACCATAGAAACCTTAGTTCTTCATACAGAAAAATATTTGAAATTGCAATGTTTTTTTAAAAAATCCATATTTTCCACAAAAATAAATATATCGAGGTGAACCAAAAACAAAACTGTTAAGAATAGATGTGACTTGATAAATAAAACTTAATTTAGAACAATATACGGTTTTGCCACTCTACAGAGTGTCTTAAACTTATGGTAAAAAACATATTTTTGTTTAAACCTGTATATTATTAACGTACGTCTATTTTTTAGTAATTTTTTAAAATGTGAGCGATTGTCCATTAATTTATCTACAATATTCTTTAATATTCGTTTAAATCCGACATCAAATAAAAAAGTTATTTGCGATTGAAATTCATCGAAAATTTGTGTGGATCGATTATTTTGCCTGTGAGTGTAATAATAAAAAAAAAATTAACAATTTTTTAAAATAGTGTTCCTCCAAACTACAAATTGAACCCCGGCGCAGTGGAGGTCATTCTAGAAGAGCCCGGGCACCCAAACAACATTCTAATAGGTTACAACCGTGGTCTTATAGTGCTGTGGAATAGAAGTGACAACGCTTCACTTAAAACTTTCGTGACCAATCAGCAACTGGAGTCCCTCTGTTGGCGGCAAGACGAAACTTTCATCAGCTCGCACATCGACGGTAAGTGGACACATACGTTTTACAAAAAAACAACAGTATTGTGAATTTAAAAGGAAACGACTTACACGTTGTCAATGTGATGCTAAAATCATTGCATCAAGTGAAAGTGGTAGTGCATCTACAGGGCGATAGATGGCGTTTACATGAATAATACCATAGGGTCCCTAGATTTGGGACCTTAGAATACCAAAATGTCAAAAGTATAACTTATATGATGCACCGCTAAAAGTATGTTTTTAGCCATTTTTAAAGACATTTTCAGCTATAAAACATTATTTTATGTATCCAACATATATTTTGTTAAATATTCTAATATATAATTAATAATAATCCTATTTACCTCTCTAACAGCTGTTAAAGGTAACAAAGGTCCATTATTATCCCGTTCTGCCTCAAAATAGCGTATTAAGGATGATACCAACTCTTGACTCCGACTATTTAAATGCTTTGGCATTTTAAATATACGAAAAACAAAAAAACGACATATAACAAACACAAAAACGGCAATGAAAACTTAAACTATATAAAATAACACAAACAACAAACAAAATAAACGAAATTATACACGAATAAAACGAAATATTCAAAAACACAAGTGACAGCATTTCTTTTTCTATGCGTCATTTTATTAAGCAAAAATTTAATCTAAACATGACAACATTGCAATTGCTGCCAACTTAATTTGGTTAAAATGCATTAAAATATTCTATTACAGACTTCGTTTTATACCCCAGATAGCACAAAGAAGTACTAAAAACGTCCTGAGTATATCTTGTATCAGACATTAGTAAGTTCCGAGTACGTCCGAATCAGGTCCTGAACCTTCCCCAGGACGTTCCAGGGACATCCGATGTTACCAAATCGTCGGTCCCCAGAACGTCCTAAAGAAGACATCCTCTGGCCATCCTGAAATGCTTTATTGAGGACTAATGGACAAGCTTTACAGAATTGAAGAGTGGTATTCCCAAAGGCACAGACAGCAATATGACGTCTTAATTTAGTCTTAATTTATTAATTTGTTAAATGGATTTTATTAAAATCATTTTAATAATTTGCTCGTATTCGCTTATTTTAGGAATTGCGATTACTTCGTCTCACTTTTGTTTAAATTTAAGCGGTCATCTATGGCTCTTCACCGGCACCGATAGACGGCCTGTTTCCCTCGTTTGGAGCTCGTCACTATCGGGTAGCAGTTTACCTAGGTCTAAGACCGTTTGGTACATGCCCTGTGCACTCGCCTTAAACAAACAAAATCCACATTTTTGTCTAGTCGACTTTGGTTTTAGTTTACACTAGAGGCACATGTGGCAGGAGCGGCGGTTAATCTTGACGGTTGCTTGGTAACGAAATCAACAAACTTCAGTTTGATAAATTTTGTAAAGTTTTGTAAATTCATATTGTGTTTATTTGGTTTGTTCTGTACGCTTAAAAACTTTTAAAATTGCGATTTATCGTTATCTGTGTACTCTATTTTTTATATATTGCTACATTATTTGAACATTAACATGGTGTTGTGCTGTGCTGTGGGCTGCTCTAACAGTCAAGTTATGATGCATACTTTTCGCAATGATGACAAGGTTGTATTGTATTATTCAATTATAACTATTTTATTAAAACAATGAAGTAGGTACTTACACAAATGTGGTACATAATATTATTACTTTATACTGATTTGTGTTCTTTAATAAGATAAAATTCACTTGAATACAGTATTATATTGTTAATTGGTTTAGTTTAGTAAATACCTTGAATAATTTAAAATATAATACATTTATTTTTGCTTTTCAAATAAACAATTTAAATAAACTTTCAGGCCTTTTATTTTTTACTATTTTGACTGTCAAAATTTGACAGGATAACCTAAATTAAAACCATAACCTAAAACCAATAAATGTCAGGCGGGTACAACTAGCGGCATAGCGGGCCGAGTGTGCGTAACAAGGAGCGTCAAATATGTGACAGTGGCGTATCTATATGATTTATTATCTATGGTTTGGTATGAATCACGCTCTAAATTCTACTTCGCCGCTTCTTATATCAAACACAAGCAGTTACAGCGGTGAGAAGAAAGAATCGCATTAAAATGTCATAAATGTGACGTCTCCATGTTGACGTCTTAAAGAGTTAATATAATTTCAGTAAGAAGTAAGAAAAGAGAATACTGTACGATATCATATAACTTAAGTCTTATTTATGATACCTACCCTTAGTAGCTTCTAATTTTGATTCCAATAAGAGGTCAGAAAAAAAGATACTTTAAGATGTTACAAAATTTACTTCTTATTTATGAATTCATCAAAAACTCTTAATCTTGAGCTCCTAAAAATGATTTCTCTAAGATGTCATATTGTGACCTCAGTAAGATGTTTTTCAACAGACTTTGTACAGAAATCTTTCTGAATTGGATGCTGTCTGGGGGGTCTAAGTTACAAAAATAAAATTGTGAGTTATCAATGAAAAACAAATATTTTGCATATGTTAATGTTGAAATGTCTGAAACACGTTTGGAATTGCATATTCCGCTCTCCTGAAACCGTCAAACTCGCCTTCAGCTCGTGTGACAAACTCTTCACTCGAGCAGATATGCTGTATTCCAAACTTGTTACAGAATATACTATTAAGTCATTCTGCATGACACAAACTATTTTTAAATGATAATATATTATTTAACCAACTTGGTACTTAGACCCTTTGGAAATACAATGCTTCAATTACGTCCTTGGGACGTACCCAGTATATCCGCTATAATTTTCCCAAATAAGTAAGAGACTGGACGTACCCAAAACTTCCGATATAGGTCTAGGACGTTCGGACCTATTTGGGACCCGAAATGGACGTCCTGGGTACCTCTTGTGCTATACGTACTTGTGCTATACGTACGTATATTTAGCACAAAATTATGACGTCATCGATGACGTGTACGTCGTTTCCTTTTAAATTTCCCATATTATTAATGAAAAAAAAACAATTTTATACGGTTTTTCAATCAAATATATTGTTATAAAGTAAATAATATTTACAAAATACCAAATAAAATATATGAAAAAAGTTATGGCACGCCGTTTTACTTTTTAATGTCATGTTTATTAAAGCTGTAAATATTAATTCAAGTTGCTTTTTTAAAAATTGACCGAACATTTTAATGTAAAATTTTTATGATGTCTTGGTATATTGAGTACACAATTTTAAGCACAGAATAAGAATTAAAGTAATTTTAATTCTGGAACTGAATGGCGTGTTTTCTGACTAAAAAATTCGATGAATTAAAATTTTGGTTGAGATAATTTTAATAAGGCGCTACTTGGAAAAATTTAAATTATGTAAACCAAAATTTTAATTCATCGAATTTCTTAGCTAGTTAATTCAAGATGCGCAACATTTATTTAAGAAAAAGTAATACTGAAATTATCATTATGTCGCAATTAATTTCTATTATTACTCGTCGACATAAAACTCAATTTACATGTTAGAAATTAAAGTGATAAAGTTTCTTATTCCACACACAAATATTTTGCACGAAATATTTGTTTTAATATTTAAATGTTTTTAATATTACTTAAAATTTTATTTGAATATTGAATACAATTTTATTTTTTTATTTTTAAAAATTTTAATATTTACTTTTAATACGAATTATTTTGTTGTTTAAAACACTACTCTAGGGTGGCCTTTATTATTTTGTAAGTACCATTTTGTAAAATATAAATTAAAAGAACAAAGAAATTACGAATGTCAATGCTTTAGAAAGAGAGAGCATACAGTTAGTAATTATTGCGTTATTTTTACGTAAATTTGTGGTATTTATATTGTTTTTATTACGTTATTCTCTTAGTAGATAAAAAAGGTCATTATGTAGGTAAAATAACGAAATAAACCATTCCTCAAATTTGGTAATTTTTATTATCTATACCGTTATAAAACCGTTTTGGTAAACTGTAAAAAATACTTTAAAGTTGATTTAGTGGTAAATTTGTGTAATAATAATAATAATAATTTAAAAAACAACCCACATCAAAATGTAAATAGTCGATATGGCAGCGACTTGTTTTATTGTACCGTGGACGCATACATCTCGCCGGTGTTGATGATAGTTTCTTCCTTATAAAGGCAGCTACATCGTTTGGGATTTGGGGAAACCTGACGACCCCGTAGAGCCGATCACGACCTACGGGCCGTTCCCGTGCAAGCCGATTCCGAAAATATTGGTGGGCGAGCTGGACGGCAGGCCTCTATTGGCCTTTTCCGGGGGTCTACCCAGGGCCAGCTACAACGATAGATACACGGTTTCCGTGGTGCACGAGGACGGCGAACACGTCGCCTTCGATTTCACCAGCAAAGTGAGTAGCGATTACGAGTATTACTATAATTATTAATTTCGGTCTGTTCTGGGTATATAGACATTTTTTCTTGCGTTAGATATCTAAATCTGCCGCTGACGAAGAGGATAAGGTTTTGGGAAACAAGGTAGACAAGGGCTGTTAGATTTCTTGTTGTTTTTTTTTTAGATAATCCCCTCAGATAGGCATGGAGTTACATAACCGTTTTTATTGTCTTAACGTTGTTTTCCTTTATTTTTTTTATTTGCATGATAGGTGATTTACGAGGTGTGTTCAGAAAATAATGAGAATTGTTCAATTTCGCGGGTTCGGAGGGCCTGGTTGTCATAAAAACTTTAGCTGTTTTCATTGTTTACTTTGTCTGCGGCAGCCGCTAAGGTTAGACGTGTTTTATGAGATATGCGATTTTTCGTTCGTTAAAAGAAATGGATCAAAGAATTTGTATCCAATTTTGCTTAAAAAATGAAATAAATTCTGTGAAATGTTAACAAAGGCCTATAGTGAGTCTGCTATAAGTAAAACAAGAGTTTACAAGTGGTATAAGAGTTTCCAAGATGGCCGTGAAGACGTTGAAGATGACGAACGCCACGAACGCACAAGCGCATTAACAACCGATAAAAACATGGAAAAAGTAGAAGAAATGGTTATAAACCATCAGAGAAGTCGCTGATGATGTTGGTATATCGATTGGCTTATCCCATGAAATTTTTTCGAATGTTTTGGGTATGAAACGCGTAGCAGCAAAATTTGTTTTAAAATTGTTAAATTTTGAACAAAATTTTTGGCCAAAAACAATACTGTAATGATGCCCCAGCCTCCATATTCGCCAGACATGCCTCTGTCTGACTTTTTTCTATTCTCAAAAATAAAGAGAACCTTAAAGGGCCGTCGTTTTGCAAGCATAGATGACATTAAAAGCGCATCGCTGAAAGAACTAAAGGCTATCTCAAAGATCGAGTTTTAGAATTGTTTCGAGTATTGGAAGAGCTGGCACATGTGCATAATATCCAATGGGGACTATTTTGAAGGCGACAACATTAATGTAGACGAATAAATAAACATTTGTTTCAAAAAACGAAAATTCCCGATATTTTCTGAACACACCTCGTATAAATACAATTTGCTAGACTCCATAATCAAAATCAAAATAACTGTGAAATCATCTTGATGTCTCTTTAAGGTTATCGATTTTATCCTGATAACTACTAAAGCGGGTGGGGAAGATAACGAAGAAGAGGATTCCGATGGTGAAGAAAATGTTCAAACGAATGGCGTTTCAGCGCCATCTGCAGGCGGACAACCGGAAGCTTTGTTGGTGTTGACGGAGGAAGAGTTGGTCGCTATCGACTTGCAAAGCAAAGACTGGAAAATGATGAGTTTGCCATACTTGGTGTCTCTGCACGCGTCTGCCGTCACCTGCAGCCAACACGTGGCAGGTTAGTTTTCGGTTATCTTGCAGAAAATGGTATACGCTAAAGAAGTAGCGCTAGTAGCGCCACCACTCGGCTGTTATCAACGAGTGTTTTTGAGAATAAAGCCGATTCCTTTAGGCCATATTAGTATCTGTGATACAATTGCTGTGTGCAGTCCCGGTTGCATAGTATGTACCGATTGCGGCAAAGGCCACGTCGTTTGACGGTGTGGATCACCTGATGTTCTTACATCTCGCCTCTGTTGGCTTACCAACCGAGCATATAAGCTCAAAACAAAAAACTTTGGCGAGGTGTAGGTTCAATTTTTTCTTGTGTACTATATTATTTTTTCGCACAGGGGTTCCGCAAGAGCTCTGGGAGCATTTGAAGGACGCGGGGAGAGCGCAGACGCAGCACCTCTACTCGAACCGCTCGTGGCCGATAGATGGCGGTAAGTTGTTGTGCTCCAAGGGCCAAGAACCGAGGAGAGAGTTGCTTTTAACCGGGCACGAGGACGGTACGGTGAGATTCTGGGATGCTGGCGGGGTAACGCTAACTCCGATCTACAAGTTCAGTTCTAAGGAGTTCTTTTCCGGGGACGATCTTGACGGTAAGACGATTGAAGATGAGTTTTGTTGGGTGCTAGGTGGGTTCGTTTTCAGATGTCGCCTCTCCCGACGCGGAAGATGGCGAGGAGGAATGGCCGCCGTTCCGGAAAACCGGCATCTTCGACCCTTACTCCGACGACCCGCGATTGGCCATCAAAAAGGTGGTTCTGTGCCCCCTCTCCGGTACTCTCCTCGTAGCCGGTACCGCCGGGCAAATCATCATCGCCAAATTCGACACGGAGGTGTTGGATCAAGAGCTCAAAGCCACCGCGATGAACATCGTCAACGATCGCGACGAGTTCGTGTGGAAAGGTCACAGCAAGCTGACCGCCAAACCCGGCGTGACGCATCAAAGTCGCGGCTTCCAGGCGGCCGCCATTTTGCAGCTGCATCCGCCCGCCGCCGTCACCGCCGCCGTCTTGCACGCCGACTGGGGCCTCGTCGCCGCCGGAACCGCCCACGGTCTCGCCCTGTTCGACTACCTGAAGAACAAGCCCGTCATGGTCAAGTGCACCCTCAACCCCAATGGTGAGTTTTTTTTTCTAAATTCGAAAGACTAAAAGTAATTTATGACAACCTTTATCCCACCAAAAAGTACGCCACTGATCGACTAGAAACTTTGGGCTAATCTGGTTGCCTAATTTATTTTGTTTAAATTTAGCTTAATTACAAAAATGACTAAAAGGATAGTTTGTTTGTTTAAACTTTATTTACGTTTACTTAAAAATAAGAATATTTGAATTTTTAATAATGGTTTTATAAAAACATGCAAAAAAGTATAGTAATTGGACATTTTATATAGTAATTGGACACATGGACCATAGTTATTGGACATACAATTTTTATACAGACTGTATAGAATCAAGTAAGTAAGGCAAGACAAGGATGACAAATTATATTCTGATCAGAGAAAAAGAAACAAACTTTAATTGGGCGTAATTACGAACCATAGTTGCCAGGTTGTTTTAAATCAGAAGAGAACGATTATAATTATTTAATAAATAGTTCAATTTTATTTGTTTGAAACTTTAAAAATAACAAAAAAATTAATAATATGTCAAAAATAATTTGATTTAGTTAATTTTCTTACTTTTAATATTAAAAAATAAGAAAAACGACCCTTTTAGGAAACAATAATAGCATATGGCAACAGCGCGGCATGCAGCCAGATACAAGGGCATGCAGTTTGATCTACTGTGTTTGTTCAGTAGTTCCGACGCTGTCTTAGGGAAATGTGTATAGTTTTTAAGAAATACATTTTCGCCATTAACTGGAATTTAATGGATTTTAAACAATCCTTAGTTTTTATTTGCAGAAATGCATTAAAACAAAACAAACGAATTCGATAAAAATAAAACCTATAAATTCTCAAACAAAAATAATTCTAAAATAACGAAATTAACTTTTTTTAATCCCTACCACAGTGGGCGGGGTTTGGCACTTGTTTTATTTAAGTGTTTCTATTCGTTTTAATACACACTGTATCTTAGATCTCACCGGCGCCGGGGACACGCCCATCTCGCGCCGGAAGTCGTTCAAGAAGTCGCTGCGCGAGTCGTTCAGGCGGCTGCGCAAAGGCCGCTCGCAGCGCCGACCGCACGCCGACAAGGAGTCGACGCCCGTGCAGGCGGCGCCGCACAGGAAGCCTGCGCCCAAGGACGACGAAAATTTCAGCCCGATCGAGGCGAAGCCCGTGGAAAGGCAGATCGAGGCTCGACAGACTGAGGATTCCATGGGCTCGTTCGTCAGGTGTCTGTATTTCGCCAGGACGTTTTTATTAAATGGTGAGTTTGATATTTATGTATTATTTATGATTTTTTTCATTTTTAAGGTACCTATAATTTTCGGTATGATGTACAAATTTTACCCATGCTATCTATTTTTGAAAAACTAGGAGTAGTTTTTTCCAAATAGCATAGATAAAATGTATTGTCTTAAACCATCAATAAAATGGTACATAATATTCAAAAATCATTTTGAAGTTGCTGTATTTAAATTGTGTTTGATAAATTTTTAAAAAAATTAAAATTACTTTGATATTTTATATTTTCTTTATTTTTAAGATAAAATTATCAGGAAGTACAAATTTTATCTATGCTATCTATTTTTGAAAAATCAGGTGTAGTTTTTCCAAATATTTGAATTAATAATAATATTAATAATAATAATAAATTCTTCTAAAGTTACTCCCAAAGTTTAATATTTTTAAATTAATTTTTAACCTGAGGTCTAACCACAGAAAAAATCAAACAATTGTTAAGTGTGAAAAAATCATATTTTTTTTAAACGACTCTTCTGAAGGTACTCCCAAAGTTTCAGATTTTTAAATTTGAAAAAATACTAAAAAAGTGGAAAAGATCATATTTTTTATTACTTTTTTTTCTTACTTTTTGACTCTTCTAAAGGTACTCTTAAAGTTTCGGATTTTTTAAATTAATTTTAACCTGAGCCCTGACCACTTATTTAAAAAAAAATATAAAAAAGTGTGGAAAAATCAATTAAACGATGTTTTTTCTTACTTTTTGACTCTTCTCAAGGTACTCCCAAAGTTTCAGATTTTTAAATTTGAAAAAATCCTAAAAAAGTGGAAAATCGTATTTTTTATTATTTTTTTTCAAACGAAGTTTTTTCTCACTTTTTGACTCTTCTGAAGGTACTCCCAAAGTATCAGATTTTTAAATTAGAAAAAATCCTAAAAAAGTGAAAAAGGATCATATTTTTTTATTATTTTTTGTTCAAACGAATTTTTTTCTTTTTTATTTTATTTATTAGTTTTTTCTTAAATAAGAATAATTCTAAAAAAGTGGGCCAACATATTTTTTTATTATTTTTTTTTCAAACGAATTTTTTTCTTTTTTATATTATTTATATGTTTCATATTTTATATCATAGTTTTGTATGTAGTTTTTGCTAAATAAAGTCCATATTATTTATTATTCTAAAGGTACTCCCAAATTTTCACATTTTTAAATTAGAAAAAATCCTAAAATAGTGAAAAAAGATAATATTTTTTATTATTTTTTTCAAACGAAGTTTGTTCTTACTTTTTGACTCTTCTGAAGGTACTCCCAAAGTTTCAGATTTTTTAAATTAGAAAAAATCCTAAAAAAGTGGAAAAATGTCATGTTTTTTAATTTTTTTTAAACGTTTTTTTTTTACTTTTTGACTCTTCTAAAGATAGGTACTCCCAAAATGTCATATTTTTATTATTTTTACCTGAGCCCCGACCACTTATTAAAAGAAATTAGAAAAAATCCTAAAAAAGTGGAAAAAGATCATATTTTTTTATAATTTTTTTTCAAACGATGTTTACTTTTTGACTCTTCAGATGTTTAAATTAATTTTTAACCTGAACCCCAAGCACTTAAAAAAAACAGAAAAAATTCCTTAAAGGGTAAGAAAAAAACATAATTTTTATATCAAACAAGGTTTTTTCTTACTTTTTGACTCTTCTAAATGTACTCCCAAAGTTTCAGATTTTTAAATTCATTTTTAACCTGACAACAATATCATAAAAAGTGTGAAAAAAATATATTTCATCCGAAAATCCAGTAAAGTAGTCAACAATCGGCAGTAAAGTAGAACTTTACTGCCGATTTAATACGAGTATTGTATGCAACCCATTATACATTTAAGATGTGTCTACTGCTCCTCAGCAGCATTTTTTAAAAAGCGGTGGTCGATTGGACCCTTTCATAAAATGTTGTTTAATAAAAATAAGTTAATTTTATTAATTAGATTAAAAAATCGCCGCGGGCAAATATATAATAATTAGTATACTTAGACACTTTCTACATTCAAATGACATTTGATTTAATCATCAATATTAATAATTATAATTATTATTAGTATCATTAAATGCGATTTAGGATAAAATTTAATATGCACCTCGGCATTAAAGTCATTTTTATCACTCACTTTTCAAATTAAGTTTTTCTTACTTTTTGACTCATCTAAAACGTATTTCTAAAGTTTCAGTTCAATTTTATTGAAATATATTGATACCGAGGGGTCAACCACCCAAAGGGAAAACGTCCAGGGATTCCCATGTATTCCCATTATATTTTATTGTATTCCTATGTATTTCCATTGTATTCCTATGGTATTCCCCCTCTAAAATGTCCAGGGATTCCCAGGTGTGGGTGACCCCTCGATTGATACATACTTTATTAAATTTAAAAAAATCAGTAGTTTTTTCCGAATATATGTAGATAAAATGTATAGTCCATCCCCAAGAAGTGATATTTAGATTTTAGAGATTTGAGGGGGCTATTTTTGACGTTGTTTCAGTACAAAACACGAACCCCACCCTGTGGGCGGGCACGAACAACGGCACCGTGTACGCGTTCACGATAACCGTGCCGTCGGCGTCGAAGCGCGACCAAGACGACGTGCACTGCCATCTGGCGAAAGAGATCCAACTGAAGCACCGCGCGCCCGTGATAGCCATCGCCGTGCTGGACGGCTCGAGCCGACCGCTGCCGGAGGCGCTCGAGGTCGAGAGGGGCGTGGCCGGGCTGCCGGACACCACGCAGGCGCACCGCGTCGTCATCGCCAGCGAGGAGCAGTTCAAGATCTTCACGCTGCCGAACCTGAAGCCGCACAACAAGTACAAACTCACCGCGCACGAAGGTCAGTTACATTTTGGTGGTTTCAAATTTTTACAACTAAAACTTTATTATTTAATTATCATCTATTGAAAGACTTTTTAATACACTCATACTACATTTCTTATTAAAGTTTTCTAAATTTTAGAATATAAAAAATTGTCTAAATTTATGAAATATTAAAAAATTATGACCAAAAAATTATAAATCTTATGGAAAAAATAGCTTCAAAATTTCCAAAACTGTCTAATTTACAGACTTTCAGAAAAAATAAAATTTTTGGTTTTCCAAAAATTTTGACAAAAAAAACTATAAATCTTATAAAATTATTACAAAAAAACGATGAAGATTATTAAAATTGTCTAAATTTTAGAATTCACAAATTTTTTTACTAAAAAACTATAAATCTTATGGGGAAAATTGCTAAAATTATCAAAATTGCCCAATTTTCAGAATTGAAAATATTTCAAAAACAAATTTTAGTTTTCGGTTATCCAAAAATGTATGAAGTTTTAATAAATTATTATAAAAAAACTACAACATTTCTAAATTTTAGAACACAAAAAATTGTCTAAATTTATGAAATGTTAAAAAATTATGACCACAAAATTATAAATCTTATCGAAAAAATTGCTAAAATTTTCAATATTTCCAAAATTGTCTAATTTACAGACTTTCAAAAAAAATAAAATTTTTGGTTTTCCAAAAATTATGACAAAAAAGCTTTAAAATTTATTTTTGTAGAATTTTTAACTTAAAAAATTGTAAATTTTTAAAAATGTATGAAATATAAATTAATAATTAATAATTTTAAAAAACCTACTTCAATTTTCTTTTACATGTAAAACATTTACTACACTCACAGGCAAAATAATCAATCCACACAAATTTTCGATGAATTTCAATCGCAAATAACTTTTTTATTTGTTTTCGGATTTAAACAAATATTAAATAATATTGTAGATACATTAATGGAGAATCGCTCACATTTTAAAAATTACTAAAAATTACACGTACGTTTATAATATACAGGTTTAAACAAAAATATGTTTTTTACCATAAGTTTAAGACACTCTGTAGAGTGGCAAAACCGTATATTGTTCTAAATTAAGTTTTATTTATCAAGTCACATCTATTCTTAACAGTTTTGTTTTTGGTTCACCTCGATATATTTATTTTTGTGGAATTTGAATGAATTTTTTTTAAATTTATACTTTTTTAGCAAGCTTAAATTTAATTCAAATTTAATGGAAACAAGATTTTTAAACCATTTTATTTTATTCTATTGCAATTTCTTATTATGAACACAACAATAATTTTTATTCATTTATTAATTTTATGTGTACACATAAAATTAATGCAATGAATTTTTATGTATTATATATTATAGTTTTAATATTTTATTTTACAAAATTATTGTTTTAAATTTGTAAAGTCATTTAAATTATAGTCGATAAATGTTTAATACAAAAATTCTCACATTACATTTAAATGTTAGTTTTAAATTTTAAAGTGGTAATTTTTGGATTAAAAATTTATCGACCATCATTTAAATGACTCTCGAGAAATTTAAACCAATAACTTTTATTTTTAACAAATTTAAATTGATACATTTAAATGTAAGTCGACAATTTTTAATTCGCAAAGTGTAAACGCTGCTTTAGCTGACTGCACGCTTGAAATTGACCACCCTAGAAAGAGACAGCGTACGCCGATTGCTAAAGCTACGTTTACACTTTGCAAATTAAGAATTATCGACTTACATTTATTTAAATTTGGATAAAGTTACGAATTTTGTGTTAAAAATGTTTCATTTGTTAAAAATAAAAAAAAATTTTTTTAACAAACAAACGGTACCACGAAATGGATTTTTAGGTGCGAGAGTTAGGAGGATGGCCTTCGCGAATTTCTCCTGCCGCAATATCGACACCGATGCCACTCATACGGAGGTCGACTTGCTCTGCCTCACAAACTTGGGGGATTGCCTGGTTCTGAGCATACCCGACTTAAAAAGGCAACTCAACGCGGCAGCCGTCAAAAGGGAAGACATAACGTAAAGCTAATTCATAGAGTATTAAGTTGACATGCTTAAAAGACGAATTTTAGGGGGATCTCTTCTTTAGTGTTCACTAAAGACGCCGAGGCGCTGTATCTGCACTCTAGCTCGGAAATCCAGCGGTTGTCTCTTTCCGCCACGTGCGTGACGTCAGCGCGGTGTTACTTGTCGCTACCAGAGGGCGCTCGCGACGACGCCGCCGAGGAGAACCGGTCTGAAGTTGGCGGCGAGAAAGAGGCGGATGTGACGTTGGTGAACGGCATCGCCGGAAGCGTCGCTGATAAAGTAAAAAAACAATTTTTGACGGCGGGTGTATTACATTTTTTTTTTTTTTTTAGATTGACGAGGTGCGGGAGAACGGGGCGTCTGGCGAAGAGACGCCTCACAACGTCACCGTCTCCAGTAGCGTCGGCGATATCACCATAGACAGCGTCAAAGATCATCTCGGATCAGGTAAACAACTAATAAAAAAAATTGCTTTTTGTGTTTTTCATTTTGTCGCGCATATTTTCATTTCGTTATCATTTTTGGCGTTCGATTCGAATCAGGTGAGGATTTGAACAAACGCGTATCGGGCTTGTGCGTCACGAAAACGGTCACCACGATTGTTAGCAGCAGCACCGGGCAAGATGGCGGCGTTACGTCATCGACCACCACCACGACGACGTCTACGGCGAACGAGAGTACTAGCAGTAAGTAGGGTCACGCCTTTTCCTTTTCGTTTCACCTCTTTTACTTTCTTTACTTTGATTTGAAGGAAAAATGGCTGATTAATTTAATATGGCGGCGAAAAATTGCAAATGTAAAATGATAGTTAATTATTTGTGAAACTTTCTGTTTAAAGTATTTTTAAATCCGAAAAATGTAAGAAATATAAAAAAAAGTGTGTGCCTCACTTTTGAATGCGATGTGGTAGTAGTCGAGTTACCGACTAGTTACCAACCAAACCATACTTAATGTCAAAAATGACATATGTATGTCAAAAATGACAGGTGACATAAAAATGTTAAAAATTTTCACTCTTCAATCGATGCTGATTTTGAGGAGGTTAAGAAGAAATAAAATGAGCAATCCGCATTTTGGATCTCCCGATCTTTGATATTGCGGTAGTTGCAAAATAAACGACGTAACCTCTGCCACTTCATGTTCTTCCGTTACTGATACTGGCATTTAAAAGCGTTTCATATTTTCTGTCGCATAGTTTTTGCTTCAATGCGAATCAAAAATAAGAGCTCTCAAAAATTGCAACTGTCAAAATGACAGCCGTTAAAAATGACTATCGTCAAAATGACAGCTGTCAAAAGTTAAAGTCGCCAAAAATGACAGCTGTCAAGAATAACAGCTCTGAAAAATGTCAGCTGTGCAAAATGATGCAACTGCCAAAAATCACAGCTGTCAAAATGACAGCTCTGAAAAATGATAGCTGTGCAGAATAACAGCTGTTAAAAATGACATCTGTCAAAAATGACGGCTCTAAAAAATGAAGGCTGTGAAAAATGACATTTAAAAGAGTTTCATATTTTCTGTTACGTATTTTTTACTTCAATGCAAAAAATATGGAACTGTCAAAAATTACAGATGTGAAAATGACATTCGTCAAAAATTATGGCTGTCAAAAATGACAGTTGTCAAAAAGTCGTCCATTATGAACGGTCGTTACAAATGACGGCTGTTAAAAATGACAGCTCTGAAAAATGACAGTTGTCAAATATGGCAGCTATAAAAAAGACGGCTGTCAAAAATGCAGGTTGTAAAAATGACAGCTGTAAAAAATAACAGCTGGAAAAAATTACAGCTGTCAAAAATGACAGCTGTCATAAATTGCACCTGTCATAAATCACGGTCGTCATAAATGAAAGTCGTTACAAATGACGGCTGCCAAAAAAAAAGTCGTTACAAATGACGGCTGTCAAAAATGACAGCTGTCAAATATGACAACTGTAAAAAACGGCTGTCAAAATGCCCGTTGTAAAAATGACAGCTGTAAAAAATGACAGCTGTGCAAAATGACAGCTGTCAAAAATAACAGCTGTCAGAAGTGACAGAAATGTTGCAAGTGTGAAAAATCACAGCCATCAAAAAACAGCTCTGAAAAATGACAGATGTCAAAAATGACAGCTGTCAATAATAACAGCCGCGAAAATGACAATCTTCAAAAATGACAGCCGTTAAAAATGACATTCGTCAAAAATGACAGCTGTGCAAAATAACTGCTGTCATAAATGAATAAATTTGAGCTTGAAAAGTTGTGTTCTCCTCGTCAATGTAAATATAAATTGTCAAAAATGGCTGGGAACAAATGACAGCTGTCAAAAATGAAGGGAAATTTGAATATTTTGGAAATTATGAAATTTTTAAAAATTGAATTCAATTTGTCTAGGAGGTTATAAAAACATTGGCTATCCAGCATACGTCGGCCGCCATATTGGATTTTTAGAGACACTTTTAATGGCGCTAATTTAGTTGAAACCCCACATTATTTTAACATTTTTCAAAATCATTGCCTTGGTACAGGGTAGAGTTTTATTTAAACATTTAAGAGTTATGTTTTTTCACATTCTTGTATACTATTTATTTTTTCCATTTGCTTCACTGTGTTCATATTTTTATTATTTGTGCTTGTAGTCATAGACAGTCTCGCTGATGACCAAGGACCCGCCTTAGAGGTTAGATCATTTTTTCTCACAGGTTATGCCTAACATGGTACATTGGGCCTGCACTAACATGTTACTGTTATTTACTAATAAGTACTTTATTTTTTAACTGGTGTAGGTTGGTAAATTGTAGATTTCTTTGTGGGGAATTTTGACATTTTTTGTGGGGCTATATAGAATAATAAATATTTAGTCTATGGTTTAAAAAAATTTTAAAATCGTTTTAGTTTAATTATTTCTGCCAAGTAACAAAGTAATTAAATATAACTTGTTGATTATATAATGTTATGTAACCTAATAAATTATAGGTGTATTATAAATAACAATTAATGCATTAATATGTAACAATATTTTTTTAGTCTAATAATAAATACTTACAATTGAATAAATTGTTTGTGTTAATGTTACATATTTTTTTCAGACTAAGAAAATCCAAGTAAGTGATTTGCTATTGAGAGCTCCACTTGCTTTAGCTGAAGATGAAGAAACTGAAAACCATGTGGAATAAAAAATAATAATAATAATCGGTCATACACATTGCCATATCAGAAGCAGTCTCGTCATTAACATTTTTTTATTCTACCACCCCAGTTAGAAACTAAGAGATTTACAATTTTATAAAGTTTTGCTATAAATATTTAATAAAAAAGATTCTTATTGGTGTGGTTTGTAGTACAAAACTGATTTTATAGTTCTGGTGGTGTTTCTATGGAAAATGATCTCAGGATTGTTTTCTATAGAGATTTTTAAAAACGCCCCCTGCTTTTATTTGTAATGTTAGTATTAGTAGTGTACTTATTTTAGCGTTAAGTATTGATTGGGACCATTTTTTTCGAAATTAAAATAAAAAATACGCAGAAGTGTTAACGACGGAGCCTATTTAATATTTTTATATTATTCTAATAATTTGTTTAATCAATAAAACTGTTAGTATTTTAGTTTTTTATTTTCAAAAAAAAGTTTTAAAAATAGGGCACATTTTTTATTATATTGGCTTAATTTATTTTTAATAATGTTCTCTATTTGTAAACATTCAAAATTTTGCAGTTTTTCAAAAAAAATTAATTTATAAATTGAGGACCTAATGAGAATATAAAGTAATAATAAATATTACTAATTGTGATTTTAATATTTTAATCTGTAAATTATAAAAATGCAGCTTTTATATAAAAAATGGTGGAGGTTTACAAACGCGTAATTGTTTTCAAAAAAATGCAATTTTTTGAAATGGCCTTAACCTAAATTTCGTTATTATATTTTATATTGGTATTTTATTCACAAATTATATTATATTTATTATTCACATATGACAAAAACATCACCAAGTGAATAAATTTTATTGCTAAATATTAGTTTTTTATTTTTTCCCATGGAAAACTCGGCAACCCTGTGTATTTTCTAAGCGAAAATATCACACATAAAATTGATTTTAATAACAGTCAGTGTTAAAAAATCAAATTATAATTGATACAGGGTGTTATGGAAAACACTTTGGTAATTATAGTCCTAAAATTCTAGTATATACATAATTCAGTAAATTATTTGGAACATATTTTGCTTAATAATTTTTTTTCAAACTCTTCTAAATTAAATAAAAACTGTTATATAACAATACGAATAAAATTTGACAACGCCCCGTGACGTCATGATGATAAGATAGCGGTGCATGATATAAAATTTATATTTATGTATATGACATAATATTTATTTAATAACCTCAAGTCTACTGTCAGTGACAGATACCTAACCTCAATTCTACCGAAATTGACAGATACCTAACCTTGATTCTACGATTTTTTGTTATTAATCTTAATGACTTGATATTTTATAACTTTGTCATTATTAACCAATTTTAAATTTGATTACTAAATATTTGCGTTTTATTTTTTTCCTGTAAATCATTATACACAATTATAGTGTCAGAACAAATAATACAAAAATAACGGATTTTAAAGATACAGCTACTCAAAAGACATATGCTATTTAATATTACTATTTCAATACAAATTTTGATTATTTATTGCGTATTGTTAAAATTATTTACCAATACACTGTTGCCTTGATCCAAATTATTAAAGAAATGCGAATTAAATTCGTATTTATTCTTAAATACTGCCACAAATCCTTTAATAAAGGTGTATTTAAAATGTATTTTATCTTAAAATCGCTGACTAATCCAGGTAAAATGAATTTACGATACATCCTGTTTGTGTTGAAATTTTAAAAATCTCGTTTTCGGTACAAATAATACACGTGGCAACAGTGCAACAGTTGATTTGGACATTTTAGTTCGCCATTTCACCTGTAGAGGGGCGAATGCGTCGAGTGTCGACGTACGTCATTGTACTTTATAATGTGCGAGACCGAGATAGAGATAGGTTGGCGGGTCTGTGATGGTGGCACCTGCTAAAAAGTAGACACTTCTAAAATTCAGTTGTCTCCGTTCTGTGTCATCCTGAGTACTATGAAAAGGGAAATAGTTAACTCAAGAGGGATTGTTTTTATTTCGTGACATATCTGTGATACATTGGAAATTCTAAAGATTTAGTCGGTTTAGTGGTAGCGAAGCGTGTAGGGAAAGAAAAGTGGTTCGTGTCTAGTAGTTACGTCAAATTTTCTACTAGTTGGCTGAATATAATATGGCCGCCTGAAGAAGGAAACATTTTCATGCCTTTTGTTGTGTGAAATTTCGATTATCGAACGAATATGGAGTTAAGAGTGGGCAACAAATACAGACTGGGCCGAAAAATCGGTTCCGGGTCCTTTGGAGACATTTATCTGGGTGAGTTTTTGACGTTTTTATCTCAGCACATTTTCGCACATTGTAAACAAAAGGACACCACCGAAATATCGCTATTCTTGCAGGAACCAACATATCCACTGGCGAGGAGGTGGCAATAAAGTTAGAATGTATCAAAACCAGGCATCCACAGCTCCACATAGAATCAAAATTTTACAAAATGATGCAGGGGGGAGGTGAGTACTTTTTTTCAATCGTTTTTTAGCGAAAATTTCCTGTTTCTAGTGCCTACGTGCAAATCTCGACGTGTATTACGTTTTTACCTCTCACATAGCCTGTTTACCTTAAAATCAATAACATTATAACAGGTGTTTGTGTTGCCAAAGAACCCATCCACCATTTTAAAAGTATTTCCTTTAAAGCCCAATATTTACTTGAAACAACACTGCTATAGCAGCCCTATAGGGCCCAAAAATAAGACATTATTAAGTATACATGTGAATTTCCAATATTGTTTATTTATACATGTAAATACAGTTAAAATTATTTACAACTTTATTCACCCTTCAACATAATAAACTGTATTGATTAGATTTAATCAGCCATATGGACATTTGCATCAACTTGACCTTTTTTACACACTTTTTTCATTCGTTGTTTGTAAAACACAGCAATTGTAAACATATCTTCAACAATTACAAAGCCTTCTGTTTATGTGGTATGTTTCACAACAAAGTAAATATTTTTGCATTCATTTGAATTAAAACAACATTATTTTTGGGATTTAAAAGACTTTCAACATTAAATTAAAATTATATTAGGTACCAATTATTCATTATAATGTTATTATGAACTTCACTGTGTTTGTCAAACACGTTTTAAGTATTTATTTGGCTATCTAATGCTGTGGTTTAATAATATTTGATAATGTGAGTTGTTTTATAACATTGTTTTTATTATGATTAGTATAAAAATAATAAATATAAGGTATTTGCGATAGGTGTGTTTTATGTATGCCTTTTGATAGGAGTATTGCAAAATTTTGATTATACCATATCAAAAATTGTTTAAATGTTTTTTGTTGGCATTTACTCATAAAATAAAGTGAAGTATAGACAAAAAATTAATTTGTTTGAAGAATATCCACAAAAAATTCATTTTGGATTAATAATACTATTTTTTTACCATTTTTAAGGAAAAAACCTCTATTATAGACTACGCAATTTTTCTATGCCATCTACTTTTGCTATTTTGAAAAAGCTACTCCAGATTTTTTTAGAAATACAGCATGGACAAAAGATATGCTTCACCTTAACAATTGCGCTTTAAAAATGAGGATGGCAAATAAAACAATTAATTTGTTGGAAGAATGGATACAAAAAATCTACTTTATCTGTTTTATAAAAGGATACTCCTGATTTTACCAAAAATAGACAGCATAGACAAATTTAATACTACAACGTAATAATTGCGCTTTAAAAATTAGGAAGAAGATAAAAACAATTAATTTGTTTAAAGAATATCCACAAAAAATCCATTTTGGACAGAGGTATTGCTGATTTTTTTTTAAAATAGCATGTACAATATGGATAATTTTATTTCCTTTAAAGATCTTCATATTTTTAAGGAAAAAACCTCCATTATGGACTACGCAATTTTTCTATGCCATCTACTTTTGCCATTTTGAAAAAGCTACTCCAGATTTTTTGGAAATAGACAGCATAGACAAAAGATATGCTTCATCTTGACAATAGCGCTTTAAAAATGAGGATGGCAAATAAAACAATTAATTTGTTGAAAGAATGGACACAAAAAATCTACTTTATCTGTTTTATAAAAGGATACTCCTGATTTTACCAAACATAGACAGCATAGACAAATTTAATACTACAACGTAATAATTGCGCTTTAAAAATTAGGAAGAAGATAAAAAAAATTAATTTGTTAAAAGAATATCCACAAAAAATCCATTTTGGACAGAAGTATTTGCTGAATTTTTTAAAAATAGCATGTACAATATGGATAATTTTATTTCCTTTAAAGACCTTCATATTTTTAAGGAAAAAACCTCTATTATAGACTACGCAATTTTTCTATGCCATCTACTTTTGCTATTTTGAAAAAGCTACTCCATATTTTTTGGAAATAGACAATATAGACAAAAGATATGCTTCACCTTAACAATTGCGCTTTAAAAATGAGGATGGCAAATTAAACAATTAATTTGTTGAAAGAATGGCCACAAAAAATCTACTTTATCTGTTTATAAAAAGCTACTCCTGATTTTACCAAAAAGAGACAGCATAGACAAAATTAATACTTCACCGTAATAATTGCGCTTTAAAAATTAGGAAGAAGATAAAAAAAATTAATTTGTTGAAAGAATATCCACAAAAAATCCATTTTGGAAAGAGATACTCCTGATCTGGTAACTTGATTGATTGTAGGAGTTTAGACTGCTACAGAAAATGCAAAAAAACATTTTATTTTTTCAGTCGGCATCCCTCAAATAAAATGGTGCGGATCAGAGGGCGACTACAACGTCATGGTTATGGAGCTTTTAGGCCCTTCTTTGGAGGACCTCTTCAACTTTTGCTCGCGACGGTTCTCCCTAAAAACTGTCCTACTGCTCGCCGATCAGCTGATCTCCCGCACCGATTTCATACACTCGCGGAATTTCATCCATCGCGACATCAAACCCGACAACTTCCTGATGGGCCTGGGGAAAAAAGGCAACCTTGTCTACATCATCGACTTCGGCCTCGCCAAGAAGTACAGGGACAGCAGAACCCACCAGCACATACCCTACAAAGAGAACAAGAATTTGACAGGTAAGAATCCTCCAAATTGCATTCCACAAAAACGCAGTTTAATAAGTCAATTGAAGCAGGTAATGAAAAAAAATATACACAAAGGTTCGATTGAATCGTTAATCTAAAAAATCACGCTCCAACGAAGTTTTTGTTGACTGAAAATTCAATAACTAAATAATTCGAAAACCAATCATAGAATTTCTCATACCATTTATTCCACCGTTAATTAACTTAACAAGTACCAACACATTCTTACGTAATTAATTAATTAATTAAGAGGTCTTAACTGTCGCGTATCCGTTTTGAATTAAATAATTCCTCTCAAGATTTATATCGTGTATATATTTATCGAGTGTTTACTTTTGCGGAACATAAAAGTTCTGTATCACGTACGTTTTATTTGTTTACTTTGGAAGTTCAACGGCTACATTAATAAAGTCTCTTCGTCGTTATCTTTTATCTACGCACAATGTAGATGTACATAAGTTACTTGCGAAACTTTTAAATGGCGCTGGTTACGCAAAACGGCCTCAACCGCACTGAAATAATTTATGTTTGCCAAGGTTTGATAACAGGATGGGGACAGGGTCAAGCAAAATCATTTGGTTTCAACAGAAAACATATTAATTGGAAAAGAAACAGTTTGCACATTTTTTTCCAAAATCGGCTTAAAACAAAGTTTGGGTAAAAATATCATACCTCATATTATTGCCCATTTTTAATTTGATTGATAAAAATTGTTGATTTTTTAGTATTATTTAAAAACACAAAAATGATTAATGAATTTCTAGTATTTAAAAAAAATACAAAATAAACAAAAAGTTGTTGATTTTGTAGTATTTTATTTAAACACAAAAAAATGTTGATTTTGTAGCATTTTTTCAAAAACAAAATAAATATCGATTTTGTTTTAATAACACAAAATTAACAAAGACAAAATTTGTTTTTTAGTACTTTTTTAAGAACACAAAATAAACAAAAAAAACTGTTTGTTTTGTAGTATTTTTTAACACAAAATAAAGAAAAAACTTTTATTTAAAAATTGCAAAACAAAATTGGTTTTACTGTATATTTTTTAAACACAAAATAAACAAAAATTCTTTGATTTTGTAGTATTTTTTTTAAATACAAAATAAAAAAAATTTCTATACAAAATAAACAATACATTGTCAGTTGTGTAGTATTTTTGTTAAACAAAATAAACAAAAATTGTTGATTTTGTAGTATTTTTTTAACACAAAATTGTTGAATTTCTATTTTTATAAAAATACAAAATTAACAAAAAAATAGGATGATTTTGTAGTATTTTAAAAAAATACAAGATGAACAAAAAAATGTTCATATCAGATTATTTAAAAAAAATACTAAATAAACAAAAAAAAATTGATTTTGTACTATTTTTTATAAACATAAAATAAACAAAAAGATTGTTAAATTTCTAGTAAAAAAATACAAAAGAAAGAAAAAAATTGTTGATTTTTATCCTATTTTTTTAAGAACACAAAATAAACAAAAATTGCATGAGCTGGCCAAATAGCTTTCAAATTAGCCAAAAAGGCCAAAAAATTTTGAAGGAGAAGAAACAAAAATTGTTGATTGATTGTTAAATTTTTAAACACAAGCAAAAAATATAGTATTTTTTTAAAAACACAAAAAACTAAAAAATATTGATTTTGTAGTATTTTTTTTAAAACACAAAATGAACAAATTTAATTGTTTAATTTCTAGTATTTAAAAAAATACAAAATAAATAACAATTTTTTTTATTTTGTACTATTTTTTTCCAATTTTTTTATGAACACAAAATAAACAATATAGCATTTTTTTTAACACAAAATAAACAAAAATTGTTTTTTTTAACGAAATATAAACAAAAATTTAATTTAATATTTTAATAAAAATAAAAAATTTACTAAAAAAAAATTAAGATTTTGTAGTATTTTTTTTTAAACACTAAATAAACAAAAATATATTGATTTTGTAGTATTTAAAAAAAAACACAAATTAAACAAATATAATTGTAAAAAAAAATTCAAAATACATAAAAAAATGTTTATTTTGTAGTATTTATTTAAAACACAAAATAAACAACAATTATTGTTGATTTTAACGTATAATTTGTTAAAACCGCAAGTTATTGGTGTAAAATATTTATTTTTTAAATTAACCCATATCACTTGTTACCTATAAAAAATTGATAAACCTTAGAGTATACAATACTGAGAAATTAATAAAAAAATCCTCGCTTATAAAACCTTTTCGCCAGGTACTGCGAGATACGCCAGTATAAACACCCATTTGGGCATAGAACAGTCGAGACGCGACGACTTGGAATCCCTAGGCTACGTTTTAATGTACTTTAATAGAGGCTCGTTGCCCTGGCAGGGCCTGAAAGCGGCCACGAAAAGGCAAAAGTACGAAAGGATTTCGGAAAAGAAAATGTCAACGCCAATTGAAGACTTGTGCAAAGTAAGAGATATCGAGTAGTTTATATTTTTTGGTCGATGTTAAATGTTTTTTTTTGCTGTTTTAGGGCTATCCCGTAGAATTTCCCACGTACCTAATTTATTGTCGCCAATTAAGGTTCGAAGAACGACCCGACTATAGTTACTTAAGGCAATTATTTAGGACGCTGTTCCATAGACAAGGTTTTACGTACGACTACGTATTCGACTGGAATATGCTTAAATTCGGTAAGTAAATCTAAACAAATATACATGTTTTTAATTTGATCATATTAATATTTTGTTAAAAATACAATTTTGTTTTAAATGCTGATTTTATGGTATTTTTTTAACACAAAATAAACAAAAAAAATGTTGATTTTGTAGTTTTTTTTTCAAATTGTTGAGTTTGTAGTATTTTTTTAAAAACACAAAACAAACATTTTTTGATTTCATGGTATTTTTTTAAACACAAAGAAATCGTTAATTTTATATTGATTTTTTCTTATTAATAACAATAATAATATTGCCCATTTATTGATGATTTTATAGTACACAAAATGAACAAAAAATTATAATTTAGTAGTATTTTTTTAAAAATTCTTGATTTTATGGTATTTTTTAACCTAAAACAAACAAAAAAAATTGTGGTTCTTTTTAAAAATTCAAAATAAACAAAACAAATTTAAGTAATTTTAAAAGAAACACAAAATAAAGATTTTACATAAAAAATTGTTGATTTTATAGTATATTTTAAAACAAACAAAAACAATGGTTGATTTTGTGGTATTTTTTAATCAAAATGTTAAATGATAATTTTATACTATTTTTTAACACAAAATTAACAACAAAATGTTGATCTTTTTAAAAGTGCAAAATAAAACAAAAAAAATTTTGATTTAGTAGTATTTTTTAAAAAACTGTTATTTTTGTAGTATTAAAAAACACAAAATAAACAAAAAAATTGTTGTTTTATGGTGTTTTTTAAAAATAAACAAAACAAAAATGTCGATTTTGTGGTATTTTTTAAACACATAATAAACAAAAAAATCGATTTTATAGTATTTTTTAACACAAAACAGACAAAAGCAATTGTTGCTTGTGTGGTATTTTTTAAACACAAAATAAACATAAAAAAATTGTCGATCTTTTTAAAAAAGCATATTAAACAAAAAACTTTGATTTCATCGTATTTTTTTAACACAAAAAAAAACAACAAAATTTTATTTTATGGTATTTTTTAAATTTAATTCTTAATCAAAAAATTGATTATTTGTAGTATTTTTAAATTGTTGATTTCCTAGTAAAACAAACAAAAACAATTGTTGTTTTTTAAAACCCAAAATAAACGGAAAAAAGTTGTTGATCTTTTTAAAAATGCAAAATAAACAAAAAAAATTTTGGTTTCGTAATAATTTTAAAAGAAACACAAAACAAACATAAAAATTGTTGACTTTGTAGTATTTTTAAAAAAATTATTGATTTTGTAATATTAATAAAAACACAAAATACTCAAAAACTTTTTTGATTTTATAGTATTTTTTTTAATTGTTGATTTTATAGTAGGTATTTTTTAACACAAAATAATTGTTGATGTGTTATTTTTTAACACAAAATAAACAAAAAAAACATTGATCTTTTTAAAAATGCAAAATTAACCAAAAAAATTGTTGGTTTCCTAGTAATTTTAAAGGAAACACAGTATAAGCAAAAAAATTGTTGATTTTAGGGTTTTTTTTTTACACAAAATAAACAAAAAGAAATTGTTGATCTAATAAAAAAACAAAATAAACAAAAACTTTTTTGATTTTATAGTATTTTTTAAGAATTGTTGATTTTATAGTATTTTATAACACAAAACAAACACAAACAATTGTTATGATATATTAAAAAATAACAATATTGTTAAAAAAAACTGCAAAATAAACCAAAAGAATGGTAGATTTGGTAGTAATTTTTAAAGAAAAACAAGATAAACAAGAAAATTGTTGATGTTATAGTATTTTTTTTAAAACTTGTGGTACACAACATTAACAACAAAATCGTATTTTATAGTATTTTTAAAAAACTCAAATTAAACAAAAAAATTTTTTCATTTCATAGTATTTTTAAAAAAGTTGTTGATTTTATAGTATTTTTTAACAGTTGTTGATTTTATAGTCTTTTTTTAACAAAAAACAATTGTTGATTTTGTGGTATTTTTAAAATTTAAAATTGTCGATCTTTTTAAAAATGCATATTAAACAAAAAAACGTTGATTTTATAGTCTTTTTTTGAAATTGTTTAAAAAAAATCTGTTGATTTATTTAATGGTAAACACAAAAGAAACAAAAAATTGATTTTGTAGTATTTTTAAATTGTTGATTTCCTAGTAAAACAAAGAAAAGCAATTGTTGTTTTTTAAAACACAATATAAACCAAAAAAAAAAAAATCAACAACACGTTGTTGCAGGCGGCTCGAGAGGCAGCCACTGCGAAGACAACGGCGGCCGTTCGGGCGCCCGCTTCGCCTCGCACGCCGCCGCCCCGGCCGACGCGGCGCCCGCCGTCCCCCAGCCGCGCGGCAGGCGGCAACCGCACGACGCGCGCATGGACGTCGGCGGACCCGGCAACGCCGCACCCGGCGGACCCCCCACCACCCTCGACGACGTCATCACCGGAAGTAAGTCCAGATATCAAGTTTCACATCTTTATTCTGACAATTTACATACATAGAATAAATCCATTTATTGTTTAATTTATGGTATTTTTAAAATACAAAATAAAACAAAAAATTTGATTTTCCAGTATATTTCTAAACACAAAATAACCAAGAGATTTTGTTAGTAATTTTAAAAGAAAAACAAAATAAACAAAAAAAAAATAGTTGATTTCATGGTATTTTTTTAAAGTTTGTTGTTTTGAGTAAATTAAATATTAAAATAAATATTAATTTATTAGTATTTGTTACAAATAATTTGTGGCTCATTTATTTTTCAAAAAACGGTTTAAAATATTTTTTTTTATAAAGGGACACATCTGAAATTATCGAATCAAACTAAATTATTCACTGCTGTTGATATAAAGTTGGAGGGAACAAAAAATTATTTTTTAATTTAATTTTTAGGTTCCCCCAAAATGTACGACAGTTATGAGAGAAGAGTTTCGATGAGGCTGAGGGCGGGTCAGGCCCCCCCGAACGCCTCCACGTCAGACTTGAGCACCTCGAAACAGGCCAAGTGAGTTACTGCACTTTTTAGCGTTGTTTAACCTCCCCCCTATCATAAAAATCGAATCGAAAAAAAAAAAAAATAGACAATTAAGTTAAAATCGAAATTGGGGCGCGTAAGCTTCATCATCATCATGAATCCTCTTTGGGCTTTCATCAACCTCAAAAAAAAAATCCTTTTGCGTGGGGTTTTATCGTCGACTGGGGAAACCTATGTGTTATTTTCTGTTGTTCTGGAAGCGCCTCCGTGGCGGCGATGGCGCCCCCCGCCCAAACGTCGGCCGTCCCGGCGGCGGCGGCGCAGCTGCAGCTGCAACAGGGGGGCGGCGGAGGTCTGCGGAGGGGCAGCGCTAGCAAGGAGCTGCGCCAGCCGCCGACCAATAACGACGACGCTGCCGGAGGCGGGGAAAATTCCGCGCCGTCTCCAGCCGGCGGCAGGTCGGCCGGCCGAGGCCGACACTGAACCTTCAAACACGGACCGCACCCATTTTTTACCATCGTTTATTTTTTAATTTTTAAGGGTCCAAATGTACCGGTAAAGTACCACGCTGAATGAAAAATTCGACAAAAATCATTTAAAAAAACGTTTTAAGGGGTAATAAAGGCACCCATACACTAAGTTCTTCCTTTACGTGTGTGGATTCCTTTATTTTTTTTTAAACGCGTAATTATGCTCTAAAAACATCCTACGTTGTTTTCTTTATTTGAAAATGAACAAAATTAATTTTTTTAACAAACTACACTGGATAATAAAAATCCAACATCAAAATGACAAAAGTTTAGTATTTGTGCTTAAAATCAAATTTTAACTTCTTAAAAAAACTAATATCGTTTTTTTGAGGTAATAAACACCTTTAAAGGCCTCCACACACCACAATCTTTCTTGACGTGTGTGGGTTCCTTTAGTTATATAAAACGCGTTTTTATGCTCTAAAAACATCAACAGCAAATTAATAGGTCTTTAAATAAATTATAAATAAAAAACTTATTTCAAAACTTTTTTATTGTGTATGGGCCAAACATTATCTCCAAATATTTTTATTTAGTGTAGGTATATACACTGTATGCAAAATTTGACGAATAATGTTTTTTGGGGTAATTAACACCTTTAAAGGCATTCACACACTAAAATCTTTCTTGGCGTGTGCGGGTTCCTTTAGTTATAAAAAATCCTCTAAAAACATCAACAACATATTTATAGGTCTTGAATTAAATTATAAATAAAAAAAAAATTTGAAAAGAATGTTTATTTGCTGGGTAATAAAAATCCAACATCTGCTAGAAGAACATAAATATGACAAAGCTTAAATTGTCGGTTTATACCAAAAAACTAGTTTTTGGTAATCATATTTTAACTAAAAACTAAACAAAGAAAGAAGTTTTAAAAAATGTTTGAGGAAATAAAGGCACCCACACACTACGTTCTTACTTGACGTGTGTAAAAAACGCGTTTTTATGCTTTTTAAAGATCCTACAATTTTTGTTTTAATAGATCTTGAAATAATTAATATTTTGGATGATAAAAATGTAGCATCAATACGACAACCCCTAAAAGATATGTTAAATAAAATAAAAAAACTAGTTTGGCGGATTTAAATGTCATTCAGTGTATGTGCTTTACCCTCCTTACCATTACTATTTTTAAATTATATAAACGGCGACTAAAAGTTAAAAGAAAAAGTATTTTTCTAATGCCGAAATGTGGCAAATGGAACCTCGTGCAATTATCACACGCGTTGTTTTTTGTTTTTAAATGTGTTATTATTAATATAAATATCGTACACAGGGTGTTCTCCGAATTGCTCTCGCTGTGTTTTAAAATGTCGGTGAATTTAAAAAAATGGACTCTACTACTAAATAATTGACAACAAATTTAATTTAAGAATAATATTATATATATTTCAGTGGGTAACAAAAAAACTACATTTGTACATATCTAGACTGATAAATTTTGTGTAATTGTTGTATAGATATATTTAAGTGAACTTTTCCGTTTTTAATTTTGTGGAACTTTTATAAATAACATAACGATAAATGTTTACCAATTTTATAAAAAACAAAACATGGAAACATACTTTGAAAAATCACACGGTATATAATTAATGTGATATGATTTTTTTAATTTGAGCGTCCTCTGAAATCCGTTTTCTGTAGAAGACTGTGAACCTACATAGTTAGTTGGCTGTGGAGAATGTTGAGCTCCCATTGGTTTCTCACTTTCTACAGAAAACAAATTTCGAGGAGCAGCCGTATTCGTGTTTTGTTTCTGGCCTCTGTGAGACTAATAATATTACGCTAGATGTTTTAAGTTTATGTATGTTAAGTTACATAATTATTATAATTAGAATCAAGTTTCCTAAGTTAAATAAATTGTTATGTTTAAATTCATTTTTATTATTTTATAGACTGATGTTTCATTTTCTTTGCGTAATGTGTGTACAAATTTCATTTTCTTTTAATTATTAGATTGGTGGTGAACTTTTAAGTTAGTTTCGTTTGTACGTTTTTTTGGAAAGACTTTTAGTTAATTTCGTCGATTTATCCTCCAAAGATTCGTTTATGATCGTAACTGCGCAGGTCTTAGGTCGAAGTTTAATTTTGTTTTGTACGAACCGCCATAACGCTAATTTGTACATAAAATATGGGGAGCGTTTTTCCAAACTTGCACTTTATTTTCCACGGAGAAAAAGGTCGCAAATTTGGCGCCCCCCGGTCTAATGTTGTAAATATTTTTTTTGCGTGAGTGCAACATGATGATCTGGAACCAGTGTCTGATCAAATGATGCCGAATTGATATTAATTTTTAAGTACTTATGTAATAATTAATATCAGCGACAATGTGTTATATCATTACTGTTTTTTGGCGAATAAATATTATTTATTGTTGAACAACAAAATTCAGTTTTCATCGTCAAAATTTTGCACATCTATTGCCGAAAATGACTTGGTACTAAAATTACCAATTTAGTTTCATCAATATTTTACTGTACCTATGTATGTTACATTACAAGAATAAAAGTCACTAAAAGTTACTAAATAGGAGTTTTATTGAAAGAGTTCCAATCCCACTTCTGAATTTAAACAAAATTCTGAAAAAGGGTAAGAAAAACGTTTTTTTTTGTAAATATAAGCTTTATTGTACAAAATATAAAACCTACTTTAAAAGTTTTATCAACTCTGATACAACTTTAACATTAATACTATTACCCAACAGCATATATTTTTGCCTCAATTTTACCACGCCATCATCTGGAAACGAAAATTTCTCCGGAAAAGACATCAGCCGCGATATTTCCTTGGGGCTGAAAAACCTCAACTCCAAAGACTTCATTAAGGAGATTTTATCCCTATCATTTTTATTTATACTGATTTCATCGCAAACCTCCTTGTATTCCTTTTGTGATTTTGCGGTGTAAACACTACCAGTCCCTTCCAAAAATTTACTGTAAGCCTTTGTAAAGCAACAAGATCTTTTTGAGTCACTATAGCAAATATCCAAAACTTTCAAGCGTTTGACTAAAACTTTTTCACTCAACATATACTCCTCAGTTTTGATGGTTTTTTCCAGTATTTCCGATATAGGGTACAACTCTGTTTTGCTGTTGTAATTCGGTAAAATTTCCATCTAAAAATATCATTAAAAAAGTATTTTCACTAAAACCAAAAATTACCAAATCCCCAACATCAAAGTCAAATTGTAGCGGTCTTCTCTTAGCCAAACAGTAGTATCTATGCCTGGTATTAGGAACACCAATCTGTGTAGGAGTTAAAATAAATTCTTGCCAAATAAAGTCGTTTTTCTTCAAAACGTCCAACAATATACCCCTCATTTCAGATTTCTCAAAACCTTTGACGTTCTCAATCAAAATCCTCCCCACCTTCGTCAACTCCGGTAGCAAGTTCAAAATATGCATAAACGGGTTTGTTCTCGTATCTTTAACATCGTTTTTCAGCCCATTCCTTGTAAATGGCTGACATGGTGGAGACATAAGTATTGTGTTAATATCCAACTTATTTATGAATTCACCAGTTAAACCTTCAATATTCTTGTTCAATATGTTGATTTCCGGAAAGTTATGCCTGTAAATAACGTTGGCATTTGGATTTATTTCAACTGAAGCCACTACATTGCCTTCAACGCCACTTTCTACAATTTAGGTGGTTTATCAATTAAATAGGGTTAAATTGTGTTATGTTACCTTCAAGGGCCATATGCATTCCCCCTATACCACTAAATAACTCCAAAACGTTCATTTTCATGGTAAAATACACCTTTTTTAAAGCATGTTGTTTTGGTACGTTTGAACTACTGTCAAATAAGTAAGGTTAGGTAATTCGAAATAATTTAGTTATTTATGAATAAAAGTTGTGTTATATTATCTTGAAGGGCCCCCATGCCACTAAAGAAGTCTATATCGATGATTATTAATGTAAAATACATGTTTTTGGCGTTTTAACCACTGTCAAATAAGTGAGGTTATGTACTTAAAAACTATTTATTCCTCTTATTACAATATAAATATTAAATGCACGTTTACGCGGAAGCAAAGCTAAATGTTCTCGAGCTCGGGCGGTATGGGGATCTTGTTGTTGATGGCGAATTGCTTAAGAGCCTCGTATCGATGCTTGATAGTGTTCATCTCGTCCCTCATGCTGTGCACTTCGTCCTGCATGGTCTCCATGTCCCTCCACTCCTGCGTTTTCTCCGTTTCGAGCTCGTCCTTCTGCTCGATGCGTTTGATCCTGCACGAAGCGGCGTAGCCTCGGTTTTTGAGGGTACGTCTGCGTTGCTTCATGCGGACTATGTCGTCTCTGGTTAGGCCGCGCAGTTTTAGTTGGCGGTTCAGGTCTCGAACGGAGATGGTGACGAGCTCATCGTCGGATATTTCGACGAACGGGGACGGGGACAATGGGGCCTAAAATTACGATAAGTATGTTAACAATTTAAATTAGGGGAATGTTGTGTTACTTACGAACTTTCGGTCGTTCTTGCGGTGTTCTGGGGGCATTTTCCACGGAATCCTACGTTTTTATCTGCCTGTATGACGCAGTTTGTCGCCTATTGTTGAAAATTGCAAGTCATTCTTCCAATTATAAACAGTTTTAAACACCATTAAAAAAGCATTACACTATCTGTTAGTATTACCAAGTAATTACATATAAACGACAACAATCAAATATAAATAAAACCTTTCCATATAAAATTTTAACAAATGTAAATAAACAAGTGGTTGTGTTCTTAAGGTTGGCAACAACAACAACAAACGGTTGGCAACAATGTTATTTTGACAGTTGGCGGTAACTTCAAATTGTTTGTTATAAAATAGATGTTAAATTTCAGTAAAACTTGAACATGGCTACTTTAGAGTGCGAACAATTTAGTTGCGCGATGAAAGACATCGCGAATCACGTGCACTTAATACTAAGCCCCTACGGTAACATAAAATTTACGGTAAAAAATAATTTTCTTAAATAATTTACAGACAGGGTGAGATGCGTGGAATGGTGCAGAAAACTAATAAACATCCCCGAAGACAGTATTGAACAGTGTAAAATAAAATACGAATACGCGCAGCTGCTGCGCATACAAGTTCGCAACAAATTTTTGCACGGGCCTTTCGCTCAACCACCGTGCGAAAGCGAAACTGTCAGGCCCCTTGCAGAAGCCCTTGGGAAACTCATGTCCCAAAATGTGACTAAAATACCAACAAATGCAACGTAATTTTCCTATAAAAATATTTTTAGATTCCTGTTTTGCCCCCCAGTGGCCCAATTCAACCAACGATGCACCACAAGTCTCCAGACGGTAACGCTTACGTGTCCGTTAAGCAATTGCCTGGGGGCGGAGTTTTTTGTTACATGGCTGTCACACCCGACTGTTAATGCAATGTAAATTACTATAGTTATTTTTAAGGAAAATATACACATTTATAAGGACGTTTGAATTTCATTGGGCATGCAACGCACTTACAATAATGTAATATGAGTTGCATACACACCGGTTGATAAAACACCGCCACCTATGTAAGGATCATCGAACTAATTCACCAAAAACTGGTTGTTATCTGTCAAAAGTCAACCCAAATCAGCTGTTTTGATACCCACTATTCATGAGTCATTTCTTATTGATAAATCCGCACAATTTGGTCGTGTTAAGTGTTTTTTGCAGCGAAATTCAACAGGAAAAAGGAAAATGTTTCGCGGTTCGGCCTTCGATCGGCTTATGGGTGAGTTGTGGTGTACTTGCTAAAATTTTTTGTTTAACACGGTGTTTTGTAGACAAAGCGACGAGTCATCTTTTGATGGAAGCGGACTGGGTCACAATTATGCAGATATGCGATTTAATTAGGCAAAACGACGTGCAGTAAGTTTAAGGTGGGGTTAAAAGTTCACAGTTGGTTTTAGATTGATTGTTTTGTAGGCCTAAAACTGCTTTTTCCTCGATTAAAAAGAAGCTAACTTCCGAGAACCCCTACACGGCTTTGTATGCTTTGATTGTACTCGAGAGTATGGTTAAAAACTGCGGTAAATAACCCGTGAGATTTTGTTACCAAAAAAATAACATCGGTGATCATTTTTAAGGTTCTGCTGTTCATGAGGAGCTGACAACAAAGATCAACTGCGACTTTCTCTATGACTTGATAAGGATTACGCCTCATTCCAACGTTAAGGCAAAGCTATTGGAGCTTATTCAGGCTTGGAATTTTGCTTTGAGGAAAAATTCCAAACATGGTCATTTAAAGGTAAATATTTACATTATTATCTACAATAAATTTGTTTGATTGTTAATGTGAAGATCAAGGTCAAATATTAGTAAAATAATGAGTTTATATTTAGGTACACAATTAATACAATGAATAAACAAAAAGTGTCTAATAAGAAAAAGTGAGGTTAAAACAGTTTGACATGTCAAAATAATTTTTTATGAATATTTTTTTGCGTTTTGCGTTACTTTCGGACAATCTGCATATGTTGATAATAGTAGTTAATACTATGCTTTTTCTTCTTCAATTAAGTTATGTAACCCTATAATATATGATTTACATTATTAACAAAATTTATTATAACCTCACTTTCCTCTTATTGGTTTAAATCGCAGTGATTATTAAAATCGGCCAATCACTGAAGCCTAGCAACGTGAATAATGAGTTCTTTATCACGTTGTTAGGTGGGGCAGTTGTAATAGTATACAGAAAAAAAAACAAATAGCAATATTATGGAATACGCTAAAGAAGTATCGCTAGTAGCGCCACCACTCGGCTGTTATCATCGTAAAAAAAGTAAATGTTAAAAAATATTGTGTTTTTGGGTGTATTTCGAGAGGAAATCCTGGGTTAAGTTTTTACCGGTTTTCCAATAAACAGTGTTAATCTGAATGAAGAAATAAATTGCATACAGTCTCTGTAAATATAAATTGTACCTGTAAGATACAATAAATACACATTTTATTAGTGATTAACGTGAAAAGTGTAAACATTTTAATTCAGTAAAAATCGTCAAACAAATAAGTCTTCTAAATTTAAACTGCATTTAGCATTATTAAAAGCGTTGATTAAGAAAGTCTCCACTCAACGGTAAAATACCATTATATTATGTATTATATATAATATTATGTTGCCATGAATTCTTAGGTATATTTTGTTGTTTAAAATGCAGTTGTCGGCGTATTGTAAGAACTCAAATAAAAAATTGATTGATTTTAAGGTTATGTTTGTGCAAAAATTATTTTTGACTAATTTCTTAAAAATGTCCAAACTTAAATATAAATTATATTAGGTAAAGTTAATTCTGCACCAACAAGTCCACCAGATGGCGCGCGCGTTGCGAAAACCCGATACTTCCCTAGACCAGGGGGATACTTCTTTAGCGTATTTAAATTTAACTCATAGGAACGTGATTTTTAAAACAACCTGTATTAATATGTTTGTTTTTATGTTTAAAGGTTATCTTTTGGGTTTGCAATGATTTTTTGAATTGTGCGCAACCCTGTGTTTTACAAATAACCCAAGTAACACCTCGTGAAGAAATCGTTGCAAAATTTGTTACGTTTTCTACTTGTCGTGAGCTCAACGTGATCCCGAAAATTTATAGATTCTGTGACTGATACAGTGGCCAAACCGCACTAATTTTAACCCCCGAAATCTTCACGAAGGCGTGCCTACAAGTCGTGACAATTTCTTTATGTTTTTTATCACAATAATGTGACGAATTTGACACTAAATCCGTGGTAGAATCTGCTTTGCAGTTTTGTGACGAATTAGTGACGATTATTATTTACTGTCAATGCATACTTATTAAATTTAATCACTTCCTGTCCATGGTCGCTCAATAATGAAAGCTAAATGTCTTTAAAGTTGTTTTACAGAAATTTAGCTTTCATTATTGACCCACCATGGTCAATAACCGATTAAATCTAATATAAGTATGCATTTACAGTAAATAATAAAAACCAAATTACATAAATTAATTTCCTTTGCTAAATAAGACACATTTATTAATTAATTATTAATTATTTATTAATAAAAAATGTACATTTAATTACATACGTAGATGTACTAAAGTTCAAAGACCCATTTTTGTGGGTATACAATAATATTCTATGTATAGAGTAATCACCACAGACACAAAAACTAAACCAGTGAACAAAGTCACCTGTTACGTCGCATGTCTACTCATCCACTCGTCAAAATAATTTCTGGGAACATTTTCGTTTCGCGCTGACCGGCGCGACTTCGACTTGTCTGTTCCACCTACAATGTATTTTCCCTATGTATAGCTTGCAAATGAAGGTACGGTATATAAATTATTAAAAACAACGTCATCAATATATTGCAACAAATATATACCGAAAAGAATACAATTACTGAACTAATAGGAATTTTAGCAAAATTGCAAGCCAAAGTAATTAAAACAATTTAAATTAAACTCACCTTATCTATAAACCATTGAATAAGAACAACTGATAACAATAAAAACAACAAAAACGCAGCACGTGTGTGGGGCAGCGTCTCTACAAAACAACGACAATGAAAATGGCTGACCAGAGAATCTGACAGAGATAAAGAAGGATATAGAACGCCCTCTCTCGAGAGATCTCGTTCCTAAAAACACGATAACGTCACGAATAAAGTGCACTGCAAACGTCACAAATTTTCTATGAAGTATCTATTTAAAAAGTTACTTTATAACGAAAAATCTTCACGGTTTCGTCAAAAATTTAGAAGTGACGCAGGCGCCACCTTCATTTTGATAACGTATTTATATAAAAATGTACTTTATAAAGAACGAGCGTGACGATTTCGTGAAATCTAGTAGAATGCCGTCACGTCGTGTTACTTGGGAAACATCAATTAATCCAATAAAACTAATTAAATTAAGAAGAGGTTTTGTGGAGTTGTAGGTGTGAAAAAATAAACATTTTTAAGAATTTTTTAATGAACTTTTGTGTAGTGTTTTTTATTTATACATTAGTTCTTATACTTTAACATAGGGACTCGTAGATATATTAAAAGGGAAGTGTTAAATAACTAAACCTAAATGTCGTTGTCATAACCTCAATGTGACAAGTTTGTTTTGTGTTATTAGAAACATATTTTTGGCATTTCATTGTCTTTTTTATGATTAATTCACAACGTTTTAATTGCCAAGTATCTTCAATCGTCTTCAGGTGATTGCAGATTGAAACGTTGTGAATTCATCAAAAAGTCCAAAAATTTGTTTTTAATCAAAACACCACATTGTCTACCACCTTCAAACAAACGTTTGTTTTGTGTGTTTTTGTTAAAATACAATGGTGGTTTTTAAATTAAATTGCGCCATTTTTTGGTTCAGTTTGGTCCACAGACCGCTTTTAAAGTATAGCACTCTAAAAACTTGCATGATTAGGATTTGCTCGGGAACTTGAAATCGGAGGGGCACAAGTTCCCGGCGCTGCGCGAATCGGACGCCATGTTCGCCGCCGACTCGGCCCCCGAGTGGGCGGAGGGCGACAGTTGCCACCGTTGCCGCGTCCAGTTCACTCTGATCACGCGCAAGCATCACTGCCGCAACTGCGGACAGGTGTTCTGCCACAACTGCTCTCAAAAGGAGATCCCGCTGCCGAAGTTCGGCATAGAGAAGGAAGTCAGGGTGTGCGACACCTGCTACGATCAGGTAATTCTATCTTCGATCAAACATTCGTTTTATAGTAAATTTAAAAGGAAACGACGTACACGTACCAACACTAAATGTATAAAACGAAGTCTGTAATTGAATCTTTTAATGTATTTTAAACAACTTTAGTTGGCAGCAATTGCAATGTTGCCATGTTTAGATTAAAATTGTATCGTTTAAGTTTTCATTGCCGTTTTTGTGTTTGTTATATATCGTTTTTTTGTTTTTCCTATACTTAAAATGCCGAAGCGTTGAAATAGGCGGAGTCAAGAGTTGGTATCAACCTTAATACGCTATTTTGAGGCAGAACGGGATAATAATGTACCTTTGTTACCTTAAACTATGAGGCGCCGTTTGTCCGTAAATTATTTTTTGCTATCTGGCCGAAGATCCGTTATGTTGGAAACACTGACCAAAACTTTGCATTGGCACACTCTGGCAACAGTCCTTTTTAGTTGAATACCACAAAGCGCCCTCATTCGCAAGCGGCATTATCTGAACTAAAAAGTTTCTATATATATAGAAAATTTAAAGTTTATATAATATATATATATATATTATAAAAAATATTCTTATATATAGGAAAAATAATTTCCGGACAAACGGCGCCTCATATTAAACAGCTGTTAGAGAGGTAAATAGGATTATTATTAATTATATATTGGAATATTTAACAAAATATATGTTGGATACATAAAATAATAATAAATATATCAGAGACTGACTTTAGATGGCAAAATTTCTGGGTTTTATAGCTGAAAATGTCTTTAAAAATGGCCAAAAACATACTTTTGACATTTTGGTATTCTAAGGTCCCAAATCTAGGGACCCTATGGTATTATTCACGTAAACGCCATCTATCGCCCTGTAGTTGCACTACCACTTTCACTTGATGCAATGATTTTAGCATCACATTGACAACCGTGCCCGATCAGCTGATTGATGACGTGTACGTCGTTTCCTTTTAAAGGTGTTTTTTCGCGTAATTACCACGAAATACTATAGTTAAATTAGTTATGACGTCACGGTTAATTCGTTTAACCACAGTTATTGATTGACGTTTCAAATGTCACTTCTGTTTATAAACTTTATAACGTAGAATTTCCACCTTGGAAATTCTGATTAAAATTTATGACGTTACACTTGTAGCCAATCACGCCTGATATAAAAAAGTGTGGTTACCTGTTTAAATATTTTTTGACATCAAAACATTTTTGACAGATTAAAATAAAGAAATATACACATTAGAAAGAGATAGACTATTAACCAGATTGAATAACCAGCTTGCCGAGGTAGTTTTATGCTATAGTAAATGTGACGTCATAGTTAAGATTTTGGAACGCACTCTAAACGCGAAAATACATTAACCATTAACTAAGGTTAAGTTTAATAACCATACAATTTCATAGTATTTACGCAAAAAAATGCCTTAAATTTACTATAGTTGTCTACTGTGAGGTTATAATATGTATGTACAGCTCACCAGGCCGCAACAGCCGGGCGCGCAGAAGGAAAACAAGGAGGAGCTCCCGGCCGTTTATCTGAAGAGCTCGCTGGCGCAGCAGAAGCAGGAGCCGCCGCGCAAGAGCGAGGAAGAGCTCAGGGAAGAAGAAGAGTTGCAGTTGGCGCTGGCCCTCAGCCAATCGGAAGCCGAGGCCAAGGAGAAGGAGAAGATCAAGATGACGTCGACGTTGCACGGCGCCTACAACGCTAAACGTAAGTTATACGGGTTGCGTCCGCGTCTCCGTCACAAAAAAAATTGTCTTCGCAGCCGAAGCGAAGCCGGCCGAGCGGAGCCCGTCGCCGCCCGACGAGCAGGCCAATCCCGAGCTGGCGCGCTATCTGAACCGCTCGTACTGGGAGTCGCTCAACGATTCCTCTGCGGAGAGCAACGGTCAGCGCGCCGCCAGCCCGACCGCCCCCGCGCAGAACAACCACCACGATAATCACCAGAAGGCGGCGCAAATGAAGGAGAACGGACTCGTCGATCACGATCTCGAGGAGTTCATCAGGACGCTCAAGTCGCAGGTGGAGATTTTCATCAACAGGATGAAGAGCAACTCCAGCAGGGGAAGGTGAGTCTACTGATGTTTTTTCAGGTTCGCGCTTCGATATTTTTTACTTGGGTTACATGGAAATGAAAATGGAGTGCAAAACTTAGTTTTCATTAATTTTGACTTACAAATGTCTTCTTCTTTTAGACTTTAGTATTTCACCCCCAGGGTGTCTTGTTACTGGATTTTATCCAATTTTTCCATGTTGATCCTTTCCTAACCATTTTACGTATTTCAAATGTCGACAATAAAAATAAAATCAAACATAATCCCACTTCTGATGTTAGCATTAGTTTATAATTTAAGACAAATTAAGGAGAAATATAAATGAAAAAAAACTGAAATAGAACACTAAAAAATAAATAATATTTTTTAACTTTTTATCAGCAATATTTTTTTTGTTTTTTTACTTTAATTTTAGTTTTTTTAAACTTTTTATTATTGGCAAAATCTGTTGGAAAACACCCTCCTAGTGTCAGTTTTATGGATGTTATCCAGTTTATCCATGTAGTAGTTTAAATATCAAAAATAGAAATAAAATGAAACCTAATCCCACTTCTGATGTTAAATATAAATAAATAAATTAAAGAAAAAAAAACAAAAAAATCCAAATCAATTTAAAAAGAAGAAATCAAGTAAAATAAAAAAAGTCAAATGAATCAAAAAGTCCTATGGGCTATTTTTCACATTTTGTGACAATTTTTGAATTTTTCTGGAGTTTTTTTATTTATTTTTTTTTTACTCCAAGGGTGTCGTTACTAGATTTCAATTTTCAAGTTTCCCATGTGGATCTAGTCCAGGCAAAATAAAGTTTATCAAATGTCAAAAATAGAAATAAAATCTAAAAATCCCACTTCTGATGTTGGCATTCGTTTATAATTTAAAAAAAGTCCAAATGAATTTTAAAAAAAGAAATCGAGTAAAATGAAAAAATCAAAGGAAGTCAAATAGATGACCAAAAATCAAGAAAACAGATAAGTAAAAACTCAAAAAAGAACTTTTTGTGACAATTTTTCTATTTTTTTTTACTCTAAGGATGTCTTATTACTAGTTTTTATCCAGTTTTTTTTATGTAGATCTATGCATAGTCAAATGTCGAAAATAGAAATAAAATCAAACATAATCCCACTTCTGATGTTGGCATTATGTTGTAATTTAAGAAAAACAAAAAAAATAAATAAATTAATTAAAAAATATAAAAAATCGAATAAAATGGAAAAAATTTAAAAAAATAAAATGGAAGACTAAAGATAAGTAAAAAAGAGAGATTTTCATCAACAGGATGGCAATAAAAGTTCTTAATTTTCATTACAAATATCTTCTTCTTTGACAGAAAACCGTTTTAACCCTCAGGGTGTCGTTTTACTGAATTTTATCCAGTCAAAGTGTCAAAAATGGACATAAAATCAAACCTAATCCCACTTCTGATGTCGGCATTAGTTAATCATTTGTGTGATACAAATTTAATTATGACATCATAACATTATAACCATAATTATTATACCATTATATCATGGCAAGGTAAGGTTCCCACAACAAAATTACATTTAAGGTAAGGACTTGGGTTTTTGCTTCATTTAAATGCATTTTGTTTCAACTAAATCATTTTTTTGCATTGGTCATCGTTTGGCTTGGTAATTCACTTGCCATTTCTTTGGTTCTGCCATTTATTAGGAGGGTGGTATCGTCTGCAAGGTCGTTTATGTGTATGATAAAGAGAACGGGTCCCAGCACTGATCCCTGTGGTACTTCATAGGCAAAACTTCCTTACATCCTCTGCCCTTCCCACATTAACGTCCTGTTTAGTTCGTTGGGTGTTTGAACGTTTTAAAAATCGCCAGGTCCATCGCCAACGACACCAGCGTTCAGACCCTGTTCATGTGTGTTCATTTAAATGCATTTTGTTTCAACTAAACCATTTTGCATTGGTCATCGTTTGGCTTGGTAATTTATTAGGAGGGTGGTATCGTCGGCAAGGTCGTTAATGTGTATGATAAAGAGAATGGGTCCCAGCACTGAACCCTGTGGTACTTTATAGGCAAAACTTCCTTACATCCTCTGCCCTTCCCGCATTAACGTCCTGTTTAGTTCGTTGGGTGTTTGAACGTTTTAAAAATCGCCAGGTCCATCGCCAACGACACCAGCGTTCAGACCCTGTTCATGTGTGTTCATTTAAATGCATTTTGTTTCAACTAAACCATTTTGCATTGGTCATCGTTTGGCTTGGTAATTCACTTGCCATTTATTAGGAGGGTGGTATCGTCTGCAAGGTCGTTTATGTGTATGATAAAGAGAACGGGTCCCAGCACTGACCCCTGTGGTACTTCATAGGCAAAACTTCCTTACATCCTCTGCCCTTCCCACATTAACGTCCTGTTTAGTTCGTTGGGTGTTTGAACGTTTTAAAAATCGCCAGGTCCATCGCCAACGACACCAGCGTTCAGACGCTGTTCATGAACATAACGGCGATGCATTCGCGCCTTCTGCGCCACATCCAGTCGCACGACGACAGCCGCATGCACTACGAACGGCTGCAGGACAAGCTGACGCGGGTCAAGGAGGCGCGCGAGGCGCTGGACGCGCTGCGCGACGAGCACCGCGACAAGATGCGCCGCGAGGCCGAGGAGGCCGAACGCCAGCGGCAGCTGCAGATGGCGCACAAGCTCGACATCATGCGCAAGAAGAAGCAGGAGTACCTGCAGTACCAGCGCCGGCTGGCGCTGCAGCGCATCCAGGAGCAGGAGCGCGAGATGCACATGCGGCAGGAGCAGCAGAAGCAGCAGTACCTGAACCAGTACGCGGTCGGACGTGAGTATTACACTTCTCTCGGTCTCCAAGTCGACTTTATTTTATTGTTTCGACTTTTACTTGATGAAACTCCAAGTTACTAATGTACAACTAGATAAAAAACAAACACTGTTTTTTGAGTTACACGAATTTATTTTAATTTAATTTGACAATTGATTTCTCAAGAAGCTACTATGTTAGCGAAACAATTGTCAAATTAAGTTAAAATAAATCCGTGAAACCCAAAAAACAGTGTTTGTTTTTTATCTAGTTGTAGGTAATGTACATTAGTATCTAGAATCTAGTTTAAGGTAACTGAATCTGTATCTAGTTACAAATTTTGTAACTGTTACTAGATATAGTTGTCGCTGCGAATTTTTCAAATTGCGTCATCAACTTCTGAACCAAGCACAGACATTGCAATTATTGTTGTTTTATTTTACGTATATAATTCAAAGAACCGCTAAATTTAAAAGGAAACGGCGTACACGTCATCAATCAGCTGATCGGGCACGGTTGTCAATGTGATGCTAAAATCATTGCATCAAGTGCAAGTGGTAGTGCAACTACAGGGCGATAGATGGCGTTACCATAGGGTCCCTAGATTTGGGACCTTAGAATACCAAAACGTCAAAAGTCAGAATTTTATAACCTACATGATGCACCGCCAAAAGTATGTTTTTAGCCATTTTTAAAGACATTTTCAGCTATAAAACCCAAAAATGTTGCCATCTAAAGTCAGTCTCTGGTATATATATTATTATTTTATGAATCCAACATATATTTTGTTAAATATTCTAATATATAATTAATAATAATCTCTTAGAGCTGATAAAGGTAACAAAGGTTCATTATTATCCCGTTCTGCCTCAAAATAGCATATTAAGGATGATACCAACTCTTGACTCCGACTATTTAAATGCTTCGGCATTTTAAACATAGGAAAAACAAAAAAAACGACATATAACAAACACAAAAACGGCAATGAAAACTTAAACGATATAAAATAACACAAACAACCAACAAAATAAACAAAATTATACACGAATTAAACGAAATATTCAAAAACATAACTGACAGCTTCGAAATTCTAAAACGTCAATTTATTTTTCTATGCGTCATTTTATTAAGCAAAATTTTAATCTAAACATGACAACATTGCAATTGCTGCGAACTAAAGTTGTTTAAAATGCATTAAAATATTCATTTACAGACTTTGTTTTATACATTTAGTATTGTTAGCAGTGCGCCAAATTATGACGTCATTGATGACGTGTACGTCGTTTCCTTTTAAATTTACTGTAACTGTTACAACGCTGGGCAAATGAATTGGTAAAAAAATACATCTAATCCATTTTCTTAGCGTACATGGGGTCGCCGGTGCACAACCAGCAGCAATACCCGGTCGGGCCGCAAGGTATGCCGCCTGTCGGCGTGAACTACTACCAAGGCTATCAGCCGCAGATGTTGCCAAACGTACCGCAAGGTCAGCCCCACCCCGGCATGCAGCAGCACGCCCCTGTTCCCCTGCCATCGCAGCCGATGCCCAACATGGCTCACCCGCAAAACTTCCAGGGTGCGCAGCCGCCGCCGCCGGGGCAGTTTATGGCGCCACCTGGCGGAGTTCCGCCGCAAAACGTTGCGGGGGGCGGTAACCCCCCTCCGCCGCCGCCGCAGCAGCAGTTTTCCCCTCCCGCTCAGCAGCAGGATGGGGGGAAGCAGGAGGACGCGAAGACTGGCGAGTTGATCAGTTTTGATTAATTATTGATTATTGGATTATTATTATTATCTATAGAAATTTAAATATATGCTTAATATTTTATATTTATCAGTGTAATACTTTATTTTATTAACGTCTTAAAAATACATGCTGTTTAAAATTTACTGTTTTTTATTGATTGTCAAAAATCTTGCAATGAAATTTACATTTTTTAAAGATGTTATAATTTCAGGACCAAAGAAAAAAATAAAATAAAAAACAATGATTTTGCCATTTTAGGAGCAAAAACAAAATTATAACTAAAAGTAAAAAAAGACTACAAAAATGGACAAAAAAAGGAAAGTGAAAAAGTCAAAACAAAAAGTCACACTCAATTTTTTTTATGGAAGCGTTTTTAAAATTGAATTTTCAATTGATTTTTTTTTCAATTTTCGGAGGTTTTTCAAGATTTTATCATTTCAGGACCAAAGAAAAAAAATAAAAAACTAAAAAACAATGATTTTGCCATTTTAGGAGCAAAAACAAAATTATAACTAAAAGTAAAAAAAGCCTACAAAAATGAACAAAAAAAAGGAAAGTGAACAAGTCAAAACAAAAAGTCACACTCAATTTTTTTTATGGAGCGTTTTTAAAATATGAATTTTCAATTGTTTTTTTTTTCAATTTTCGGAGGTGTTTTTGCGTTTTTGAGTAGGTATATCTTAAAATCTAATTGATCTATTTGGTCAAACAAGCCCTTAAATTGAAGGTACTTGAGCCCTCTAAAACTTTCTTTTGCATACTTTGGATATCGGATAAGTATTTTGACGCTAGCTATTTTAAAAACGTTTTTATGGCAAAATTTACATATCGTCCTGGGAAGGGGTTAAATAAAAATCAATGTTCAAAATCAAATTTTATATAATTCAATAAAATAAAGAAAAAACGTAAAAATTCTCGAAAAACTGAATTTTGCTCTTCCACTGAAAAATTCATAATTTCGCCATTTATCCATGAATTTTTATCAACAGCAGCTATTTTTTTTCCTTTAAGTATAATCTATACGTAAAATAGTTTTGGTATCGGCTCAGTATATATACAAAAGAAAGTTATAGAGGGCTCAATTACCTTTGATTTAAGTGCTTGTTTGGTCAAATCCATCAATTAGAACTCGAAGTATACTCTAAAACGTCAAAACAAGACAATTAAAAAATTCATATCTCGAAAGCGCTTCCATGAAAAAAAATGTAAGAGACATGGTGGGCAAAATGGCTGTAAACTAGTGTAGGTAATTAAATTATTTTCAAAAAGAAATAAATTAAATCTGACATCTGTCAAAAGGTTAATTAACCTCACTTTTTATCAATTTTAAATGTTATCATGGTTGCCTTCTTCAAATTTAAAACTGGATTGGTTCAAATCTCAGTGAATATTGAAATGGGCCAATCACTGATGCCTAACAACGTGAATAATGAGATAATTATTCCCGTTACTAAGCAGGGCATTTATAGTTTATCTTATCTTTATTTTTTCCTATAAGTAGATAATTAAATTATATTTATAATAATTCAGTTTAAATTTAATTTTATTTTGGAAACACACAGTAAATGATCATAAAAAGAACAAGAACCTATAATACAACTTTCACTCAAATTAAAGTCCACATCTATTCGGTCTTGTGGTAAGTAACACCAATCAGCACCGTAAGCAATGTTTTTATGTTCATAAAAACTATCCACAATTTCTAAATTTTCAATATTCTCAGCGTTTATCACATGTACCCCACCCAACATACATGCAGATAATAAATTGTTTTGAGTAAATGGGTCCCATTTCACCCTCCAAACAGGTCCAGGCATTTTTATGGAAGATGTACACTGCTTTATGTTTCTTATGTCCCAAATCCTTATATTTTCGTCGTAACTACCTGTGGCAAGTATAAATTCTTTGGAGATGTTGCAGTGAATAGATGTAACCCCTGCTTCATGTGATCTATTTTTTGAAATAGGAGAATTTCCTACTCTTAAGTCGTATTTATGGAATACACAATCATCCCCACCTAAAATTATCATTGTTTGTTTTTTAAATATTAGGTATTATTTTTAAATATTACCACTAAAGAATATATTTGGATCCCAATAATAAAAAGCTGCTATCCAGGCTTCATAATCATGTGAATGGCATTTAAATAACAATTTTATTTTACTATTTATTAACTCAAACAACAAAACATCCCCTTTAGATGTAGAACACACTATCTTAACACTGTCATTAATAAACTTTCCTATGGACCAATCCAAAGACAAAAACAATGTTTCTGTAGCTTCAACTTCGGTTGAAAAACTCGTAAAAAACTCCAATTTAACACCTTCACTTTCATTTGTAGTTAATTTGTAGATTTCAAGCGTATTTTTAGCATTTACAACCCCTAGTAAAGAGTCATCACCAATTTTTTGACAACACCATTTTTGATCCAAAACTGCTGCAGTATCTATCGTCTGCAACAATTTCAACCCATCATCTTTATCCACGGAGAACAACAATATCCTCCCAACTCTCTCCTTGGGCAAATCATCTAAAAAAACACCGTTGCAGAGTCATAATATAAAACTTATGTAGGTAGGTACCATTTTTATTTTCCGCGTCTAACAGCTGGTAATTAGCACATACAAACAAATTTTGATGAGGTTCGAAGGGGCACCACTCCAGGGAATCCGCGCAGTACACAGTGTCGTAGGAATAAAGCGTTTTAAAGTTTTTAGATTCAGGCAAATCTGTCATTTTCGTATATTGTGAGGTTATGGCTGTTAAACGTCAAAACGCACGTGGGTTTTGCATGGCTGCCAATGTGACACCTAATTGATGGCGTTGTTTTGATTGTTATCGCAGGGTTTTTGTTTGTTTTATGTTGGCGGCACTTTATTTACAAATGGTGGGTTTTTGAATTGTCACAGAATTGTCGGATTTTCTTGTAATAAAAATGTCTTTGGAGTGCGGGGATTCGCAGGAAAATGAAAAAATTGTTACTGCTAAAAGAATATGTAACTCGCTGCAGAGCGAGGACAGAAAAGTCCGCAAAAATGCTTATATTGAAATGGAAAAATACCTGAGTTCAGGAAACGTTGATTTTTCTCAACAAGACTTGAAGAATATATTCATTGAGACGTATATGTACACTTTAAATGGATTGAGGGACAAAACGGAGGCTGTTAGAGAGCAGGCAATAAATTTTATTAACTTTTTAATCATTAATAAGTTACCTTTAAACGATTATTACTTAACTTACATTTTTCCTGTTATTGTGGAAAGAATAGGTTCTGTAGAGATAATAGAAGAATCAGAAGAAATAAGATTGCAATTACTACAACTATTAGATGCTATAATTGGTAAATACTCAAAGACTGAACAGTTAAAGCCCTTTTTAGGTGACAGTGTTATAATTTTGTCTGAAACTGTTAAAGACAAATATCCGGCTATCAAAGAGTTGAGTAATCAGACTATAGTGAAGTTAGCTGATGCCTTACCAAAGGATTTCCACATGCAAGCAGAAACATTGATAAAACCTGTTTTGACATGCTTTACACATCAGCGATATAAGGTTAGAGTTGAGGCTATAAAATCCATCGGCAAAATTATATTACATGCCACTTACAAGGGTTTACAAGATGTTTTGGGGCCAATGGCTGAAAGACTTTTTGACCAAATACCTTTAGTTCGAAGAACTGTAGCTCAAGTTGCAGCAGAGTGGTTATTAACTCATCGAGATAGATATTCTTATTTTGCCAAAGTATTGCCTCTATTGCTCACTGGGTTGAACGATGAAGTTGAAGAGACCAGAGTTGAGGCCCATCTGTTGTGGGACAAAGTCGGTCTGCAATTTCAACAAGAAAACACCAAGGATTTGAAGGATCAGCTGGATTATTTGACAACTATGCCTAAATATTATCCAGAGGAACATAAAAGGCCAAATCTGGGTTGTAGGACTTTGGTGCAGAGAAATGTTGGTAAGTGTCATATCTAGCTTAAATTGACATTCTTAAGACAGTTATATTCTAGTTTTAACTTGACATTCTTAAGGCAAATATTTGAGCTTAAATTAACATATTCAGCTTAAATTGTCATTTTTAAAACAGTTATAACTAGCTTAAATTGACATTCTTAAGACAGTTATACCTAGCTTAAGTTGGCATTCTTAAAGCAGCAGCTTAAATTGACAATCTTAAAACAGTTATGTCTAAGTAGCTGAAATTGACATTCTTAAGACAGTTATACCTAGCTTAAGTTGACATTCTTAAGGCAGATATTTGAGCTTAAATTGACAATCTTATAACAGTTATATCCAGCTTAAATTTACATTTTTAAACAGTTATATTCATCTGAAATTAATATTTTTAAGACAGTAATATTTTAGCTTAAATTGACATTCTTAAGACAGTTAAATTTGAGCTTAATTTGACATGCTTAAGAGAGTCTGGCTTAAGTTGACAGTCCTAAGGCAGTTATATTGTAGCTTACATTGACATTCTTAAAACAGTTATAGCTAGCTTAAATTGACATTCTTAAGACAGTTCAGTCTGGCATTGACATTCTTAATTCAGTTATATTTTAGCTTAAATTGGCATTCTTAAACCAGATACCCAGCTTAACTTGACATTTAAAAAAAGTTATACCCAGATTAAGCTGACATTCTTAAATTCTTAAATTGACATTTTTAAGACAGTTAAATGTTAGCTTAAGACAGTTAATTCTAGCTTAAATTGAAATTCTTAAGACAGTTAAGTTTGGCTTGAGTTGATATTCTTAAGGCAGTTATATTTTAGCTTAAATTAACATTCTTAAAACAGTTATATCCAGCTTAAATTGACATTTTTATAACAGTTATTCCTAGATTAAGCTGACATTCTTAATATATTTATATTTTAAATTTAATTGACATTATTAAAACAGTTATAGCTAGCTTAAACTGACATTCTTAAGGCAGTTATATTGTAGCTTAAATTGACATTCTTGAAACAGTTATAGCTAGCTTAAATTTACATTCTTAAGAGTTAAATTTTAGTTTAATTTGACATGCTTAAGCCAGAATTAACATACTGGCTAAAGTTGACATTTTTAAGGCAGTAATATTTTAGCTTAAATTTTAAGTTAAATTGTAGCTTAAATTGGCATACTTAAAACAGTTATATCCATCTGAAATTAATATTTTTAAAACAGTAATATTCTATCTTAAATTGACATTCTTAAGACAGTTAAATTTTAGCTTAATTTGACATGCTTAAGACAGTTAAGTCTGGCTTAAGTTGACAGTCCTAAGGCAGTTATATTGTATCTTACATTGACATTCTTAATACAGTTATAGCTAGCTTAAATTGACATTCTTAAGACAATTCAGTCTGGCATTGACATTCTTAATTCAGTTATATTTTAGCTTAAATTGGCATTCTTAAAACAGATATCCAGCTTAACTTGACATTTAAAAAAAAGTTATACCCAGATTAAGCTGACATTATTAAGACAGTAATATTTTAGCTTAAATTGACATTCTTAAGACAGTTAAATGTTAGCTTAAGATAGTTAATTCTAGCTTAAATTGAAATTCTTAAGACAGTTAAGTTTGGCTTGAGTTGACAGTCCTAAGGCAGTTATATTGTATTTTAGCTTAAATTGACATTTTTAAGACAATTATACCCAGATTAAGCTGGCATTCTTAAGGCAGTTATATTTTAGCTTTAATTGACATTCTTAAAACAGTTATAGCTAGCTTAAACTGACATTCTTAACGCAGTTATATTGTAGCTTAAATTGACATTCTTAAGAGTTAAATTTTAGTTTAATTTGACATGCTTAAGACAGTTAATTCTGGCTTAAGTTGACATTTTTAAGGCATTAATATTTTAGCTTAAATTGACATTCTTAAAACAGTTATAGCTATAGCTTAAATTGACAGTTATACCTAGCTTAAATTTTAGTTTAATTTGACATGCTTAAGACAGTTAATTCTGGCTTAAGTTGACATTTTTAAGGCAGTAATATTTTAGCTTAAATTGACATTCTTATATCAAATTGTAAACCTAGCTGTGCCATTAATGTCAAGGTATTTTGTTAAGGTAATATCGCCCCAGCGCTGGCCAAAGAACTGCTTAGCTGGCAAGGCGACGTGCGATTCAGATGCAGCCAGCTCCTTTGCTCCATAGCTCTGCTGGCCGAAGAGGGCCTAACGATGCATCTGCAAGAGCTACTGCCGGCCATGTACTCTGCCGCACGCGATGAAGACGCCCGCGTGGTCGAAAACATACGACTCGCCAGCGAGTTAATCGGTCTGTTTGTCCCGTACGACACCTGGTCGCAGATAGTTCTGCCCGCCGTCGAAGATGGCGCCCACTACGGCCACCTGTTGGTGCTGGCCGGCTTGATAAAGGGCACCCCCAAAGAGTACATCAAGAATTACGTCGATGACGTTTCCAAGTTGCTGGCGGAAGATTACATTTGTTTCGGCAGGAAGAAGCTGTATCAGGTCGAGTTGATGAATTGCGTGCAGCAAGTTTACCGGAAGTACGACTCGGGGTTGAGTTGGGAGCTAACCGGTTTCAACTTGTTTAAAGTTATCGTTGTTTTGATGGCGTTGGGGGATGCTGATAATCACGGTGCTATTATTGATGATTTAGCGAAACATTTAGGTGAAGAGTCGGGTCAGAACCTCTGGGATATGTTCACTCAAGACGTCTTGAAACACATAAACGTCGAACCCAAGTTGTGGACCAAAACATCGGATCATTGTTGCGTTTTCTTGACCGTCATCTCCGAATGCAATGAAGCCTTCGGAGTTAACCTCGAAATTATCGCCGACGTTCTCGAGAAAGCGTTGGATGATGAGGCCGATGGCGAGCAGAAGTTGAACACTTTGTACGTGCTATCGGAAGTGTTCGGCGATAAGAAGCTTATCTTCAAGAACGCCGAAAACTTGACGCAATTTCTCGAGAAACTTATCACGGACATTTTTGTTCCCAACCTGGTCTGGCACGCAGGCGCTACAGCGGAAGCTGTAAGAACCATGTCCGCTCAGTGTTTAAAGTACGCACTTCAACCCACTGAAGGGGTCGACTTGTTTTCCTCCTCTGATGTTTTGAAAGGGGTTTTTGAGAAGTTGCAGCCCCTTTTGTTGTCGCTTGTGGAGGACGCTTCCTACAGATCCAGACTGTTGGGTGTTGAATGTTTGGTTTTGCTGAAGGAGAATGCTTGCAGGAAGGATGTGTGGAGTGTGGAGGATTTAGGGAAGATTTATCCAGGTATGATTATTAGACTGGGCCAAAAAAAATGACTATTTTTTTTTTGAAAAAACATATCGAGAATGTCATTCAGAATGAAATTTTGAGCCCTTAATATTAATTTTAAGAGGTCTATCATCGCTATTTTTGATTTTTAGTCATAATTTGATGTTTTACGTTAGAATTGTCAAAACATTGAAGTGCATAAAATTTCCTCTCGAAATACACCCAACAACACAACAAATCGAGCCACGGTTTTTTTTTCGATATTTTTTGTAACATAAGCGTTTGACAGCTGATTATTAAAAGTTGTACTTTTGTTACGATGATAACAACCGAGTGGTGGCGCTACTAGCGATACTTCTTTAGCGTATTGTAGGTGGTTTATAAATGTTTTTTCAGAGGTTTTAAAGAGACTTGATGATCCCACTGATAAAGTGAGGGTGTGTGCCTTGCACTCCCTTCCAACTTTGCTTAGGGACGCGCCAAATAATTTCAAAGAAAATTACTACAAAGCTCACCACGAATTAATCATCGACACTCTGCTGACGCATTTTGACGACGATGATGAAAACATTCAAAATTTAGTTTACGGTAATTATTTTACGTCATCATGTTTTAATATTTTATCCATTAATGACTTTTGCAGACGTTCTCAAGGTGATGGCGGAAATCAGCAAACGAGAGTTGGTGAAGAAATTGGAAAGACACAGGAAGGTTTTGAGAAACCAGAGAGGTTGTGATAGATTGATGGAGTACACTCAAAATTTTATTTGTTTGTAGTTTTTTGCACATTGTGATATTGAATTTTTACCAATAAATGTTTTTAGTGTGTCCTGGGTTTAAATTTTAGCTTAAGACAGTTATAATTCTAGCTTAAATTGAAATTCTTAAGACAGTTAAGTCTGGCCTAAGTTGACAGTCTTAAGGCAGGTAAATTGTAGCTTAAATTGACATTCTTAAAACAGTTATACCTAGCTTAAGTTTAAAAGTTTGCTTGATATTACATTATACGCTGTGAGCTTCCCTGTTTCTTTTTTGCTTGGATGAATAATATCATTGTTTTTAGAGGTAAAAACAATGACATCCAGTTTGTTCAAAAATATATAATTTTGTTATTAGAAAACAGTAGCCCTAATGCAAAAATAATAGAGGAAAAACTTAGTACCTAGTTGGTTTCTTAGTTACGCTTTTCGCTTTTGACAATGGCAGTGACAGTCCTATATGCAGTGTTATTTAAAATATAAAAATAATTTGTGAAAAGAATTTAAGTCCTAACATAACTTAATACAATTGAGTTTTTTTATAATAATTTACTTAAGACCACTCTAAATAACAGTGTTAAATAACTAGTGTTCTTGAATTTACTTCAAAAACGAAATTATAGTAGCCACCAAATATACAAAGTTATTTTTTTTATCTGTACTGCGGCAACGTTGCAAATTTAGAGGTTTGGTTGGTAAATACGGAACCAAAATTGGTTGCCTTGATTAAAACAAACTAAACTAGTAATAAATGTAATTATAATTCGTAGTTAAAAATGCAATTAATTTGGCTTTAGTGGTGCGTAGATAAGTAAAATCATATAAAAAAGTAGTTAAATATAGGTGACTACGGCCCAGGAGAGACAAAGTATTCATAGCGCTTTGAAAAGAATTTATATAAAATAAATTAAAATTTTATGTGAACACACGTGAATGTTGTCCAATCATTGGACTCCAATGGTGAATGGGTATTTTGTTAAAGCCACTGAACGTTAATACTACTAATTGAAAGAAGAAAAAGTGATTATTGCTTATCTTTTTCAAGCCAAATGGATGATACTTTTAAAGACTGGAAAATTAACTACTAGATTTTTCAGCAAATATTTTTTATTTTCTCATTTTTTTTAAATTTCAAAATTTTTTGATCTGCTTGGCTGAAAATAATGCCTGATTTAATATTTGTAAAACTAAAAACGTTACTTTTTCCGCCATTGAGGCAAAACTTCAATGAAATGAAGTTTTGCCCTTAAAGTTCTTTTACCTTAGAATCAGATATTATTTTTGGCATTGTTATCTTTTTAAATTGATATGTAATAATTAACAAGTAAATTTTAAATAATTTTTTTATGTAAATTATGTCTTTTACTTACCTACATCAATTAGGTCAAATATGATCAAACACAGTCCTGTTTTAGAACCGCGTGTCACACCTTTGTTTCTGAAGTCTTACCTGATAAAAATAACTTTAAGGTAGCTAATAATAAAAGAGGAAGGTTCTTTTAAACTTTTTATTGGTCAATACCATAAAACAAGTACGTAATGGAAAACCTAAGTGCTTGCAGCAGCAGGCGCGGCCTTCTCTTCCTCCTTGACGCGGTCCTTCTTGAGGGGACCCATGAACGCGACCTTGTCGGCTTGCGTTTGGAACCTACCGTGACCAAACTTGGAGGAGGTGTCGATAAACTTGAGGTTGATCTTCTCCAAGGCGACACGTTTTGTGTGCACCAACAGAGACTTCCTCAAGGTGATGACGCGCTTCTTGGGCCCCATGCAGCAACCCTTGATCATGACGAAGTCGTTGTTGACTTCTCCGTAATGAGGGAAGCCACCCATGGGGGTGATGGTCTTCTCAGACAAATCGTACTCTGTGGAAGCGTTGTTTTTGATGACCTAAAGATTTACCGCGTTAATAATCGAAACAAGTTCGGTGGATGGGTGTTTTGGATGGGCACAATCAGTCCTATCATTCAAGATCACGTTGTTATTCATAATCCTTTTGGCTCTAGGATGTTTCATCACGAAAGTGTCGGGGAAGCAAGGGAGAGGTTGTGTTACGGTAAAACTTACTTTGCCATCCTTGGTGTGTACTCCGGCACCGATCCTGTAGATTTTTTTGTTCATTTCGGTACGGTGGTGGTATCCTTTTTGACCGGCACGGGCCACAGTGAAGGACACACGGGAAGGATGCCAAGCTCCGATACAAGCGACTTTACGAAGACCCTTGTGTGTCTTACGCGGCAATTTCTTCGTGTGCCAACGGGAAGTCACACCTGCAAGAGTCGCATCGTTAAAAAACGTCAGGATAAAAACAACGCTACCGTTTAGGTTGTTTTCATCAGTAGGAAGGCAGCATGGTGTGTTTCCTCAAAGTAATTTCAGAAGCACATTCCATGTTTTATCATCACAAAAATTACTCGAGGCGGACTTTTATACCGATAGATATCGTACCTTTGTAACCTTTACCCTTGGTAACACCAATGCAATCGATCATCTCGTCTTGCCCGAATACCTCAGCGATCGGGATGGTTTTTTCCAAATGGTCGCGAGCCCATTGGACTTTGTCGGCGACTGAACCGCCGTTCAACTGGATCTCCATGATGTGGGCCTTCTTTTGACGTTGTTTCAACAACTTCATCTAAAATAATCATCAAAAAATGTCATTTTGATGATTACACAACCTTTTTCACTATGCAAGGTGTCAGTTTGTTAGGTTGGGTTCAGAGCTGGGAAAGTTACTTCTGAAAAGTATCTAGTTACTTTTCTAAGATACTTTAAACAAAATAACTTAGTTACCTCTGGTAAAAGTATCTTCAGTTACAAGATACTTTAAAAAGTATCTAAGTTAATTTTGAGTAACTAAGATACTTTTAAGTAACTAAGATTCTTTTGAGTAACAAATTTACTTTTAAATTTAAATAAAAACTATAAAATTATAAAAATTCAACAAGTTGTAGGTTAGGTAATTACTTTGAAACATTCTGGAATTCCCCCAATTTTCTCTAAGAAAGTATCTAAGTTACACTGAAAAGTATCTAAGTTACTTTAAAAAGTATCTTATTACTTTAAGTTACTTTTAAGTATTTTTTTTTGATACTCCCAGCTCTGGTTAGGTTGTACCACAATCCACACAACAAGGTCTATTTTATATTGTACTAAAAATACTAAAAAATCACTGCAACACTGCACAGAACCTAACGGCGGCCATTTTTATTGTTCTGTTTATACAGATTAATAATCGTTTTAAACCTTGTGATGCTGACATCAGCGTCAAATGAGACCTTTAAATGCCAAGGACAACCATTTTACTTCTATTTTGTAAAAAATAAACCTTGTTTTATCGGTGCTGTCAAATGTCAATTTGTGGGTAATAAATGAACCTTAAAATTGACATTTGACGACAGCCTTGATAGAATGAAGTTTCTTTTACAAAAGAGGAGTAAAATGGTTGCCCTTGGCACTCATTTGAGGCTTACAAGTGCCTCTGTAAAAAAAAACAACGTTAACAACAATTATTAATCTGTATAAACAGCACAAACCCAAAGCACAAGAATTGTTAACATCATTAGATTCTGTGAAGTGATCTTTAGTATGAGCGAAACGAGATAGAACAGACTTTGTTGTGCAGATTGTGGGTTGTACAAGGCATGGTTTATCAAAGTGTCAAAGTCCAGGGACTACACAGTGAATATGGAATATGCCTGGTGCGCCTCCCGAAGGGCGCATCATCTACGACACTACAGCCAAAGACGCATTTAAAGACGTCTCCTTTACCGACAGCCGGAGGGTAAGCTCCTGAACTGACCGTGTCGAAGTAGAAAGTCCATGTTGGATACAACTGTTATGGCAAAAAGTTGCCAGCACTCATGTCCTATACTGTACTCGTAATATAATTATTATAAGTACAGTACCTGACAATAGTTTTTTTAACCTTTGAAACACTATTGTCCATGACTGTATGCTACTTTTTGTTATATCAGTTGTAGACCAAAGTGGAGACACAAAGTAACATTTATGACAATTTGGGGCGCGAAAATGGACTAACCTGAGTGTGGGCAACGATTCTGACGACCTTGCAGTACTTGATGATTTTTTTGAAGTCGCGTTCGATGGATTTTTTGCCCAAATCGTCTGACCACTTCTTGCTAGACTTGGTGAAAGCCTTCTTCTTGCATTTACCCCTGTTAAATGTAACGTTTAGATTGTGTTTTTTTTCGGACACCACGCCACTCCTGTAAATCTGCAAGAACAGAGGAATCGCCTCGTGTAAAACAGAGGAGGCTTTTAAACCTCTTATCGCACGTCAACTTGTAAACCCTTTATTTTAAATTAGGGTGGTTTCAGTGGATAGTTCTTAAATCCTCATCCAGCGAGTGGAGGACTGACGCAGACAATTAGTAAAGTTTACACAGTAAAATACACAACACGCAAGCCAGAAATGAAATACATCTACACAACACAAGAAATAATAATAATTTAGCAGTTCCACACGTCTTTTCAAAGTATGGTAAAGCATGTTTATTATATAGAGGTGTTAATATATATAACAGCTTACCAGAAGATATAAAAACAAAATCGACAAGACATATAAAAGAGTATTTCAATCCTTGATAAGAGGCTAACCTGCGTGTCTTCTTCTTGAGTATTGAATTTGAAAAAAAAAAAAGTTTAGTAAATATGTAAATTGTAAATTAATGTATAAAGTATGTTTGTATATTGTATATTTGTAAGACTATAATTATCTTATAAGATAATGTTGCTTTATCACTGTGATAGATATACTTATTGTAATTATTATATGTTTAGAGTTTGTCCCTCTATAAACAATCTATGTTTCTTGGGATCAATAAAGTATTTATTATTATTATTATTATTATTTATTGTTTTGAGTACTCACCAGTTCTTGTAGAAACGTCTACGGCAATCTTCGGACAAGTGCTCGGCCCAGACGGTGGCCAAAGCACGGAGACCGTGTGGGGTTTCGATGTAGCCTACCACACCAACCACAACCATCGGTGGGGTCTCCAAAATGGTCACTGCTTCCACAATCTCCTTCTTGTTGATCTCTGAAGAGAAAAAACACCATTTTTACTTTGAATTAGCACTTCATCATCCACCACTTATATAATACAACACGTGCAGCAACAGCGGCGAGATGATGGCAAATTCAACTTACTTGATCCAGGACGATCAGCCTCTCTGAGAACGTGGGTCATACCAGCTTTGTAACCAATGAATGAGGTTAAATGGACTGGTTTTGATGGGTCATCTTTGGGGAAGGCCTTTACCTTACCGCGGTGCCTCTGGGACCTTTTTTTGGGGTAGAATCCCATAGACCCATGACGGGGTGCACTGAACTTACGATGAGACTACGAAAACACACAATTATTAATGATACCCTCAACAAAACACGAAATATCGTTATATTTTCGGAATCAGACCGCCCTAGAATAATATCTACATGGTTTGTTCAGTTAAAAACCATAAACAATAGAATCTAAATCATCATGTTAACTTTAATTTTCCAATATTTACCATAAAAACGTTTAATCACAAAAAATACTTCACACTTTATATTAAAGATAGTAAACACTATAAAATTACGGCGAAATATAAGCAAAATATTAAACGATTCCAAAAATAAACGAGGAAAAAACTTCACATGTACTCACCATCCTGTCTTCAAAATGCAAATGGCAGAGGAACGTCTGTCATTTGCAGAAGTAAACTTTTCCGCCGCTGAGGGCGCCACATCGTAAATGGCGCGAAACTTAAAATTTACAATAATTAAACAATCAATTACCCGCATTTAAAACCACAACGTTAAATAATCTCGCACACATATACATAAAATGTTAATATTTTTTAATATTTTTCAGTAATAAAAGTTATTTTAAGTAAAACATGCCGGCATTCTTACAACGTGGCAACACTGGGCCAGCTGTCACACCGGCGATTTTTATTGGTTAAATCTTGCCGCTATTTTCCTTTCGTCGTTTTATTTCTTTGAATCCTTCAAAACGGTCGTATTTCGGTTTTAAGACCTTAAGTGATACTTACCAGTTAATTTCAACAACTAATCTACAAGAAACCACGATATAAGGTAAGGTTTTGTCGTTATTAAAAGTAGGGTTATGTATATTGACTAATAATTTTATTTTGCAAAATATATACATTAAGCTCGATAGCAAAAGGCGTTATAAGCACTTTATTATTATTATTAACAAATGTAAATTCAACGTACAAATATAGATTCAGGCATTTTAAAAGGCTTTTGTATACTACACATTTATTGCTCCCCCGACACAATAGAATTCAAATTATTATCAGCTTTTTAATTTTTAGTCTAAAAATTAGTTGTTAGTCCAAGCTTGAATGTTTTTAAAGCAATTCGAAGCTAAAATGGACATGGACGGCATAGCTTTTTAGTTTTTTGCTGTTTACTGCTATATTTTATAGCTAAGGGTTTAAAATTATGGAAAATATCAGTGGCTTAGGCTTTAACAAAAATCATATATGTACATGTATGTTACAGAGAATTATAGTAAAAGTAATATTAATAAATGCACTATTTGAGTAGGTATGTCAGCCTTGTTTGGGTAATATTCAAACCGAAAACTACATTTTGTTGAATTAAAAAAATTTAACCTAATAAATAAACATTTATAAACAAATTATACAGTTTGTGCTATAATGACTGTTTTTAAAAAAAGCGATATCTTTCTTTTAATGCAGTCTATGAAGCTTGCCATTTTTCTACATTCTCCACAGAATTTAAAATAATTTAAAAAATATATTTTTTAATTTCGCGTTTTTGAGACCCAAAACCTAAACTTTTTATAATAGGTTAAAAAGTTTAAAAGCAAATTTGCATTTTATTCAATTCCCTACAAATTCGTTTTAAACAATTTTTTTATATCTTTATTAGTTAAAAAGTTATATGCTCCTCAATTTTTTTCGGGGTTAAATCTTTTTTGGATACTACCATTTGCATTTTTCGTCCTAGAGCATCGACCCAATGACATAAAGTGTGGGGGACGATGGCCCCACATATTTTGTTCACAATTTTTTTTCTAAAACTCACCGTTTTTGAGGAAAATGCCAAAAACAAATGTTATATTTTTTCGTTACATGGAGAAAAAACAATATCGCTTTTTTTTAAACAACACATAGGGTACATATTAGACTGAGCCAAAAATCTCAACTATTTATTTTTTTGAAAAGTATATCGAAAATATGGTTTGGGGTGACAAAAAAAATTATTGTGAAAGTTTGAGTCCATAATATTAATATCAAGAGGTCTATCATTGCAATTTTTTTTTTTTCCTCAGCAAGTTTTTGTCTCAGAACTCCCAAACTATTGAGTTTAACAAAATTGACTCAGAAATATTTTTTTAAGAAAATTAAATCCTCTCCAAAAAAGGTTAAAATGAAATTTTCCGTCAGATGAACCCTTAAAAATTGGTATAGTTTTACATTTTGATCTTTTAACTTTGGAACTTATGTAAAAATCAGTACCCAGAAAAAAACCAAAGAATATTCTTATGGGAAATCAAATGCTTTACAAAAAAAGTCTCTTAACATTTTTGGCTAAATTTACTGAATCAAAAGTTATTCAAGGTTAAAGTTGAAGTCCAAACGAAAATCTTGTTTTTTCCTCTGTAGATTTATTTTGTTATGGGTGATAATTTGATTTTTTTCTTTATAAATGTGTATTATATAACTAATTAACAATTTCCAATAAAAAAACAACTTGATTGTTATTATTTAAACGATTAAATAGGAAACAGTGAAAATATTATTTTCTGAAGAAAATAGCTTCTTAAAGCGAAAAAACTCTTGTGTTATTTTTTTTTAATTTTTAGTAATTTTATCAATAACATAAAGATTATCATCGATAAAAGAATTCAAGTTTTTAACTGACCAAAAAAAAAATCTAGAGCGGAAAAAACAAGAACTTCGTTTTCACTTCAAATTTAACCTTGAATAACTTATGATGAAGTGAATTTAGCCAAAAATGTTAGGAGACTTTTTTTGTAGAGCATTTGATTTCCCATAAGAATATCTATTGGTTTTTTTTCCGGGTAGGTACTGATTTTTACATGAATTACAAAATTCCAAAGTTAATAAAATATCAAATTGTAAAACTATACCAATTTTTAAGGCATGATTGTAAGAAAACGGTTCATCTGACGGGAAATTCCAATCCGACCTTTTTTGTAGAACATTCAGTTTTCTTCAAAAAATATTCTTAAGTCAATTTTGTTAAACTCAATGGTTTGGGAGTTCTAAGACAAAACTTTCTTAGGAAAAAAAATCTAAAATTGCTATAGACCTCTTAATATTAATATTATGGACTCAAAGTTTCACCCCAAACAATTTTCGATATACTTTACAAAAAAAAATATTCGATTTTTTGGCCCAGTCTAGTACTATGCTTCACACCTCAAAGTCCCACCACGTGACCACGTACGGAACGCAGTCTTTTGAAAATTTGGCATTTAAGGCTTTTCAGGTTATGTATCTGTCAAAGTATAGTCAATGAAAGAAATATTATTTATAGTGTTACCGCTTAAAAGTTAATAAATCTTTTAGTATCACAATAACAATGGTTGGTTTAAGAATTTTGGAATATAAATACTGCATTTAATGAAATTCCAAAGTGTAAGGTGCAATATAAGTGATATTTTTGTGCATTGGGTCTACATTTCTCCATAAAATAGTTTTAACTAAACAGCATTTATTAAAAAAACTTCTCTATTATGAAATAAGAATATCTGTATAAAAGGTAGGTTAATGTATTAGAACAAAAAATATCATCTAATTTTGTATTTTAAGGTTAGAAAAATCTATTTTGACCAAAATAAATAAGTGGATTATTTGAAAGTGTCATAAATAAATATAGGTATACTAAATAATTGTTGAATACAGTTCAAATTAAATTGAAGCTTTTATACTTCTAACTTGTGCATACCTCTTGGCATACTTAATTTAAGTTAGATTATAAGAAAACAAACAATTTTTAGAGAAACTTGCAATGTGGAAATATTTAATACTCCCATGACATGTGATTTATTAAAATTTTTAAAGATATAATGATTTTTTGATGTAGATCAAATTCAGTCGAAGCTTTTTAACTATTTGTATTGACAAAACTTTATGTAGGTACACTTTAAGCTGGATAAGAAAAACTACCACATTTTTAAATAGGTACCATATTATACAGTCTTTTAAATAATCCAAATTACTTATTTATTTTGGTCAAAATAAATTTTTCTAACCTTAAAATTACAAAATTAGATGATATTTTTGCTATAATATATTAACCTACCTTTAATACAGATATTCTTATTCCATAATAGAGAAGCTAGATTTTTTGAAATAAATGCTGTTTAGTTAAAATTATTTTATGGAGAAAACCAGATATTTGGACCAAATGCACAAAAATATTACTTATTTGGCACCATACACTTTAGAATTTCATTAAATGCAGTATTTATAAATATAATATATATTATATATATTCTTAAATTCTTAAACCATCCATTGTTATTGTAATGTTATAAAGATTTATACATTTTTAACGCCTAAACATAATATTATTTCTTTCGTTGACTATACTTTGACAGATACATAACCTGAAAATCCTTGAATGCCAAATTTTCAAAAGACTGCGTTCCGTACGTGGTCACGTGGTGGGACTTTGAGGTGTAGAGCATGGTACATATACATATAAACGCTTCAGTTGATCATGCTGGAAATGGGGTTGAACCTCATAATCTTCGACAGCAGTATCCACAGCACTGACGTCATCACGCACAGCATAACCCCGCCCCATCCGAGGTCCAAGGACCACGATGTCGTGAATATACGCGCCGGTAGTAGATCGTGGACCCCCCGGCCCCCCGTGGGGCTCACCACCCCGTCCACCGTACCGTCGGTTTCTTCGACGTGCGGTCGGTTGTGGAGCCGCTTGAAGTGGATGATGGTCAGGGTGAAGAGGGCGAAAGATGCTGCACAAAAAACAAAACATGCATATATAGTTTAACGTAATAGCACAATTCACACAACAAGGTCTGTTCTATCTCGTACTAAAAATACAAAAAATCACTGCAACACTGCGCAGTTTAACGGCGGCCATTTTTGTTGTTTACAATTTTTGTGCTTTGGGTTTGTGCTCTGTTTATACAAATTAATAATCGTTTTAAACGTTGTGTAAGCCTTAAAAGAGTCCTTAAAGTGCTAAGAACAACCATTTTACTCCTCTATTGTAAAAAATAAACTTTATTCTATCAGGGCTGTCATAAAACTGTGAAATGTCAATTTTAAGGTTAAATTATAACCCACAAATTAACCTTCAAATTGTCATTTGACAGCCCTGATAGAATAAGGTATATTTATTATAAAAGAGGAGTAAAATGGTTGTCCTTAGCACTTAAAGGCCTTATTTGAGGCTTACAAGTGCCTCTGTAAGAAACCCAACGTTTAAGCAGCACAGACCCAAAGCACAAGAATTGTAAACAACAAAAATGGCCGCCGTTAAACTCTGTGCAGTGTTGCAGTGATTTTTAGTATTTTTAGCATGAGATAGAACAGACCTTGTTGTGTGGATTGTGCGTAATGGTAGACTTGGATTTACCGGCTAACAAGTACATGACTCCAGTCACCAAGACGGCGCTGATTTGGTGCTGAAAAACGCCAAAGGCTCCGACCAGTGCTGCGCTTCCCAATATTATTAGACAAACAAGGGCGCAAGATATCGACAGGTTCTGCATTCCTGCAAAAACGTTTCTACAAAACATGCTCGACAATAAGTCGAACTCGCTTTTATTGTGTTATGTCTTAGTGTTCAGAGCCTCAGCCTCCTTTAAGAAACGAATTTTGCTTAAAAAAAATATGTTAAAACTTATAACTAGTACATTTAATCTTTACCCAAAGCGACAAAATATCCATTAAAGATTTTCACCCAAGATAAAACCTTAAATGTAAATCTACCCTGCCAAGGCCCTGTTACAATATGTTTTTTACCTAAATTCGTAAGAGTGCAATTAGTGATATCACACATGGTAGAAAAACGTGTAAGGTACTGTGTAAGCTGTTGAGAATGTTAAAATCACCCTGTGAAATGTCAAACACACCTAATAGTGTCAAAATCATAATTTATAATGTCAAAAACATTTAATAATGTCAAATTTATCTGGCAATGATATTTGTGAATGTCAAAAAGTTAAAACCTTAGTTTAGGGCCACAAGAATGTCAAAATCAAATTTAAGAAAAATTTACTTAAAAAGGTCAAAACACAATTTATAATAGCATACACATTTTAAAAGATCACAAGAACCTCAAACTTACCTAATAAAGTTAAAATCATAATTTATTTTCTCACAAAATACAGTTTCATACATGTTTAGAGTGTCAAAATCATAATTTAAACGTGTAAGATATTGCGTTGAGAATGTTATCACCATTTAAGAATGTCAAATCACTATTTAGCAGAAAGCCTTATAGCCTTGTGGAATGTCAAACATACCCAATAATGTCAAAATCATAATTAAGAATGTCAAATTTAACTGAGAATGATATTTAAGAATGTCAAAACATAACTTGAACGTCAACACCTTATTTTATTTAAGTCCACATAATGTCAAACTCACAATTTTAAATGTCAAACGCAAATTTAAGAATGAAAATTTACTCGAGAATGTCAAACCACAATTTATAATGTCTAACAAATTATTAAAGATCACAAGAACCTTGAACTTCCCCAATAAAGTTCAAATCATAATTTATATTGTCAAAATCATAATAAAGTCAAAAATACATTTAAGAAACACATATTTTGAATGCATGCTTTGGAATAACAAACCTGCCTTAAAAATGTCAAAATTTCAATTTAGATTGTTCAAATCCTATTAAGAAAAGTAAAATTCACTTGAGAATGATAAAACTATAATTGGAAATGTCAAAACACATTCCAACATATTTTAAAGGGCCTCAAGAATGTCGAAATCTCAAAATTTCCATTTATATTGTCAAATTCATATTAAGAATGTAAAATTTACGTAAGAATAATAAAACCATGTTTAAGAATGTCAAAATACAACTTATACTGTTAAAAACTCATTTTAGGGTTATGTCAAACTCACAATTTCGAATATGAAAAGCAAATATAAGAATTACAAATTAACTTAAGAATTATAAAAACATATTTAAAAAGTGCGCACTCACATTAGAATGTCAAAATCGCAATTTATATTGTCAAATATACATTTAAAAAAAGCCAAAACCCATTTAAAATATATTTTAGAATGTCAAAATCATAATAAAGTCAAAAACATATTTTAGAAACATATTTTTGTATGCATGTTTTATAATGTTTTAAAAATGTCAAAATCACAATTTGACTTATTTGTTAATATATTTGTCTGTTAGTGTACAAATTCTGCATTGCATATATTAAGAATATTAGCATGCATTTTATGTAGTGGACTTGTGCACATATATTAGATTATCAATATTGATATGAGTGTTGTGTAGGAATATTTTATCCACAATTTGAAACACTGTAAATTCGTGAAAGCTTGTGTATTATGTTTTTTATAAACAATAAATTATTCATTGCTCTCTATTAATATTTAAGTAGGTACCTAAAGTCAAAATGAAAAAGATATAAATCTACTTACTGTTGTTCATCACAGAGTTCGTACCTGAATGAAATTGAATTTAAAAAAGAAAAACTATTTTTGTGCTGCATCAATCTAGAGTTACCTAGCCTTTACATTAAAAAAAGTGCACTAAATAAAGTGATTCAGTTGGGTTTATATTCGTTACAGATCGCCAAACAGCGGCGAGATTTCTTCGAGTAATGACGAGATAACATTCGATACAGCTCACCGTTGTTTAGTGATTTGCCATGAATATAAAAGCAGGCATTTGCTGACCAATCGTATCGATCGGTTTTGTGGGTAGGTAGTCAATTTAAATTCCGGATAAGCGTCCAATAAAGTTGTCGAGAATCATTTGTTTAAGTTTACCGCAATCGAAATGACGAGAGCTTTTTGAAATAAATTACTTTAGCAGACAGTTTCTTTTTGTAATTTATCACGACAATTTTTCGGGTGTGTAATAACTATATATGTAAAAATCTCGTTTAGATATAAATCTAACGTATTATATACATTTTGACATGCAAATAACTAGGTACTTTACGAAGTAAAAAACTATTTTTTTTAATAATAAAAAATTCTAGATAAAAAATGTCAAATAAATAGACTTACTGTGTTGCCAATCAGCTCTAGGTTCGTAACCTCTAACACCATCTATCCCTCCTGATAGATAATTTACGCAGGGCTGTACTGAGGGGAAGCCCACCCGGCCCAATAGATTTATTTCTTCTTCTAAAAATATACACAAGTTTTTGTAATTATTAATCCCGGAGCATTCGCCATTATTGTAAGTTTTTGTATTTGGGACATTTTATCACTGTATTTTCATTTTTGGTGTAAACAGCTTTTGACATTGTTTTGTATATTTAGGTTCGTGACCTATGACAACTGACGACCTGTTCTTGTCATGCAAAATGCAAATAAACCAAAACAAAGCAGAAAATAAATTGGAATTTTATTCAAGTGTTTTACATTTTGCCGTATAACTTAACGATTAAAAGCCAGATTTTAGTTTTTTAATTGTAATAAGAGTATTTAAAAAATATATACTTATACAGGGTGTTATCTAATTAGTGTAATATATTTACATGGGTAGTTCCTAAGAAGCACCTGAAACTTTGTTTTCTAAATTCTAAAGAATAAAAATTTGATTATGTCATTTTTGTAATGAAGGTAAATTCAAACAAAATCTGGCAACTTTTTTGACAGATTCTAGTGCTTTTCTTTCAAATTTTAGGTTATGTCCTCAAATTGTAAATATATTTACTAATCATTGCTTAAGCTAATAAGCTGGACGAGTAAATAAATACAGAAAGTCAAAAATACATTTAAGAAGCACATATTTTTGAATGCATGCTTTGGAATAACAAACCTGCCTTAAAAGTGTCAAAATTTCAATTTATATTGTTCAAATACTATTAAGAAAAGTAAAATTCACTTGAGAATGATAAAACCATAGTTGAAAATGTCAAAACACATTCCAAATTGTCAAACATATTTTAAAGGTCCTCAAGAATGTCAAAATCTCAAAATTTCCATTTAGATTGTCAAAGTCATATTTAGAATGTAACATTTACTTGAGAATGATTAAACCATATTTAGAAATGTCAAAACCCCATTTTAGGGTTACAAGAATGTCAAACTCACAATTTCGAATGTTAAAAGCAAATTTAAGAATTACAAATTAACTTGAGAATTATAAAAACATATTTAAAAAGTGCGCACTCACATTAGAATGTCAGCACAATTTAAAACGTCAAATATATTTTAAAAGGTAATAAGAATCTTAAACTTACTCAATATTGTCAAAATCGCAATTTATATTGTCAAAAATACATTTTAAAAAAGCCTAAACCCATTTAAAATATATTTTAGAATGTCAAAATCATAATAAAGTCAAAAACATATTTTTGAATGCATGTTTTATAATGTCAAACCTGTTTTAAAAATGTCAAAATTTCCATGTAGTTAACAATCTAAATCATATTTGGGTAAAATTTACTTGAAAACCATAGTTGGGAATGTCAAAACACATTTCAAATTGTCAAACATATTTTAAAGGGCCCCAAGAATGTCAAAATCTCAACATTTCCATTTAGATTGTCAAAATCATATTTAGAATGTAACATTTACTTGAGAATGATTAAACCATATTTAGGAATGTCAAAACACAACTTATAATGTCAAAACCTCATTTTAGGGTTACAATAATGTCAAACTCACAATTTCGAATGTCAAAAGCAAATTTAAGAATTACAAATTAACTTGAGAATTATAGAAACCTATTTAAAAAATGCGCACTCACATTAGAATGTCAAAGCACAATTTAAAACGTCAAATATATTTTAAAAGATTATAAGAATCTTAAACTTGCTCAATATTGTCAAAATCGCAATTTATATTGTCAAAATACATTTTAAAAAGGCCAAAACCCATTTAAAATATATTTTAGAATGTCAAAATCATAATAATGTCAAAAACATATTTTTGAATGCATGTTTTATAATGTCAAACCTGTTTTAAAAATGTCAAAATTTCCATTTAGTTGACAATCTAAATCATATTTGGGTAAAATTTACTTGAGAATGATAAAACCATAGTTGGTAATGTCAAAACACGTTCCAAATTGTCAAACAAGAATGTCAAAATCTCAAAATTTCCATTTAGATTGTCAAAATCATATTTAGAATGTAAAATTTACTTGAGAATGATTAAACCATATTTAGAAATGTCAAAACACAACTTATAATGTCAAAACCTCATTTTAGGGTTACAAGAATGTCAAACTCACAATTTCGAATGTCAAAAGCAAATTTAAGAATTACAAATTAACTTGAGAATTATAAAAACATTTTTAAAAAGTGCGAACTCACATTAGAATGTCAAAGCACAATTTAAAACGTCAAATATATTTTAAAAGATTATAAGAATCTTAAACTTGCTCAATATTGTCAAAATCGCAATTTATATTGTCAAAATACATTTTAAAAAGGCCAAAACCCATTTAAAATATATTTTAGAATGTCAAAATCATAATAATGTCAAAAACATATTTTTGAATGCATGTTTTATAATGTCAAACCTGTTTTAAAAATGTCAAAATTTCCATGTAGTTAACAATCTAAATCATATTTGGGTAAAATTTACTTGAGAATGATAAAACCATAGTTGGTAATGTCAAGACACGTTCCAAATTGTCAAACAAGAATGTCAAAATCTCAAAATTTCCATTTAGATTGTCAAAATCATATTTAGAATGTAAAATTTACTTGAGAATGATTAAACCATATTTAGAAATGTCAAAACACAACTTATAATGTCAAAACCTCACTTTAGGGTTACAAGAATGTCAAACTTACAATTTCGAATGTCAAAAGCAAATTTTAGAATTACAAATTAACAATAAATGGTATTAGAGCTTTAAGGGCACAAAACTTTTGTATTTATTGAGTTTTTTCTAATTTTTGCAAGAAAAATGTTTAGCAGCAATTTTTTTCCGTTACACCTTGTGTCAAAAGGTATTCAGTATTTTAATATTATTAATATTCCATTAATTACACAACACCCTTTATTTAGTATAAGTCTCTTTTCCACTTGCCTGTCAAAGTGACGCACAAAGTCCATATCCCGCCGTGCATGGGCACCAAAAAGGCTATCGTCCGGTCTCGCACGTCATTGGTCGAAACTCTGGCAACGTTGCCGTCCAAAAGCCATTGCAATCTGTGGCTTCCGTTGGCCAGAACTTCCAGGTAACTGCCGTTCCACGTCACCTCTTCCCAGTGATCGGTCATTATGGCTGCGCACAGCATACCGGTCGCGCAGGTCGTCAGGACCTAAAAAAGTGTTTAGGGATGTAAAATTTCAGCCTTGCGGTTTTTGAACGAAAATATCGTGAATATTCTTGGGCTTATGTTGGGCAGCCACTGCTTTAGTTGCGTCAGCCACAGATTATAAAAGAACATCAAAGTATAGTCAACTGTCACCTAATATAACAAGGTTGTATGTTAAAAAAAAACGAAAAATTTAAGTCTATGTTTCTACAGGATCATACGTGGCCTATGCTTCAAATACCACTTAAAAATAATTCTATAGAATGTATATTCTACGTATACATATACCTATACAGACTGTATAGAATCAAGTAAGTAAGGCTGGAGAGAAGGATGACAAATTATATTCTGATCAGAAAAAAAGAAACAAACTTTAATTGGGCGTGGTTTAAACCAAGCCATTCGTAATTACGAACCATAGTTGCCAGTTTGTTTTAAATCAGAAGAGAACGATTATAATTATTTAATAAATAGTTCAATTTTATTTGTTTGAAACTTTAAAAATAACAAAAAAATTAATATGTCAAAAATAATTTGATTTAGTTAATTTTCTTACTTTTAATATTAAAAAATAAGAAAAACAACCCTTTTAGGAAACAATAATAGCATATGGCAACAGCTCGGCATGCAGCCAGATACAAGGGCATGCAGTTTGTTCAGTTTTTAAGAAATACATTTTCGCCATTAACTGGAATTTAATGGATTTTAAACAATACTTAGTTTTTATTTGCAGAAATGCATTAAAACAAAACAAACGAATTCGATAAATCTTTATAGATTCTCAAACAAAAATAATTCTAAAATAACGAAAATAACTTTTTTCATACGACAATGATACGGCAAGCAAACAAATTCAATCCCTACCACAGTGGGCGGGGTTTGGCACTCGTTTTATTTAAGTGTATCTATTCATTTTAATACACACTGTATAGAGTTATTTTCAAGTTGTATGTCAAGGGTGGATTACATAAAACCTTTTAGAAGCATAAACTCAAATTTTTCGGATTTTTAACATACAACCTTGTTATATTTGGGTGACTAACGGTGCCGATAAAAACAACGGTTAAACAACTGGCCGACTCTACTTGGCAGACTCCAAGCGATTACACGTTAGGTAGGCCATGGCCATTAAACGAATCCAGTGGCTGCCCAACGCTCTACGCTTTTACTTAAAATGCTGCTCGGGCTATGCGAAAGTTACTGACCAGGGTTCCCAACAGGAAAAAGACGCTCGGGTGTACCGAGCAGTTCCAGCCGGACGAGTCGCCTCCGTCCGGCTCAGTAGCGTCCATGGGGCCGCCGTCGTAGTCGACAATCAGCAAATTGTACTCGAGATCGTGGTGCTTCAGTTTGACGCCGGAAATCGACGACTGCAATTTTTTTTTTTTTTTTTACTTGAATCAGCCGCGACTGTGCGCTGCCTCGATGATGGAGTATTGTCCCAGTGTTGGCGAATATTTTTGCCTAATAATAATTTTCGCACCCAATCATGTCAAGGGCAATGGACGTAATCGTGCGTTGAGGAGCTTACCCCAGATTGGATACTCGTCCTTGTTTATATCCAGGCTATAAAAACGAAAATGATGATTGCAATACACCCGACAAAAATCTAATTTAACCGACACATCGCTTTTTCAACGTTTATGTACAACGTCGACAATGTAATATTAATTATATTGATTTTTTACGTAATGGCATCGAACCTACAAAACTTAAATGGGGAAAAATCGTTTTCCACCACGAAACGTTTTTAAGGTCAAGTTGAACCGCCGTTTCCAATTCGGGAAATCGAGAAAAAGCGGTGACACTACGTGACAGCCTTTCCAACTTGACATGAAAATTTACAGCAACATTTTTTTTTTGCACTAATCCCAAGCATTCTAAGGAAACCCGTAAAATGACGTTTTTTTCAACTTAATTTTTAACCAATTAGTTGTATTCAACCATCAACATTTTTTTAAGGTAACTATGAAGTAAAAAAAACCCTTGAAATTTACCAACCGGATGCAATTTAACTAATAAAAGAAACCTATTACCAATAAATAAATTAAGGTTATTTTAAGAGTTTAAATTTACTATAAATAAAACAAATATTTAACTAGTTAGTAATATTACTTATACGTTAAAAAGTAGGTTATTCTAGAAGTTACATTACGTTATATTAACTTCTAATTTTAACCTTTAAAAATGGTTAAGACTAGATTGTTTTGGTTTAGTTTACTTTTAATATAACTTTTTGGTTAATTTGGATAGATTTTTTAACCAAAAAGTTATATTTTACCAAATGGGTGAATATATTGAAATGTCCCCCAAGTGAAAATGATTATTTTTTATTTTTGGTTGTTTCACTGTTAGTCTAGAATTTAGTTTTTGGGAAGCCACCAGGTCTAGTAATAACATAACATAAGTGGTTCTGCACTAATGCAATAATTTTAAGAAATCAAAAATTTTGAATATCAGATCTTCACGGAAGATAGCTTCACGGAGGTTAGGATTTCGTATGTTTTTTTTAAACATCCCTTTGTATATTTGAAATAAGTTATTGCATCTTTTGACACCTTAATATTTTTTAAAAATACATAAAATATTTATAAAAAAAATCTACTTACTGAGATATTACACTTCACGGTGGATAGGTTTTTAAATAGCAAATTAATGGACTTAATCTTTTGAATTATAAAACAGCAACACTCTCATCTGCATATAAATTCCAACTGACCTTCAGGAATCACATGCATCTATAATGTCGTAAACAGAGGTTTTTGCTGATTTAAAAAGATTAAAGCGCCATCCGTTGCATAAAATTTAAAGCAAAAACAGATTCACGGAGGATAGAATCAATTTTTGTAACACCTACATAAATGGTTTTACAAATTATTTCTTTTAATTTTTAATAATATTTTATATTTGATTCCATTGCTTTGGATGTGTTTAATTTACTTAGTGAACTGATATTTTTAGTATGGTTTTACTACCTGAGATATTTGAAAACATATAGGTTAACCTAGAAAGAGTAACAGTCACGGAGGATAGGTTTTAGACTTTTAAAACATTGTAAAAAATAATTAATTAATTAATAAATCTTAAAACAGTCCCCTGCCATTTAATTAATTTGGTAAGAATCTATAGGTTTTATCACACAACAGATGCGTTTTATTATAACTAATTTTGGTAATTATTAACTATAATGTGTTACATTAACCGAATTTAAACCAAAACCAAAAAAATATACATTACCGAGGTAAATAAAGTAGTTAAATTAAACACAATAAAATAACCAAATGGTTTAAATAAACTTGCAGGTTAATTTATATTGGTTATATAACCAATAAGTCCAAGTTTCAACAAAAATAATGCCATTAATGTTAATAATTTGTTTTATTCTGAAATTTAATTTAAAAAATAAATAATAATATTATTTTATCTCCACGCTGTCTATAATTTAAACTTTATTGTTGTCAATATTCGATAAAGAAATACCTTGTTATGGCCTAGGCCGCTAAAGATTTTTATGAGGCAAGTAATTAGTTCGATTTTTTCTCGCTAGGGGTATTGTTTTGACAAATTAATCCTTTTCTAAGAAATTAACGTACTAAACTGGTTTAATTTATTTTTAATAAGCACTAATTTGTTTGTTTTACTGTTAATGTTTAATAGTTTTCATTAAATTATTGTAAAATTAAATATGAATAATAAAACAAAAAGTGAGGTTAAGCAACCAAGAAAACGCACGATTCTTTTTCTACGATTTAAATTATCTTTAAGTTTTAATTTGCTTTAAGTTTTCAGTGAAATTAAATGTTAAACACAGCTTAAACATTCCAAACTGCCTATTTTTTTAATAAAAATCCAAACAAATTGAAATTAGATACCTACCTATTTATTAAACAATTAATTGAATTCAATGTAATAGCAAAAATCCATTTCTACTTAAATCATGTTGCTATTGCTAGGTATTAAATAAATAAATAAATATCTTTATTGACGGATTAACCATTAGCCAAACTATTAACCATTGTCAAACTATTACTGCTTCTAAAAGCAATAATAATTATTGTACATTTAATGTAATCTTTAGCTAATAAATAAATGAGATTCTAAAAAAGTGAGGTTAGGGCGCTTTGATGTTGAATTAAATTGACCTATATAAAGTGCTCTGAAGATAAAATGTTGTATGCCATTCGGGCAAGAAGTGCCTTTTTGTGCTTCGCTCAATTGTAGGCCTCCGCTACGCGTCGGCCTTCAAACCTTGAGCTTAGCACAAAAAGCCTTACTTCTTAACCTAATGACATAAATAACCATTATGTTTAAAAGTATTAGAAAAAAATAGTGGCATATTAAAACTAATTTCAGGATAAAATCAATTTTAATTTAAATAAAAATATACATATATAGGCGGTAAAACTTAATTAAAAGGACATTAATTAACGTCGGCAAGTTGGTTTCGATTATGGGTTAAATTAATTAAATTTAAATTAACTACCGAATTCCCCCATATCTATTTGCCTCTCCAAACCTTAATTTCCCAAATACATAAATAACATGCAGAATTATAGATTTTTTAAATAAACATTTATGTTCGTAAGAAATTATTTCTTTTTAGATGCATAAGTATTCTTCTAGTTCACGAAACCCTTCAACTAATAATCGGTTGTTAACCTAAAAGTTATATAAAATTAAAATTTAAAGTCAACTTATTTTAGTGTAAGAACGAGTTTTTGTAAAACTTAATGTACTTAATGGATATAATAAATCTTGCGAAATGTCGTTGATTGAACTGAAAATTTTCTCACGACCTTTCGAATCAAACTTTATAAAACTGCAAAATCGTGAACAAAATCCTTAAAATCTTTTATATAAGATAAACAAAATAGCTTGAAGCTAATAAAGATGTTGAAGGGATTATTTTTTGTAAGCGAGTTACAATTTTTCAATAAGACCTAATAATGTTAGTTTAAAAGTTATATTATTATACACGGGGCTACATAATGAAAATACGTTGAAATTACATAGGGAGAGTGCTGCCATCTATCGGATTTATATCGAAATCAATGTAGGTAACTGTAATTACAGATCACTGTAATGCATTTTTCTATATTTTGTTATAATTTGGACATTTGAAATTGTTTTACGATATAATTTATGTATGTAAAAACAGGAATAACAATTAGTAGTATTAATAAATACCTTAATATTAAAGGCACTACAAATAAATGGCTTCAGCTGCTTCTAAAAATCCGCAACCGTCTCATATAAAAACCAAGGAAAGCACAGAACACTCATATTAATTGACGCGTTGCCGATTGACCAAGTTTTAATGACTGCGTGTCGAATCGTGTGCGTACAGTGGCCAAAACGAACCGAACCCGTCGGTTCGCATTTCCAGGTTCGAATGCCGCGCGCGCTCACTCGACACAAACGATCCGTGCGCCGCGAGAGCCGCAGTCAGACTGGCGTGACGCGGCGGCGGCCACGTCTAACCGCTCCCCCCGCCCCCCCGGCGGGGGGCGGGAGCCGCCCCCACGCGAGTTCGGTCGAGTCGCAACAACAACAATAATGTTTTGGTGGGGGGGGAAGCAGCTGCACCAGCAATTTCAATTATTCATGTAAATTTTTTGTGGAGTAATTTTTCTTTGCTTTAATTGTAAGACATCAAATATTTTTTTGGGAGTTCTTATCTGCTTTTTTGTTTAATATCAGCACTATCAAAATAAATGTCGTTTCATGTTTGGCACAATACCAAAAAACAAATTCATAGCTTTGAATGTACACAGTAAAAAAAAATCAACTCTAAGCAACACTAATTAGAGTTCACACAGGTCCACACTAAATAGTGTTGTTTTATAACACTACAATTAGAGTTAATTTGTAGTGTAATTTTCCCCAAGTAAGCAAGTATGATTTAACACTATAGCACTGACGATAAAGTAATTTTACACTGTATTAAAAAGTGTTAATTTACCTAAAATCGTGTACTTCCACACTTCCTGGGTAAAATCCCACTTTCTTTCAGTGTAAATTAACACTACTTTGGAAAAGTTCTAATTTTAGAAAGGTACTTTTACTCTTTTAGTGCAAACTTCTAGTGTAAATTAACACTATTATTTGAGTAAAACCTATTGGTGGTAGTGAATAAAACGAAAAGGTAAATAAAGAGAAACATATATTTGCAACAAAAATCTGTGACAATGATCAAAATCGGTGCCTTTTAAAATATAATTTTATATTTGAGTCGTATGGCTGGCTTAAGCAAAATGGTTCCTTAAAACGTAAAAGTTTTAGATCAATGCAATGTTTTACTGGCTGTCAACTTGTAAGCAATGAATTATCTTGAGAATTCATCAGTAATCCATTTTTCTGTTATAAAAAATGGGTGATCCCATTGGTAGAGAGGTCGTATGTCGGGAATTTACAACACGTGTATAAATTTTCCATAATATTAATAAAAATGTAGGTATAGGTTAATATAAAAATAAAAAGTAAATAAAGTGTGTATGTATTTATATTATTAATGTTACAAGTACCCGACCTACTGCCGTAAATTATTGATATATAATATAGGTCGGGTATGGACATCCTTTTAACATATTGGTATTTATTGAGTATTAGGGCTTAAAGAAAAAGGAAGCATAATACTTACCAAAAAATAAGAATGTCCTCTTATGGATTCACCGTAATTAAAATCTAACTGAACAAAAATGCCACACTTCCACAACGCGGTATCTCCGGATATGCACTGCGTAGGTAGATAGGTACCAACCAAACATTTTAAAACGCATTTCGGTTATTACCAATTTTTTCAGTCTATTTAGCCACTATTGGTGTAATTTAACTTTAATTGTGATACAATGTGCACTAGTAGTGTAAAGAAAAAAGAACTCTTAGAAACATCAAAACAGACAAAGAAATTGGCATGCACTGTAGTGTACATTTTGTCACTATTTAACACAATAAGTGGTAATAAACACTCGCATTAAGTTTTTCTCCCCTTTTGATTTATTTTAATAATAAATAGTGTTAATGTACCAATGAATAATGTTCATATTCTTTAAATGTGTTTAATAAAATTAATAAGCACTAAATGCTACCTAGTGTATTTTGTAGTGTAACTTTTACACTTACAAATCAACTCTAATATTTTTACCCCTACACTAAAAAATTTACACGCGCAATATTTAAAATTAATACTTCGTTTAATGTTTAATAAGTTTCAATAAAGTTACAAAACGATAATCAATATTAAATTTAGACGTTCTGTATAAATAAATTATTACTATAAAACATTGTTTTTATGATGTAGAGTTTTTTTATCACGACATGAATTCAGTTTTCGTTAGCTTTTTGTACAGTGAACATCTCCAGGAATACTAAAGTAAGAGTTTTATTGTATTTTCTAAATAAATAAAACATTTTAAGTGGTTATTGTAAAACCCTTATAACTCGCCACTGTAGGCGAAATATCGAGCTGTTTTCGTCTTACAGCGCATGTGCAAATGAAAAACACGTTGCATCAAAATCCAAACACAACGAAAATAACTCTTCATCCCTTTCAGATGGCAGATGTCACAGTAAATTCTACAAGTCACAACCCCAAAGAGCTGCTGAGTCAAGGAATCAAAGCGTACGTCCTTCAGGACTACGATGCTGCCGTCCAGGCTCTTAGCCAGGCCAGCCAACTGCTGGCAGAAGAGCATGGCGATGACCTTCACGAATCTCTTGGAGAAGTGTACTTGTATTACGGTAAGGCTCTTTTAGCTTTGAGCAGGGATGAATCCGATGCTCTGGGCGACGCCGTACCGAAGAATGATGATGATGAAGAAGAAGAGGAAGAAGTGGAAGAAGGCGATGAAGAAGACAACCAAGAAAAGAAAGACGAGGAACAACCGGAAGTTGCTGCAGGACCCTCAGAGGAAAAAGCAAGCGAAGAAAACAACGAAACAACGGAAGAAAAGGACGATGAACCCACCGATCTTCAAGTGGCCTGGGAGGTGCTCGAGCTGGCCAAGAAAATCTTCGAAGCTAAAGGCGACGACGGGAAGAAATCGCTGGCGGAAACATTCATCATCCTCGGCGAAATTTCGCTGGAAAGCGAGAACTTCGAGTCCGCCGTCAGCGATATAAAGCAAGGTTTGGATATGCAGAAGAGCTTGTACGGTAGCGACAGCAGAACAGTGGCGGAGACTCTCTACAAGCTGGGTATCGCTTACTCGACGAACACTCAGATTGAAGAGGCGGTTGATTGCTTCAACGATTCTTTGTCCTACTTGAAGAACCGCATCAACGTCTTGGAGAAGAGCGAAGATAAGAAAGATTCCACTGATGATGAAGTGAAGGAAATTAAAGATCTGATACCGGAAATCCTGGAGAAAATCGCCGATATGAAGAACTACAAGGAAGAGGTGAGTGGATACTTTTAAAAAAATCCATTTTGAATAATAATTAAAATAACTTGGGCATTATGGTGATTTTTGTTTTGAATTTTAGGACAAATGCTGTGACGGAATGTCCAGATCTATTTTAACGAGATTTGAATGTCTGCGAATTCATTTAACTCAGGAATAATCGTGATAACTTTTTGTATTTTTTTAAATAAATATTGAAACAAAAATAACCATTTTATTTCCGCACCTGTTTTAGTTATTATTTAATTCATTTAATAAGAAATCTTTATGTGCGAAATTTTTTTCAGGCTATTAAAAATTTGGCTTCCGCTTTGTGCGAAAATAAAACAGGTGAGTCCAGTGGCGGGTCGTCAAAACAAGCTTCAGATATTTCGCATTTGGTAAAACGTAAAAGGAAAGTCGAGGATTCTCCGAATAAATCCACTGAAACCGGTGATTGCCCAGTCAAAAAACCATCCCCATAATTTTGTCAAAAAAAAATGTTGTAATGTATTATTTTTATCTTTTTTAAACCGTAAGTCTATTTATTTATTTGTGTTTGATTGAATATGTGGACCATAGTTATTAAAATTATAAGTTACGAAATTTCTATTAAAAGCTTTAATATATTGCATTGTTTTTTATTTTATTTAAGTATCCATTTTTCCTCAAAATCTTATGTTCCACCTCTTGTGTTTTACGTTGCAAGGAAAAAACTAAAAAACTGGTTTAGTACTATTCTTTTATATCATTGATTAAGAAACTCAACGCTTTAATGCTTATATAGTTACGTTAGTGTGTGCATTTTATCTAAGGGATCACGGTGAATTATTGTGTTTTTAATTTTCATGTTTTGCCAAAGGATCCCATTCGGTAAGTACATTTGTTGGTGCAGAATTAACTAATGATAACTTACTTAATATAATTTATATGTAAGTTTGGGCATTTTTAAGAAATTAGTAAAAAATAATTTTTGCAAAAACATAACCTTAAAATCAACCATTTTTATATTTGAGTTCTCTAAAAAACGCCGACAACTGCATTTTAAACAACAAAATATACCTACGAATTCATGGCAACATAATATTATATAAAACACATAATACAATGGTATTTTACCGTTGAGTGGAGACTTTCTTAATCAACGCTTTTAATAATGCTAAATGCTGTTTAAATTTAGACGACTTATTTGTTTGACGATTTTTACTGAATTGAAATGTTTACACTTTTCACGTTAATCACTACTAAAATGTGTATTTATTGTATCTAATAGGTACAATTTATATTAACAGAGACTCTATGCAATTTATTTCTTCATTCAGATTAACATTGTTTATTGGAAAACCGGTAAAAACTCAACCCAGGATTTCCTCTCGAAATACACCCAACAACACAACAAATCGAGCCACGGTTGTTTTCCGATATTTTTTAACATCTTTAATGGAACAGTACTATTATAATAAAAAAACTAAGATGAACCCGAATGTCTAATAATATATATTAATAACAGTTTTTTTTATTTTATTTATACAATTCTTTTTCCAGTTTTTTTCTGTACCACAAATTTGCTGATAACTGTAAAATCCTTAGGGTTAGCAGTACTCTTATGACTAAAAAATAAAAAAATAATGACTACAACATAAATTAAAGATCGTTGATTTTTTTACACAATCCTATGGTAGATATAAGAAGTGCCAGCCATGGTAAAGTCTGGTGACTTCTAGAGTGCTTCAAAATGAGAATCATTTTGGTTATGCCTCTGTAATGATTGTAATATAGGCTGTAGATCGTCATGGTCATCCAGGGTATAACCAAAATAACATTTCTCTGAAATAACAATACTTTATTGACCACTATGTTATCCTATTTGAGAATGCTTACTGATGATAGTCCTTTGTGCAATAACCAACACGCAAAACCCATAAACAAAACGTCCTGCATGTTGAATGATATTGATATACCTGAAATTATATATTTATATCGCAAATAAGAGATTTATGTGATCCACCTACCTGTCATATTGGAGCTAAACTCCGATTTGGCTACTGAAAAAATGCACGCGAAAAGCCACAAAGATAAAATCAGCAGAGCCGAAGATCTTTCGCTGCTGTCGTTTGAAAGTTGATTTTTGTCCTTAAACTTGGGAGATCTGTAAACTATAGTACTGGAACTCATTTTAAACGACCCCCAAACCCCATGAAAACTTGCAATAATTTCACCTAAGTCACATTGTTATACTTCGAAATTCATTTTGAAGTATGTCAACGTCAAAATTAGTAAGTGCAACATGAAATTGCCTTTTCACACATTATTGGGACCTGTTTTGAAGAACAATCATAGGCATATCAAGGAGTTTTGTGCTAATCCGGGGCTGACGTTCTCCCCTCTATACGTTGGCGTCCTAAGCGTTCTTGGCATGGTAAGCACAATTTTTTATTTGTTTATTTATTTATTTATAAAAAATATTTTGCAGGTGTTGAGTGTGTTTGATATGTTAAGGATAATTAACTGTGGTCCCACGCTGCCAGGATATCTGTGGAAGACGAAATCCAAACCTGGAAAACTGATATCCCCAGAAACAGAAAGAGATTTTAAATTGATTTGTTTAGTATGGTCGTTTGAATACTACGCCTCTCTTTTGGTTGGCCTTTTTACGGTAAATAAAGTTAAAAAAGTGTATTCTTGGTGTAACGTTTTTTTTTAGAACAACCCGATTTTTTTCCTGCCCTTTTTACTGCTATACGCCCTTATAGTGTTTTTGGAATTCATGATATACTGTATGAGGGTGTTCACTGATGGTATAAACTTTTCCAAAACTAGTCTAATAATGTCAATGTTCATGATTTACAATTGGATGACAGTTTTTTGTACTTTTATACATACAACGACGAAATGCGACTTATAATAATAGTTTTAATAAAATTAATATATTCTGTAAGGATCTACAAATAAAAAGTAATCAATCTGCATAAACAATAATTTATTATTTACATATACTTAATATACATATAAAATTTAGTAAATATTTATAATTACGGAAATGTTTTCTATCACAATCAATTTCAAGTTTGGTCCACGTTTTCCTAATAATATGGTTAATAAAATCTACAAGGTAACTAAAGAAAAACCTATACCACTTTGGGAAGAATATTAAATTAGTCATTTTTTGCCACAAACATTGGTTGCACTTGTTGCCAGATTTCCTTAAACTAAAACCCACAAAATTAATTAGTGCGCATGTGCTTAAAGCTCAAAGATAATACCTTTGTATGTGTCTCGATTTTCAAGTTTATCATGCTTTGGAAAATACTTGAAAGTGTTTCCAAATAAGCATACACTAGTTGCGTTTCCATGTGGATGCAGTAAAGGCTGTAATCTGAACGAAGCTCCATGTTCATGATGACGCTCTCTTGCGTCATCATTTTTGCTTCTAATTGTTCAACACTTTCAGCCTAAAAAAGTTGCTGTTTTAAAAAAAGCTACTCCTGATTTTTTAGAAATAGACAAAAGATATGCTTCACCTTAACTATTGCGCTTTAAAAATGATGATGGCAACTAAAACAATTAATTTGTTTAAAGAATGGCCAAAAAAATCTACTTTATCTCTTTGTAAAAAGCTACTCCTGATTTTACCAAAAATAGACAGCATAGACAAAATCAATACTTTACCCTAATAATTGCGCTTTAAAAATTAGGAAGAAGATAAAAACAATTAGTTTGTTAATAAGAATATCCACAAAAATCCATTTTGGAAAGAGGTACTTCTGATTTTTTTTTAAATAGCATAGACAATTTGGATAATTTTATTTCCTTTAAAGATCTTCCTATTTTTAAGGAAAAAACCTCTATTATAGACTACGCAATTTTTCTATGCCATCTACTTTTGCTATTTTGAAAAAGCTACTCCAGATTTTTTAGAAATAGACAGCATAGACAAAAGATATGCTTCACCTTAACAATTGCGCTTTAAAAATGAGGATGGCATATAAAACAATTAATTTGTTGAAAGAATGGCCACAAAAATCTACTTTATCTGTTTGTAAAAAGCTACTCCTGATTTTACCAAAAATAGACAGCACAGATAAAATCAATACTTCACCCTAATAATTGCGCTTATAAAATTAGGAAGACGATTTTTTTTAAACAGCATAGACAATGTGGATAATTTTATTTCCTTAAAAGATCTTCCTATTTTTAAGGAAAAAAACGTTATTATAGACTACGCACTTTTTCTATGCCATCTACTTTGGCTATTTTGGAAAAGCTACTCCTGATTTTTTGGAAATAGACAGCATAGACACAAGATATGCTTCACCTCAACAATTGCGCTTTAAAAATTAGGAAGAGGATAAAAACCATTAATTTGTTGATAAGAATATCCACAAGAGAATATGACTTACATCTGTTCCTCTGATCACCCCCTGTATCTTCCGTTTTTTCAGCGATAGCATTTTCGAAAGCGCCGCCTGGTGGTCGTTGGCCAAACCTTTCTCCAACCTCTCGCAAAGTTCCTTATGGGCCGTCAAAATATCCAGCAGCAAACCTAATCGTTCGCAGACTTGAATTTGTTCAAGATCTGCTTGAAGGTTGGCTTTAGCAGGCAACAGTTTCAAATCCCTGGATATCAAACCGAACCCTTGCTGCATGTCGCCCCAATGCTTGATAAAACTACTGCTCTGCCCCACGTTTGAAGTGCTTAAAGTTCGAAGTTGCTCTGATAAATCTTCGGCGTCTTTCGCAAACGTTTGTTGTCGTTCAACGCTTTTTTCCGTTAGATACTTGAGTTTACCCACGACTTGCACCAAGAGCCTTATTTGCTCCCTACTCGAAGCTATTTGACTGTAATCAGCCGGTAGAAGGTCCTAAAATTGTAATCGACTATACAGTTGCCATTTGGACATTTTTAGGAAATTAGTACAAAATAATTTTTGCACAAACATAACCTTAAAATCAACCATTTTTATAGGAGTGAAGACTTTCTTAATCAACGCTTTTAATAATGCTAAATGCTGTTTAAATTTAGACGACTTATTTGTTTGACGATTTTTACTGAGTTAAAATGTTTACACTTTTTACGTTAATCACTACTAAAATGTGTATTTATTGTATCTAATAGGTACAATTTATATTTACAGAGACTGTATGCAATTTATTTCTTCATTCAGATTAACACTGTTTATTGGAAAACCGGTAAAAACTCAACCCAGGATTTCCTCTTGAAATACTCCCAACAACACAACAAATCGAGCCACGGTTTTTTTCCGATATTTTTTAACATTTTCCGGCTTTATTCTCAAAAACATTCCTTTGTAACATAAGCGTTTGACAGCTGATTATTAAAAGTTATACTTTTGTTACGATGACACAGCCGAGTGGTGGCGCTACTAGCGATACTTCTTTAGCGAATAGAATATAAAGTACCTTTGCGTTTCCAGCGATATCTGACGTCATAAACTCGTCAGGGCACCTTTTAAATATGTCCCTGATCCGGTACTGTATGTCAGGACCCTGATCCGTCAGAAAAAACGATAAAATCGAATCGTGACTTATTGTGGGATGTCTACAGATCAAAGTAAGCCATCTATGCAGAGCGCGACGTCTAGATTCCAAAAAGTGAGCATCTGAAACAATTTTTTTAGGTGGCAAAATGGGAATAAGCCTAAAACGAAAACAAATAATAGTGCACAAAACATAATAAGCTACTGGGAGGAATTAAAACTAAACAAAAAAAGTTAAAGAGTTGTTTTTTCTTCGCTTACCTGTAGGGAAATCTGTTGAGTAACAGCTCGTGCAGCGCTACGAAATCGTTGTAACGCCTTGTTACTTGCCGATTAAAGCGTCTCGACGACACTATGTATTCGGAGTACTTCAAAAAGAGACCTTTCTTCTCCGGCATCAATTCGATGTTTATCGTGTCCAGTTGCACGATGTCTGCGTACACGAAGCCGGCGTTTAGTTTGTCGGTCATGTGGATTTTCATTTTTAAGTTTTTTACCGGGTTCAAGTCGCCCACTATTGGTATAGGATACTCTACGAAAAATTATTATAAAGTTAAAGTTTGACTGATGTCAGATTGGGAAAAGTGAGGTTAAAACTGCTTGACAGATGTCAGATAAAATATCAAATAAAATTGACTTTAAAAACATTACTTTTCGTCGTATTAAATTATTAATTAAAACTAGTTACATAATATACTATTTTATTACTAGTAGTTGGCATACCTGCTTAGATGGTTTGACAGCTCATTATTATAAGCATTATTAATGTAAATTAATAATTTACATTAATAATGCTTATAATAATGAGCTGTCAAACCATCTAAGCAGGTAATTTAATTATATACCTACGCTTTTAAGCCTGGATATGCAACCAATTATACATTAAAATGATATTATATACAGAGACTTAAAAGTAATTCATACAATTAGATATTTAATTTAGGAATCATAAGATATAATTTTCGACATTTTATAATTGTTAAACAATTTTTTTATGATACAGAACGATTCAAAATATTTAAATTCAACTTTCATTTAAACAACTGTTAGACAGCTGTCATTTCGATAAATGTCATTTAGGTACCTGCAATTTTGACAGCTGTTATTTAGACACCTGTCATTTTAACAGCTGTCATCTTGAGAGCTGCTATCTTGACACCTGTCATTTTAACCATTTTGACAGCTGCCATTTTGACAGCTGCCATTTTGACAGCTGCCATTTTGACAGCTGCCATTTTGACAGCTGCCATTTACAGCTGCCATTTTGACAGCTGCCATTTTGACAGATGCCATTTTGACAGCTGTCATCTTGAGAGCTATCATCTTGACAGCTGTCATCTTGACGGATGTTATTTTGACAGATGTCTTTTTACCAGATGTCATTTTGGCAGCTTTCATCTTGACAGCTGTCATTTCGACAGTCATTTGGACACCCATCAATTTGAAAGATGACATTAAGACAACTGTCATCTTGACAGCCGCCATTTTGAGAGTTACAATTTTGACACCCGTCATTTTGAGAGTTGACATTTCGACCAGAAATTGACGAAATCGGACGTCGAATAAACAAATTTATTTTAAAATTTCAATGAAATCATTTTATTATATTTTAACTGAATTTTACTCATCATTACATGAAATGTTTATTTTTAGAATGAATATGATAAAGTTATTAATATTGTTACCACATGAGTCAATCCAAATGAAAACACCAAAAATGAATTTAAAAGTGCGCTGCATGATTTTTTATTTTAATGAAAAAATTTGAGGATGATCTTTTAGGTGTCAAATATGAAAATCCGTTGCCGTTTTAATTTTTTGTTGCTTTACTTTTATTTGGCACCCCTTAGAAGTCTGAAATAGTGTCAATTTCTTACTCTCTTATAGTGGGCCAGAACTTTTTTTCTGTGACAAATATTGAAATAATTTTAATTTTGTTTTACTGTTCAGTAAGTGTGTTTTCGATATAAATTATTATTATCCAATTAGTTAATCTCATAATAGAATGGTAAACCACTAAAGATTCATGATAATTTGCCAATTTTTGTGATTTTTGTCTGGCTCCTGTGCCTATTCTACTGAATTTAGAAGGTTCATTTTTTTCAGGTATAAAGTACTTATACAATAGAAAACGTAACTATTATTTTAAGTTTCTAGACTTTCAATTTCTTTATTAAAAAAATTATTGAAAATTGATAATTCTCAAAATTAGCCAATTTTGCCCTCAGAAATCATTATGTTGAGGAAAAAATAAAAATCTGAAACTTTCAGGAAATGTAGTCCCCACCTTCATCTTTTCAGTCCAGTTAGTCTTGTTTTGTTATTTTTATTCCTTTAAAAGATATATTAATTTTTTTAATGCCCGTTTAGTAGCGATATTGTTAGTTTTATTTATAATTTAAAATTTAGATGGCTTTGACTTTGTCAATTCATGTTTGGTAGAGAAATGTCAGAGCTGTCAAAAATATTTCATAAATTTTATTTGTGTGTATTTAAATTGTGATTTCAAAAAGTTTGCAAGTTTTGCAAGTGTAATAAATGACGAAGTGTTCGAGATTCATGAATTTAATTGCAATTAAAAATGCAAGAACATATCATAATTTTGTACCTCTTTCTTATAGAAAATATTTAAGTTCTGAGAAGTTTTAAATTGTTAAAAATAAGCAAAAACAAAAAAATTATCTAAATAAACCCCTTTATTATAACATGTTTTATTTTAACCAGTTACCTAAAAACTAAAATTTAAAGAAGTATTTACAGATTGTGTAAATTTTTTCCAACACTAACATTTAAAATAGGTACATACATTTAACTTTTGACTATTTAGTGCCTTACTAAAGGGATCAAAGTAATAGAACAAGACTAACTTGGTTTAAATTGTGAAAGAAACCGACAAAAAACTGCTTAACGCATTTTTTATACGTTTAAATTAACTCTTTATTAATTTCACTTATTATACTTAACGATATAAACCATAAGGATCTTAAATATATTTTTTACATTCTTCTTCTTTAAACACCAATTAGCCAATTAAATACTTTATTATAATGTATATAATATATAATCATATACATATATATATGTATATATATGATTTTTCAATACATAAAATATAACATCAGGGCCGTAGCGAGGCTGGTGCAGGCGGTGCGGTGCACCAGGGCCCCCGACCTCAAAGGGGCCCCCAAAACTATAGTTTTTTATAAAAAGTTTTACTAAAAAATCGTAATTTTCGATATCCTATCCTATCCTAAAGTTTTGCACCGGGGCCCCTGAGTCCGTCGCTACGGCCCTGTATAACATACCTACCAAAAATATCAGAACTCTCAAAAATATTTCATAATTATTATTTGTGGTATTCCTTTGGTGATTTTAAAAAGTTTTATATATAACATAATATTGCATATTATGTTATATACAATTTACCAAAGAAATACGCACAAATAATATTTATTAAATATTTTTGACAGTTCTGACACTTCTCCACCAAACATGAAAGCCATCTAAATTTTAAATTATAAATAAACTATATCGCTACTAAACGGGCATTAAAAAAATTAATATATCTTTTAAAGGAATAAAAATAACAAAACAAGACTAACTGGACTGAAAAGATGAAGGTGGGGACTACATTTCCTGAAAGTTTCAGATTTTTATTTTTTCCTCAACATAATGATTTCTGAGGGCAAAATTGGCTAATTTTGAGAATTATCAATTTTCAATAATTTTTTTAATAAAGAAATTGATAGTCTAGAAACTTAAAATAATAGTTGAGTTTTCTATTGGATAAGTACTTTATACCTGAAAAAAATGAACCTTCTAAATTCAGCAGAATAGGCACAGGAGCCAGACAAAAATCACAAAAATTGGCAAATTATCATGAATCTTTAGTGGTTTACCATTCTTTTATGAGATTAACTAATTGGATAAAAATAATTTATATCGAAAACAAACTTACTGGACAGTATAACAAAATAAAAATTATTTCAATATTTGTCACAGAAAAAAAGTTCTGGCCCACTATAAGAGAGTAAGAAATTGACACTATTTCAGACTTCTAAGGGGTGCCAAATAAAAGTAAAGCAACAAAAAATTAAAACGGCAACGGATTTTCATATTTGACACCTAAAAGATCATCCTCAAATTTTTTCATCAAAATAAAAAATCACGCAGCGCACCCCATTTGGTGTTTTTATTTGGAATGACTCACATGTCTTTTTAGTACATATCTATTATTTAAAAACAAGGAATAACCTTGTCAATTTTTAATTTTAAATTCAAATAATTGTTTTTATACAAAATAAATATAAAAATGTATGTCACAAGGTTTCATCAACGTTATAAATAAACATATAATTGGTTGTGGGAAACTTAATAAAAACGATATTATAGTTAATAAAATTTCTTACCTTTTCCTGAGCAACTATCAAATAACTTATCAGTTATTAGTTTTCCTTGCTGTGCAAAGGCCAATAAGGCCAGAGTTTTATAAAAACTGGTTCTGTTTATTGAATTTTGTACTGGTCTCAATAAATCCCATATTTCCTTTAATTGTATAGTAGTAACCTTACATTGTGATAAAAAACATTGGTAAACCTCCTGGTGAATAGGCTCGCCATTAAAAGAACATATTTCATAGAATTCCCTGTACTGGGAGGGTATAATACCTAAAAATAATATAATAATAAATAGAGTTAAATTATAAAGTTTAATACAATAGTGCATTAAATTAGAAAAGAGTGAGATATTAACAGTTTGACAGATGTCAACTTGATAAAAAGTGAGGTTAAGCCCATTTGACATATGTCAGATTGGTAAAAAGTGAGGTTAAAACCGCTTGACAGTTGTCAGATAATTTTTAAATGACTAGTTGCGTAATACACTATTATTACATACCTGAACACAAATCCGTTGTCATTGTTCTTCAAGCAAATCCCATAATAATGTGGCGAGTTTTAGGTCAAACTCGGTATCGACTTCTAGCGCATATCTCTGCGGCACGTGAACAGAACCGCAACTAAAACATAATCGCGATTAAACGTCCATAAAGCGTGGGCGTAGTTATCACGACAGGATATTAATATTTTAATAATTAGGCCCGAGGGAAACAAAACAGTGACACATAACCTATAAGCCGTGCTGCGCTGGCAAGTGACATTTAGGAGGTTTCGTTTTGTATTACATAACGGAATTCGTAATACCGATGACGTAGTTGTCTCACCTGTGAGTTTGGAATGTGGATTTTTCGATTAATTTTCTTTGGGAGAAGTAAAACATGCCATTTTCCACAAAGTAATTGTTTAAATCTTGTCTTCGTGGTCTGTTGGAGGGGTCGAAGTTTATGGGAACGATTTTATTGTCTATTTTTTTCCACTGTAGTTTGTATGAGCTAGAAACAGCGTTATTATTTAATACTATCTTGATTTAACTGTAAATACTTGGTAACGGAGAATACACAGTTGTTTGTACGTATATTTTGTATAGCTTCCTGCAAAAAATCGCTTTTTAAAAAAGGGGAAGTACATTGAATAAGGGCTAAATTTTCGACTTCTTTATGATTTTTTAAAAATTCTTGTACTGCAAAAATTGAGGTGGCAGTATCAGTGGCAGATTCTTTAGACCTCCAATGAATATTAACATTTTCTATAAGAAAAAAAATAAATTGTGAAATTATTTACAAATTTATACCACCTTTTTTAGCTTCCTCATATATTTTCCAATGGTCAGTCGAGACCCAAATTGAATGAAAACCTTCAGTGCCTTTAATATTATCTATTGAAATTTTGATTAAAGATTTATTACGAATTTTTGCAATATTTTTTAATTTTACACCCTTCGAGCCCCCACGTGCTAAAATCAGGGCTGCCAAGTGTTTTTCTTTACTGAAAGGATTCCTAAAATATTATGTTTTAACGTTAAGCAAATTTTTTTTAACATTTATTATGATAAAATAGTTTTAAGAATAACACAAAACTTGGCAACACTGCACATTTAATAATGGTTGCCATAGAAACCATTTAAATAAGACAGCTGATTTTGATATAGTATGGTATGGTTTGTGTCAAAATGTAAAAATTTTAACTTTTTTTAAGTTCTTTAGAAAATTAATTTCTAACCTTTTGTAGAAATAAATGTTCTTAAAATGTGTTGTTTCATTACACAGTATAAAATAAGCCAGTTGGAAAAAATTCAAAATAGAGCTGACCGATTTTTTTTTGTTAAATGAAGTTTTTTCTTACTTTTTGACTCTTCTAAAGGTACTCTCAAAGTTTCAGATTTTTAAATAAATTTTTTTTAAAAATCAGAAAAAATACTAAAAAAGTGAAAAAATCATATTTTTTTTAAACGAAGTTTTTTCTTAATTTTTGACTCTTCCAAAGGTAGGTACTCCCAAAGTTTCAGATTTTTAAATTAATTTTTAACCTGAACCCTTTAAAAAAAAACAGAAAAAATCCTAAAAAAGTGTGAAAAAATCATAATTTTATAAAACATATAATTAAAAAATGTACCTATTTATAATCTTAATAGAACTTCATTGATAATTTGTGCAACTTTGTACACAAGAAAAACTGAAAATGACGTATAAGGCATTTAAAAAACTTGGCAACGCTGTACTATATGTAAACGGTTGCCATGGAAACCATATAAATAAGACAGCTGATGTTGACATGGTTGACAGATGTATCTTGGGAGTTTTTGTGGAAAAATCATGATAACTTTGTTTTTATTAACAAATTTTATCCCTTTATATTCGTCAAAAAAATATTTTGTAATATAAAAATGGATTTATAATATTAATAAAACTTACCATTCATAATTTGTACAACTTTCCACAAAAGAAAAACATAAAATGACGACTACTACACGTACCAGACCATTCATCTTAGTTTTTGAACGTGTATCTAATATTAGATGCTACTTATTGTTATGAATATAAGGCCCATTATTCTATTAAAGTAAATAGAGGAATATTAAACACAATTTAACATATTTAACCATTACAAAACGTTTTACCATCGATTAAACTTACCCTTGTAGACCGTTGTTTATAGTAGTTACAGTTTGAGTTTTATTGATAATATATTGAAAGAAGTGACGTTTATAAAATTATTTTTTCTCAATGGAATGGCCGAGCAGTAATGTCCCATTTGGGGGTATTTTACACCCAAAAAAAGTCAACTACAGTGAAGATACAGCGAAATTTTTAAAAGGTAATGCTACCCCAATATTTATTTACTATTAAATGATATTGTTTGTAGAATTAATAGACGAAAGCAAGCTTTCAATTCGCCAGAAGGAACGCTTCGAGAACATATTAAGGAACGGGGAAGATTTACCAACCAAACAAAAAAAAAATACCAAAGACTTGGCCAGCAACACAGAGGTTACCATAAGACCCGGAAGCCCGCGAAAAAGAACCATCCAAACCATTTTGCATTCCGGCGCTTACGAAAGGGAAAAATTTGTACCGCAACATCCAGTCGTTGATAGAGAAAAGGAAAAGGAAAAATTACAGGACATAATGGCCTTTAACCAAGTTGTGGAGCCCAAGAAGTTCTGGCCTGTGTTCGATGTGCCAAACGACGAAACGCCAAGGGACGCAAAAATCAATAGATTTGATCAATGTATGGCCATAATTTGGTCAAAACTAGTTTTAATGATCTCTTTTTTAGTGGAAAAAGAAATTTCAGACCGAAAACTCTGGTTGGAGGAAATGGAGAAGTTGGGAGAAGCCGACCGTTTTCGTTTCATCATTAATCAACAGATCCAGGGCAAAATTCGAGAAATGGAGAAACTGAAAACCGCCAAAAAGTTATAATAAACATTAAAATCAAAAATATATTCTTCCAAAAATAATGTCTTTAAATGCTAAGCACGTATTTTTAATTCGATTCAATAAGAAGATATTTTTAATTCCGACTGATTAAGGGTTTGGAAACCCCTGTTATCTCAAACTCCAACAACAAACTAACGTACGTCGTAGATTCTAGCATATACTTACCACACAGTGTGGTAAGTATATGGATTCTAGCATATACTTACCAGTGGTAAGTATATGGATTCTAGTGATTGTGCCGCCATCTAGCGACAGAATTAGTTTGGAATATCAGGGGTGTCCAAACTTTCAATTTGAATTTCAACTAAAAATAAAGATTAAAAATAATTAAAAATATCTCCTATGATATTTTTAATGCATTTAAAAATTTCTTCCATGATATTTTTCACTCTACACATAAGAATAAGGCTTCCTAAATAAAAAATAAATCGGCGCTCCATACAATGCGCAGTTTTATTGATCCAACGCCACAGCAGTTGTTTTGATTAAAACAAGTAAACATTGAAATGAAACGTAGATGGCTTTAAAAACAATCGAAATTTTGTACGTTAAGCTGGGGGGTATGGCCAAAAACTTAATCAAAAGACATTATGAGAAGCAGGGTGATAATGCGGTTAGAAAGAAGAGGTTTTGTATCAGTAAGAGGCAAGGAGCTTTGCTACTGAGCAATCTATATTTGGTATGGTAATAGTTGGTGGTATTTACATTTGGCCACTTCATTGTAACTTTTCAGATATGTTTCGTTCTTATAACGGGTGTGGGGGTCATAGTAACCAGACGAAATAATGAAGTTTTAAGCATGGTCGGGGGGGATTTCGACTACGAAAGATCCAAACACACCGATACAGACCCCTTGACGGCAAACGAACGAAAATTGCAGTATTCGAAGGAAAACCTAGACAGTAACTATCTTTCAAAACACGTCACCTAGTTCTAACGATTTTTTTCAGAGGTAATTTCAGTGTTGTACACGTATTTAGCCAATATGTACCTGCAATGCATATCGGCGATACTTTTGTGCGTCGGCATTTTATTCAACAAGCCCAAACTAATCTTGCAATGGCTGATAAGCAGCGGTTTGTTGTATGGCGCAGTCGGTGTGATAGTTATAGCATTTAACTTCGATTTGTTACCGCAATTCTATTGGTGCCATAGTATGTCAAGTAAGTACAAAATCATGACATAGTTTTGCACAGACATATTATGATGTGTCGATCTTGCCATCATATCCGGATGATTTATGGTTTCATCTGCCGATGCAGTGACAAGTTCGCAACTTTGCTCTGGTACACTAACTGTTCATGTAGCCCCAGAGAAACCACAATAACAACCGAACTGTCAGTAATCAATGATAACAAAGTACCTACTAACCGATTTTGAATAAGTTTAAAAGTTTGCTTAATACACTGCACATACAAACCCTCGTTTAACATGTATGTACCTTTGTTTCAGTCGTCTTCTACTCATTGACGCCAATATGGTTGAAGATATGGTTATACATGATGTGGTACTACCCTGATCAGGTGATGAAAAAAAAACTGGAGCGAAAAGAGAAAGGCAACATAGTTAAAACTCACGGTGGCTTAACTCATGTGGTTATCTATTGAATTGAGAAAAAAAAATAACGCACATCTCTCTTCCATTTTTTTTTGTTCATGGAGAAGATAATCAAAATGTAATCGTGATGTTATTAATAAAATAATATATTAGTTTGTATTAGAGTATATTTATTACTTTTAAAGTGCTTACATCTAATTTATTAGACTTTCTATTTTACCGAATAAATTTTTGAACACGCATGTCCCGCGATTATAAATGTTACGAATGGCTGTATGAAATGGTCCGTGAAAAATTGAGTTTTCCTGACAACGGCAATCGCAATCGCAAGAACCCGCATCGGCCCCAATCTCATTTGATGAAGTACATTCACTCTCAAACTTATTATCGGGCACTCCATACAAAAACCCTTTATCAGGCAGTAAAGGTCTTTTATTTGCAAAAGAACTTTTTCTCCTGACGCTTTTGGATTTCTTACGGGGACCCCTTTTTAACAGAGACCCACAACATACGTCATCTGTCACCTCCAAGTTGATATCGGACTGTGAGAAACCGGTCATGTTGGACAAGTCAGTTGAGTCAGGCGCAAACGTGGTGGAGATCTTTTTGTCGCCATGTATTTTTTGGTACCACTTCTCGAACAACTCATCCAGCCTTCTACACTCGTCGTTATCAGGTTCCTTGCAGACATGGCGTATCTCTGTTTTGCTGATTTTAACAATCACAGGCACCTCTTTTCCATCCAACACCAACTTGCCTTCTATTTCTTTCACATCCTCCTGATGAACCCGCGAGGTTTGCTGGTTTATATCTCTCCTTTTCCTTCTAGCTTTTCTATAGCTCGCACTGCTAGTGTCTTCCTCGGAACTCGAGTCGTACCGATGCCTTCTGTTCTTCCTCCTACGCCCTTTTTTGTCGCTTGAATCGCCGCTAGAGGTGCTGTAATTTCTGCGTTTCTTCTTTCCACCTCTCCTGCGGTTCTTCCCCTCGAACCGTCTTTGGCACTCGAGGTACTCCTCACTGCACTGCGTGGTGTTGCCGATCATGCGGACGCCGCTAGACTGCGTTTTCAAACTAGTTAAATTGCTGTATTGCGTAGCCCCGTCTTCGCACGCACACTTGGGCAAATTAGCTTGGGTGGTGCAACTGCAATCCTCGCAGCAGTCGCCCTTTTTGGACCTCCTCTTCCGTTCCTTCTTCTCCTTCTTTTCCTGCTTCTTCCTCTCTTTCTTCAACTGCTTTTCCGATTTGCATATGCATTCTTTATCCGATTTGCATGTACAGGGACTGACGGATTCGGTACGCTTACGAAATTTACATATCTGCAGAAAACTGTTCGGTGGCACTGGCTTGTCGATGCAAGGAGGTTTCTCATCTTTTTCCGCATTCGGCTCGTTGATGGTCGACAGTTTCTTGTTCAACGCGTCGGGATGTTGCGTTTGAGTGACGGCGGATAAGTTCGATCTCCTCCCATGCTCCCCATGCGCCGCGTATCCGGTTACGTCCACAGCACCCAAGTAGTCGGGCTCGCAATAGCAGTCGCTTTTCTCCGAATGTCTGGGCGAAATGCTGGACTTTCTTCGGCCGCTGAACTCGTTGTACTTGGTGACCGCCATGCGGCCGGATTTGCTTCGGCTTATGTACTTTTCGCTGCCGCTATCCAAATTTTTTATGTGCACCTCGACTGCATCGCCGCACAGTATGTTGTCTAGGTTATTCAGCATGCCTAGATCCGTTTTTTGTTTTTGGTTCTGTTTTTGTTGTCTTATACTGCTGGAAGAACCTTTGCAGCTCAAAACGTCGCCGAGTTTATCTGCTAGCTGCTCAAGTCTCTTCACGAGGAGATTTTCCGTCAAACTGTTCATACTCATTGTGTTATCTAAGAAGAATCTATGGTATGTTCGAAGGTAAACGAAGTAAACAACTCCTTACCAACATTCTCCAAAAAAGTGGCCTTCTTCTTTATTTTCTCCTGCTTCTTACTCAAGTACCGACACAGTTTGCTGGAATCAGAACACGAAGAGTTAGCAAGCATCGCACACGTAGATTTCTTCTTTTTGATACAACAAGGCACTATCGGGGGGCATGGATCGTCCGTTTCTAGGGATATTCGAGTTAATAAAATTTCACCGCTAATCAAAAAGTGATACCAGTTAAATCCTCAGTGTCAACGTCATCACACGTATCGGCTTCTTCGGTGCAACAACAATCGTCAGTGGATTCTTCAGTGACCAGATCGCAATGAAGACCTGGTGATTGGGGGATAAGTACACAAGTGGAAAATAGGTCGACATTTTGCTTACAAACTATGTTTCCATCGATTGTTTGCATAAAGGTGGTGATGTAGTCTCTTTTAACCAATTGAAACAACCTTGCTTCTAAAAAAGTGTGAATAAGTTTGATGTTTCAAAGTAGGCTCATCAAATTTACCTTCATGACTGGATTCCTCTGAAGGGCTTATGGGTGATCTCGCTTCTACATAAAAACACATATATAAGAGAGAATATACGGAAAATAAGTATTGAAGGGAATAAAACGGCATTTTAATAATTATTTCTTTACTTTTTACAGTCACAGGTACATGGCTTTTTATAGAAACTTTTAAGTATACTGATCTTCCGCTTTATTAATCCAGCTAGACCAGGCTTGGTAGTTTCGTTGTGGCAAACGCATTTACAGTCGGTTTTTTGTGTTTTTCTTTTAGAAGTGTTGCTAGAACTTCGCACGTACTTTAAGGATCCAGCTTTGGCTTCTTGCGATAGATACCTCGAATCGTACACGGATTTGGTTTTGCTGTTGTAGGTTATGTTAATCGTACGTAGCTGCTCTTCTTGGGAGTCGTCAGAGCTGCTCGATGCCGAATGTCTTTTTCTGCAGAGGTTGCATTTTTTACCGTCTTTGTTTTGGCAGTAAGTGCAACGATGTGCGTTCTTGGAACGGCTGCGATTGTTTCTTTTAGGGGATTTACCCTCCTTCTCCTTTCTCCTGCATCTTTTGTTTTTATCGCCACACGGTGTAGCCTTCGGTTTCTGTTTCGTCTTAGTGTCGGAATCACTGCGACTCAACTTGATGACCACCTCCATCGACTTGTCGTCTTTCTTCTGGAACGCCGAGCCACCAATGCAAATTTCCCGCGGGTTGTGGTACAGAATGTTGACCGAATCGGACGTGCCTCGGCTTTTTTTGTCGTAGCAAACGCGTATGGTGTCCGGCAAGCCGGACTGCTTCTTCCCGGTCTTCTTGTAGACATCGCAGACTTTACCGAAATTTTTCTGCGTCGACGAGTTCGCGAAGAACCCGCTACTTTTCGTTTTCTCCTTGTCGTCGTAGCAAGACGACTTCTTTTTGTAGCCGTACAGCTTTTTGATCCAGGAGATTTCCGTTTGCTGGGAGCAAGAGCAACTCTTGCTGTCGCTACATTTTGAGGCACTGCTAGGATGATTTCTGACCGGGATACGTCTCGACTCTAAAACATCATTCAATCGATACGAGGCACAAAGAATGCATCAATAAACCCAAGTAGCAAAAATTTACGTACCTGTTTCAAATTCATGAACACTTTACACTACAATAGCACTGGTCAACGAGTCGCACGCGACAAAATTTTTGCTGCCTGGGCTTTAAAGAAGTACAGCTTACCAGATTTGCCCGGATGCCTCTTATGCTCTCTACTGCCATCCCTTTTTTTGCTCCTATAATCTCCATTCTCGTTTCTATACTCCCTTCTTCCTTCATATTTCTGGTGATCCCTTTTCAGACTTCTAGATTCCTTTGGTCTGTTATTTTTGCTTGCTATTTTCTCCGGACACAAACAACTATCCTTTGCTTTCACTTCGCACGGACCATCGTTGCAGTGAATCTTCTTCTTTCTTCGCTTCTTTTTTCTGCGAAAGTCGTCGCTAAGGTCTTCGTCTTTAAGCAGCTTTTCTATATTAATCGAATCATCATCGAAATCGTCGCAAACGCAGTCTTCTTTGAGGACTCGTTTTGCTTTTCCAGTTTTTGGGTCTTCTTCCATATCACAGGCACACTTGAAAGATACGTTTAATGGTTTTGCGGAGATGCATACTGACTTACCGGTCCCTTTTTCGTCCTCTCCTCGTCTGGATTGTTCATTATGATCTTGAATTGCATCTTGGACTTGTTATTTTTGTTTATAAGAATATGTCTGTGCGTCGCTCCTAATAAATCAACACTACATAATTTAATTGACCTCACAAAGAGAACATCTTACTTTCATCCTTGCTAGAGTCGTCCCTTCCACTTTGGATGTCAATGTGGAAGTGACTTCCTGGAGCGCACTCCACTGGCGGAGGCTTCTTTACGGGCGGTGGGCGCTTCGGAGGCGTTGGAGGAAGTGGGGGCGGCGGCGAGATCCTATGGCCCAAGGACAGCTTAACCGCTTCCGGCAACTTTTCGAACGATTCTTTGGATTGATGGTTGATCGGCGAGGGCGGTTCAGATAGAGAGTGCGATTCGAAGAAGACTGATTGTTGATTGAGCTCGTCCAGAGCTTGGATAGCAGTTTCAAAGTCGAACTTGATGATGGAGTCGATCTCTAAAATGCGTTTTCGGGTTTGTTTCACGGTGTCGAGGTTTTTTAGACAAACGTTTTTCTGTAAATAAGGGATAATTGTAGCTGGTGTGATTGATATGGTCTCCGTACCTTTTGCAAAATTTCGCTGGAAAATATATCCCGAAGGATGGCGGCCGGATCTTTGTCGGAGAACCCTTTACGTTCGTCAACATATTGAAATAAAGTTGTGGGGTCTAAATATAATCTCGACTCGTTCGGACGAGCCGGGCGGATTTTTGAATGCAGGTATTTTTGTTTGCAATCGCCATCATTATCCATTGGGCATTAAAATCTTTTCTAGAATCTAGAATTGCGATGAACATCTCGATACGGTTCCACTTACCTTTGCTTGTAGGATACACTATGACTATGAAATTCATTACATTGATTTTTGATAAGCTTTTTCGTCCATAGGTTAGAATACATTATGTGAACTGAACGAATATGTGTTTTCTGGAAAGTAAAGGATTAGAACTACTCCGGGCGGCAGTGTTTCACAAACCTTTAAGAATGAATAACATAATTTGAACAGAAATTTTGAAGTTGTCAGGAATAAACGTCACACAAATGTAAGGAAATGACTCACTGGTTCCAATGACCAAGATTTTTGTCTAGTATAGTCCATACTGTATGAAGCAGTACCGATACAGACTGGTACTGTAAAATCAGTGTACCTGTTGTTCAAAGTCTCAATTAGTGCATTGAAAAGCAACCTTTAACAAGTGAATACGGACAAAGATAATATTATCTTTGAATACGGACACGGAAGTAAATAAGTGATAAGTGACAGCATACCTGGAGATCTAACCCCAGGCCAATATGTAAAGAACAAACGAGTCTCACCAAGAGTGGAAGGGGCCATCATCTGCAAAAATCTGATAAGTACTAATAAATCGCATCAATACGCAAATTCGCAACAAAAATTTTACAATAATCAATCATTATTACTGAAAATAGCGTAACAGTGTTAAACCAATTAATAGGTAATAACATCACAAAATGTAAATAAGCATAAGAGGCCAGCCCCAAAATTTTATTTAAAATTTAACGAAACAACCAGTATCGAAATTTGCCTGACATAAAAATGAACGTATAAACCACTAAATCCCTGGTTGAGGGGAATTCCGGATTGTACTTAGTTTTGTATTAGTCCAATGTCACCCAAAAACCAAAATGTCCCGCACTCCACTAGCTACAAAATTCCGGGATCTCCTAAGAGAGATTTACCAGCCGGGGTGAAAACTCGGATCCATCAAATAGAGAAATAAAACTCGTAAAACTATAAATTTTCTTTATTTAATACTGTATATTTGTATAAAATACTGGACTAGTTAAAACCTTTTTGGCAATTTTCGTTATAAGGGAAGTACTTGAAACTATATCTAAGTAAAATAAATAAATAACTCGTGCTATAATAAGTACCCAAATATGGCAAATTCTATGTAACCTTAACATCTAGAACATAGACGGAACATTATTCTCAACATAAAAAATCACTGCAAAGCCCTAACCGAAGCTAGAAGCTGATCCAGCTCGTTCTTGTAACCAATCAGCTGCATCTGCCTATCGGAACACTGTTCGCAGCTTCTATTCGTCACAGTTTTCTGTGCTAAGCCGTAAACAATGGCTCTAAGTCTATGCTCGCGCTCTTCGTACCTAGTTTCTAGAAACGCAATCTAAAAATCACAAAATTGTGACCAACTCGATATTAAAACAGTCGACGCTTACCTTTTTGTGAAGATCATCTACATCTACACAGGACGGATTGTTTGCTGTTGTGGAAGACAGTAACCTACTGTTCAAATGATCCCTTTCCACTGTGACAACAGCTAGGTCTTCCTTAGCCGCGCACAGCTGCGTTTGGAGGTTTGCCAGTGAAACTTGCACTACTTCTAGCTGCTCTCTTAGAGGAGTTATAGTCGATACGTAGTTGGCGATTTCACATTCATGGGCTTCTTGAAGTGTTGTTAACTACAACATAACATTACACAAGGTATATAACATTGCAGTAGACTTACATCGAATATTCTTTTGTCCTTGAGTATCTGATAATCCTCCTCCAGTCTTCTTAATTGTTTTTGTAGTTTATCTCGTTCGTTTTTGAGTAATCTAGCGTCATCATCGAGACTGATGTCGGAGCTAGCTTTACTCTGCAGAGCCAGTTTATCAGGGTAACTCCTGAACTCCTTTTTATCGTTCAAACTCTTCAGTGAACCCTCGCGCTCCTTCTGCAGGCGCCTGTTGGTCTTCCTCAACTCGTCCACGTCTTTTTGCAGCTTCATCGCGATTTTCTCCTTGTTGGTTACATCGGCTTGCAAGCCTCTTATGGTGGCGATCAAGTGAGCCTCCGATTTCGACTCTTGTCGCTTGACGGGCGCCACTTTGGGAGCCTTGGCCACAACAGTTTCCGTTTGCACCGAGACGCTGTGCGACTCTTTCTGCGGGATCTTCTGCTCCTCGACGGCGGTTTGAGTGTAGACGTCGTAAGTGTCGACTTTGCGTTTCAATTGAGATTTTAAATCGCTGACGTGCAGCTCCAAGTCTTCGATGTGGCTTTCGTACTTGCCCTTCATTAGATTGAACTTGTCCTGTATCTCCACGAACACTTTGGAGGACTGGTTGTCCCTCGTCGTCGCTTCTTGCTCCAGGGTTTTGATGCGGTCCTCCAGAATCTTTCGGGCGGTCAAGGTGGAATCGGTTTCGTCCTTTTTGGCTGCCACGATTAAAGCCGACACGGAGTCGGGGTGCTTTCTGGCTATGATGCGCTCCATCTCCTTGATCTGCCGGTTCAGATCCTGGATGCACCTGGCATCTTTGTCGTTCTGCAGCTTCATGCTCTTGTTGGATAGTTTTTCCACATCCAACAGCTTACTTAAGTGCGTCTCGCTCTCTAACAACCTATCCTTAATTTTTTGGACATTCAACAATTCGGCTTTATATTTATTCAGCGTCGTATCCATCTCTATGACTCGCCGTTCGAGATTCTTGTTGGAGTACAGGACATCGTCGTACGACGTTTTCAGATGCTGGTGCGTCTTGTTCAACGTAGTTATTTGCAGTTGCAGGGATGTGTTGATCTCCTGGGAATCTTTGAGGTGCTCCAGAGCCCTTTCCAGTTCCAAATTGACTATGGGAGACGAGATGGATTTTGCGTCCAAAGCTTTTTTATTGTTTTCCAGCAGAAGCTTTGCGTCATCGAGATCAGACTGAAATCGAGATATGAATAAATAAATAATAATGCCAATTTAAGAGGGCCATAGGTGTTTAAGAATGTCAACAAGTTGACTATAACACTGCTTTTAGGAGTTGAAAGTAAAATTTAGCGTGTAGTGACGTCACAGACGAAAAGTATGAAACGCTTTTAAACGCCAGCAATATCAGGAGAGCACATAGTCGCAGAGGTAAGTCGAGTTAAAGTGTGCGTGAAAATTTAAACATCAAAGATGGATTTTAAACGTATTTAAGTATCGGGAGAGCATGAAGGCTGCATAAATTTAAAAAGCGCAATTTTCAAAATTATGATTTTTTTCTCTTTCTTGGGTAAAAAAATCTGAAACTTCGGGAGTACCTTTAGAAGAATCAAAAAGTAAGAAAAAACATCGTTTAAAAAAAATTTGTGATTTTTTACCTTTTAAGGATTTTTCAAAATATTCAAAATTGACAAAATTTTTAATTAAAAATTTTTTAAAATTTTTGAAATTCACAAAACTTTTAAAATTTATGAAAAATTTTTCATAATCTTTAAAATTAACAAAATTATTATTCACCAGTTGGAGTTTGACGGTTAATTCCAAGATAAATAAACAATTTATTTGTGTTTTACCAATACTTAATAATTAATTAGAATATAATTATGTTATTAGATATAAAATCTTTTCATAGTTAGGTCGCATCATTGTTAATTGTTTCATATTAATTTATTCACTAATAAATATCGTGTTTTTGACCTCTTCTTTCTTTATTTTTTTTTAAATAAATACCTATAGCACCAATAATAAACAAACGATAGGCACAGTAATAAAAATCTTTATTTAGGTTTTGCGATTCAAAATTTAATGTCGTTGTTTAGTTTTGGTATTTTGCATTTTAAGTAGGGTATGGGAATAAGATTTGCATTTTTATAACAGTTAGGACGACTGTAATGGTATTTATTGAAATCATTTAGATAAGGAAGGTGTCGGATTTTTTCTCTAATTGGTCAAAAGCTTATATTAGTGTTTATCCAGGGACGAACTTAAAACAATTTTTCATATTACATTTATTAACTGCTGGAAGGTTATTGTAAATCATTGTTATTAAAAATTAAGTATTATTTTTGATTTAAAAGTGCTTATTAAAGATAATAGGAATACGTAAATTTTAAACCTTGTATTAGACAGAAGACGTTAAATTAATAAAATTAAAAACAAAACTTCAGAGAAAGTGATATCGACAAAAATAATAAATTTGTTAACATTCTCTATGAAACAAGCAAAAATAAAATGTTGCTATACACGCCTCAAGTAGAGAAATTGCATGTCAGCACAAAAGTACCTAAAAATAGCTGAGTATGCAAAACCAAAAAAATATTTTGCGTCTGTTGTCGTAGGTCAGGAACAACCAGTGGCGGCCCAAAATTTTTACTTTACTTATAACAATTTTATTTTTGCCGTTGGTTTGCCCAATATCATTTTTAATTTAATCATTTTAAAATTAAATTTTCTTGTAGTAATTGCAACAAAAGTGAAAATATTTTTAATATATGTAATTATAAAATAATTAAATAATAGCAAAAAAAAATCAGGTGCATCAAAAACAATTTAGGTAAAGCTTCCAACCTAAAGAAAGAAAATTAACATTATTTCAGGATCATTCAACATTTTTGCAACTTTTGGGATAATACACTCACGTGCAAAATAATCGATCCACACAAATTTTCGATGAATTTCAATCGCAAATAACTTTTTTATTTGATGTCGGATTTAAACGAATATTAAAGAATATTGTAGATAAATTAATGGACAATCGCTCACATTTTAAATACTAAAAATAGACGTACGTTTATAATATACAGGTTTAAACAAAAAGATGTTTTTTACCATAAGTTTAAGACACTCTGTGGAGTGGCAAAACCGTATATTGTTCTAAATTAAGTTTTATTTATCAAGTCACATCTATTCTTAACAGTTTTGTTTTTGGTTCACCTCGATATATTTATTTTTGTGGAAAATATGGATTTTTAAAAAAAACATTGCAATTTACAATATTTTTCTGTATGAAGAACTAAGGTTGCTATGATCCATCCATATGCTATGGAGAATGACAGTGACAGTTTTATTGAATCATCCCATAATTGGACATGTTATATACAGCTTTCAAAAGGTATCAAATTGTTTTTTGTAATTTAATGTGTTAATTTTGAGGTGTCTTCTTACTTTTAAAAATGTCTCCGACTGATGTTGCCCTTTGTACTTTACTTCTTATGACGTTAAAAACACTTGCCACGTAATACTGTGACCGTCCATCCTGGATTAAATTAATAGCTCTGGCAACATCAGTCGGAGACATATCCATTTTTTAAAGTAAGAAGACACCTCAAAATTAACACATTAATTTATAAACAACAATTTTATAGCTTTTGAAAGCTTTATATGACATGTCCAAGTATGGGATGATTCAACAAAACTGTCACTGTCATCCTCCGTAGGCTATGGATGGACCATAGCAACCTTAGTTCTTCATACAAGAAAAATATTGGAAATTGCAATGTTTTTTTAAAAAATCCATATTTTCCACAAAAATAAATATATCGAGGTGAACCACAAACAAAACTGTTAAAAATGGATGTGACTTGATAAATAAAACTTAATTTAGAACAATATACGGTTTTGCCACTCCACAGAGTGTCTTAAACTTATGGTAAAAAACATATTTTTGTTTAAACCTGTATATTATAAACGTACGTGTATTTTTTAGTAATTTTTTAAAATGTGAGCGATTGTCCATTAATTTATCCACAAAATTCTTTAATATTCGTTTAAATCCGACATCAAATAAAAAAGTTATTTGCGATTGAAATTCATCGAAAATTTGTGTGGATCGATTATTTTGCCTGTGAGTGTATTTTTTTAATATGTAATCCCAAATCACAAAAAAACTCTTCGCCGCTTGAAGACGCGTACCACCTCCATTACCATCGCCCGGTATAAAACCCATCTGCGGGTAGAGCGAGGCATCACAAGCGCCATGAAGTTCGCGCTGTGCCTGCTAGCGCTGCTCAACCTGGGTGCTTTGCGGCCCGTGGGGGGCCGGGCGTCCGCCCCCATCTCCACGGCGGCTTTGGAGGAGCTAGCCTACCCCTTCGACGTAGAGGCGGTGTCTGCGGAAGCCCAGCAGCCCCAAGTGAGGGTACAGAGGCCCGGAGACAACGAGGTTGCCCTTGTTGAGGAGGATCTGCCCCAAGGCAGGGTGTATTACAATGGAAGCCAGCTATGGAAGGTACTGGTGGACAAGAGGGAGAATATCGAGTTGCTGGTCACACTTAGGGAGGACAAAGGTAACCATATCTCAAATTTAAACTAAGTAGGTACATAATAATAAAAAATCACCTAAGTAGTTTTTAAACTGTATACATCTAAATTATTTTATTACCTTTGTTACATTAATGATTCATAATTGATAACACAATAATTTTGTATTTTGTTACATTGAATACTTCCGTTATTTAGATTTGATCACTTTTAACGAATATGTGGTAAAACAAAATCTAGAGGCAAATTTTAGTTTTATTTCCATAAATACACGTTGAATTATTTTTTAATCTCTTTGTAAAAGTCCTACATGTTTTTTAAAATCTATATAAAATTCTGAGTAAAATTACAATACCATGTCCTATAAATAAAGTGAATAGTTTTCGAGTTATTAATTTTTTTCGTTAAAATTTGAGAAATGCCCGTCAATCAAAAATAGCTTATAACTTTTTTGTTATTAGGTTTAACTATACTTAAAGTTAATAATTTAAGAGATATTAAACAATTTCTAAAATTTTAAATATTTTTTGTATTAAAAAAAACTTCTTAACAATATTTTAGTCAAGAAGTAAGAATAAAGAAATGCTTAAATGTAAATGAAGGACACTTTAAACATTTAGTAACAAAAATTGTTAGTTAAAATATTTTTGGTTTATTAAATGGTTTTTGTTATCAAAATATTTCATAAAATAAATTTTATATTTTAAATATTTTCAACTATCATGTTTTGACAGACTAAATTTACTAACAGTTCACTTCTGTATTAAGCAACATCATTTTTTAACCAAAATAATTTCTTAAACTACATAGTTATTGGACCCTTAAGGAATATTATTTATTTAAAATTTATATATGCCGTTGTTTTAGTTTTTTTCTTATAAATATATAAAAAGGATAGTTTGTTTGTTTAAAATTTATTTACGTTTATTTAAAAATAAGAATATTTGAATTTTCAATAATAGTTGTATAAAAACATGCAAAAAAGTATAGAAATTGTACATTTTATATAATAATTGGACACATGGACTATAGTTATTGGACATACAATTTTTATATAAACATAATAACTTTACATCAAAAACAAATTGTTAAATATTTTGATAAATTGCTGTTTTAGGTAATTTTTTTTATTTCGTTTTTGTAAATATCATATAATTCATATATTTCTTTATCGGATTCCTCATCCCTTTTCTGGATTCTGAAGGTAACTACTAATTTCTTGGTCTGACTTCTGAAATAGTTTGTTGCAAATATTATATAATATATATAGATTAGGGTGGCCCAAAAATAAAAGAAGATTTTTTTCTCTCGTCTCTTGTGAAAATATGTTGATTTGTCATGTTTTAAGAGCCCTGTCAAAAGATCAGCTCCATTAAAAAAATTTTAGGGGTCGCTCAAGATTTTTAAAAATTTCCAAAATCGTCAAAAATTGGATTTTTTTTTATTTTAATTTTTTTTCTCGTTCCGATATTATTTTTTAATTTAAAAATAATAATGATTCTGAAAATTTCAAATCGATATTTTGATTTCTAAAGGTCGCTCAAGATTTTTTTAACTTTCAAAGTAGAGTATTTTGAATGTTTTTGAGCGACCTCTGAATATAAATATCAAAGAACTTTTAACGACCTTTAGAAATCAAAATATTGATTTGAAATTTACAGAATTTTTATTATTTTCAACCAAAAAAATAACATCGAGACGAAAAAAAATATTAAAATAAAACAAAAATTTAATTTTTGACAATTTTGAAAATTTTAAAAAATCTTGTGCGACCCCTAAAATTTTTTTTAATCGAGCTGATATTTTGACAGGGCTCTTACAGCATGATAAACTAACATATTTTTACAAGAGACGAGTAAAAAAAAATATTCTTTTTTTTTGGGCCACCCTAATATAGATATTATCTAATATTTTTTCGGGTGGTATGTTAAAAGTATTTTCCGAATTTATTAATTTTGTTGCCATTAGTTTTTTAAGTTCTCTATCATGCACTGTATTTAAATCACTGTTATTCTGCAAGATGTCCTGTGACGAAGAAATCACTATAATACTATCGATAACAAAAAAAACTCATACAGCTATATTGTGGCTGTGTGAATAAAACTTTTTCCGTCAATGTCAAGCTGACATCGAGCTTTGTCACATCCATTATGACTTTTTTAACAACATTTTCAAGCCATTGAAGCCATTTGGAACGAGATAAAGCAAGACGGCGACTTAAATGCTTTGCCGTTTGCGGGCAGTAATTGACAAAAACAGAGGGATGACGAAATATTATTTTTTTTTCAAACTTTAACCTAACTTTGTATTTAATTTTAGACCTTTCAAATATGACGTATCATGTTAAAAGCCATAATTACTCCAACGAAATGATAGAAAATCAGGAACACTAGATTTTTAAGCTGTATGAGTTTTTTTTGTTAGCGATAGTACATACTCTCTAAAACTGAATTAGTCAAAAATCTCATAGCGAAAAAGCATCCACTAATAATTCTCGTCAACAGCAATTTGTATCCAGGACATTTAGCAGTCAATTCCTATAAAATATTATTCGCTGAATCCGAAAATGTCGTCAAAAGTTATAAAAGTAGAACAGTTTTTGAAATATAATCAATTTTACATATAATATGGAATTGACTATATTTCAAAAACTGCTTAAATTTTATAGTTTTTGACGGTCTTTTCGGATTCAGGGGACAATTTTACATAAGAATTGGCTGGTAAATGCCCGGGATACAAATATAGTATGATATTGGACATATGTCCAATAATAGAAATTTACATTTTTTACCAACCAGTAATTGGACACTGGACATTTTACTGTTTGTTTTCAGAATTAAAATTAAAACGCATAATAATTAATATTTTATTCTACAAAATTATTGGTTTAAATTTGTAAAGAGTCATTTAAAGATTAATTAAATGACTCTTAAGAAATTTAAACCAATAACTTTTATTTCAAGAAATTTAAAAGATTTAAAGAATTTAAAAATATATAGGGTGTTCTCCTTATTTGAAATGCGAAATTTGTCCAAAATTTTCACCCAATCATTATGGTATAAACAATGGTGTTAATCACCTTTGAATCTGGTACGCTTTTTAGTAAGAATGCCTATTGAATAATAATCGAAAAATAAAACCTATGCGAAGAATCTTAAAGTAATAAACAATAGACTTAGGTGCAGAGAAAGTTTTCATACTTTCATTTATTCGTACTTACTACTTATCTTCGCGATATATTTCCTTTATTATTTTTTTTTTATTTGTTTTAGACATTAGCATGTGGGGGGGAAACTCAACCACTGTGGATGTTTTGGTCAAACCGAATTCGGTTGAAAAAGTCAGGAAAATTTTCAAAGACAACAAAGTGGGTTTTGATATTGTTATCGAAGATTTGCAAAAGGTGATCGATGAAGAAAACCCGGCTGTTATAGAACTCGATGACAGAAGAGGTATGTGAATCTTGTAATACAAAAATAACTAAACGGTAAAATCGCATCATTAAAACCGATGTAACGCAATCTCGGTCTCGAAACCCGATCCCCTCATAAATCAGCTCATTATCGACGTCATAAAAAAATCCATAAAATAAATCTCCAGCAACGAAAACGGTACAATCCGCAATACTGCATACAGTTATCCAATGTTGATGGTATTTTTTTTTGACGCGTTTACAGCCAAGCGATTACCGTTAATGACAGTCCTGGCCTGGAGGGGGCTCACTTCAATGGGCAACAAAATGGAGTTGTGGCCCACTGCCAACTGGGGTCCGTAAATAAATGAAGGTTTTACATCAAAGCTTCGTTTTAATCATTTGAAGGTTCACTCAAAAGGCACCAAATCATTACATGAATTATGGCTAGCCGTTTTAGCCTTTATTATGTTTATTTATTATGTTTTCTCAAGAGTCAATTAAATAATAGTCGATAAATTTTTAACACAAAAATTACCACTTTAAAATTTAAAAGTAACATTTAAATTTAATGTGAGCATTTTTGTATTAAAATTGTATAAACTATCATTTAAATGATAAAAAAATTTGAACCAATAAAATATTAAAATAAAAAATTATTTAATAAATGTTAAAACGGCTGCCAGAACACAAATTTAACAAAAAAATCATTGTTTGTTACTGTACAGTCGTAGACAATAGTAATGAACCTTTACAATAATTTACCATAAATTAAAAATCCAAAATAATCGTGGATTTACACTGTTTAAAATATCTGTGGTGTAAAAAGTAATCTTAAAATGGTGTCAAAATCCAACACCAAGTGGTGTTAATATAACACCATAAATTATGGTTGAAAATGTTATATACAGCAAACACCAAAACGGTGTTTATCTAAAAAATATTTGAGAAGTGAACCTACACAGAAAAAAAGGAATAGTTCATTTAACTATATTAATTTAGTTGACCCATAAGTATTTATTTTTTTATTTTTTTTTATTTTTATCAACTGTGGGAAGGTTAATATAAACAAAGATTAGTCTAAACCAGATAGTTTTTTTTTAAATTGGTTAAATTAACCCAGAAAACTTTAGTGAAACCAACCCGATGTATGGTTCACTTTACTAAATATGTTGTTTGTAAAATAAGAGTTACTTCAACCTAAAGCACTATGTTAAAACGATTAAAACAATTTGCCGTGCATTCCCGGTTGCATAGTGTGTACCGATCGCGGCAAAGGCGGTGTGGATCACGTGATGTTCTTAAATCTCGCCTCTGTTGACTTACATGAAGAATATATAAGCTCAGGTAGTCCTTTGCTTTGGTTGTTCGATATTAAAGAGACCTTAAATAGGTGGAAACAGCTGTCAATACTTGAAGTATTTTAAGTTTGTGGAACGCACTAAAAACATTATCTCTAGCAAGTTGAAGGGTCCATTTTCTGGAATAATACCATGGTAATATACTAGTAATGCGTCAAGGAACTTCCTGTTTCCTTTTTTTTTTCCTTTTTTCTGTGTAGTATGATTTAATTTGACCACAAACACATAAGATTTAACACTGAAAAGGAGTTCAATTTACACCAGGTAAAATTTATTTTAATACTGTGTGAAAGTTAAATTAACACTATTTTAGTATTTGAATTTACACCAGACGAACGCCATATTTAACACAATTTTGGTTTGTATCGATATAGACCATGTATGGTGTTAATTTGGTGTTAAAATGGTCATGAAATTTTGAACAGTGTACAGAAGTATACATACAATACAATTGTCTCCGACTGTCCCGAGCATGTTTGTCGTTTTTTGTTGTGGAATGCACCATATCGTTCACTGTGTTTTGTTTCGCCAGCCGCACCAAGAGTTTGTTTAACCAAATTTATGTGTGAAAAACATTTTTTTTACAAACTAATTTGTGTCGCGTTTTTTAGGACATCGCCTCACCTGGCAAGCCTATCACAGACTGACCGATATCCACGGATACCTGGATTATTTGGCCGAAACGTATCCGGATTTGTGCAGTGTGCAAACCATAGGGCAATCAGTGTTGGGCAAGGACATCAAAGTTTTGAAGGTGTCCAATGGAAAACCCGGCAACAAGGCGATGTGGGTGAGTCCGAGTTCCCAAATGTGGGTTTGCTTTTTACAAAAAACCTAAAAATTTCAGGTTGATGGAGGTATTCACGCCAGAGAATGGATTTCCCCCTCCACCGTTACCTACATTATCAACCAATTCGTTACCAACATCGAGTCTGAACCTGCATCTATACAAAACATGGATTGGTACTTTGCGCCAGTTTTAAATCCAGATGGTTATGAGTACAGTCACACCGTGGACAGGCTGTGGAGGAAAAACAGAGCTAGGGGGGTTGGGCAATGTTCTGGAACCGATCTCAACAGAAACTTTGGGTGAGTACATCATTTTCAATGTTTACTTCAAACATTTGGGATCACCATTTGAAGTTGGGGAGTTGTTAGTTAGCTCAGCTATAATCCCGTGAATGTCAGTTTCCTGTTGCTCTTTGTTTAACATTGTTTTTTTACTAGGGTTGTGTTTAAGAGGAAAGAATCGCTATTAGGGTTGTATATAGGTATATGAACGTTTAAGTAATTATGCAAATTTTCGTATTAGGTGCGAGTACTTATCAAATGTTTGCAGATGATGGCCCTTTCCACTCTCGGTTCTTTACATAGAATGCTTTCAATTGTCAGGTGGTTAGTCCGCCAGGTATGCTGTCACGTATCACTACTTATTGCCGTGGCCTTTAATTCACTGTAGATGCAATGCATCATAGTTTATTTGCACATACATCATTTTTAATGTTTTGTAGATAAAATATGTTCTCTTAGATATCGCTGGGGAGGCAAAGGATCCTCCAAGAACCCCTGTACCGAAACCTATGGAGGCAGCGGACCATTTTCGGAACCGGAAACGGCCTCGGTGGAGAGGTTCATCAGAAGCATTCAAAACTGGAAAGCGTACATCTCGTTCCATTCGTACGGACAATACATTCTGTACCCGTGGGGTTACGACAGGGTCGTACCCCCAGATTACAAGGATTTGGAGGCAGTGGCCAGAAGAGCTGCTCAGGTAAACAATATTTGCGGAAGTTCTGCCCCTTTCGTACACTACACTACTCAAAAAACAAACTACACACTAAAATCTTCTTTCAGGCCATACGCACAGCGGGGGGACCTTCGTACACCATCGGGCCGGCCGGGGGGACCCTGTACCCGGCTTCCGGGGGGTCGGACGACTGGGCCAAAGGCGTCATGAAGATGAAATACGCGTACACGATCGAACTAAGAGACAGCGGAAGGTTCGGTTTCGTGCTTCCCGCCAATTACATTCAACCCACCGCGAGAGAGGCCCTAGCCGCGCTCAAGGTCATCGCCGAAGCCGCCTACCTTGCCTAAATCATTTTTTGTCGGTATCGACCGATGTACTTTTAGTTAGCGATAATAAATTATTTATTGTTTTTAAAATTTTTTGAGTTTTTTTTTGTCCGATGAAAAATTTGCGTTGTCTCACTGTGCAAATTTTGTTTAAATGAGTGAATTAACAATCTTCTAAACACGTTTCAAAAATACAAAGTATTCCTTATATTATTGATTAAGAAACTCAACGCTTAAATGCTTATATAGTTACGTTAGTGTGTGTATTTTATCTAAGGGATTTATTGTGTTTTTAATTGTAAATAAAAATCGTTGCATTTTCATGTTTTGCCAAAGGATCCAATTCAGTAAGTACATTTGTTGGTGCAGAATTAACTAATGATAACTTTACCTAATATAATTTATATTTAAGTTTGGACATTTTTAAGAAATTAGTAAAAAATAATTTTTGCACAAACATAACCTTAAAATCAACCATTTTAATATTTGAGTTCTCTAAAAAACGCCGACAACTGCATTTTAAACAAGAAAATATACCTACGACTTCATGGCAACATAATATTATAAATAATACATAATATACCTAATGGTATTTTACCGTTGAGTGGAGACTTTCTTAATCAACGCTTTTAATAATGCTAAATGCTGTTTAAATTTAGACGACTTATTTGTTTGACGATTTTTACTGAATTGAAATGTTTACACTTTTCACGTTAATCACTACTAGAATGTGTATTTATTGTATCTAATAGGTACAATTTATATTTACAGAGACTGTATGCAATTTATTTCTTCATTCGGATTAACACTGTTTATTGGAAAACCGGTAAAAACTAAAAAATATACTTTTTCGACATTTTTATTTATCCTTCTAACAAATTTTATCATGCCACTGTGCAGGGATGTTTTCATGTAATTTAGACAACAAGAAATAGGGATGGTAAGGTAATTTAGATCGATTATTTAAATTTAAATGCGTCATATTAAATGAAGATACAGTGGGCAAAATTTGAATTTTATGTGGATAGTAATAATAAAAAATCACTTACCCTTATTTGTCTTATTTCAGTCATCAAATGTTTATTGTCCTCTTCCAAATTTTTGATTATATCGTCCTTTATTTCTATTACTTCCTTGTATTCAAGCAATTGTGCATCATCCTTTTCATATGTTTTGTCCGTTTGGTTCTTATAGGAATTAACATCAAAGATATTATTGTTAAAAATGAATGCATCATTTTGTTTTTCTGGAGGTTTTAGCGGTGTGTTTTTAAAATTATCATTTCCTAAAGTTGGTTTTACAACAATTTCTTCATTTTCCATTATTTCTTTGTTTTGGCTCACCTTCTCATTATCCGGTGGTGGGGTTGACTCCACTTTGCTCGCTTCGGAAAAATCTTCGCTGTACAACTCACTTTCACTTTCACTGTCACTGTGCTTGGACATATCCAATGGCAAGGGGCTCAAACTTTTTGGGGTGGGAGTGGAATCATTGCTCGAAGTTATAAAGTCAGTAATGTTCTGTGAGGTTTTTGATCTTTGGCTTAACTGCTCGAAACTCTTCGAACTCTCCATGTACACTTTTTCAGCTTCTTTCATTATATCATCTATGCTTCGTTCTGGTGTGTTGGCGTTGAAAGGACCCAGCGGACTCTGTGCTGCCACTCGATTAATTTCCTCAATTATACTTCCCACATCTAAATTGTCTCTATTACTGCTCAAAGCGTTTTGCTCTTTTTCCAAAAACTCTGCCAATGAGCTTGAAATATCCAATTCTAACCTAGGTACTACTGTAACACTAGGGACGCCTTCTTCATTGTCAGTGGCTTTATTCGCCGATTTCATCCACCAAAAATTACTTGCACTTTTCGTTTCCATGTTTATATCGATTTAGCAAAGCGTGAATAACAATGTTTTGCTAATAATATAATTATAATGGGATTGACCAAGGATTTTACAGTCCTTGGAGATTGACAGCAACTTGTTTACAATTCTAGTTTCAACCCACTTAAGTTGGCAATACTATTCTCATATGGTTGGCACCTCCGACTGTCACTGCGCAGTTGACAGTTATTGTTATAATCTGTGATTGTTGTGAAAATGGACGATGAAAAGCCCAAATCCTTCGCTGAAAAGCAGGCGGAACGCATGAAAAGGCTGCGTAACTTGCACACGATGCGTAACGAGGCCAGATCTCACAACCACAAGGAAGTTATAGCCGAAGACGCGCGAAATAACTTGCCAGCGAACTACGAAAGTCGCAAGCGTCGCGCTGAGTGGACGTTAAACGATCAGAAGGAACGCGAAGAGGCCAAAAGTAGAGGCGAGGATTACGATAGGGTTAAGTTGTTGAATGTAACGGCCGTGGAGGCCGAGAAAATGGAGAGGATGAGGAAGAAGAAGAACCCTGATCAGGGGTTCTCGGACTTTGAAGCTGCCAGTTTCAGGCAGTATAACAGGTTAATCAAGACTCTGCCCCAAAAAGACATGGAAAGATATGAGGAACAGAAGGAGAAATACGGGGAAGCCTTCTATGCAGGTCCAAACACCATAATACATGGTATTCATGAAGATAGACCCGAGGCTGTGGATAACTTGGTTAAAAGTGTGGAAGACCAAATTGCCAAGAGGAATAAGTATTCCCGAAGAAGGACACATAATGATGATGCTGATATCGACTATATTAACGAGAGAAATGCCAAGTTTAACAAAAAATTGGACAGATTCTATGGGGAACATACTGCAGAGATAAAACAGAATCTTGAAAGGGGGACGGCAGTTTAAAATAAGTTTGTTTTTTTTAAATAAGGATTATATGTTAAAATTATCAAAATAAGCATATTTTATTTTTTAAATTTACAGAAAATATATGTACATTCACAAAACTTTGCCTAAATTTAGTGGGCTATTTTATGGTTGAAATTTGTAAATAAAATAAAAAATAGCAGTTCAATTTCCTAGATTTATTTTGTTCTTTAAAGGACCCAATACCCTGTAACAAAAAATGCATTTTTTAAATCTTTTTTACATTTTTTTTCTGACTACATATGGTTTAGTAAAAAAAAAGTTATACCTACCTTCACAAAAATATTAATTTGACAACAAAAAAAATCATGCTTAAATATTATTTTGTTAATTAAAAAAACACATTTCACAATAAATCTTACTTCTTGGCAATCGCTGAGTCACATGTATCTGTATATTATCACCTGGAGATGCAGAAACTGCAAAAACAAAAATAAAATACATATTTAAAACTATAAACTTTATTATACAACAGTAAAAGACAGCAAGTCAAAAGTATTAAACGTCAAATAATGGGCTAAAAAGTAAACATTAAGCTGTATGGGGCGCCGTTTTATTTTTTATTCACTAGAGTGATATTTTCAATTAGATAAAAAATTAATAATATCATAGCAAAATTAGATTTAATTTTTATGCCAAACTCACATTTTTTAATTAAAATATTTGTATTTTTAATTCCGACTGATTGAGAATTTGGACACCCCTGTTATTCCAAACGCCACGATTGTGCCGCCCTCTAGTGACAGAATTAGTTTGAAATACCAGGGGTGTCCAAACTTTCAATCTGAATGAAAAATATCCCATACAATTAAAAATGTATACATATATGCTTATTTTAAAAAATTAAAATTAATTAAAAATATCTTCTATGATATTTTTAATTTAGAGGGTGTTATGTTTTAATGTAATATATTAAAATACTGATTACCTTTTGACATAAGGTGTAACAGAAAAATATTTAAAAAAAATATTTTCCCAAAGATAAAGAAATAAATAAAAAATAAAATGGCGCCCCATAAAGCTGTTAAGAGTAAAAAAGATTGTATTTATAAAATACTATATTTAGGTAAGTATGAGAAATAATCATTGATATGTTGTAAGTGGGTGAATCTCACGAAATGTCCCCGATGGTGTTACCCCGTGATATTTAATAAAACTAAATGAGTTTTACCTACACTTTTATTGTGTTTTGATCTATCATAATTAAGTGGATATGACAGCTCAGGTTCCAGATTTATAGCCGCATTTAATTATTTTTTACAATGTTAAAGTCTAAAACCTATCCTCCGTGACTGTTACTCTTTCTAGATTAACCTATATGTTTTCAAATAACTGAGGTAGTAAAAGCATACTAAAAATATCAGTTCACTAAGTAAATTAAACACACTCAAAGCAATCGAATCAAATATAAAATGTTATTAAAAATTAAAAGAAATAATTTTAATAGGTGTTACAAAAATTGATTCTTTCATTCGCGAATCTGTTTTTGCTTTAAATTGTATGCAACGGATGGCGCAAAAACCTCTGTTTACAACATTATAGATGCATGTGATTCCTGAAGGTCAGTTAGAACTTATATGCAGATGAGAGTGTTGCTGTTTTATAATTCAAAAGTTTAAGTTCATTAATTTGCTTTTTAAAAACCTATCCACCGTGAAGTGTAATATCTCAGTAAGACTAACAGTGAAACAACAATACAAAATAATCATTTTCACTTGGGGGACATCTCAATTACCCATGTATGTATCACATTTTTATTTAATTGTGATGTAAAGTTCGACCAATAACGCAAATTTAACATAAAAAATACTTCCAAAGGAAATTTGTTTCAACAAAATTGAAGTAAAACTTATCACAGTTACATTGAACCCTGGTTCGTCAATATTTGGAATAAAAATAATCTCAACACAAAAAAAAAATAAAACGCATCATCTAAGTTCGTTTTGCCGCCCCAGCCGGCCCCGGGGCGCCCTAACGTTCCCGTTACCGTCGCGGCTCCCCAAACTGCCCTGCCTACGAAAATTACCCCCCAAAACGTCGCGCGTATCCAGAGCCGTCACGACGATTGCATCGTTGCCGTATCGAATGTTACTCGGGCTGCTGGAGCTGTGCTGCAAGGGCACGCTCCTGTCGAGGTCGTTGCGGTCGCTGAGCCGCCTCAGCACGCCACTCGACCGATTCTCCACCCCCAAACTCTCCAGCAGCTCGTCGATGTTAGTGTCGGCGCTAAGCTCGGGCCTACCGTGATACGTGGTGCGCAGCATGCCGCACGTCTCGCACTTGTTCAAATCCGGGTGGTTAAGGAATGTACACACGCTGCAGCTCCATTCGGGCGCTTGCTGCAGCTGCTGCACGTTCAAAGGCCGCTGGATCCTCTGTTGCTGCTGCTGCTGCTGCTGCTGCTGGCCCTGGTGGTACGTGTTGTTCTGAAATTCTTGACCTAAAACAACAACCACCGTCCAACTATTCAAATAATTCAAATTTCAAGTTTCCAAGTCTTGTAGTTTTCGAGATATAAGCCGATTTAACAGAACTTGGCGCCGAAATATAATTGAACTGAGATATAGGCTATTTTAACAATTCTGGGCGCCTTAATAAAAATGGTTATGTAATAAAATAACTGTTTTTCAAAACAGCATACAGTTTAATAATTTCAACCATATCGGCTATTTTGACAATCCTGGGCGCCCAAATAAAAAAGTTCTATAATAAAAAAACTTTAAAGTTAATATATTTAAAATTTGGTGTGCAGTTAAATACTGCTAACTGTTATATCGTATTAAAATCTCAAGTTTGTAACTCTTCTAGTTTTTAAGATAAAGGCAAATTTAACAATTCTGGGCGCCCGAAACTAAAAGTTGTATTTTAACCAAATTGTAAGAGTGTTTGAAATGGTGTACAGCTGACGTCAACTATATCGGCTATTTTAACAAATCTGGGCGCCGAAATAAAAAAGTTCTATAATTGAGTTGAGATATAGGGTATTTTAACAATTCTGGGCGCCTTAATAAAAATGCTTATGCAATAAAATAACTGTTGTTGAAACGGCATGCAGTTTAACAATTTCAACCATATCGGCTATTTTGACAATCCTGGGCGCCTAAATGAAAAAAGTTCTATAATAAAAAATCTTTAAAAGTTATATATTTAAAATTAGGTGCACAATTAAACATTGCTAACTGTTATATCGTATTAAAATCTCAAGTTTGTAACTCTTCTAGTTTTTAAGATAAAGGCAAATTTAACAATTCTGGGCGCCCGAAACTAAAAGTTGTATTTTAACCAAATTGTAAGAGTGTTTGAAATGGTGTACAGCTAACGTCAACTATATCGGCTATTTTAACAAATCTGGGCGCCGAAATAAAAAAGTTCTATAATTGAGTTGAGATATAGGGTATTTTAACAATTCTGGGCGCCTTAATAAAAATGCTTATGCAATAAAATAACTGTTGTTGAAACGGCATGCAGTTTAACAATTTCAACCATATCGGCTATTTTGACAATCCTGGGCGCCCAAATAAAAAAAGTTCTATAATAAAAAAGCTTTTAAAGTTATATATACATAAAATTTGGTGAACAGTTAAATAGTGCTAACTGTTATATCGTATTAAAATCTCAAGTTTGTAACTCTTATAGTTTTTAAGATATAGGCAAATTTAACAACTTTGAGCGCCCGAAACGGGAAGTTGTATTTTAACCAAATTGTAAGAGTGTTTGAAATTGTGTACAGCTAACGTCAACTATATCGGCTATTTTAACAAATCTAGGCGCCGAATTAAAAAAGTTCTATAATTGAATTGAGATATAGGCTATTTTAACAATTCTGGGGGCATTAATAAAAATTGTTATGTAAAAAAATAACAGTTTTTGAAACAGCATACAGTTTAGTAATTTAAACCATATCGGCTATTTTAACAATCCTGGGCGCCTAAATGAAAAAAGTTCTATAATAAAAAAGCTTTTAAAGTTATATATTTAAAATTTGGTGTGCAGTTAAACAATGCTAATTGTTATATCGTATTAAAATCTCAAGTTTGTAACTCTTCTAGTTTTTAAGATAAAGGCAAATTTAACAATTCTGGGCGCCCGAAACGAAAAGTTGTATTTTAACCAAATTGTAAGAGTGTTTAAAATGGTGTACAGCTAATGTCAACTATATCGGATATTTTAACAAATCTGGGCGCAGAAATAAAAAAGTTCTATAATTGAGTTGAGATATATGCTATTTTAACAATTCTGGGCGCCTTAATTAATAAAAATGGTTATGTAATAAAATAACTTTTTTTAAAACGGCATACAGTTTAAAAATTTCAACCATATCGGCTATTTTAACAATCCTGGGCGCCTAAATGAAAAAAGTTCTTTAGTAAAAAAGCTTTTAAAGTTATATATTTAAAATTTGGTGTTATAATAGTTTACCAAAAAATTCTGAAAATTGACTTACATTGGTACTTAAGGTGTGCAATTTCTCTCTCTAGCTGTTTTTTGAATTCTTCATTCGTTCGCTCTTTCTCATCTTTTTTTCGTTTCATCTCTGCATATTCCCTTTGCTTTATGACTAACTTGGACTTATCTGTAGTCAGTTCTATCCGAAGTCTTTCTATTCTAGCTTGTTGTTGCATTATCACAGGCGCTGAAATATAAAAATATGTATGCATATAATAAATTGTCTACATTTTTACTTTATTTTTGAGTGCTGTACCTATCATAGGTAACCTATGTTTATTTCCCATTGCTTGCTATAGAATTATTGCAAAGGTACGCGTAAATATAAAACATTGGGTTCAAGATAAGAACTCCACTTTTTTCTCATTGATATGTTCAAGGTTCCACGGACGTCACAAATAAGTGTTTCAATAAAAATACCGAGGAAATCAAATATAAATACAGAGCAATTTTATTAGGTTTACATACATTAGTTTAGGCGTTACAAAATGTAACATAAATAAAGAATACATTACTGATGTTACGATGAGTCATCGCGGTGTTAAACAAGGGAAAAAGTACCGTTACTTGAATGTCTACCTGTCTGACCACACATAATTAAAACTGTGCTGAATGACTTTGTTTATTTAATATAGAAAGTTTTTTTAAATGTTTTTCATTATACCAGGAGGTTTTTGATCTTGGATTATATCAAGATTTTTAATTGGCATAAATAATAAATTAAATTTGTTGCCAAAATAAAAACTTGATCTTCTCATGCATTACATTTAATAGCTTCCTGTGTTCGATGGAAAAAACAAACAATTCCTGGAAATTTACACTTTCACTGCTATAGCATATGAGCACGTTTGTTGGCAAAATTCAACGACTTTAATTCGCACACCATTTGAGGTCTTTGAAGTCTAATTTAACAATCCTGGGCGCCCTAAATGTAAAGTTTTATATTTTAACCAAGATTTTGGAATGGTGCACAATTAAAGACAACTTGGTTTATGTCTTTCTATGAAAATGAAATGGATTTGAACGAGTTTATTTTTCTTGATGTCGATATTGCAAAATCGCAATAATATTGGCCTTGGTCGAACGAAAATAACGGACCAACTTCGCGTAGGATCAACCCATTTATTTTTAGATGTCAGTGAGTTTGATGATGCCTTTAAACACCTGATATCTACATACATTTATTTTCACTTCATATACCTGTAGATTGTCTATCTTAATTAGGTAGTAGTTTGGACCTAAATCTATTGAATTGAATTTAAATTCGTAACAAAATTATTTCGAGGAATAATTTAACCAAATTTTCTTGGAACAAAGTTGAATATGTGTCCCATTCATTTCGAAATTGAATCAATAACCTAAAATTACTCGGATAGCTGATGTTTTGGCAATATATACGATTTTATTGCCAAAAAGTTTACACTAAAAAATCAATTGTTGGCCTAAAACATTCAAACATTTCTGAGAATAAAAGTGCGATATGTTAACTGGCGAATAATAAAATATTTACAAGCGTTTCATAGAGTACGATTATTTTTAGATTTTAAATTGTGTTCTTTGCAAGATTTAAAAAAAACAAAGCAATTTCAACAATTACTTTTTGCACAAAAAAAACAAGAATGAAATTTTGGCGCCAAAATTAAAATTTTGGGACCATATAAATTTTAACTATTCCAATTTTACTAACTGATTTAAAATGTTTTATTTTATTTTATTTTAAAGTGAATCTCTTCCTGGAAATTTGTGTTGTTTGTAAATATTTTAATAAACAAAGTTTATAGTTCTATATTGTTTTAAATACCTACTTAAAACATATTTCTTATATTTATTTATAAATTTGTTGCATTAGGTATTTTATTTTTATAACATGGAAATTCCACCTAAACTTTAAAAACTTATAAATAAAGATAATGATTTGTTAACAGTTGGTAAACTGTGTACCTATTAACATTTAAATCAGAATGCTGTTTATCAGGAATGTTCTAATAAATTTATTAAAGTTTCGAAAACGACACATTAAATATCAAAAATCTGCGAACAGAAAGCGTGGGTAATTTATTTTATTAATAATGCACGTAGCATTTCCTTGAGGCACAGGCCAAAATCATATGACACGACCGAGTTAATAGGCATTTTGCAAAGCAACATTTTCGTCGAAACAATGTTTTTATAGGTGAGAATCCGTGCCAATCCTTAGAAGGAGAACATATAAGAACAGCAACTAAATGTTTATACGCTAAAGAAGTATCGCTAGTAGCGCCACCACTCGGCTGTTATCATAGTAACAAAAGCTTAGGTTACAAACGAGTGTTTTTAAGAATAAAGCCGGAAAATGTTAAAAAATATCGAAAAAAAAACCGTGGCTCGATTTGTTGTGTTGTTGGGTGTATTTCGAGAGGAAATCATGGGTTGAGTTTTTACCGGTTTTCCAATAAACAGTGTTAATCTGAATGAAGAAATAAATTGCATACAGTCTCTGTAAATATAAATTGTATCTATTAGATACAATAAATACACATTTTAGTAGTGATTAACGTGAAAAGTTCAATTCAGTAAAAATCGTCAAACAAATAAGTCGTCTAAATTTAAACAGCATTTAGCATTATTAAAAGCGTTGATTAAGAAAGTCCACTCAACGGTAAAATAACATTATATTATGTATTATATATACATAATATTAGGGGTTTTCGCGGTGCTAATCCCGAACTAGTTTGGACATCCTAGGCATGCGCATTTTATTTACAATTAAAAACACAATAAATCACCATGATCCCTTTGATAAAATACACACACTAACGTAACTATATAAGCATTTAAGCGTTGAGTTTCTTAATCAATGATATAAGGAATAATCAATCGAAATCGAGTACTAAAAATTTTTTTTTAATTTTTTCCTTGCAACGGAAAACACAAATAACGTGCGCGATTTAGTTGTGCAATTGAATGAAATTTGTCGAGTAAGGGTGGAAGAAGAAGGTGATATAGCTCCTATCTCTATAGAGATACAGTATACAGAACAAAAGCAAGCGTCCAGATAAGTCAGTATTTCGTTCGTTGTTCGATAGATGGCGAGTCAACTAAGAATTTACATATACTTACTGTGTGGTAAGTATATGAGAATTTAAGGTTTTACCAACAAAATCCATATATTCTATAACAACTTTTGACAATTAATTATAAGATAACGAAAACCCAAGGAGAGTCTTCTACCCTCCTTAACGAAAATTACATCTTTTCTTACAGCATTATCATAATAATTTGAAAAACGATTGGCAATACTGTAGTATTGCCAACTGCTCTGCCAAAATGCACAGTCGCTACAAACGCACAAAAGTGACGTTGAAATGGTTTTATTTGAATTTTAATTAAGCTTAGTGGTCTATTCTTTGAAGTTAATCAATGCAATTTTACTAAAAATGGAAAAAGTTTGTTGTGCACCGGGATTTAAAAAAATAAATAGGTTCTTATTTTTGGCGCCATCTATTTTGACTTTTAATCTGGCCGACCTTCAACGACGGAGTTGAATCATCTCCTTCTTCCACCCTGAGTAAGACTTCTGCCTTCCTCTCTGAATGAAGAAATGGGGTGCGATTTTCTAACTCAGACGGTGCTTTAAATTTATTGTCCACCAGATGGCGCGCGCGTTGCGAAAACCCGATACTTCTTTAAAACTAACTAACTAACTAACTTACGTTTATCATTGTCCACCAAACTGTTGAGGGAGCCAGCCCTAGCGGGCAGAAGATCGTGGACACGGTCCTGGGGATGATAGCTACTCCTAGGCCTGGCTCTGACGGAAGAAACGCTCCCGCCTCCCGGGCCCACGGTGATCTGCAGGCGGCTCTGGAGGCCCCTTTGGGAGTCGAAACTGCTGGTGGAGTAGGTGAGACTAGAATTCCGCGAGGTTATGTCGATGGGGGGTTGGAACTCGGCGCTGGGCGGTCGCAGGGTCAAGTTGACGCTGGTGTAGCTCCTGGGAGAGAGCGGGTCTTGGAGCCAGGGTTGCGTGGGGGTTAGTTGGAGGGTCGAGGTGCATTTCGGCTTGGTGGGGGTTTGCACTAAGTCCATGGAACAGTTGACGTTCAAAGATAGGTTCACCCCGCCCAGGAGAGTGTCTGTGGTTTGTGTGGGGGTCGAGACGGTTTCCTTCTTCACATCTTGGATGTGCAGTCTTCTATTGGCGTCGGGGGAGGTGATGGGGGGGCGTTTCGAGGTGAGGGGGGAACGCGGTGGTTTGTCCACCACTTGGTTCAACAGTTTGTGGACGTCTTTGCATTTTTCCGACAGCTGCAGCTTGTTGTCGTCGAAATTTGTCGCGATTTGGGGTTTGATGCCCAAAGTGTCGGGTCTCTTGGCGTAGAACGTCGAGTTGTTCACTTTATGTACCGGTTCACTTATAACGCGAACCGCGTCGTTGTCCTTCGAATACCGAACACTGTTCACTAGATTCCGATTCAAATCACCATCGACGTCACTCACGTTCATTTCGGCTAGAGGGGCGTTCGCGGAGGGGGTCTGGGATCGGCCCATCAAGTCCTGGGCCGCCGCCGCGAGCAAGGTTTCGCGAAGCTGCGCGACGTTGCCGGCGCAGCTCGTTATGCAGGCGGTCACGATGTGATCGGGCACCGTCGGATGCTGCTGCTTCAGTTCATGGAATAGCTGCATTGCCCGCACGTTGGATGACCTTCGTTGCTGCGACCCACCGGCGAACATGGCCGGCCATAATGCTGTATCTGAAAAAAAAGTTTTTGAAATTTGACAACGTCGGATTTTGCGTAAATTTGACAACGTCGCATTTTTTAGAACTATGGCAACTGCGCTTGTGATATTCCTATAATAACGCACTTAAAATGTTAAGTTATGCGTAAATTTGACAACGTCGCATGTTTGGAACTTTGGCAACTGCGCTTGTGATGTCACTATAATAATAATGATAATAGAAAAAAGTATATTTAAATATAAATAAAAAAAAATAAAAAAAATGGCAACGTCGCGTTTTTAGTAACATCGGCAACGTCGCATTTTTAGTAACATCTGCAACGCACTTGAAATGTCAAATAAAAACGTTAAATTTTGCGTACATTTGGCAACGTTGCATTTTTAGAACTATGGCAATAGCGCTTGTGATGTCACTATAATAATACTGATAAAAGAAAAAGTATTTTTAAATATAAATAGGTACCTAAATAAAAAAAAATTTAATGGCAACATCGGATTTTGTGTAAATTTAGCAACGTCGCATTTTAGAACTATGGCAACTGCGCTTATGATGTCCCTATAATGACGCACTTAAAATGTTGAGATTTGCGTAAATTTGGCAACGTCGCATTTTTAGAACTATGACAAGTGCGCTTGTGATGTCACTATAATGATAATGATAATAATAAAAAAAAGTTAAATGGCAACGTCACATTTTTAGTAACATCGGCAACGTCGCATTATTGGTCAAAAAACTTTTGTTTTGTTTGTATCTAGAAGAAAAAAGTTTTTGAAAACTTTAATGGCAACGTCGGATTTTGTTAAAATTTGGCAACGTCGCATTTTTGAGAACTATGGTAACTGCGCTTGTGATGTCCCTATAATGACGCACCTTAAATGTTGTGGAAAAAGTATTTTTAAATATAAATAAATTTAAAAAAATTAAAAAATGTTAAATGGCAACGTCGCATTTTAAGTAACACCGGCAGCGTCGCATCATTGTTCAAAAAAACTCTAAAAAAAATTGTATCTGGAAAAAAGTTTGTTGAATTTTTTAATGACGTCGGATTTTGCGTAAATTTGGCAACATCGCATCTTAAGAACTATGGCAACTGCGCTTGTGATGTCACTATAATGATAATGATAATGGAAAAAGCGTTTTTAAATATAAATAAATAAATAAAAAATTTTAATGTTAAACGGCAACGTCGCATTTTGTTTAACATCGGCAACGTTGTATATTGATCAAAAAAACTCTAAAAAGATTGTTTCTGGATATTTTTTTTAATTTTTAATGGCAATGTGGGATTTGGTGTAAATTTGGCAACGTCGCATTTTTAGAACTATGGCAACTGCGCTTGTCACAATAATGATAATAATAAATAAAAAAATAAAAAAAATTTAATGGCAACGTCGCATCATCAATGATTTTATGTCTTGAAAAACAAACTATAATAATCATAGACATTCAAAAATATTCCAATTAAAAAATGTAATTTTTACATTCTAATTTAGAATTTCTAAATTGTGTCTGAACAGAACATCAAAAAATTTTAAATGGCAGGTAAGTATTGTTTTTCGAATATTTATTATCAAAATATTTTAAAAGATGTAATAAATCATCTTAAAAGTCAAAAATACAAATTTGAGACATCAATCATTGTATTTTTAGTTTTCTTACATTCAATTGTTTTTTAATAAAAATAGCCCGCATTTTCTTAATTTACTATATAATAAAATAAACACCTTCCAAAAATAATCCGACATATTTTTAATAAATAAAAATACCAAAATTTATGAAATTCACACGAATATAAGTGACACTTTAAATTTAGACCAATAACGTCACTATTTTGTGTTACATTTGGCAACGTGTTAAAAAACAGGTGGCCAGATCGCACTTTACGTGTAAAAAAAGTTTTTATTTTTATTTAAATCTTATGTAGGTACCACATTAATATTATCACAAATATTTAATTTGCTTGAGTTAATAATTTACATTTTTTTGAGATTATTTAGAGATTTGGCATTTGAATCGTGTCTGATTTTCGCCAAAAATTATATGCCCAATTTCTTATGACGAAATTAAATCATTACTATGATTTATTCGCAACGTTTCGAACTAAAAAATAGAATTTTATAAAATTCGCGAATCAAAACAATTGTATGGTGTTTATATTTCAGTTATATAATTTTTTTGGCGTCATAATCGTGACGAGATGCTTTGTTGTCGTTGGTTTTAAAATCGTGAAATTTGTCACGTTATTTTCTATAGCAACTTTCTATTAGAAAGCAATAAACCAATCATAGCAATGCATTCTCCACAGCACACTACGTGCGATGAAGAATTGTTTATTGCTTTCTATAGAGATATTTTTATATACAAATTCCAAATAGTAAAATCTGATTTTATAGTAACAAGATATAAATGTGTTGACCTTGATATACGCAAGGCATGTAAGCAATAATTGTCACTAAAGATGTCTGATATTTAAAATAAATGCTTTGCACATTTTCTCGTCCAAATTATTTTTATTGTTGAAATATTCGAGAAATGCTCGCAATTTATGTATATGTAGTTAATTAAGGTAGATGGGTCGTCTGGTATATTTTTAGACACTTAAATCAGGCCTTAAAGATGTATTGGGACATGTAAACACATCTCTTTAAAATAAAGTGATATTTGTATAAAATATTAAATATACAGAGCTGATAAGTAGCATTTTAAATATTGATAAACATGTTGATATTTACCAAACTAAATAGTTTATCAACGGGATGTTTTGATAATGCGAAGCCGACATCCTTCAGTTTTTTTTTATCAAAATATTATTCCGTTGAGTATAATCAACCAAGGTATGTATCTTGATAATCAACAATAATTGTATAATTATTATACAATACCTAGGTATTTGAAATTACCTAATATTTGTCTACTATTTCAAAGAATTTATAGATAAGACACCTGCGATTATCTATTTATTGAAGTTTGAATATTTATGTAGGTAATATGGGTCTTATTTAATAAGGCGTGAAAGGTCAGATAGTGTGATAAAAATTTTAAGAAATATTTTAATAATATCATTTTAGAATTTTTATACAATTCAAAAGTGGTATAAAAATTGTTTAAAACAATATTTTCTGAAATAAATTAATTGGTAAAGCTCTAAAACACAAAAAAAATATGATCTAGAACCGATTTACATCTTGTTTCTATTTAAATGTTGCCAATTTAACAATATCTTTCATCATCATGAGTTTCAGGGTAACTACTTGTAATTTTGGCAACGTTTTATATTAATATGTCCGAAATGTCAAATATTGACATTGAATCTGCAATGCTTTTATTAATCGTGTCTCCATTTGGTTATTGTATCAAATACCTAGTCAACCAACTATAATATGTTTAATTTAGTACTTATTTACCACAAACCAAAGTTTAAAAACCTTTCTATAGAAAATGATCTCTGTAGAAAGCAATAAACCAATCAAAGCACGGCATTCTCAATAGCACCTAGTGTGCTGTGACGAATGATGTGCTGTGATTGGTTTATTGTTTTCTATAGAGAGCAGTTTCTATAGAAAGTAAAGTAGGTGGCAAATTTCATATGTAAATTGTAAAGAAATATTGTGTAAATATAAAAACAATCGCGGTTAATGTCACATGATATAATAAACATAAGATAAATATTGTTGGTCCAAAGTCGATGTCGCCTTATAAAACTGGTGATGAAAAACGCTTTTATTATTCTTTTGAGATCGCACGGAAAAAATTGTTTTATTTTTCGAAAGTTTTCTAGCGGGGGCGTTTCTGACGTCAGTTTGACGTTTTGCATACCACAACCTGACAGTGGGCGAACAAATTTACATTTTATTGTTATTGATATTGCTATGGAATCGTTAAAATAAATACAAACCATTATAGATTAGAAATCACACCGGAAAATCTCCAAAAACGTTCAACATACCGATTCACATAATAAGCGTATTGCAATATATCCTTGAGTCACACCACAGTCAACAAAACAGGCACACAGACATCACGTTAAAAACTATTCGACCCCCGATATACAAAGGACTTTCTTCGCATTAAGCGGCAACCTTCCTCTTCGTATGTTATGGAAAACTGAGATTTTAATACACAAATAGATGCATGGAAAACGTCACTTAAATGTCAAGCGCCATCTGTCAGAAATCTTAACAAACCTAAATAAAAGATGTCTATTTGTAACGACATCTAGCATTTAGAACAGAAAGTTTATGTTGTTTTTACAGTTTTCTGTAATTTGGGTGTGATGAAATCATATTTAGCAAAAAATACTCTTTTCATGCGTACAAAAATAAAATTTATATGATTTTTATGCTAAAACGTTAATATATTATTATCAATATGACATACGGGACGAAACGTTCTTATCTTAATAATTACACAGGAAGCGACATATTGGTTGGCTTTGTTTTTCCTACTTGTTGATCGTTGGGGGCGAATTATTGATTAAGCGGATTGAGCATGCTCAATATTCGGTGACACACGAGAAAAACCACTTTTACACAATATGTTCGGGTAGATAGGCGTTCGTGGTAAACAAATCCCTCAAAATGGAAGATTTGTTGCTAAGCATTGTAAAAGAGGCCGGTGGCTCTAAGTTGGTGAACTTAAAGCAAAGAGCGCAGGAGGCTCATGGTAAGTTTAACTGTTTAATATTATTCGTTAAGGAAAATTAAAAAATATGTTAAATGAGCCTGTCATATAATACGCAGTTCTGGTTTTATATTAAATTAATATTATTAATATATACTTTAATAATGCATTCCATCCATGGATATCACGTATGAAACCGGTTGCCATGGAAACGACTGGAATAGGGCAGCTGTGGTTATGTTTTGGTAGAAATTAAAACTTTAAATTTTCATAATTAAGCTAGAATCAAGAAGACTAAATAAAGAAAGAGCAAGGCATAATATTTAATACTTCAAGGTTAAATCTGGTATTACTAAAAATGCACCATTTTCTGTACACCCTGTATAAAAAAATAACATATAAACAAAATATGGGTTATGTTCCTGTCAAATGGACGTCAGGGACATGCGCAATAACAAAATTTACTATTGCGCATATCCCTGACGACAAAATATACTTGCACAGTGGCTAATAATCTACATCGGTCGATTTTAAATTTCACTTCTCACTTTTTACGTCGATTCATGCTCATGTAGCTGTTATTATTCACACAAAGTTTACAGCGGCGTAGAAAATTATTTTGCCATCATATCCGGATGATTTCGGATTTCATCTGCCGCTGCAGTGACAAGTTCGCGGAGTTTTTCTAATGTGTCAACTAGCCCCAGAGAAACCACTTTTACAACCGAATCAATGATAACAAAGTACCTACTAACCGATTTTAAATAAGTTTAAAAGTTTGCTTGTTTTTTGTACTGTCATCAATATTCTATAGAAATATATTTACTACCTTGTAGATTTGCTTTCTGCACAAAACAATTTGATGAGGAACTCTTCTCATGAACTCAGAACAGCTTGCTTTCAACCCTTAAAGTTGGCTCTGGAATCCAAACGAAGCAAACTGGTAGCTCTATCTCTAACAGGACTCAACGTAAGTTACATCCACCATTCAAAAAAGTTCTAAGCGTTCAAGGATTTTTTTCTTGTAGAAAATAGTCCGAGACGAGCGCTTTCAGGCCGGAACTGAACCTGAAGACGATTCCCTCTGGCTTCCGGCTCAACTTCTTCTAGCCACTTCCTCGATTTTGTCGCAATGCGAAGACACGCAAGTTCATATACTGCGTGTGGTGCTGAACCTGGCTTGCTCTGCAAGTTGGGCTTTAAACGGAAGACTGGTAATGTTGATGATTAGTAGATGCGGAGAGGCTTACGAGACTGGAACGCAGCCCGTGAGGGCTGCAGCACAAGCGGCGGCCAGCCAGACTTTAACCGCCTTTTGTACCTTCTTAGGTGAGGTGATCACTTTTAAACCCTTTCAGAAAACCTTGAGTTTTTCTTTCTCTTTAGATGAGGAGTGTCAGGAGATTCTGCAGCACCAGCTGAAGCACAAGAACTCTGGAGGAAGTGCAGAGATGGTGTACACCAAAACCTCCGCGGTAGCATGCTTCAATGAAGCTATACCTGTAATGCAGTACCTCTGTAGTCGATTGGAGGAAATTAAGACGTAATACAACTCATAACTCAGTCACGCTCTCTAACAAAATCATTCTAGGTTGCCAAAAACCACCGATATGACAGTATTCCTATTAGAATGCTTGTTAACTTTGGTTAACACTCTCCCGCATAGCGTCCATTCCAACATACACTTCACGACTTTTTTGTGGCAACGATTCTGCCCTGCTTTGCTCTCCTTGCTTGGGGCACCTGGCGATCCAGCTTCGCAAGGTCTAACCACAAACCAATCGAAAATAATCTACAGCATCGGCATACAAGTTGTGCGATTAGTAGGTCGCGAGAGGGCTTTGAGACCCGTACTGGAAGCTCTCTTTCACAGAATGTTGCTTCTGCCAAGCCCCACGAAAAGGCTGGAACCTCTTAGAGCCGCTAGAGAGCTCTTAAGATCGCCTGGGAGGTTAGCGGACCTGTTGCTACTCAGCGGTCCGATTCATAGACATGCTGGCGATGATATGGCCATCATAAGACTGTAAGTATGCTCCAAACTACGAGAATGTTTACTTATTTTGTTTCATGTTTTAGTATCATGGACTCCATTGAAGAGTCGTCGCAATGCAACGACACTGGGGTTCTTCTAGCGAGCGTAGAGTGCATTGGAGCTCTACTTGGCTCTCTAGAATCTTTATGTCGCGGTGAAGGCGTCAACCTCGAAGACGCGGAGATGGCAACAGCGCGTTATCCAACCTTGGAACATGCGGACTATACGGGACCTTTGACCTATCAATCTTTGGCGAGACTGCCGAAACCTTACAGAGACGTCGTGGCGAATTTAAGGTACCAAAGCGATTCAGACAGCAGCGGTATCGAAGGCAACATTCCTGATCTAGAAGGCGGTTCTGAGTCGGATTGTTCCGGCGCTACAGAAGGCCCGGAGGAGTTTGGAAGCCAGTCAGAGGATAGTATAATGGACGACGAAAGCTTTCTTACGAGCCAGCAGCTGCAGAAGCTGCACAAAATACCGAAATCGCTGAATTTAGGCCGCACTGGGATAGAAGAGTGCAACACCGATGTCGAACGGCATAATTCCAGACATTTTGTCAAAACTTTGCAGCACATTTTGTTGCCAAACTTGATGTCACTGAGGTCTTCCATACAGGTGGATGAGGTGTTGCAGGAGTTCGCTTCCAAGTGCTGCCAACACAACTCGGCGCAAAATTATGAGTTTCCAACAATCATGAACGCGGATGGGATATACTTGGCTACATACTCCGCCTTACTATTGGATTTGAAGCTGATACAGACTGGGCATTACGACGAGACGAATAAAGGGGCTACAGTTCCAATCACAGAGGCGCAGTTCGTCGAGGAAATCCACGGCAGCGGGGTGTTGGTGTACGTTTCGGCAACGTGGCTATGCGAGTTGTATCAAAACGTGCTAGCCAAGTCTTTACTGCTATCCTCTGGGTACGATCCGAAATCCAGTCAACAGGTAGCCCTCATAAATCTACTGACAGACGTGGGGGGTCTCTGTCCTTCGCAACTGCTGACAGACTGGCAGAAGCTGCAGAAAGTTACCGGTACGCCAGACAGCAGTCCGGAGATAGAGGCGGGGATTAGATTGTCGCGACGCGTTTTGACTTGTTGTTGGACCTCGGTGGTGTCGGTATTGGGGGCGCCTTTGGGAGAACCACCACGCGCAACCGGTACTTCAACCTTGAGCAGGTTGGTCGCTAGAAGGGCTAGGCAGAAGAACCGTCAAAGAATAAGGGACGATATCATCACAGCGAGCTTGGAGGGGTTACACAAAGCGGCAAGTCTAAGTAATACGTTGAAACTGCAATCCAGAAGCAGCAGTATTTTGGCGCTACTATCGACTTCTTCCTGCAAGGTGCAAGGCCCAAAGTTACCGGCATCACACGCTCTTTCATTGGACGTTTTATTGTCCAAGGGTTTAGCCTTGGGCTGCCACAGTTCAGCATGTTGGTTACACGTTTTCAACGCCTGTGTTGCTGTAGCAAGTTTAGAACATGCTTTGTTCAGCAAAACTGGTTCCACCCAGTTGTTGATGGTGGCCCAAAGCACACCTAATAATACCGTCACTTCAGTTACTTGCAGTGACTCCCACAACAAGTTGAATATGAATTTTAATATACAAACCAACGAGGAAGAAACCTGGTAAGATTGTTAGAAACACTATGTAGAGTTATAACCAATATTTTTTTCAGTGTGGATGTATATAGCTTCCTTCATAACTCAACCTATTCATCCAGCGATCAAAATTCGCAAAATGACGCGACTATAGCGGAAATCGTTGAGAGAAGTGGTGTCAACAATTCCCAAGGGCAAGGTATATTACGAGGTGTACATGCAGCCAAGGTGTGCTGCGTTTTATCACAAAAAGCGGACGAATTGTTTCACTCAGCCGCCCTTAAGCTATCACTACCAGGACTGTGTAGTTTTCTTCTTGAGTTATGCAAGGCTTCACATTCGCAAGTAAGTCAATCATTACCTACCAATACACTTCCATATTTTCAACTGCATTATGTTGTAGTTATTTACCCGCTATGAAGAAACCCCCGGTAAACTCAAAAAGTGGTGGAAAAAAGAGCTGGAAGCCCAGCAAAAACCACCCGCTACCCTCCTGTTGCACAGAATCGGCGAGGTGACATTAAAGTGCATCAAGTCGGGTCGCCCTTTGATCCACATCATGAAAGTCTGGTCCATCGTCGGTCCGCACTTCATGCAGGCGGCCTGTCATAAAGACCGCACGATATCCAAGAAAGCCGTGACTTGCATCCACGACTCCGTCACAGCCTTACTGAACGAACAAGCCGAGTTGCCGCACTTCCATTTCAACGAGGCTCTCATAAAACCGTTCGAGAATTTGTTGTGCCTGGAGCTGTGCGATCCGGACGTGCAAGATCAGATCGTGGCGTGCCTGTGCGAGTTCGTCGAGGCCAACAGGACCGAGATCTGCTCCGGTTGGAGGCCGCTGTTCGGCACGCTTAGAGTTGCGAACGCCAAGAACAACGCCGCAGCCGTTCTGGATGTGTTCAAGCTATTTCTGTCCACCGATAATACTTTGGTGTTCGCCAATGCAGCTTTGGATTATATACTGTGTTTATTGTCCCATATTAAAACAGCAAACTTCGACGATAATCCGGAGCCGTTGATCTGCAAACCACCGCAAAAGGCGCTGAATTTCCTGGATAAGGATGCTGAGTTTTCCGCCAAGTTGTCTTTAGGCCCAGTGGATTTGTGTATCGAGTCTTTAAAGCTTCTACAGAATTGCTCGGCCATATTGTCTGTAATGTATAACATGCCGAAATGCCCGACCTTCAACCTTACCCACAGGATGAGCATCGATACCAACCCCCAGTTGGTAGACCCGGTTATACAGAATATAGAGATCATCAATTTTAACCAGGATAATATCGACCAAATAAGCTACAAATGTTTATCGACGAAGCCCGATTTTGAAAGGTGCGAGAAGATGAACATTACTTTGAACCACATGGATCGCCAAAGCGGTGTGCTCAAAATATGGTATGTTCTCCTTGAAGGTTTATCTTCCGCCTCTGTGACTTCGGCACATAAGAATCAACCGTACGTGGTGGAGACGCTCTTTAAATTAATCAGGGACTTGATTGAAACCCCTGGCATCAACTTTGGTTTATACTGCATCAACCATTTGCTGTTACCAATGGTGCAGAATTGGTTGCGACAGAACGCCAAAGTTCACAAACCAGGAGACGTTTGGCAGAACTTCAAGCATTGCTGTGGCTTAGCCAGCGAGTTGGTGGTCGATTACCTGCATCATCTACAGGAAGACATGCCTGAACCTGACAAAAAGGATTTGGATAAGGAGAATCCGGCTGCCACCTTGGCTTTGAAACAACTACTGCTGATCCTGATCGAATGTTCGGCTCAACCCTCGGAAAACATCGCCAGACTTGGTACGTCGTGCATAAGACACATCATATTGAGCGCTGGAAAGATTCTCACCATAAACCAATGGGAAATATTCGTCGTAGCGCTGCATAGAGCGTGCACAGTTACTCTGAACCCGTTACATCAGCTTACCTTGGCCTTCAAAGAGAACTCTGACAGCTTCTATGGCGATTTAGCAACTGTTAAAGTGGCAGCCAGAAAAGACAGCAGCATTTCTGAGAACGAACGTTTGAACGAGTTATCGAAACAAGTTTTCTTGATGCAGTGTCAAAGGAATTGTTGTAAATGCCTCGGGAAGAATTGTGAGTGTGATACTGGTGGTATTGTAATCGACGATAGAAGCTACGTGTTCTTATTGTACCCTCTGGATATGGCGTCTACGTTGAATATTGATTTGTATACAGTAAGGGTGCCATTCAGAAATATGGTTGTGGGAATACTAGCCCACCAAATGCTTGTACAAACGATCTCAAGCGCTTTATTGCAGAATTTGACCCACATAACCCCCATACTGGGCATCCTACAAATCAACTCCTGCAGCCTGAGAGGCATTCTATCGCACGTTAACGCCAAACACATAAACATACTGCTGAAATGTTTGGAGACGTCTAATGTGCGCGCGAAGGAGTTCGACGTGCGTCCAGGTCTCAAATTTTTGACTCAGAAGGTCGGAAATCTGAGTAAGGCTGCGAATTTGTACACCCAAGCTAACACGTCCGAGGTGGTTCAGATTATAGTTCTGATTGAATTGTGTCTGGATGGGATTCAGAAGTATTCAATACACCCTAAGGATCTCAAGGGGATTTTGGCTAGGGAAGAGAAGAGGAAGTGCTTGACTGACTTGGATTATATCGAAGAGTTCCTGAAGAAATTGCACGTCAAGTGGGAGAGTTTGTGTGAAAGTTACGTCAACTTAACTATCAATATACCCGATGATGACACTAGTATTGGAAGTGAGGCAGACAAAGTAACGCCGGACCACGTAAACAAAATTGTCAACAAAGAGTTTCTACAGACACCCAAAAAACCATTTAGGTTCGTGGACTTTAAGAACCAAGATGACGATAACTTGAGTACCAGCACCGATTCAGAGAGTTATCTGGAGAGAGACGTATTACCAAACCTTAAAAGCGATGATGACAACGTCTTCGAGTCGAATGATTTTACCAGCAAACACGTTAAACTCAAATCGAGCGTCAGTTTGGATGAAACCATCCTACAAAAACGCAACAAACCTGATCTCTCGACCGACGATGAAACCAATGAAATGGCGGCGAAATACACAAAACAAGCCTACGAAAAATACAAGGTGGAGTTGAATTCCATCAAATACGACACCAATACTTTACTGCAAATACGGAATCCGAGTCTATCGAGCGATAGCCTTATAAAAACTTGCATTAATCCGATGGAGAGATCAAAATCAGAAACGTATGACAAACAACCTAGATTGAACCCCTTTATGAGCAACCTGGTGCCGCCTGCGCAACCAGTACCGCCAGAAATTCAACAGCAAAGAAGCGTGAGTATTTTTAGAGACTCCGAAGCATTCAAGACCACGAGAATAGAGACCATGGAGGCTTGTTTGGAGCTGCTAAGCAGCCTTTCCTCTGAAAAACTCTCGCCTCTAGCCACCGTATTGAAACAGGGTGCTGTTATGCTTGTGGCGACTCAGAATGAAAAAATCAAGGTAGCGGCTGAGTTATTACTGCAGAGGATGAATATTTCTTACATTGATCACGATAACTTTTAAGTCAATTCTATATAGAATCTATGGGAACATACGTACCTAGATAGCTAAAGTCTGTGTATTATGTAGCTTATTACCTACTTAGTATTTTTTTGGTACTTATACTATTTTTGTAATTGTAAATGGTAGTTATGTGAACTATTTTTGTAAATTTCTTTATTTGTTTATGCCGTCCTGATTTATAGATGTTTGAATTGAAATTACAGGGTGCAGAGTATAAAATGTTGAAAATTTGAAGTTTTAACCATAGCTGAATTTTGGGAACAGTTAAGGCTTAGCAAAACTAAAAGTATTGTGATATGGTAATGGATTTTTACGTATTTTTTCAGCATTATTATTGTAAACAAAATATTTATTTTTAAGTGAAAAGTCATGTAATTTAGATGAGCAATACAGAATATATCCAAAAATCATGATTTTACTGCAATGTTACCTGAAATCTTCTAGGTTGGTTATGTAGGGGTATTTCCAAAAATACACGATATAATGGTGGATAATTTTATTGTAATAAATATTTAAGACTAGTAGGTACACATTCGTATTGTGTTAAAACTATAGAATAGAAGACCCAGTCTTATTGTTAATTTCAAGGCACTTTATATTATTTATTTACAAGTATATATATATAATAATTCTTTGGCACATAAAACACAAAAAGATACAAAACAAACTTTTTAATCCTAAAAGTATATCACAGGCAAATCTTTAAATTGTACAACTTTCAACTGGCCTAACTTATGTACAACTTTGGTTTACACATCCTATAAAGAAGTCAACAAAATACCAACAACAAAACTCCAAAATACCCCACAATTTACCACACTCACCCCCGCTGAAGTGGCCTGGGTGTGGATTATAGTCGCCGACGTCAAAGAACTCAGACTTAACTCGCTCTCGATCCTCGGGCTGTGGTTGTTGATGAGGTTGGCGATTTTCTCCGCTTCCCGCACACAGGCCTCCATTTGAATGTCGGAGGGGCGTTTTTCCGTGGTCCCGACAGAAACAAACAGATCCAACTCGATGCTGACGTACCCTCTAAGAACGCACTGCGCGGACTGCACCTGCCTCTCCAGTGCCTTGAGGGTGGACTGCAAGTTTAGCGGTTTAAAAAATTGGTTCTGCAAGGCGTACAACCCGCGGTCTATTTGCTTTCTGGAGTATAAGATCCGCAAGGCGCCCCCGCAAATGGGGCAGCACGCCCCAGGCGGGGTGATACCGTAACAATTCTCATCGAACAACTTCGGACACTTCACATTGGCGCACCTCCTCGATTTCTCGTCGGTTATTAGTCCCACAGCCACACAGGCGCCGTCGTAGTCTATCGACACGAAATCGGCATACGCGGCGCATTCTGATATGTACGTTCTGCCGTTTATACCGCAGACTTGCCCCTTGAAGCGGCATTTGTTCAAACAGGGGCCTCTGTAAGCCAACTTGGCGTTGTTGTGAGCTAGGAGGCAAGAGTTCTGGTATTCGTTGTTTTCTATATCGCACACTGGGTCCTTTGGAATGTGGGAGCAATTCGCTGTACCATTTACTATAAGTTAATCGAGTATTATACTGTATGCATCAGAAGTGGGATACTTACTGCATTCATGCTGGATACACGGTTTGTGCACCAAGCTGAGGCACACTTGTGGATGGGGAACGCATTTTTGGCCTACCGGGCACAAGTTTGGCCGACAAGGATTCTGGCAAGGATAATGCTCTTCTATATCCGAATCTGTAAGACCTGCACATCTAAAAATCATAAAATTATCAGTGTTCATTACACAACACAACAATAACGACTTACTTCGCTAGACACGCCGATGGGTAGGTTATACCATTCCTTCCACATACTGGTATGTAATGTGGAGGGCAGTTACAAGGTAGTGTAGTGAAAGCAGCGTTTCTACCACCTAAAGCTCCATCTTCACATTGTTTTTTGCTGCAAATAATCTCCCCAGCGTAGCACGTACAAAAATTGCAATCTATGTTGAAGTAACTCTCGTGAAGTTGCTGTCTGTTGCCCAACAAGCAGGGCGTGAAGTTGACGCGCGGTAGAGGCTGACAATTCCCGATTTTGTTCTTGTTGCACCTACATATTTTCAGATAGCCCGGTTTGTTGGGTATTGGTATGCGTATATAGGTACCGTCCGGTACCATATAGTCGGAAACTTCGCCCAGTTTGCAGCCAGGAACGCAAGTGTACCCTTGACAGTTCGCACCATGAATACAGTTCTTATTGACGAGGCAAATTTCGTCTTCCTCGCAAGGATTCCCCTTGCAGGGACTCGTAACCAAACCGTTGATTCTTTGGTAGTTATATACGGAAGGGTTTTTATAGTCAGCGAGTTTTATACATGACGCGTTGGGGTCATCTGGGGACAACGTCTGGCAAATGGACTCAGGAGAAAATCTGCAATACGAACAATAAGAACTGTTTCCTAAAAATCGCTCAATAACTTACTGCAAGGTAATCTTCGAGTTAGGATTTGAGTACAAGGTGCTCCAATCAACGCACTCACTCAAAACCTCCATGCAATCCTCCCGACATATCTGATTTCCATGCGAGCTTCTCGAACACGGTTTAATTTGTAACGTACATGCCACCGTCTTCCAGATATCCGGTGAGCATTTAGCGTCCCTTTTCAAAGGCAGCGTAAGACCAGGTAGCGTTAGGTTGTTCTCGTTCAACCACAAGGTTACATCGCTGCGCGCAGCTTCGTCAGCTTCCGATCTGCAGCTGCGGAATAACTCCGTCGGACGGTTGTTGAAGTTCGTGCAGAAGCTGAGACCGTCGCAGCCCAACTCGCAAGGCTCCTCGACTGTAAAAATAAGTTGGTAGAAAGGTATTGTGTTTAGTCGATGTGGCTTACCTTCGTCAATGCAGTTCCTGAGGCCTTCCTCCTGCACCTGGCCGAGGCATTTGGTGTAGAATTCGTCCCAATGCGTAGCCCAATATTTGGTGAATGTTTTCGAGCACAAGTTTTTGCATGTGGAGGTCGAGGCTCGTTGACAGCAGTGCCATTTGGCACTGTCCATACCAACTCTATCGATTCGCGATATCTCCACGGAGGTTGATATTGGTTCTATGTCGGGTTGAAGAAAGCACTGCCAGAAGTAATCCTAGATAAAAGAAAGTTATTTTGTCGAATATTCATGTAGAGGTAAAGTGTTTTACCAGTAGAGACATTGTACCACAACCTCCTAGTTGAAGGCCATCCAAAATCTCCTGAAAGGTGTTCTTGGTGTTCAGTATGCCTCTACACGTCTCTCTGCATTGCATTTTGTTGGATTTTTCGCAACAATGAATATCTGCAACAACAACAAACATATTAGTTTACGAAGTACGACATCTTTCAACTCACGTTTACTGGTGTTATTAACAGGAGTGACCTTGATGAGATCCCTGACGCAATCGTGAACTCTGGGGCTGGAATCCTCGCAGAACTCCTTGATTTTGTGCCGCTGAGGCTTGGTGGGCGTCATTTGGCTCCTGAAAACGTCGAAGCAGGCCTCTCGGCACTCGGCGTTCCGCGATTGGTTGCAGCAATCCTCGCCGCTGCGCTGCTTCTCGACGCAGCCGAAGAACGGGATCTCGTCGCTGTGACGGCAACCGTGCGCGAGGTCGAAAGGCGACGTTGCCGTTATGCAGGCCCGCCGGCAGCTCTCGCTGTAGGGGAGCGTGCAGCAGACGCGGCCGGACCAGGACTCTCCCCTGGACATGTCTGGAAGAAGAGCGAGAAGAAAGTGATGCAAATAAATCCCAGCATGGAAAAAGAATCAGTTTACTATGCGCAATAGCGAGTGAATTAATATTTAAAGACCTTCTCTACAAAAAGGAGTAAAAAGTGCTTGTTATTACAAAAAAAAAATCATGTACAGCAGAAATTTTAGTTGTGTGTGTTTGTGTAAGAAATAAAGAGAGAGAGCGAGAGAAATATAACAGTATAAAATTAGTGTACAAAATATGCTTTCATTAATTTCATCTGAAATAAATTTATATCCTTGGCATAAAAACAGAAGCGAATTTGCTTTCGGCACGCGCTTAATGAGCGGCATGCTTTGTCTTTTGTCGGCTTTACACCGCGTTATTACAAATAGGCCGCATTATTATAAAATAATAAAAACAGTAGAATATTCGCTACTCTACCGTACTCATATATTATTTTTGGTAGAAATAAACCATTTGGTAACAATTTTTATTTTTTTAAAGTAATTTTGCGATAGAATATCGTTTATTTCACAAAAATGTACATTTTCCAATAAACGCGACTTAAAAATAATAAAATTTGCAATTTTTTGTGTAAATGTTTAAAACCAAACGGCAGCAAGTTTTGTCGAAATGGTGTACAAAATACACCGGCGTGTAGTTAAAGATTTTAATTTGACAATGAAAAAGCAATTTTTTCTAATTTCTAAAATTAAGTATTTTTGAGAGAGAAAAAAAATTAAAAAAGGTATTTCTACACCGAGAATTGAACCCAAATATTGGACCCCTCTAGAAAATCCAAGATTTTCTAAGAAATATAACTTCTTTGATAGCAAACACCAATAAAAATAAAAGCTTTTCTTAGGAAATTTACAATCCCGAGAAACTCATTTCTCTATCTGGTTTGCAGAGCTCGTGTAGGTGTCTTGATTTCGACGAGATGCCCACATTAAACATGTAAATCAAAGGCAGCCACGGTCGCAACGGGTCGTGCTGCTTGACTCTCCCCTTCTTCTTCTTCTTCTCTTTGAGAACGGGTCCTGGGATGCACTGAATCAGCAAACCAATAAATCGCAGAGGGCTGACGTCTCAGCACGATGTACCTGGTAGCAAGAAGACTCGTATCGCACTGATCTTTACCATGCATTATTATTGGAAGTGAACAGACAGCCTCTACCAGTGTTTGGGCTTTATTTACAACGATAAAACAAAGCAAATCTTCTTTTTTTGAATTTAATACCTTTGTCCACCACAAAAGATCCATAACGTTTTTGATAATTTATCATATTTGAAAGTAATTAGTTTTATTTATTTCATTTATAATGACAGAATTGCTGAATAAGAAACTTTGGTTCTTTTTTTTATTCCCAGCCCCATTACCATGTAGCAAATGTCTTCAGACCACTTTAAAATCAATGTTTTAGTATCTCCATACCATATGTTTAAATTAATTAAATTTAAAGTCTCGATTTTTTCTTTTCCTACCATTAGCAACGTTGATTAAATCCGAAGCGTTGTTTAATGCCGTCGTTTTGTTTAACTAACCACTTGTAAGATTTTTATGTCGATAATATTTCTCGCCTCTATTGAGATGACTGGGACTAGTGCCCTTGGTAGTTGTTTTTTTGGCTTGGGTTTATTAACTTTACATGCAAAAATTATTGGTTTTACAATTTACAATTTTAAAGAGTCACATTTTTCCCAAAAGATTCATATATTTTATCTGGTAGATCTGAAAGGGCACGATTATCGTGGCCAATGAGAATAAAAATAAAAAACAATGCAACATCGTGGATGCTTAACCGTAGAGTAGCATTTTCGTGACTTTGCTTTTACATGGGTGACACTAGACTTACTGTACCTATGGTCATACACCTTTCAGTAGAATTTAAAATGGACAAAATGTCATATTTTTCCCAATAAAAACGATTATTTTTCAAGTAGGTGCTGTAACCGCTTTATTTATCATTGCGCACATGCTCCGCGCACCTTGTGATGCTCATTTGTTTATTATTTTAATGTCCTGTCATGGCAGTTGAAAATTCGGAGTGATAAACAACTTTCCAGTGTTTTATATTATGTTTAATTTGTGAGAAAACTATTATTTAGTTTGAATTTGAATGGTGTGTTTGTGATAGTTTTATATGTGAAGATCAATTTTGGATGATACCTATCAGATAATCTGACACCTAAAAGGTATGTATTTTATTATTATTAAGTATTTAAGAAGAAAATATAAAGTAAGGCTAGGTACAGTTTTATTAAGCGAGCTTTACATGTTATTATCTTTTTAGGTATACCTACATTAGGTCCTAAATAGACTTTTTAATTATGCAACACTTTAAAAAAATACACAGAATTAATTTTACATAAACAATTATTTAAATTAACCATGTAAATTGTTGGGATTGACTTGTTTACGAGTTTTTCGTCGCATAACTTTTGCCTGCGTGTTAACAGCGTGCAAATTTATTGAAATAAATTAATATTAATGAATATTTGGGTCAGGTTTAATAAATTTATATTTCTATTTTTGTTTCTCACCTTTGAAAATTGTGTTGAGACATTCCCAGAATGAAACCTGAAAATAAGATGGCATATTAGATTTTTTTATCCTATGGGAAAAAAAATTATCCCATGGGAATTTTTTGTCCAACGGAAAAATTGGAATTTGATGATTTGGGGATATTTTATTCATATGGGAGATTATTTTTATCCTATGAGAATTTTTTATCCAACGGAAAAGTGAAATTTGATGTTTTGGGATTTAAAAGAAAATATTTCGATACTCACTAATTGTGTTGGGCAATAGTTTTGTAGCTCATTAACGGTTTGGTTCCTTAAATTGTTGTCAGCTGCCAATTGCACTAAAGAAATCTGAAAAAAAAATAAACAAAATGAACATAAACAAGAAATAACCGTTTATAAGACGTAAAGACTTAATTTAATACGAAACCAAGCAAATAAAGTGTCCATCAATTACATATTGTATTATAAATTCTTGAAGAACCCGATATCGCGCGTTCAAAAAGTACAGTGCCGGGCTTGGGATTTTTTAAATCAAAAGATAAAAAACAAATTATCTTTTGTGTTCCATATAAAAATGTTATGAGCAGCCCCACATAATCGAAACCTTCGTACGGCCCTGACCCTGTATATTACTTCTCATATTACAACAAACATTCGTAATTATTCCCACACATGTTTTAATATTTTTAACCTTAGTTAGATTACAACTTTATGAAATATTCGAATTTTGATTATTTGAGATTTAGAAATTCTTTGTTCAAAATTTAGTTATCTTAGGCCTTATCTAAGCACTTAAAGCATAAAATTAAACAGATATTTTAAAGTGTCTTCTGGATAGACATATCACATTACCTATAGTGAGTTAAGATAATTTTATGATAAAGATAAAATATTTTAAATATCTGGTGGTTAAAATGTATAATTTATAAATACCTATTTTCTATATCTACACAGAGAAAAATCCAGTAAGATTTTATATTTGCACATTTGCACTATATTGTCAAGAAAAGGGTTGAAATCTGTTGTTAAAAATATTTCAAAAATAAATGCTACTCTTTTGTACAATTTTTTAAATAATTCGGATGAATATAGTACAACTTTGAGTTAGAATATAAATTTTACAATATTGGACAATTTGTTCGGGAGTAAAGCATCACACCACCCAAGATAACCAATGAAATGATTTCCCGATTGAAATACTCAACTGCAATCTGCATCATCAGTTTGCAGTTTTAGTTGGTGTTAGGAATTGTATCATTGTGTAGAAAGGTAGATATTTGCAAAATTGTTCAGGGACTGGGATAAATCAATAATTATGACCTGGTGATCAAATGAGAATAAAAAGTGTTTACATGTTCCTACTGTGCTACATTATTGATCAGCTTACTATTTACTTTAGTTTGTAATTTATGTTTTCAGTTTATATTAACTTAATTCTATCCTTACAAAATTTTTGTGCTGGTCGCTGAATACATATTTAATCTATCGACATTTGTGCTATTATAAATGTTGAATTATATCTCAATATTATTAGAATTTGCTATACGAATTTTATTTTTCAGTTTGTAGTTTATGTTCTGTTATGTTTATTTCATGTCGTCAGTGTCAGTTTATATTAAGTTTTGGTATTCTATTTTCCTGTTCCTGTATTATTTCAAAGAGTGTCAAGTTACATCGTTCCCAATCTATCTAAAATCTGTCACGTACAACAAAAAGGAAGCATATATTCAATGAGCTTAGAATTTCACTAATTCTCATTCACTACACACTCCATTCTATTATTGTTGTCGAATTTATTTATTGTACGGGCAGCTGTTTCGGCACTTAGATCCATTTAATCCGCAGTACCTTTCTATTCGCATGTAGTAGATTGTCGGGTAAACATGTGGAGATATTCTTGACAAATTATCAAAAACAACTTAAATAAGTAGAAGGCGTAGAATACTCGTTCTGTATACATATATGCAGAATTGAATTGTAAGGCAAAAGCAAAAAAGCAAAAGCCACAATGAGATATGATTAAAAACGTCGTATCCCACCAAGCACGGGACAAATAATGTTTGGCGCGACGGGACAGGACACCCTGTAGCGCAAAAATATTCACAGCACAGCCTCTTGTCCGATCTGTCACACTATGTGAGGCAGGGCCGGGTTTAACCATAACGAGAGAGACATTTTCGTTTTTTGATTGTGTGGCGTTTTCTGGACAACCTGTATATAACAAAATGACACAACCATTTGTTTCCAGGGCATTTTAAATTCTCCCAAACGGAATAATTTATTAGCATATCGTTGTCTTATTAATATTTATATCGTAAGTACAGACCCCTCCTGATTTTACATTTACTGGTCAACATTTACAACATCAATATTAATACCTTGTACTTTTCGAAGTAAAACCTTTGTATGCTTCGTGCGTATTCACTTGAATATTTTATCGAGTTAATCAAAAGGAGACTTCATTGAGAATTTATGTGGTAAAATCATGACTAAATTTTTAAATAAAAATAAAAATAAACTTTGTCATTCACATCCTATAAAGTCGCACCCATTGTGCTGTGCTCTGATTGGCTAATTGCTTTCTATGGAGATCAGTGAGAATTAAAAAATTAAGTATAATTTAAATATTTTACTTTCTATAATATATTATAAATTTTTAATATTTGGATTGGATTTGGATTGTGAAATAGTCAATAAAATTGATTAATTTTATACGTGGAATACCCAGCAACATTTAAATTATTTGAATTTGAAACGACCGCAATTTAAACTAATTTTTATAGCTAGATGATTGGCTCAGAAGCATGCCTGAACTAATTTAGACTCACGATTGGCGTTAGCCTTGTTGTCTCGTTCTATTACAATGCGATATCATAGTTGTCTCCTTCTCTCGTATTAGCATACGCGAGGCAGGCACGCCTACATCCAAGGAAATAAGCAGGTGTTGTGGCAACACTGTTGCGGAATTTTAGATAAATTATACTTCACACGTTTTTCAAAATTCAATAATAAATGGTATTATTTTTCTTATAATAAATCGATTTAATCGAAATTATATTTCTATTCTAAAATAAACATATTTTAACACTATCGCCATCTTGTAGCCATCACAGTAACCAATAAAATAAATACAGATTCCTTCTTTAGGTTTGTTTTGGTTATAAAATTCTGAACTGTTTAAAGAACAAATCTGTGGTTATTTACGCAATATTTTTTTTATTCTTTTTCTATGAGTTTGTCTATTTTATGATTCTTTTGTAAGCGGTTTATTCTGTGGGTTTAGTTAATTGATTTAATTGATTTATGTGAATTTAGTCATTATGGATATTACGGTGAGAAATTGTACCGATATTGTTGACTTTCCATTTAGTCGTCTTTCTTTCGATGATAAAATGTTTGTTAAGGAAGGGCGAAACCCTGCCTCTGCCTCACCAAAATGAAATGTCACGGGCCGCCACTGATGGAGATCATTTTCTATAGGAAGTAAGAAAGTTTACGAACAGACCAATCTGTTAAAGTGTTTACAGTTTCTCAAAATATACATGTATATCATATTTAAAAGAGGAAACCACTACACATACATCTCTCAACTACAACAACCGAAATAGCAAAGGCATCTGTTACGAATATTCCATCCCGATTTTTAAATAATGCCGCTAAGCTCACTTAGCGCGTCTTTCCAAACACATCTTGAATTTTAGAGAGACGATTTTAAATAGCCTTAATAAATAAATTAAGGATTTAAAGTGACTGCTTCTAATTAATTGCCTTGTTCTGGTAATTAATTGAAGCATTTCTGTTTGTCAAACAAGTCGAGTTTTACAGACATAGGTGTTTAATCACGCCAAGTAGATGTATTAGGTGTTTTGAGGATTTGTACTATTTATACTAATTATAAATTGGAAATAACACACAAATTAAATAGTAAATGTACAATTTTTTAAATAATTCGTATAAATATAGTATAACTTTGAGTTAGAATATAAATTTTACAATATTGGACAATCAACTGCAATCTGCATAATCAGTTTGCAGTTTTAGTTAGAGCCGTTTCACATGCGACTGATAAAGTCCTGACGATCAGTCCTGATGATACGGACTGACGGTCATGACCATTGTTTCACAAGCAACGTATAGTACGGAAATATCTACTACGAGACGGTTCTCAGCGCCTCCGGAACTGCGCTGTTGCCGCTTTTTGTATAAAGAGAATAATACAACGAAAAAAAGTTCTTCTTTGCTTTCGCAAAATTTTCAAAATCCGGAACTACTATTTACGCTACTTCTTCAAATGCTTTGTTCTTTGCATCCCTATTTTTGTAGTTCTCATCATCTGCATACCAGATGCATCTTCGCTGTTCGATGCTATTTATTACAATTTCAGTATCAATGCGTAAACTACTCATTGTGCAACACTGTTTCTGCTGACCGTACGTACCATATGAAATACTCCATATAACTAACAGCCCTTAATAGTCCTGACGGTACGCAGTGCGCACGGGCTGTCCCGATGCCCGTGCCGACGAATCAGTCAACCGATGATACGCAGTGCATGTGAAAAAGTTCATTTAAACAATGGCCCCTAGTCATCAGGACTGACCATCAGGACTGATCGTCAGGACTTTATCAGTCGCATGTGAAACGGCTCTTAGGGTTAGGAAGTGTATCATTGTGAGGTTAGTACACATTTCTGGTGAGTAATTATTGAATATAATTTTTCAGAATAGAAAGGTAGATATTTGCAAAATTGTTCAGGGATCAAATGAGGATAAAAAGTGTTTCTATGTTCCTACTTTGCTACATTATTGATCAGCTTACTATTCACTTAAGTTTGTAATTTATGTTTTTAGTTTATATTAACTTAATTCTATCCTTACAAAGTTTTTGTAATATCTTTACTAGATTATTAACTAATTAAAACTCAGTGTACTTGGTGATGGTTTATTACCGACTGACTTGCGTTGTGTCGACCGTTACAGTGTAATAAAAAATATATACAAAAAATGCGTGCTTAATTTAAACAATAATAAGTATAACAATATAATATATTGTTATATATTGTACGCACTTCATGTTGAATATATCTCAATATTATTAGAATTAGCTATAGGAATTTTATTTTTCAGTTTGTAGTTTATGTTTTGTTATGTTTATTTTATGTTGTCAGTCAGTTTATATTAAGTTTAGGTATTCTATTTTCCATATTTTTTTCGCTGAATACATAGGTATCTAAATTAACAATTTAGTTTCATTTTCCTTTTTACCAAAAGTTATTAAAAATGTTAAATAAATTGGAGAAATTATTATAACAATGTTGTGTTATTGTGTGCCACAATTTTTTTTGTGCATCTAATTAATATCAGCAAATGTCATGTGTATTTGCCATAACGGCACTGAAATTGCGACTACATAGTGAGGGAAACGCTGAGTTATTACCTCGATAGGTTATTTAAAAATCGCCACCCACTTGGCAGAGTCATGCCGTGTCCCTTTTTAGGTTTGTTATGATGGCAAACATGACCGGAAGTCAGGTAGGTCTCCCGGACGAACGACAACGTTTACATGCTTCCGCTAGCGGACATATCCGGAATTTTAGAGTCTTCAGATTAAATCTCCCAGATGCACGGAAAAAAATATATTCTATATGAAAGATAATCATCTCGGTCCAAGTATTTGTTCATCTCACCATTCCGCAAGTACGAGGTGTGTTTAGAAAATATTGTTAATTGTTAAATTTCGCGGGTTCGGAGGGTCCGGTTGTCATAAAATTTTCTTTATTATGTTGGTATACATGCCCCCGAAGTATGATAAAAACTTTAGCTGTTTTCATTGTTTACTTTGTCTGTGGCAGCCGCTAAAGTTAGACGTGTTTTTATGAGCTCGGCAATTTTCGTTCGTTAAAAGAAATGGATCAAAGAATTTGTATCTAATTTTGCTTAAAAAATGAAATAAATTCTGTGAAATGTTAATAAAGGCCTTTAGTGAGTCTGCTATAAGTAAAACAAGAGTTAACAAGTGGTATAAGAGTTTCCAAGATGGCCGTAAAGACGTTGAAGATGACGAACGCCCCAAACGCCCAAGCACATTAACAACCGATAAAAACATGGAAAAAGTGGAAAAAATGGTTATAAACCATCAGAGAAGTCGCTGATGATGTTGGTATATCGATTGGCTCATCCCATGAAATTTTTTCGAATGTTTTGGGTATGAAACGCGTGGCAGCAAAATTTGTTCCAAAATTGTTAAATTTTGAACAAAATTTTTGGCCAAAAACAATACTGTAATGATACCCCAGCCTCCATGGAGGCATATTCGCCAGACATGCCTCTGTCTGGCTTTTTCCTATTCTCAAAAATAAAGAGAACCTTAAAGGGCCTTCGTTTTGCAAGCATAGATGACATTAAAATCGCATGGCTGAAAGAACTAAAGGCTATCCCAAAGATCGAGTTTTAGAAGTGTTTCGAGTATTGGAAGAAGAGCTGGCACATGTGCATAATATCCAATGGGGACTATTTTGAAGGCGACAACATTAATGTAGACGAAAATTTCCGATATTTTCTGAACACACCTCGTATACTTAAATCAAGTGATTTTTTAAGAATAAAGATATTCTTACATGTAGAAAACATTTTTTTCCGTGTGTTTTAACCCCAAAAATGAAATGTTCATCATTGAAATGCAGCAATAATTAATAGAAGAGGATCTAAATTGTATGAAGCAAAACTTAAATGATGGTATTAAATAAAATTAAGTGCTTTGACCGTTATGCCCATACCACTTGATAATACCATATCTACAGTCATTAAGTTAATAGATAATAATTTACGAGATGTGTTGTTTGTTTGTCTCGTAGTTTGAGGAAGAAATTTATTCATGAATCATTTTAAAATTTTGCTGCACTTATTGTTCTAGATGCGGCGGATTAGAGCTCGAACTTGATTATTATTTTTAGTAGGCGTTGTTTTTCTTGGCGCGAAATTCGTTCTTTGATGATTTGACATTAAAGAGTTTGAAAAATTCCTTCGGCCCCTTTGATGTACTCCAACCTAGTGCAGTACCTAAATGTTGGGAGTCATTTACAACTGTAAACTCGTAAATTCTCATTTAATCTTTTGTTTATATTATGTTTAATTTGTAGCTCTCTTCGCTCCACTTAGAAGTAGATGCAGCCCGTGGCAATGATGTGTACTATTTCGGTGGCTGACTTAATAACTCACTTTCAGTATTTACTGATGGCACTTACTACATACACATGGATGAAACACAATATCCCAATAAACATGAGAAATTTGTTTTTATTGTTGTCACACAATGTGCAATAAACTGTGAAGACTTTAAAGTATATCAATTTCAGTTTCTCCTAAAATAAAAAGAGTATTATTGAGAGTATTTGGGTCGTTTTCAAAAAACACCCGCCTTCCGCTGTCCGTAAGTTTGAATTCCAATAACTTTGTTAAAAATTATCGGATCTTATTGATTTAAAAACCAAGTGAAAGCCTAACAAGCCCTTAGTAAACTCTTTCAGAAAATTTTTGTTTCGTTATTTCAGAATAATTTTTTTTTAATTTTGAAACTTGTGAAACACACATTTTCGCATGTCCCATTAGCGTTTTATAAAACTTACATACTTCCATGTTTTTTTTTAATATTGAATAACCAGAACTTTGTGTTGCTTTATAGCAATCCATAACATCCTTAGTTAATACAGTAAACAATTTATATATAAAATAATTAATTTTAATCTACTTTTTTTTAAATTTGACTCATGTCCCAGATATTTTTTCCGTTGCGTTACGTCCGTCGCGTTACCGATAGAATATTAAAAAAAAACATATATATGGCAACTTTTTTGGTACTCACGTGATCAACAGATGATGTTCGGACGTACACATTACCCAGCTGAATTTATTTATTCAATCAGGAAGAAGATATCGGTTAAAACAGGTGCGGGTAACGCGAATGTAATAATTGTTTGTCCGCTAAGTTACTCAAAAAAATAATAAAAATATGGTAAGAAAAAATACTATTTTTCATGTTTATGTTTATTTTAGGGCACTAAAGCTCATTGAGAGTAATTAATAACCATAATGTCTTATTATTATTTTTTAAATATTTATTATGGTTTTACAAAACTTTGTCCACTGCGTTACCGAGTCCACTATGTTACCTTATGGTAACGCAATGGAATTTAGGGTAACGCAATAGAATTTTTCGACAACAAAGTGGATATTTTAAATATCATATTTACCGTCGCTTTTATTAAAAGTAGTTTATGATTAACCAATTTAAAATTATTTGTAATTACAACTCATGATATAGATTACATCCAAGGAAAAATTCCACGCAATATAAAAGTACTAAAAGGGACCTTCACCAGCTTATAGTCAAAGAAAAAGGGTGTCTATAGAATAGTATACAATTTAGAAATCTAAGTTGTTATTCTGCAAGTGAGCACCACTACAAGGGATTTTGTTTATGCATTACTCTAAAATCATACCATATCTGATTAAGTCCTTTGTGTACCCCTGTCCGTTGTGATACCAATGTCTATTTCGTTATTTTTGTTTAGTTTTTGTTAAAAAAAAATACTTAAAATGATTTTTATACACTATCACTTGGTAATACGTGTTTATAAATTAGAGTTTAATTCACTAATACAGTGACTAAAAGAAAATATTAATGGTATTGTTTTTTTAACAAAGAATCGGAATGGTTTCTTTTAAAAAGTAACTTAACGAACATACATATTTAAAAAAAGCATACAATTTTTAATAAAAAATAAAATAAAAAATTGGAGTCAAAAGTTTGTGAACTAAGTACATTTTATTTCAAATTATTTTTATAACAACTTTTTTTATTGAATTAAATTTTGGATTTCAAATTGGTAACACAGTGGAGATATATAAAGCTAGCTAAACACATTTTTCTGAAAAAAACGTAGAAAAAATTAAAAAGTGCACTGCCTGTCTTAAATGTAAGTAAACAAAACTCTAAACATTTATAAAAATCCAACCAAAAGTCAATTTAAGCAAAAAAAATACTTTGATCTTCATTTTCCTGAAAGCGGGTGTTTCTTGAAAATGACCCAATTACTTGATGGAAGAGATTAATCCATTCTTTAAGGATATTACAATGTTAGCCAAATTTATTTAGTATAAAAATAAAAAATAATTATAAAATCGGTCTGTTTTTTAAATAAAATGGCAAAGTATATTTTATTTTTGCGATTTGTTACTACTATTTATTCATTAAGTATAAAAGCAATGCCCTTTACCTACCCCTTTCCCCGCAATATACAACTTAAATACTCCTTAAATCTAACTCAAAAGCTTTGTGAAATCATGCGTGCACGATTGGCCAAAAATAGCACGTCAGCTTATAAACTTAAATACAACTCACTGGCACAAGTCCAAAGAGGCAGTCGCCAAATTTAAATAATAGTTTTTGTTTTATTGGCATTCTTTATGCGTTTGATCGTCTTTGGAAAGTCGCGCAAAAGTTAAATAAATAAGATCAAAGTGAAGATTTGATAAGCCTTAATTTAAAGGTTATGTTATTAATCAACGCTTTGGGACGGTAATAATTTGTTGGATGTTAGATCAAAGAGAAAGTTAAAATACATTTTATCTATTTTGCGTTCATAATGGCTTCATTATAACACCGCTTTCGGTGCTGTAATGAGATACTTTTGACATTTTCTTTACTTTCACTGTGAAAAACTGACAATTTTCAAGAAATGCATTTCGATTTATAACCTTTATAATCTGTGTTTATAAAAATGTGACATTTGACGGTGACACACAGTTTCCCCTATTGTTTCATAGATGGCGCTCTATACAAATTTTTGATTTAAATCATTTTAAGATAATAATAAGTATTTGTCGTAGAAAAAGTATAGTATGCACCTCGTTTATAAACTTTTCTATACACTCATTAATTACTATTATATACAATTGTCTCTAATAATCTTTTAGGTGGGTAGGTATTAAGCATACAATATACAGAAGAGAGAAACCATTTGTATAATAATACAATAATTTTCAACTTTAGTTGCTAACTTCAGCCCGTGACTAAAGCGTCATTAAACTACTGCCAATATGTATTTAAAGTGTTATGAAAACATGTACGATAAATTATCGTCGATAATGGATGTTTTAAAGGTGCGAGTAGAAATTATTACATTAAATGCTGGCTAAATCCACCTTAAATCATATTATTTTTACAAACAAATATCTTTTGGACTTACCTTTTCGCATACTGATCTGCAAGACCCCGTAGCATGCGTGCAACATGTTAAATCTGAAATTATTTAAAACATTTGGTATTAATATCTTGTTTAATAGCAATATTAATTGATAATTAATTAATTTAATATTCCAAGGGCATGTTTAAATAAAACATGTTTGGATTAATTGAGTATAAAATTGTTTTATGCGTTCTTGCATATTTTTTAGAAGATTATGTTCTACAATAAATACATTATAATTAAGTAAAATGTATAACAACATAACCAGATGGATATAAATTAAGTTATATTAATTATAATTTTTTTTATTGCAATAACAGCTTATTTCCTTATTAAATATGAGCAGCATTAAAATTCGTATATGGGCAATTCCACCAAATAATGTTTTATAAAAAAAAATTTCATTTATTTCATTATTTCCACCTGTGACTGTTGCACAACGAACTATTTTTTTCGGTTGAACACTCCCGTTTGTAGTAAACTGCTCGACTGTACGGTGAAATGAAGTACGTGATTGAATTTTTTCCGGAAAACGCTGAGCGTAGATATTAACAGCATCATCAAGATTCCTGCCTGCTTCTCCATAAATCAAAATCATTTCTATTTATTCTTCCACTGTTAAAAAATCCATTATGAATAACTGCTTAACGAAAGGAGGTCTTTTTGTTTGCAAATTAATCTTCGAACTAAACTGATTAAATAATGCTAAACTATGTATAAATAGTGTCTTTATACCTCAATAATAATTATAATTTATAACTAAATACCATTTTTTATACCTCAATTAGGATTAAATTAATTATTTTTTTTACCCTAAAAGAGGTATTTTTATTAAAATTAGTACAATAATCCTTTAAATTAAAGGATTTAATGCTGGCAGGTAAAATGATGCGCAATTGATAATTATCACCGAATGATAATGATAATGTATAAAAATTAAACCAGGAAACTTAAATATTAGTTAAAAAATCGTGGGTACTTAAAAAAATCATATTTAATTGAATAAGATAATTATTACCAAAAAAAGTGATATTTTTATAGAAAAATTATTGCAGAATCGTATAAGAAGAAAAATGAAAAACAAAATTGATTTTTTTTCATTACAGCGCCATCTATTACAAATATGAAAAAATGTTTGAGACAAAATCTACCTATTTTTAGTCGAATGATCCGAGTCTGCAATAAAAAATAGGGTGTTCCATTGGAAATTTTAAAGTTCCCCCCGTTCCCCCTATAAGGAGGAGAGTATGAGGACCAATTTTAGTACTGATTGATTTCCCCCCTCGAATCATTTAATTTTTATTTTAAAAATTTTTTCGTAAAATGCATACAAACATATATTTCAAAGTTACAAGTTAAATGACCCACCCTGTATATTTTCGTATGTATATAATAAATAAATAAACAGCCCTTTGTATAATGTGATAAATGTGTTCGAAAGACGTTCAAGTGAACCCATTGATCGTATTTTCCTGCAGGTAGTACCAACTTAACGTCACATATGGCTGTTTAAAGTGATACTTACGATGTAGCGCCTCTTGGGCTTGTCAAAGAAGATTTATACAGTCATTGAGTTTAGACAAAAACCAGTATTTTTAAAAACGAAATTTTCGTTGGCATTTGTAATGGAAACCATTTTGCATTAAAAATGCGTTTATATATGTAATATGTAAAATTATAGGTAAGTACCTACTTGATTGACATATGGAATATTAAGAATGGCTTGCGGATAAACTAGTTTATATGGCAAGTATATGCAAATATACTGTATACTGTATAGAAGTATTATTAAGTTCACATAAATATTTATTAAGATTAATTTATTGTATCCGTTTGCATATCGCTTATACATATTTATTTTTTTATTGATAAAATATTTATATCTGTATTTTCAGATAATTTTACTCCAACCGTTTAGAGAAAATTGCCATTTTCAACAATTCTTATTTTAGTAAATATATCTTATGGATTCACTTGTAAATCACTCGTAAATCTTGACACACCTACAGAGAATTTATCAATTTTCAGTTATTTTTTGACAGTAAAATTGTTTATCTCACTGATTTTCGACAATAACCCTTAAGTTTCAACACTTTAAAGTATTATGAGGGACGTAATTTTTACGAAAGAAAATTACTTATAGGTAATTTTAACGTCAGAATTTTTACTTAATGGTAAATGTTACTCATAAGTCATAATTTTACGATATTAAGACCACTTTATAACCATAAATAATTCCTATTCGCCTGGTATTTTTTAGGGTTATTAGTGGTAATAAATACTATTAATATTGACTAAACAAGGAAAAATAAGCTTAAAGTGAAAAATAAAACTTTAATGAAAAATTTTTTTTGGGTCGCCATAATGAGTTTTTTAAGATGGAATCCATTACTTATCTAAACATGTATATAATATTTCTTTATAAATATTTTTCTAAAATATAATAAGGAAAGTTTTAGTTATTAAAAAATGATTAAAACTAAATGATTTTTAAAAGATTTTATAAAATTTTGTAGATTTTAAGTTTTGTTGAATTTTTACCCAAGCAATAATTTTTCTTAAAACCGTAAAATATTTAGAGGGCATATAATTTTTAAGATGATTTTTATCAATAAAATAATGTGCGTTTGAGTTTAAATGCAACATATTATTAGTTTTGACAATTTAAGTTATATTTTTTAATTTTACTTTAGGATGGCCTTTGTAAGTACCATTTTGTAAAATATAAATTAAAAGAACAAAGAAATTACGAATGTCAATGTTTTAGAAAGAGAGAGCAAACAGTTAGTAATTATAGAGTTATTTTTACGTAAATTTGTGGTATTTATATTGTTTTTATTACGTTATTCTCTTATTAGATCAAAAAGGTTATTATGTAGGTAAAATAACGAAATAAACCATTCCCCAAATTTGGTAATTTTTCGCATCTATACGGTTATAAAACCGTTTTGGTTAACCGTAAAAAATACTTTAAAGTTGACTTAATAGTAAATTTGTAGTTATTTAAACTAAAAATGCTGCTTGGGCCCATTTTGTAAAAATGTTAAAAATCGCAAAGAAAACGTAAAATTATCTGGAGAATTGTATTCACGCACGCCTATGGTCATCATTTATCCGATTTGACACGAACAGACATAAAGTAATTTTAACGTTATTTTTACGTAACAACTTTCATAAACATTTCTCTATTTATCAAGTATTGTTCCACCCACCCACTTCTGATTCTAATTCTCTGAATTATTAATGTGAGTCATACGACACGAGATAAAATAAGGCCTTGTTAAATTTAAATTTTTGATTGTTTGAGCTTGTCAACTATATCAATAAGGAACAATGATGAATAAATTAATGATTTGTGAAATGTATAAAATATTTATATTTTGTATTTATAAATAGTTGTTACTGACGTTTCTATATACGAGGTGTGTTCAGAAAATAAGGGGAATTGTTAAATTTCGCGGCTTCGGAGGGTCCGGTTGTCATAAAATTTTATTTATTATGTTGGTATACATGCCCCCGAAGTATGATAAAAACTATAGCTGTTTTCATTCAGTAAAAATCGTCAAACAAATAAGTCGTCTAAATTTAAACAGCATTTAGCATTATTAAAAACGTTGATTAAAGAAGTCTCCACTCAACGGTAAAATAGCATTTTATTAAGTATTATATATAATATTATGTTGCCATGAATTCGTAGGTATATTTTGTAGTTTAAAATGCAGTTGATTTTATTATTTAATGTAATTTATAAGTAGGTATGTTATCTATGGTATATTTTGGGTCGGATATTTTTTTGTGTTCAAAAAATTGTATAGGTAATCTTAATGTAATTTGTATTTAAAATTGTTATTTTTTACTTGACCTTTAATTGACCCTTTATCATATTTGTTTACTTAATTAATTTTCAAAACTCTTTGCAATGGTAAACATTTAAGAAATTTTTGTTGAAATTTTTTTTTTTCGTACCTACCTTGACTTACAATCCCTTGAACACACAAAGCGGCAACTATGGCCAGCACTAAACCCGAAAAACAATTGTCGCATCGTTTCCTTCTCGCACTGTTAATTGACATGATGTCTGTCAGTTCGTGAACACGTGCTGCGTACGGTGGCACGAATTGAAACTGCCACGCGCAAAACTCACATCACGAACATTCCAAAGCGACTGTTGTTTACCGAGCAAACTTAACTCCCGTGCTCCTCGGGATTCGACGTCCAGCGGCGTTGTCAAGTCGTCGGGTGCACTTTTGAAAAGGCGTCCCTGCAGCAGCCGTTTTAAAAGCGATTCAACGGAAAAAACGTGCATCTGGCATCGAAGCGCTGGTGCACAGTAGTGGTCGGCGGTTCGGTGGTCGCGCGTACGAAGAATAAGCATGCAGAACGCCCAGAGGAGGGTGTAAAGTTGATTCTGTATAATTTTTGCTTTGGAATTAATAAGTGGGCGTAAGCCATCAGGTCTTCTCTGGAATCATCAAGCATGCTCTTAACAACCGAGTAAAATTATTATTTTTAATGATGGTTTAATTAAAACTTTGTGCTTTTTTCTATAAAATTCTTAGCTTTGGGCAGTAAATATATTTGCATTTTTTAACATTGCCAAGAAACAAATACTTTGTATTTAATAGTACCTTTTTACTTATGGAAACTTTAACTGTCTCTAAAACAATCTTTTTATAGCTTATATATACATATTTGGCATTTATGACCATTTGTTTAATTATACTAGATTGCTAGATATGTTTTAACACCTATATAAACTTAATATGTAATAAACCACTACCCGTTATTATTTTAATTAAACTGAACAATTATTGGTACTTAAAAATAATAAAATATCTTCAAAATATGAGTATATTAATAAAATATTTTATCCTTTGATTTTTTGTTATTACTATAATTGCAAAATATTATCACAAAGTATTAAAAATTTGTACAAAAAGTCAAACGCTTATGTTACAAACGAGTGTTCTTAAGAATAAAGCCGGAAAATGTTAAAAAATATCGAAAAAAAACCGTGGCTCGATTTGTTGTGTTGTTGGGTGTATTTCGAGAGGAAATCATGGGTTGAGTTTTTACCGGTTTTCCAATAAACAGTGTTAATCTGAATGAAGAAATAAATTGCGTACAGTCTCTGTAAATATAAATTGTACCTATTAGATACAATAAATACACATTTTAGTAGTGATTAACGTGAAAGTGTAAACATTTTAACTCAGTAAAAATCGTCAAACAAATAAGTCGTCTAAATTTAAACAGCATTTAGCATTATTAAAAGCGTTGATTAAGAAAGTCTTCACTCCTATAAAAATGGTTGATTTTAAGGTTATGTTTGTGCAAAAATTATTTTGTACTAATTTCCTAAAAATGTCCAAATGGCAACTGTATAGTCGATTACAATTTACAAATGCGTGTGTTACAAACGAGTGTTTTTGAGATAAAGCCGGAAAATGTTCAAAATAATCGGAAAAAAAAACCGTTGCTCGATTTGTTGTGTTGTTGGGTGTATTTCGAGAGGAAATCGTGGGTTGAGTTTTTACCGGTTTTCCAATAAACAGTGTTAATCCGAATGAAGAAATAAATTGCATACAGTCTCTGTAAATATAAATTGTACCTATAAGATACAATAAATACACATTTTAGTAGCGATTAACGCAAAAAGTGTAAACATTTCAATTCAGTAAAAATCGTCAAACAAATAAGTCGTCTAAATTTAAACAGAATTTAGCAATATTAAAAGCGTTTTTTAAAGAACTCAAACATAAAAATGGTTGATTTTAAGGTTATGTTTGGGCAAAAATTATTTTGTACTAATTTCTTTAAAATGTCCAAACTTAAATATAAATTATATTAGGTAAAATTATCATTAGTTAATTCTGCATCAACAAATGTACTTACTGAATTGGATCCTTTGGCAAAACATGAAAATGCAACGATTTAGTTCTTGAATTTTATTTACACAATAATTCACCATGATTCCTTTAATAAAATACACACACTAACGTAACTATAAATAATAAAACTAAAAATATTCATATAGTGATTGGAACAAACCTGCTTTACTGGTTTTATGACTTGGGGTTGGCAGCTCTGAATATTGATTCTTGTTTTGTAAACATAGCCTCCTAGACATAGCCTACAAATTGTTGTCAATTTTGTTAATTCTATGAAAACTATGAATTAAAAGAGATTTGTTTTTAATAATGCATCTAAGGTTTGACCTTCTACATTTGATTGTTCTTTTATTTGTATTTCAATTGGTGAGTGCAAATGTTTGCATCAAACCCAATGTGTATATTACACAAAAAATTAGCAATGAGGGCTTTCACAGGTGAGTTTTTTTGTTATTTTAGGCCTTTTATATTGTTTTATCATTTTCAGAGAAATAAACTGGCTTATAGAGGTATTGGAACCTACAATAGAAAGTTGGGAAAAGACAAAATGTAAGGTTGCATTACGCTTGGATGTTCCATCGGGAATCTATGTGAATCCTGATGAAATCAATGCTTTAAATGAAACTGAGGAGGTTTAATTGTGTTTTCTGCAAAAAATTGTTTGTTTGATTCAACAACTTTTAGGTTTCTTTCCGTATAAGTGGGAAAGTTGATATAGAAGTTCCAGCTCACGAAGCAAAAGAACATAAAGTATATGTTTATTTTAACAACGCTTATATTAACAGGATCTCCATTGATTTGCCATTCCATTTACGTTACCAAAGATCACAAATAACAGGAGGGTAAATATTTTGAAAATAAATCAAGTGGTTGATTTTTTTGTTTTTGATCCTTTTTAGAAGAATCCTGGGTTGTGTCTTTTTTTTTTTAAATCTATTTTTTTGTTATTCTTTTTACAAATAAATTGTTTATATCCTCTTGCTGTAAAGCACAATTATTAGGGTGAAGTATTGATTTTGTCTACGCTAAAGAAGTATCGCTAGTAGCGCAACCACTCGGCTTGTTTTCATCGTAACAAAAGTAAAACTTTTAATAATCAGCTGTCAAACGCTTATGCCACAAACCAGTCTTTTTGAGAATAAAGCCGGAAAATGTTAAAAAACATCGAAAAAAAACCGTGGCTCGATTTGTTGTGTTGTTGGGTGTATTTCGAGAGGAAATCCTGGGTTGAGTTTTTACCGGTTTTCCAATAAACAGTGTTAATCTGAATGAAGAAATAAATTGCATACAGTCTCTGTAAATATAAATTGTACCTATTAGATACAATAAATATACATTTTAGTAGTGATTAACGTGAAAAGTGTAAACATTTCAATTCAGTAAAAATCGTCAAACAAATAAGTCGTCTAAATTTAAACAGCTTTTAGCATTATTAAAAGCGTTGATTAAGAAAGTCTCCATCTAACGGTAAAATACCATTATATTATGTATAAGGGACCGTTCATTAATTACGTGAGGTGTTTAGGGGGGGGAGGGGGTCGAGCCAAACCTCACCAAATCTCACGTGGGGGAGGGGGGCTCTCGGCAAATATCACGTAATTTTTTTTCCCGAAAGAAACAGTGTAAAATTACGAAAAAATTGTTTTTTTTTAATAAATCTAATGGAATCAAGCACAGATTAACTTATTTACATTAAAACCATGCATTTTAAAAAATCTCACGTGAGATTAAGGGGGGGAGAGGGGGTCGAGCAAAATCTCACGACATCTCACCAAGGGGAGGGGGGGGGTCGAAAAATCGCCAAAATTGTCTCACGTAATTAATCAACGGCCCCTAATATATAATATTATGTTGCCATGAATTTGTAGGTATATTTTGTTGTTTAAAATGCAGTTGTCAGCGTTTTTTAGAGAACTCAAATATAAAAATGGTTGATTTTAAGGTTATGTTTGTGCAAAAATTATTTTTTACTAATTTCTTAAAAATGTCCAAACCTAAATATAAATAATATTAGGTAAAGTTTCATTAGTTAATTCTGCACCAACAAATGTACTTACCGAATTGGATCCTTTGGCAAAACATGAAAATGCAACGATTTAGTTCTTGAATTTTATTTACAATTAAAAACACAATAATTCACCATGATCCCTTTGATAAAATACACACACTAACGTAACTAAGCATTTAAGCGTTGAGTTTCTTAATTAATGATATAAGGAATAATCAATCAAAATCGAGTAGATACTAAAAATGTTTTTTAATTTTTTCCTTGCCTTTCTCATTTTTATTCAACAAAGTAGAACTTTGGTTGTTATTTTAGTTATGGAAAAGTATATCTTCAAAAGCCAAGCTTATTAGTATGGTGCGAGAATAACTTGAATAAAATTTGCCAAAAAGGACTAAAAGTTGAGGCACCTTGTGAGCATTTCAGCTCAAAACAATGCGTCTGGAAAAATCTATCATACGATGCTGTAAGTGGAAAACACGGTTTTCTTTAAATAACTCTTTATGTGATCTAAATCTGTTTCAGCTTTTTGATGATGCAGATTTATTTGTCCCGATCGGGGATTTAGATCATTACCCTATCGTTTCCATTGTTTCACTGTTATTGGGATGCGCTGGATCAATCTATGTGCTATCAATTTTATCTATGACACCTCTATAGTCTAGTCAAGGGTTAACAACTACCAAAGGTAAATAAAAATAAAAAACATTTTATTATTTTATATTAAATATAAATAAATAAATAAATAATACACTTAGCTATTTGATTCTTTTTGTTCTTTTTTTTTACTCAAATAATCCTCGGAGTTCCATGGTTGAATTTCACCAGAGGCAAATATATTGAAATAAAGACCCGACACAACGTAGATTCCAGATGACAAACAAAATACTATGGTCCAAAGCGCTTTATCCTCCTAAAAAGTTATCATCATTAGAAATGTGGAGTATAAAAAGAATGGTATACCTCGTCATATCCTGTCATCGCTCGTATGCCATCGATTGCCAGCGGTGCCAAAATGGAGCAAACATTGGAAACAGAGTTGGTTATCCCCATCAAAACCCCCGCGTGGTTGGGGGATATGTCGATGTGATTAACGTTGTAACCGCAGAATGTGGCGGAATTAATACCAACCGCTACGACCAGTAACACTATTGCCAGCGTTCCTTGTTCTTTTGGCAAAAAAGCCAGCGCCACTAAGGCTGCAGCTGGTATGAACAGTCCTAAAATAACTTTGTTTAAGTACCAATGGTTTTAAGCATGGTACAAGAAAAGTTACCAATTGAATTCATTATTTTTCTGGTTGCTCCTATGGAAAATACTTTCTTTGTTATAAAATGATCGGCGATTGGACTGAAAACAAAACCCAAAGTCCACATGGCGAAATATGCTAGCGCATCCAATAGAGCTACCTATATCGAAAAAGAGGAATAAATTTAAAACCTATTGTAGCGAGTACCGCTCTGGATCTCGAATGATGACTCATCGCCGGTGAGTCAGCGCTCGAGCGATCGAGAGCGGTCCGGAGCTCGCTGGAATATTCGGGAAGGCGCTTGCGTGACTGCTGTCACGTAGGCACTGAATATATAAGGCACAGCGAAGCATGGAGCAGTCAGTCAAGCTTTGGTACTCGCGATTGTACAGTGGTGATATATAAATAATTAGTAGTTAAGTGTTTAGTTAGTTTTATAGTTTCTTAGTGTTTTAAGTGTAATTAAGTTATAAAAATAAATCGTTTAGTTCGTTAATAAACTAGAGCGTGCTTAAATTAACACTACGAACAGTAAAAACGTTACAATATACTAACCGTTTTTAATTTATAATCAAATATTGATTTCAAGTAACTTGGTATTTCTGTGAGGAGGGTCCAAAATCCCCAATTATTGCCTGCATGGCCTATTGTAATAGCCAGCAGTGGCGACGATGTAAAAATAGCTTTCCAAGGTGTAGGAATATTCTAAAAAAAAAAAAAATTAGTTTTTACTCGGCAACCATTGAATCACAACCTACTTTACTTTCACCACACGTTTCAGATTCAATGAATTTTTTCTCGCTCTCGGAAATATTTTTGATTTGCGAAGGACTGTTGGAACCGTATATAAAATAAACAACCGACCAGGTCAAACCTAGACCTCCGTAGATATAGAACACCACAGGCCAACCCAATGTTGAATCAGCTATGAAACCCGTCAGTTGGAGTGATATCACGTTCCCGAGAGGGCCACCTAAAGAATCAGTTTATATCTTCAGAATTTTTCCAGTCGGCAGTACCTACCTGTATATACAAAGGATATAACCTTGGATCTTTCCGAGTTTGGAGCCCAAACACTCAACAAGTGGTGGAAAGAAGGGTACAGGAAGCCTTGGCTCAAGCCTTGAAAAACCCTGCAAATTATGACGCCCTGGTAGCCTATTACATCGGCTAAAATGGGTAGTAGGATGCTGAAGGAGGAGGAAACGGCAATGGCAAGGGTTAGCGACAATTTCGGGCCGAATTTTTTGGCTATCTGCCCAGCACCGATTTGGAGGCAGACGTAACCCCAAAAGAATGAGGAGAGCATCGTGTTTTTGTAGTCCTTCCATTCTGGATAAGTCTTTATGTCAGGAGACGGTTTATCTTTGTCTGTGGCTGTTATGGCGACAATTCCTTCAGATAGGTTGGTTCTCATGCCGTATCCTATAACGGTTGCCAAAAATAATAGTACGTACTGGACATGTCTTACGCCTAACCGTTTTACTAAAAAAAAAAATTATAAATGTAACTTATACAAATTGCATTGTCACCTGCTGTATAAGGTGTTACAAAATTTAGGTCATGTACACTCGCGTGTGTGCATGGAATTAAATAATTTGTTTAGCTAGTTGGGAAGTTCTTCATTTGCGGGGACAATTGCAATGTCACTGTTATTGTTATTTTGTATCGTACTGAATGAAAAATAACTTGGCAGTTTTGATTTGTTTTAAAAAATATTTTGTTTTACTTTTCATATAAATTGTGAGTTTTCTGTGATAATGGAGACTAAAAGAAATAATAAATTCTAAAACATCGCATTTATTGTTTTTTTTTTAATTTGCCTATCTCTAACCTTAGCTTAGGGAATTTTTATAAAATGCACAAGTATGTAGGTATGGTAAATATTTATTTTATATCCCCCTTGAAATAAGTACATTGATAAAATGTCATTATTACAGTAGCTAATCATTAAATCACAATTCAAGATTAATATAATTAATCTCTGACAAACAGGTTGGTAAAAACACTCAAAAAAATTCCATTGCCAAAAACAGAGTTCAAATAGGGGTTTGGTTGATAAATACGGAACCAAAAAAAAATGCAATTAATTTGGCTTTGGTGGTGAGTAGATGAGTAAAATCATATAAAAAGTAGTTAAATATAGGTGACTACGGCCCAGGAGAGACAAAGTTTTCCTAGCGGATAATAATCTTCGCTTTGAAAAGAATCTTTTATATCGATGTAGTGTCAACAATTTCAATAATAAAATACAATGGTGGCTTGTTATGCATTTGGTTGTAAGTTATATAGGTTGCAGTCTTGAGAAACTTATAACTCGAAAACTACCTACTTGTTGAATTATTTTTTACATAAACTGGCAGAAAAAAAAATATAAAGACCTTACCTGGTTTGGATACCAATTCGGTCTCGCACTTTTCCGAATCACTCATTTTATTAACATGAAATGTAAACTACTTATTGTTGGAAAAAAGTATTGTGACTACAATTAATATTTATTAGTCGATTGTCACTACACTACCACTTCCCCACCTCATTCTCGACAGTACAGCCAAGTATGAGTTAAGTATAAAAACATCTTCACCTTAATAGATATATTGAATTGGATTATAAGTATCTTATCAATTTAATTTTTTCTCCTGGTTTTTAGGAATTTTTATTATTCAAGAAAACATGTTAATAACTATACAGCGTGTTTCTACTTAAAATGGAAAACGTAATAGAAGTTGTAGACGAAAATTTTTTCATGTTTTTCATTTAAACGTTTGTTTTGAGCAGAAACACCCTGTATAGAACCTATGAGGCATGAAATTAATTTAATTAATTTATCGCGTGGTTTTTTAAACACCTTGTGACTTTTTACATTTTATAAATAATTAATTATTTACTATTGGAATATTACCGGTAATTAATTTTTTTTAAGTGGAAACCTTAACTCAAATAAATTGGGTACTTTAAAAACGTTTTTTTAAGTACATATTTTGGTACGTTATTTTATGTATCAAATTTGATAAACGCCATTTTAGTCACGAATTTTAATCAGGCACGAAGTGTTTAATTACTATACTTACTATACTATTATTGTATAGGGTAAGTACTAATTACTATACTATACTTTTATATACAAATATTTAATTTAAATCATTTTTTAGATAATATTATATAATTAAGTATTTGTCGTAGAAAAACTATAGTAGGCAACTCGTGACTAAAATTGCGTTTTATAATAATATACTATTATTGGCACTCCACTGTGGTTTTTTATTTTATAATTACTTAGTATAGTATTTTTTGCGGTTATATGCGGTATTGGTTAAATAACAAAAACCAAATCATGCTAAAAATGCACAACAAATTGTCATAAACCACAATTTCTCGTATATTTACCAAGTAAATAAAATTAATAAAATATATTTTACCTAGTGTCTAATTTTTGTGATATTTAAATTTAAAAAAAAACAACTTTGTTATTTTTAAACGCCATTAGTGCTTGATTTTGGCACACCCTGTATAAGAAAAAATACAGGTGGTATGATTTTAATAATGGTGCAATTCTAGCATTACTTTACATTAATTTCATTATTCTCGACAAACTCTTTTTTTGGTTGAACACTCCCGTTTGTAGTAAACTGCTTGACTGTACGGTGAAATGAAGTAGGTGATCGAATTTTTTCCGGAAAACGCTGAGCGTAGATATTAACAGCATCATCAAGATTCCTGCCTGCTTCTCCATAAATCAAAATCATTTCTATTTTTTCTTCCACTGTTAAAAAATCCATTATGAATAACTGCTTAACGAAAGGAGGTCTTTTTGTTTGCAAATTAATCTTCGAACTAAATTGATTAAGTAATGCTAAACTATGTATAAATAGTTTCTTTATACCTAAATAATAATAATCAGATTTAATTTAATAAGATAATTATTACCAAAAAAGTGATATTTTTATAGAAAAATTATTGCAAAATCGTATATATAAGAAGAAAAATCGAACAAATTGATTTTTTTATTAAAGCGCCATCTATTATAAATATAAAAAAATGTTTTAGAGAAAATCTACCTATTAAAATTTTTTAGTCGAATGATCCGAATCTGCATTAAAAAATAGGGTGTTCCATTGGAAATTTTAAAGTTACCCCCTGTTCCCTCTATAAGGAGGAGAGTATGAGGACCAATTTTAGAACTGATTCATTTCCCCCCTCGAATCATTTAATTTTTATTTTAAACATTTTTTCGTAAAATGCATAAGATATATTATAATATAATAACTTTTTACGTGGTTTTAAATAATTGTGCGATACATTTACATATTTACGCGTATTATCGCTATTTTTCTTTGTATTTGCTTTAAATTTAAAATCTTAATTTTTGAATATTATTACCGTCCGATTAAGTTAAGGTCATGCTCAAACACAATCAATGGACAACTTATTAACTCAACTTACTCTAGGTACAGACGCTTTGCTGTCAACATTAACAAAATTTGTATTATATTTCATTTACTATGAAAATTTAAAATAATCTATTTTACTATATACTAAAACTGAAAATATTTGCAATTACTTTAAACAAAAAATATTTAACTTATCGTACAAGTTATAGTTAAGAAATAAGTGTGGTGTGTAACAGTTCATTTTGTGATGATAAATGAAAATATTGAAATGACTCTAAATGGAAAGGAGGCAAATAATAAAGAAGATGTCACTAAGAATCCCAGTAAGTTTTAGAATAACTATTAAGAAATTTTTTTAAATGGTTTCTATTGATACAATAAACCACTTTCAATAAAGATCAGGTAGTGGTTATTTTTAATGTCAAAGATTACCTAAGGTTTATTATTAGTTTATTATAAAGTATACCTAATTTCAACAAATTTTGTTTGTAAAGTTTATACACATGTATAATAATTGCGCATGCATTTATAACAGCGATAACAATTAAAAATAAATCAGTATTGAAAACATTCTTTTTGATAACACTAATAGGTATAGAACTTTAAGTAATACTTAAATATTTAGCAAAATTTATAATTATTATGATTTTCAAACTGCATATAATTTAAATATTATTTATTATAAACATTATTAACTTTTGGGTCAATCCTTATCAAATCAACCAATTTATGTATAAACGTTTTATAATTAAAGGTTTATTATGGTCAAAGCTTTGAATTCTCGATCTTGAAATATAATTATCCAGATAATTTTACGTAAAATCCTCAAGATTTTCCACGTATAGAATTCTGTTGATGCTTAACAACAATTCCATTTTCGCGACCTCCTCTTTCTCCAGATTTAAATACAATCGACTTCTGTGTGCTTAAAATCATTGGTAAATAAACATGGATTTTTCGAAAAGATTAGGAGATCTATGTGCACCTTTTTACTCCCTGTACGAGGTGTGTTCAGAAAATATCCTGAATTTTCGTTTTTTGAAACAAATATTTATTTATTCGTCTGCATTAATGTTGTCGCCTTCAAAATAGTCCCCATTGCTCTTCTTGCAATACTTGAAACACTTCTAAAACTCGATCTTTGGGATAGCCTTTAGTTCTTTCAGCGATGCGTTTTTAATGTCATCTATGCTTGCAAAACGACGGCCCTTTAAGGTTCTCTTTATTTTTGGGAATAGGAAAAAGTCAGATAGAGACATGTCTGGCGAATATGGAGGCTGGGGCATCATTACAGTATTGTTTTTGGCCAAAATTAAACAATTTTAGAACAAATTTTGCTGCCACGCGTTTCATACCCAAATCATTCGAAAAAATTTCATGGGATGAGCCGATATACCAACATCATCAGCGACTTCTCTGATGGTTTATAACGATTTCTTCCACTTTTTCCATGTTTTTATCGGTTGTTAATGCGCTTGTGCGTTCGGGGCGTTCGCCATCTTCAACGTCTTCACGGCCATCTTGGAAACTCTTATACCACTTGTAAACTCTTGTTTTACTTATAGCAGACTCACTATAGGCCTTTGTTAACATTTCACAGAATTTATTTAATTTTTTAAGCAAAATTGGATACAAATTCTTTGATCCATTTCTTTTAACGAACGAAAAATCGCCGAGCTCATAAAACACGTCTAACCTTAGCGGCTGCCACAGACAAAGTAAACAATGAAAACAGCTAAAGTTTTTATCATACTTCGGGGGCATGTATACCAACATAATAAAGAATTTTATGACAACCGGACCCTTCGAACCCGTTATTTTCTGAACAATCTAGGCATTATTTTATTTTTTATCGATAAGTGGGTCGATGTCAAGTACCTACTTTATTTTTTTCTAAGCAAAGAAAATGTGGAGTAAGTAAATAGATTATCAATGAGTTAACATAAAAAAAATTGTTAAAAACTTGACTTTAACGTGAATTTCTTACGTTTGGAAATTGTTTTATTTTTTCTAAAGTTCTTAGTACCTATACGTAGGTATACTTATATACATTATTTATTTCTTCTGCAGAATTTTCTTAACCTTGATTTATTATGTTTTACAGGAATGACTCTTATATACAAGTATTAAATTAAATAAGTGGAAAAATACATTTTGTATTTATTTGTTTAATAATATTTATTTTGAGGTTATCTTTTGCACTTTCTCCTATACAACGTTCATTTACTATTTCCTCACACTGTGGGTTAAAGTTTGATTTTATTATATAAACAAATACATCAAAAATAGAGTAAACACATTAAAGTTTAGGTTGCCACCCGGTATATCACAAAATAATAATACCTATAGGTAGGTATTCATAATAATAATATGACTTATTTTTAAAACCACGTGTCGACAATAAAATCCAAAATTATTGTTAATTAAAACAACAATTAAACATAATGTTTTCCCATTTGAAGTTCTTTTTTTTATGCGTAGATGAGTAAAATCATTTAAAAAAGTAGTTAAATATAGGTGGCTAGGGCCCAGGAGATACAGTATTCCTAGCGAATAATTCTCTTTGCTTTGAAAAAAATTTATTTGTTTTTTATTTCCCCTTATTTTTGAAATTTCAAAAAATTTTGATGTGCTTAGCTGAAAATAATTGAAAAAAATTAACTGTAAAATTGAATTTTATCCCACCGTGCCCAGTCCACAACGACTCAGTTGTTTGCTAATCCACGTAATAAACATTCCACCGATTCAATTCTGTACAATATGTACGGAAAAATCTCCATGAAAATTAAGTGATATGTTTTTGTTTACGCGGAAAAATATACGTGAAAAATATGAGTATCAATTGATAGAGGGAGGAGACGCAATAAATAAATATAATCGTGAGTAAATATCAATACCTAAGGTAACAGTAAGGTTAATAGAACGGTAAAAACGACAAGTGTTTTATTAAATTTATATTGTTTATATCTGCACTGTGGGATAAAAATAATTTTGTTTTGGCAAAATTATATTTTTTTATTTTTACAGCGAAATGGCTGGGACAAAGACACTTCCAAATATTCCTAAATTTTCTTCTAACGTTTATAGCTTACGGTATGAGAGTCAATTTATCTATAGGAATAGTGGCAATGACTGATGCCAATGCTAGTAAAAATCCAGACATTCCCGTAAGTATATCTATAGACATTTTTTATTATAATATGAATATTCAGAAATGTTTGTACCCTTTAAACTAAAATAATACAAAGAATATTAAAAATTCCATTGTTTTTTATTGCCTAATGTTTTTACAATTTAAGTTATTTCATATAATTGTTATTTTTATCGTATCCACTAAATTATCTTTATGACTTTACGGGGATTTTCCTAACACAAATAATAATAATTATTATCTTTTTAATTAATTATAATAATTATTATAATTATCGTTCATTCTTTTGAATAATAAAATTTCAAAATAATTTGATTGTAATTATTGCATCTCTTTATTGATATAATTATATAATTTAATCTATAACTTTATTTATTTTTTGCGTTTGCTCACAGGCAAAATAATCGATCTACACAAATTTTCGATGAATTTCAATCGCAAATAAATTTTTTATTTGATGTCGGATTTAAACAAATATTAAAGAATATTGTAGATAAATTAATGGACAATCGCTCACATTTTAGAAAATTACTAAAAAATAGACGTACGTTTATAATATACAGGTTTAAACAAAAAGATGTTTTTTACCATAAGTTTAAGACACTCTGTAGAGTGGCAAAACCGTATATTGTTCTAAATTAAGTTTTATTTATCAAGTCACATCTATTCTTAACAGTTTTGTTTTTGGTTCATCTCGATATTTATTTTTGTGGAAAATATGGAATTTTAAAAAAAACATTGCAATTTCCAATAATTTTCTGTATGAAGAACTATAGTTCTTAGCCTATGGATGGACCATAGCAACCTTATAAGGTTGCTATGGTCCATCCATAGGCTATGGAGAATGACAGTGACAGTTTTGTTGAATCATCCCATACTTGGACATGTCATACACGGCTTTCAAAAGCTATAAAATTGTTTTTTGCAAATTAATGTTTAAATTTTGAGGTGTATTCTTACTTTAAAAAATGGATATGTCTCCGACTGATGTTGCCAGAGCCATTAATTTAATTCAGGATGGACGGTCACAGTATTACTTGGCGTTTTAAACGACACAATAAGTACAAAGGGAATCAGTCGGAGATATTTTTAAAAGTAAGAAAACACCTCAAAATTAACACAATAATTTACAAAAACAATTTGATAGCTTTTGAAAGCTGTATATGACATGTCCAAGTATGGGATGATTCAACAAAACTGTCACTGTCATCCTCCATAGGCTATGGATGGACCATAGCAACCTTAGTTCTTCATAAGGGAAGAATATTGCAAATACCTAGTAATGTTTTTTGAAAAAAATCCATATTTTCCACAAAAATATATATATATCAAGGTGAACCAAAAACAAAACTGTCAAAAATAGATGTGACTTAATAATTAAAACTTAATTTAGAACAATATATATACGGTTTTGCCACTCTACAGAGTGTCTTAAACTTATGGTAAAAAACATATTTTTGTTTAAACCTGTATATTATAAATGTACGTGTATTTTTTAGTAATTTTTAAAATGTGAGCGATTCTCCATTAATGTATCTACAATATTCTTTAATATTTGTTTAAATCCGAAAACAAATACAGTTATTGTTATTTGCAAATGAAATTCATCGAAAATTTGTGTGGATCGATTATTTTGCCTGTGAGTGTATAAGTAAAATTAACGGTATTCTATAGGTATACCCAGAATGGCATGACAAAAGTATAGCTCTATCGTCATTCTTTTGGGGCTACATTATTCCACAAATCGGGGCTGGCATGTTGGCCAGCAAATATGGCCCCAAATGGTTTCTTGTGGGTACGATGTTCGTGGGTTCAATATTTTCCATAATTATACCCCCCATGGCTAACCTATTTGGATCCAAAGGGGTTATGGTGTGTAGGATGATCCAGGGGTTCACACAAGGGTTCATTTTTCCTTCAGTTCATTATAATTTGAGCAAATGGGCCCCTACTTCCGAGAGGTCCAGGATGGGGTCTTTTGTCTACGCTGGTGAGATAGTTTTTACAACTAAACACTAAACCAAATTGCTTATGCAATAAACATATTTTTAAGGTGGATCAATTGGTTCTGTGGTATCCATGATCGTTTCCGGAATGATAGCATCTAGCTGGTACGGCTGGCCCATGATATTCTATTGCTATGGAGGTTTTGGTATAGCCTGGTCCATTCTAATGGGGTTATATGGGGCCAACAGTCCAGCAGAACACAAAACTATATCGACAGAAGAAAAAAAATACATCGAGCATAATTTAGGACACGATGAACACAAAAAGGCCGTATCTACTCCTTGGAAAAAAATCCTAACCTCACTTCCAGTTTGGGCGGTGCTCATATCACATTGCGGCCAAAACTGGGGCTTCTGGACTCTCATAACAGAAATACCGTCCTATATGGGGCATGTTATGAAGTTTGACATCAAATCTGTAAGTACGTTTCAGTTAACCCATTGGTCCTCAAAATTTTTTTCGATATCATTCTTAGAATAGTCTTCTGTCAGCCCTACCTTATTTTGTAAACTGGATATTCAGCTTCTTATGCAGTGCTGTGGCAGATATGTTGATAGTAAGAAAATTTTGTACTGTTGGAGTGACAAGAAAAATATTTAACTCTATAGGTAAGTTACCCAAAAAAAAAAGTATATATATATATGATTTATTTAGGTTTGGTCATACCAGCTGTGGCGTTAACAATTCTGGGTTTAGGGACAAAAACCGCTAACCAATCCATAGCACTACTAGTTGTAGCTGTTGGTATGAATTCCGCAATCTACAGCGGTTTTAATATCAATCATATTGAGTTATCTCCAAACCATTCTGGTACGTTGATGGGCTTCACAAACTGCATATCGAATGTTTTTTCTTTGGTGGCTCCACTGCTAGTCCAAGTGGTTGTATCAGATGAGGTTTGTTTTGTTTACATTGCCAACCTTATTTGTAAAGATTAAAAATCATTTTAGAACAACGCGGATCAGTGGAAAATAGTTTTTTTCACGGCGGCAGCTGTCTATGTAGCTACAAATACGTTTTTCGTATTTTTTGGATCCGGAAGAGTGCAACCTTGGAATGAAGAAGCTAAAGCGAAAAAGGAGGATGATGGTAATTTTATAATGAATTAAATAAAAAAATACGTAAAATGTTTTAGTTTTAGATGAAACGGCTCAAAGGGGACCAACTTCGTAAATCTGTGATAATTAAGTGTTAAAATATAAATCATTGAATCTCGCCTTTAAAAACTGTTAAATTGTGTAGATATATATTTATTTATAAGAAAAATAAAATTACTATTAATAAAAACAATTTTAATTATTCTGGAACAAACCCATCGTTAAAATATCGATCTTTCATTTGTCGTTGGTAGCACTGAACTTGCACCGTTGCCAGATTTCGTAAACAGCTTATCACTGACAGGTGATTGACATCAAAACAATTTGTTGAAAAAGTAAATATTTTCACCCATAATATAACAATTGGTATAATTATCATCGATGATATTTTCGAATTGAAACCGAGCTGCTTCGGTTTCAATGAGTTATATTTAGTGAGAAAATATATAGTGAATTTTAGGATTTAACGAATTGTCATTTTGACATTTGAAATTAAAATGTGCTTTAAAATATAAAAAGACTTTAATAAACCTTATTTATTCAAACTTACCTTAATTTTATTATCGTTTACACCAACCCATCGATCTTTTAGAGTTTATAATTCGATATTTTAATCATTTAAAACATTGGTGGTCTGTGATTTTAATCATTTAACAAACACAGTATTTAAATGTCAACAAATGTCAAATCAAGAAAAGTGTCAAAATCCTTAGCAACGTGTAAACAAGGTGATAATAGTATATTATGTATCAAGTTTGATAAACGCCATTTTATACACGAATTTAATTTAGGCACGAGCGAGCTTGCGAGCGAGTGCTTAAGTTAATGAGTGTATAGAAAAGTTTATAAACGAGGTGCATACTATACTTTTTCTACGACAAATACTTATTATTATCTTAAAATGATTTAAATTAAAAAATTGTATGGAGCGCCATCTATGAAACAACAGGGGAAACTGTCAAATGTCACATTTTTACATTTTATAAACACAATTATAAAGGTTATCTTAAAAATTGACAGTTTTTCACAGTGAAAGTAAAGAAAATGTTTTATGAGGACTTTACAGTAGAGTCCGTGCCCGAATTTAAGTTATAGGTAGTTTACTGCCGGCGAAATTAAAAGGTCAGTACAATGTTCATATATACTTTTCAAATATTGGCGTTGAGAAACTATTTAATATTTTTGTATTTTTGTATTGAGATAATAAAATAATTTTCACATTTAGTATTATTGTACAAGAAAGGCACTTTATTTTAACGATTGTATGACATTTGACAACTGTCAACTATTAGTTAAACTTAAAACTAACTTCAACCCGTGACTAAAACCTGTTGCTAACTTCAGCCCGTGACTAAAGCAAAAAAAAGAAAAAAAATATTGTCGCTGTGATAAAATGCGTAACTATGGAATACTGGCATTTTATTGGTTCTAATTATAATGAATTGTTTTGTCTATTCGGTATGATACTAAATCATTTAAAATATGTGTTAAAATATAAATCATTGAATATCGCCTTTAAAAACTGTTAAATATTGTAGATATATATTTATTTATTAGAAAAATTAAATTACCATTAATAAAAACACTTTTATTCGAAATCGGCAGTAAAGTAAAAGAAAGTAGAGAGTATTGTATGCAACCCTTTATACATTTTAAGATGTATCTACTGCTACTCAGCGGCAACTAAATAATACTGCCTTCATAAATAAATAACTATTAATCATTCTGGAACAAACCTATCGTTAAAATATCGATCATTCATACATTTGTTGTTGGTATCACTGAATTGCACCGTTGCCAGATTTCGTAAACAGCTGATCGTTGACAGGTGATTGACATCAAAACAATTTGTTGAAAAAGTAAATATTTTCTATTCGGTATGATACTAAATAATTTAGTATAGTTCTTCCAAATGCGTTCATCTGTGAGTTATATTTTATCGAGTACGACCTCAGAGCCCACGATGTCTCATCCAGATTACGAACAGTATTCCCACGATCATGCCGCCTTATTGGTGCTTGTAAAGCATGTCGGCTCCCAGCTGAAACCGAAAGTGTACGGGAAATTCTTCGAACAAATATCGAAAATAAACAACTGCAAGATCACGGACTCCACCGGCTTGTTGCGCAATATAATTGTGAGATATGTGAGGGAGCATCCCGTGGAAAACAACGACTGGGGCGACTTCCAAACGCACCGACGGCTTTTGGGGTTAATATCGCTGGGAAAATACGACTCTCAGCAGGAGCTGAGCGAGATATGCCGGGTGCACGAAAGCCTCAAAGTCAAGTACAACACCACCCTCTTTGACTCGAGGTGCATATTTTTCGGCCCCCCGAAAGAAATGACAACCCCCGTCAGCGACGATTCCTCGAGTTGCAGCGAAAATGAGGTTAAAAAAGTCGATTGTGTTGAAATCGAAAAGTTTACCACACCGGCCAATTTTAAAACTAGAGCTTTGTTCTACGATGAGGTAGGACCTTGCAGTGACTTGGAAACGCAAGTGAATGAGTTTGTTAACTCTCTGTTTTGGGTTCTTGAATCTAAAAGGTAAGTGTACTGTACTAAAGGTACTAAGTACAAAGTACTAAACATAAATATTTTTTTGTATGCCATACAAATTCAATTATTAAAGTACTGTTTACTTGTACTATTGCACTAGTACTAGTGGTAAATTTTCTTTAAAATACCTAATTTTATTTTAACTTGGGTTAAAAGTACTTTTTACTTGTATTTATAAGTACTTTTAGCATTTATTGTACTCATACTTAGTACACTAGGACATTTTTTAAAAGTACTTATATTTACGTTTTTGACTACTTCTACTAAAAGTATATTTGTAATTCACAAGTAACTTTTTATTTTTGTTTAATTTAAAAATTTAATTAAGGTTTTAAAATTTTTTTAGCTAGACTTCGCCTCGTTAAATAAAGACGTTTTATTATTATTATTATTATTACTTGCACTTGTATGTAATTTTATACTAGAACTTAGGTACCCAATTTTATGGTTATTTAGCTTAAAACATTATTTTTTCTTGTTCCTAGTTCTCATAAAGTACTTTTTACTTGTATTTATAAGTACTTTTGTCATTAATTGTACTCATGCTTAGTACACTGGTGCATTGTTTAAAAGTACTTAAATTTGCGTTTTTGAGGACTTTTGGTACTTAATACTTAACAATTATCTAATTAAATCCTTTTTTTTTGTACTTCAGTGTACTGTACTGTACTCCAAGTACCAAGTACAATATATTAAAAATACACTTGTATTTCAGAAGTAACTTTTTATTTTTGTTTAATTTAAAAATTCAATTTAGATTTTAAAAGTTTTTATAAAAGTACTGTAGTACTTTTGTACTAGAACTTAATTTGATGGTTATTTAGCGTGAAAAATTATGTTTTCTTGTTCTCAGTTCTTATTAAGCACTTTTTATTTGTATTTATGTATTTTTACTTTGTACTTTTGCTTAGTACATTGGTACATTTTTTAAAAGTACTTAAATTTACCTTTAGGAGTTCTTTTTTGTACTCAATACAGTTATAATAAAAGTATACTTGTCTTTAAAAAGTAAAAAGTATCACAAGTAAGTACCTAATTATATTTTAGGATTAAATTTTGTTTGTTGTTCTTAAAGTACTACTTTTAAGGTTTTAAATACTTTTTGGTCCTAAGACTGTAAAAAATCATCTAATTAAAATATTCTTTCTTGTACTTCAGTGTACTAAGTACTAAAAGTATACTTTTGTAAATATAATCAAATACAAAGTACTTTTAATTTGTACTCTTTTACTAAAGTACTAAAAGTATACTTGTGTAAATAGAATCAAATAAAAAGTACTTTAAATTTGTACTCTTTTAATGATGTTTTGTTCTTGGTAGCTTCTTTTTAAAACATTCTTCTGTCAGCAAATAAAACATTCTCAATGTACTTAAAATGATTTCAATAGATTGGAAAGATCCAGGGAGAAATTGGAACGCGTTTCCTTACTCCTAGCGCCGTTTGAAAAAAAAGATTTTGTGGGTCTGGACATGGAATCCCGCAACAACAAAAAAAGATGTACAGGGCGGATGACCAAACATCTGGGCGATCTTTGCTTACAAGCCGGTCTGTTAAACGAAAGTTTGGCTTACTATACTGCTGCAGCTGAAACATTGAAAACCATAAACGATTGGCTTTGGTTGGGTGCGGCTTACGAGGGTTTAAGTACAGCTTCAGCCCTGGCTCTGTACCCAGAAATGCCCAGGAATATGCCTCTGCATAGAAACGCCAGTCTACAAGAGGGTACGGTACACATTTTATTTTGTTTGTTTTCTTCATTTAACATTCTATTATATTAAGGTTCCCCGCGAAAGTCGTCCGTATCGGTGAACGCACCCCTATTGAGTTCACCCACAAAAAAAATCATCACGAATTCCCTTCTACCGGAAGATATATCTAAAAGGTACCGCGAAGCCATAATTCACTACAGCAAATACCAAAACGCCGGTATCGTTGAAACCGAAGCCAGCTTCAAAGCGGCTAGAATAGCGGTGGAGCAAAATCATGCCTTGCAGGCGGCCAGTTTCCTGCAGAACGTCGTCTATATTAATTTGACTTTGTCCGAGCAAGAAAAGATACAAAGATTCGAGACTTTGGCGGAGTTGTATTCGCAAATAGGGTTCAACAGAAAGGCTGCTTTCTGCCAGAGACTGGCCGCCACGCGGTACGTTTCCCCCCAAAACACCTCCCCGAATTGGGGGAAATGTTACTCCCTGATGCTGCAAAGTCTGCCCGGTCATTGTCTAACTCTGGACCCCGTGGAAATGAAGGAAACCGACCAGGGCTGGCCAGCGTTGCAGATTCAGCTACTGCAAGAGTTAGTGGTTGCTGCTAGAAGAACTGGCAACTCTGCGTTGGCAACGAGGCACATGACTTTCTTGTTGCAGACTATGTGGGGTCATCTCACTCCAACCGAACAAAAGGAACTTTCGGTAATACCTGACCTGATACACAGCAAACGGAAAAATATAGAAGTGTATAGGGTGAATCCCCGTTTGAATACTGAATCTTAAAGTTTTATCAGAACTGTATTGAATCGTGCTTTGTTTTTATATTTTTAGCCTCAAAACCTATGCACGACTATAGTTAAAGTCACACTCAATGGTGTCTTACAAGATACATTATTTTGATTTTCTATATTCAACAGAGAGGTAGGAACTCGACCCTGTCGAATGGCGCAGTCATTTATGTCTCTAGAAATTATTGAAAAAGTGGGCAGTCCAATGGTGCAGCAACTTCGGATTCTTATTCTCTTCAGAGACATAGAAACTCAAGCTTTTCGAATTTTACTGGCAATGATTTTCGTTTATGTCCCCGAGAATTATAAAAAAATAGCGCAATGAAATATCGCAACGGTTTCGACTTCTCTTTACTCTACCAAGTTATAGAAACTGGAGTCTCTCTAATTCTGTTCCAGTCAATATTTCTGAGAGCATAAAAAGAGGGTGTAATTCAATATTGCAGAAGTTTTGATCTTTTGATGAATGCAAGTATTTTGAATATTCTCATTTCTGCATATGATTTTGTTGAAAACAGTTCCTTTGTCTGATTTTTATTTACCGTTACAACTCAGGTATGTAAAGCACAGAGGATATGATGTAAAGTATATGTATGTATTACATAAAGTACCTTTACTTGTATTAAAAATTTCAGAGGTTATGTTGAAAAAACGATCGATATGCTATTAAACTTTAATAATTTAGTAATAAGGTCTGGTGGTAGACCCTGCACTATCTCCAGTGGTATATGTTAGTAAAGCAATATTTAAATCTGGTTGATCAAAAAGTACACACCAGTGCAGGTTAGCATCTACGAAGAAATGAATTAATGGCCCATTGGCAGTTATTCCTTTGGGAAAAATATTCAACACAGCTTAATTAATTAATAAATTGAAACAAATCACAATCTCCTCTATACTGTGGAGAGTATTGAAACGCTCGACTGGCGAATACAACTCTATACCGTGGGGTTTAGAAAACTGTATTCAAACGTGGTGTCATCCAATACACTTCTATAATTTTCTGACGCGATTTATTTATTATTGTTTTAACTCTTTAAGATTCAACTGCAATCTCTATCGGCGCAATGCGAGGGTTCTCCAGTACTTCTAGTTCTAGACTCGGGTATCGTGGTACCCCCGGCGAATTTAACCGACATTCCCATGTGTACAGCGTTCATTGTTAGGGATTTACAGCCCCATTTAAGACCGAAAGCCATTCCGACTCTCGTCGAAGATCCAGGTCCGTTTCTGTTCACACCCAGACACTTCGGCGGCGGTAACAGTTTGGACAGAAGGCAGCAAAGAGCCAAAACCAAGGTCGACTTTCTGTGGGTGGAAAACGAGGTCTGCGAGATTCAGGTGAAGCTGGTTAATCCGCTGCCGTTTGAATTGAAAGTCTCCAATATGCGATTGTTGACCTCCGGGGTTGTGTTCGAGTCCGTTCCAGAGACGGTTGTTTTGCCACCAGATGTCTCCACCACTTTGACGCTGAGTGGGTGGGCTAGGGAAGGCGGGGAGTTGGAGTTGTCTGGTTATAGCACTCATACTTTGGGTGTTAAGTCAAATTGCAAGCTAAAGCATATGGCGTCCACGAATTTCCCGAACTTCTACAAAGTCGACGTCGTTCCTGCATTGCCACAGTTGAAAGTAACCACCTCCTTTCCACCCAGTGCTTCATTTTCTAACTTTCATGATGATAACATAGTCACATCAGCTGGCGTGACTCTGTTTCACGGTGAAAGCACTCAGTGCACTGTGACGTTAACAAACATAGGCCAAGTGGATGTGGAGATGTTAGAGGCGGAGATACACAGCGTTCTAGAACCGTCCCTGCAAGACCAGATCTTCAGCTGGGACGACAGCGAAGTTCAATCTCAGTTGCCCATAAAACCCGGCACTTCGGCCACTTTGACGCTGCGGCTGCATTCGGCCGCCAACTTTCTGGCGCCCAACGTCACCGCCTCGCCTAGCACTCTGCCGCACGATCTCAGCAGCGGCGTCTACAGCAGCATGTCGGCCTCCGTCACCGGAGGATCTCTCCCGTCCAGGTTCAACTCCAGTTTTCGCTCCACCAACTCCGCCATGTCGAGTCTGGTCGGCTTGCCGACCGTGATCCAGCAACACACCAGCTCGGCCATCGAAGGGCAACTCAGACTGCGCTACAGCGGAGGGCCGGGTTTCAAATCCGACTACTGTCGGATGTGTTCCGTGTTCATCATGATCGAGATGATCCCCTCGTTGCACGTCACGAATTGGGACGTTCTGCCAGCCGAAATGTACGTTTTATGCGACAGCAAGTTTTTGATTCTACCTGAAAGCTTTTTAGATCGTCACAGTTTTACTTGGTGTTGGACATAGCCAACCTAACATCGCAGGAAATGGAGTTGAGGTACACTCCAACAAAAACGATGCTCATAGAGGGTCAGGAGAGTTGTAGAGTTCCCGTACCTGTCGATAGATGTCCTCTTTCCAAGTTGAGCAGTAGGTTTGAGCGTTTAAAGGGTTACCAGTTGAAAAAATGCGCCTTGCAATATCTTTTTTAGAATACTATGAGGATACCGAGGATGATAACGGGTCTACAAACGTAGATATGACTCGTATTTGTTCAGAGCACATATCTGAACTCGTCGATCTGCAATGGCTTCTTCTGGCCACTGATTCCAAGGGTACATCGTCATTAAAGGGCATCACATTGACTTCGCGTATGATGGACATTGTAAGGATGTCCCCCTTGATGTGGGGTACGTTTTTTGACTCGTAATTATTGTGGGTTATGTTTTTAACGGATAAATTTAGAGGTACAAGTTAATGGGTCAGCTATTCGACCTCAGGAGGATATTAACTGCGATGCAGGGGACTGTTTGGAGTTAAAAATGAACCTTACGAACAGTTTGGATAAGGCTCTAAAGCAACTAAATGTTTCTGTGCAGTTTTATCAGGATTACGAGAATGGGAATTTGAATTATAGATTGGATACACGATTGGCCACCACTGGGTCTGTAAAGTAAGTATTATATACTTAATTTTATATACTTTCTATAAAAATTGTTTTAGGAAAACAATCAACTGTCTGCAATCAAAGGAAATAGCGAGTCATGAATGCAATGTTATATTTTTTACACCAGGTCAATACAAAGTGGACATTCAGTGCTGCGCACCAGATAATTTTTCTACTATGTGCGCATCAACCTTAAGTACTGGACATGTGTGGAGATTTACGCCACCTATTAACATTTCAGTGAAGTAGATGCAATATTTATATTGGAATCACGTTTTTATTTATTTAATAAAGTTTATTATTTAAAAACTAGTTTTCTTTATATTTGAAGGCGATATAAAATTGAATTGCCGAGGTAATAAAGCTTGAAAAGATAAAGGAGAAAGTGAAAAGAAACATTTTCGGGTTTGCAGAAATGTACACAATACTAACATGATGAAGATTCAATTCAATGGATTTTTGTTTTTAATTATTTTTGAAGCAAAGCATAGATTGTCTATTTTTGGAAAAATTAGGAGTAGATTTGATCATATTTATTGTTTACTGCCATCCTTATTTTTAAAGCTCAATTGTTGGAATGAAGCATAGATTTTGTTTATGCTCTCTATTTTTAGATCCTAAATGTATTTTTTGTTTTTATCTTCCTAATTATTAAAACGCAATTATTTCTGTGTATTAATTTTGTCTATACTGTCTATTTTTAGTAAAATCAGGAGTAGCTTTTTACAAACAGATAAAGTAGATTTTTTGTGGCCATCCTTTCAACAAATTAATTGTTTTATTTGCCATCCTCATTTTTAAAGCGCAATTGTTAAGGTGAAGCATATATTTTGTCTATGCTGTCTATTTCTGAAAAATCAGGAGTAGCTTTTTCAAAATAGCAAAAGTAGATGGCAAAGAAAAATTGCGTAGTCTGTTATAGTTTATATCCTTAAAAATAGGAAAATCTTTAAAGGAAATAAAATTATCCAAATTGTCTGTGCTATTTTTTGAAAAATCAGGAATAGCTCTTTTCAAAATGGTTTTTTGTGGATATTCTTTCAAGAAATTAATTGTTTTTATCTTCTTCCTAATTTTTGAAGCGCAATTATTAGGGGAAAGTATTAATTTTGTCTATGCTCTCTATTTTTGGTAATATCAGGAGTAGCTTTTTACATACAGATAAAGTAGATTTTTTGTGGCCATTTTTTCAACAAATTAATTGTTTTATTTGCAATCCTCATTTTTAAAGCGCAATTGTTAAGGTAAAGCATATGTTTTGTCTATGCTGTTTATTTTTAAAAAATCAGGAGTAGCCTTTTCAAAATAGCAAAGATAGATTGCATAGAAGAAGTGCGTAGTCTCTAATAGATCTTCAAAAGATGAGATTTTATAAAATAAAAAGTAGCTTTTTTCAAAATGAACAATTTTTTCCTCAGGGAAGGTCATTAAAACGTCATAAAGTTTGTTCTGTTTAAACTGTATATTTTCGTTTTTGTTATTGTCTTAAAGTCTATAGGAAAAAGGTATTTAAAAAGCACAAGTAACACAATAATAATAAAATTATATTTATGATACATTAACAATAAAATAAGGAGTAGGTAACAATTAACCGCCCTCTGATGTAAATGCATATTACATAATATAAATGATGTAAATAAATTCAAATCTGAGCACATAAATCTTGTAAACATACCTACATGTACTTTTTTTAACAATTCAATTTCAATACAAAATATATGTGCTCTAGAGTCTAGATATTGTGTAAAAGATCATCCAAAACTTAATAAAAAACTAAAAATTTTTATTAAATTTTGGACCCTATCTGAGCCTACACACACCAGTGATAAAAACACAAATAAACGTTGTTTATATTTTAGTAAATAGTTCGGCAGCTTTTCAATAAATTAATGACTTAGTGACTTTCCGACAGATGCCGCTGAAATTTAAATGATCATTGAAACGGGGTCCTCCATGTTGTCCTTGAACACCTGGAGCCACTTCGCGCCCACAGCGCCATCTACCACTCTGTGATCGCAGCTCAGAGTCACGGTCAAGAAGGTGCTTTCTTTGAACCTAAGAAATACGTTTTACCGTTATTTTTAAATCCTCTTAAAAATATGTCGATATTAGGCTTTTAATTAAAGGAATTTTTCGGGTGGGTCATTTTTAGGGCAAAACAGGTTTGGCTATATAATGGAAATTAAAATTGCAAATATAAATGGCAAACAACAACAACAACAAATTAATTGTTTTTATCATCTTCCTAATTTTAAAAGCGCATTTATCAGGGTGAAGTATTGATTTTGTCTATGCTGTCTATTTTTGGTAAAATCAGGAGTAGCTTTTTCCAAACAGATAAAGTGGATTTTTTGTGGCCATTCTTTCAACAAATTAATTGTTTTATTTGCCATCTTCATTTTTAAAGCGCAATTGTTAAGGTGAAGCATATCTTTTGTTTATGATGTCTATTTCTAAAAAATCTGGAGTAGCTTTTTCAAAATGGCAAAAGTAGATGGCATAGAAATATTGCGTAGTCTATAAAAGAAGTTTTTTCCTTAAAAATAGGAACATCTAAAAAGGAAATAAAATTATCCAAATTGTCTAAGCTATTTTTGAAAAAATCAAGTACCTCTTTCCAAAATGATTTTTTGTGGATATTCTTTCAACAAATTAATTGTTTTTATCGTCTTCCTAATTTTAAAAGGGCATTTATCAGGGTGAAGTATTGATTTTGTCTATGCTATCTATTTTTGGTAAAATCAGGAGTAGCTTTTTACAAACAGATAAAGTAGATTTTTTGTGGCCATTCTTTCAACATATTAATTGTTTTATTTGCCATCCTCATGTTTAAAGCGCAATTGTTAAGGTGAAGCATATCTTTTGTCTATGCTGTCTATTTCTAAAAAATCAGGAGTAGCTTTTTCCAAATGGCAGTAGATTTTTTGTGCCTGAAAAAGACTCCTAAAAAACTTACCCTTTTTCGGATTTTTCGTCCAAAACCAGCCGTTTAGTTGTGGTGCCAATGGCAAGAATGCAACTTTGCGGTGGGTTAATGATGGCGCAGAAATCTTTAACGCCGAACATACCCAAGTTCGACACACTGATGGTGCCACCTTGGAACTCATGGGGTTGAAGTTTTCCATCTCTGGCTTTTGCAGCCAGCGTCTTTACCGTCTTGCTGATCTCAACCACGCCTGAAAGTTTTATTAAACGATATTTCCACCCGAAAATATGACGTCGAAACTACCTTTATCGTTGGCTTCGAAAACAATCGGAGTGATCAGGCCCTTATCGGTAGATACGGCAACACTGACGTCGACGTTCTTGAACTGGCGGATGTTGGCATCCAACCAGGAAGAGTTAGCTTCCGGGACCTGCAAATTTTTTTAAAGAACCGATCTTGAAACCCATTTGTTAAGTAACTCTTCTTCAATTCAGTTCAAAAGTTTGGTGCTTTTCTCGACAGATGTCGCTGCCATACTGACGCTTATATAATCAGCTGATCGGGCATCAATTGAAAGTGGTAGTGCAACTACAGAGCGATAGATGGCGTTTACATGAATAATACCATGGGGTCCCTAGATTTGGGACCTTAGAATACCAAAATGTCAAAAGTCAGAGTTTTATAACCTACATGATGCACCGCCAAAAGTATGTTTTAGCCATTTTTAAAGACATTTTCAGCTATAAAACCCAGAAATTTTGCCATCTAAAGTCAGTCTCTGGTATATATTATTATTTTATGTATCCAACATATATTTTGTTAAATATTCCAATATATAATTAATAATAATCCTATTTACCTCTCTAACAGCTGTTAAAGGTAACAAAGGTCCATCATTATCCCGGATACATAAAATAATATATATATATACCAGAGACTGACTTTAAATGGAAAAATTTCTGGGTTTTATAGCTAAAAATGGCTAAAAACATACTTTTGTCGGTGCATCTTGTAGGTTATAAAACTCTGACTTTTGACGTTTTGGTATTCTAAGGTCCCAAATCTAGGGACCGTATGGTATTATTCACGTAAACGCCATCTATCGCCCAGTAGTTGCACTACCACTTTCACTTGATGCAATGATTTTAGCATAGTTTTTTGTATCGTGGTGACATCTGTTGGTCTATTTTAGAAGCATTTCTTACCCTCTTCGCAGCGTTGGCGGTCGCCTTGATGATAAAATCGTTGACGCTCAACTTGACCCCGCTCTTTTCCAATTTTTTGTTGTAATCGCTCCTAATCTTGGAGAGTTTGTCGATGTTGCACTCGACGGTGAGGTAGTAGTGCGGAATATTCTGCTTGGATTGCAGCAAACGTTTGGCGATCGTGTTGCGGATGCTGGTGACGGGAATGTCCACGAAGGCGGCGCCTGCGGGCACTTGCACCGCCTTCGGGCCGCCGCCGCCCGGGGCGGGGGCGGCTACGGCCGCAGCTGCAGGAGCGGGTCCGAATTTCGCCAAGTCGTCGGTGGTAATCGAACCGAAGAGACCTGTTCCCTTACCTGAGTTGCAAGAGAATAATTTGCTGAATTTAACATTCTTTTACCGACTTAAGCACACAAAAAATGGCCTTAATACCATGGTACAAGAAAACAAGGCATGTTCTTGCTTGAGAGCACTCAGTCGCCGCCATATTGACTATTTACATCATTTTTAAATAAATAGGTCGTTTTTTAACAAAAGAGAGAAAGGCAGAAGTCTTACTCGACAAATTTTGTTCAATTGCACAGCTAAATCGCGCACGTTATTTTTTACTACTCGATTTCGATTGATTATTCCTCATATCATTGATTAAGAAACTCAACGCTTAAATGCTTATATAGTTACGTTAGTGTGTGTATTTTATCTAAGGGATCATGGTGAATTATTGTGTTTTTAATTGCAAATAAAATTCAAGAACTAAATCGTTGCATTTTCATGTTTTGCCAAAGGATCCAATTAGGTAAGTGCATTTGTTGGTGCAGAATTAACTAATGATAACTTTACCTAATATAATTTATATTCAAGTTTGGACATTTTTAAGAAATTAGTAAAAAATAATGTTTGCACAAACATAACCTTAAAATCAACCATTTTTATATTTGTGTTCTCTAAAAAAGCATTTTAAACAACAAAATATACCTACGAATTCATGGCAACATAATATTATATATAATACATAATATAATGGTATTTTACCGTTGAGTGGAGACTTTCTTTAATAATGCTAAATGCTGTTTAAATTTAGACGACTTATTTGTTTGTTTTTACTGAATTGAAATGTTTACACTTTTTACGTTAATCACTACTAAAATGTGTATTTATTGTATCTTATAGGTACAATTTATATTTACAGAGACTGTATGCAATTTATTTCTTCATTCGGATTAACACTGTTTATTGGAAAACCGGTAAAAACTCAACCCAGGATTTCCTCTCGAAATACACCCAACAACACAACAAATCGAGCCACGGTTTTTTTTCGATATTTTTTAACATTTTTCGGCTTTATTCTCAAAAACACTCGTTTGTAATTTAAGCGTCTGACAGCTGATTATTAAAAGTTTTAATTTTGTTACGATGATAGCGGCCGAGTGGTGGCGCTACTAGCGATACTTCTTTAAGTAATAATAATAAAATTCGTCCTACTTGTTTTCTTGTACCATACTCAGTGTTACCAGATTCTGTCAAAAAAAGACCGTACGTTTCGTTCGAATTTACCTTAAGTACAAAAATGACTCAATGGACAATATTAAATAACGTCAACTTGACATAATTGCATTTATTTGCATTGTTTCATTGTGTCATTTTGTAATTAAGGTAAATTCGAACGAAACGTACGGTCCTTTTTTGACAGAATCTGGTAACACTGACCATACTTAATACTATTTTTGAGCAAAAAAATACCTACGTCAAAAATTTGGCAAAAACCTATATTGTCATAAAACAGGAATGCCAACTGCTACTGCTTAAAAAACCCTAAACCGACTACCAACATAACGAACGCGTCAAAATCCAAAAACAAACATACAACTTACCTTGCAACCTGATGTTCCTTTGTTCGGCTAACCTTTTGGCCATCGGACTAGCGTATACTCTACCTCCGTCTTGCGGGGCGGGCGCCGATACGGCAGGGGCGGCGGGCGTCGGCGCGACAGGGGCGGGGGCGGCCGGAGACGGGGCCGAAGGGGCGGCGGCAGGTTTGGCCGGCGCGGCGGCGTCGTCCTTGAAATCTTTGAACTTGGCGATGTCGGCTTCGTTCTCCACTATGATGCAGACCAGTTTTCCGATGGGAACGTCTTTGGTTCCGGCTTGTATGAGGATTTTCGCCAAATAGCCTGATGTAGAAAATGTTGAGTCAAAAGTTGTCCAAGGCATTTAACTCTTAAAAATTGCGAAAAAACCACAACAGGCGCAGTTATTTTTTATAAAATCAGGTGTAGCTTTTTCAAAAATGTATTTTTTGTAGATATTCTTTTAACAAATTAATCCACACAGTTGCGTCTTGACTCTCGAAGGGTAAGGATGCTTAAAGATAGTTACGCAGCAGCGTATACGATACAAACGTAGTAAAGTATCAAAGTGAATCTAAGTTTGCGGAAATACCGGTAATCGGTAATAAATAAATAAATAAATAATAATCAAACAAGTGCAACAATTGCGAAAAGGACTGTCCTCAAGTGTTTGACCTGAATAAAAGGTGTGAGAGAGACGTTCAGTTCCAATAAAAAATTTCTGGGCTAAGACACGTGCGGCATACGATAAGGATCAATTTTAGCACACTGCCTGGCAATATCCCGAAGTCCAAGTCTGCATAAACTAGATAAGTAGCTACCAAATTGCATGAACATGACCACCCAATAATTAATACTAGTTAATTCGAAATACGCAACCTTTATCTAACAATAATTCTTCAGGTAAAATTAATTAGTCGCAAACAATTTAGAAGATTCTCATGCAAATGAAACATTAAAAAAACGATAAACACAAGGGCACATAAGAAGCCATTAATCACTCAAGTTACGATAAACATTAGGCAAAAGAACCCATCCTAAAGAAACTATTTATTTATGTTTACATCTATAGATTACGAAGTCGTAAGGGGTCATAAATTAAGTAAAAACCGTTAAGTAAGCGTACGCACAGTGGGAAAAAATAAATAATTCGAGGGTCGACAATTCCGCGTCTTCCGTTCATAAATAAAGTAAAGCGTTCTAAGAATCACTGGGATCATGCACAGGGGGAAAAAAAATAATTCGAGGGTCGACAAATCCAGTAGGTTAAACGTATTTCCACATAGTCAGAGGGCAATATTACGGCGGGGTGCGGCCGGCAACACTTCGGAAGATACGACTCAATAACGCACAGGGGGGCAAACAATTCTAAAGCGGCTATCAAGAAGTACACCATCAAGGAAAGGGGCTAGCAGCATACTAATCCACCCACCCCCATTCAGGAATACCAAATGAATGGGGTTATTACTAAAGCCCTGGTTTAGGAGGATTCCGGATTGTACTTAGTTTTGGGTCAGTTCAATGTCCTCCAAAAGCCCTTCCTAAACTGGACGTATGGCCCGACCCGGCTGACAAAAATCCCGGGAGCTGCCTTAACCTTTGACACTGTCATCCACGAACTCCTAGGGTGGATCTACCAGCCGGCGTAAAAACTTCGGATCCAACAAACACAGGTAATGCTGTGATTTGGCGGGATACGCAGGAGAACGGAAAGGGGGTAATATAATCCCGGGAGATCAGTGGATGACAATATATCTGGGGCTTGCCATACGTTCCCATACTCATACTCATACTCATATTCTTTTAACAAATTAATTGTTTTTATCGTCTTCCTAATTTTAAAAGCGCATTTATCAGGGTGAAGTATTGATTTTGTCTATGCTGTCTATTTTTGGTAAAATCAGGAGTAGCTTTTTACAAACAGATAAAGTAGATTTTTGTGGCCATTCTTTCAACAAATTAATTGTTTTATTTGCCATCCTCATTTTTAAAGCGCAATTGTTAAGGTGAAGCATATCTTTTGTCTATGCTGTCTATTTCTAAAAAATCAGGAGTAGCTTTTCCAATGGCATAAAAAAATTGAGTAGTCTATAAAAGAGGTTTTTTCCTTAAAAATAGGAAAATCTTCAAAGGAGATAAAATTACCCAAACTGTCTATACTATTTTTGAAAAAATCAGGAGTACCTCTTTCCAAAATAATTTTTTTGTGAATATTCTTTCAACAAATTAATTGTTTTTATCGTCTTCCTAATTTTAAAAGCGCATTTATCAGGGTGAAGTATTGATTTTGTCTATGCTGTCTATTTTTGGTAAAATCAGGAGTAGCTTTTTACAAACAGATAAAGTAGATTTTTTGTGGCCATTCTTTCAACAAATTAATTGTTTTATTCGCTATCCTCATTTTTAAAGCGCAATTGTTAAGGTGAAACATATCTTTTGTCTATGCTGTCTATTTCTAAAAAATCAGGAGTAGCTTTTCCAAAATGGCAAAAGTAGATGGCATAGAAAAATTGCGTAGTCTATAAGAGGTTTTTTCCTTAAAAATAGGAAAATCTTTAAAGGAAATAAAATTACCCAAATTGTCTATACTATTTTTGAAAAAATTAGTAGTACCTCTTTCCAAAATGGATTTTTTGTGGATATTCATCAACAAATTAATTGTTTTTATCGTCTTCCTAATTTTAAAAGCGCATTTATCAGGGTGAAGTATTGATTTTGTCTATGCTGTCTATTTTTGGTAAAATCAGGAGTAGCTTTTTACAAACAGATTAAGTAGATTTTTTGTGGCCATTCTTTCAACAAATTAATTGTTTTATTTGCCATCTCATTTTGAAAGCGTAATTGCTAAGGTGAAGCATATCTTTTGTCTATGCTGTGTATTTCTAAAAAATCAGGAGTAGCATTTTCAAAATAGTAAAAGTAGACGGCATAGAAAAATTGCGTAGTCTATAAATGAGTTTTTTTCCTTAAAAATAGGAAAATCTTCAAAGGAAATAAAATTACCCAAATTGTCTTTACTATTTTTATCGTCTTCCTAATTTTAAAGGTGCATTTATCAGGGTGGAGTATTGATTTTGTCTATGCTGTCTATTTTTGATAAAATCAGGAGTAGCTTTTTACAAACAGATAAAGTAGATTTTTTGTGGCCATTCTTTCAACAAATTAATTTTATTATTTGCCATCCTCATTTTTAAAGCGCAATTGTTAAGGTGAAGCATATCTTTCGTCTATGCTGTCTATTTCTAAAAAAATCAGGAGTAGCTTTTCCAAAATAGCAAAAGTAGAGTTCATAGAAAAATTGCTTGGTCCATAAAAGAGGTTTTTTCCTTAAAAATAGAAACATTTTCAATGGAAATAAAATTACCCAAATTGTCTATACTATTTTTGAAAAAATCAGGAGTACCTCTTTCCAAAATGAATTTTTTGTGAATATTCTTTCAACAAATTAATTGTTTTTATCGTCTTCCTAATTTTAAAAACGCATTTATCAGGTCGAAGTATTGATTTTGTCTATGCTGTCTATTTTTGGTAAAATCAGGAGTAGCTTTTTACAAACAGATAAAGTAGATTTTTTGTGGCCATTCTTTCAACAAATTAATTGTTTTATTCGCCATCCTCATTTTTAAAGCGCAATTGTTAAGGTGAAGCATATCTTTTGTCTATGCTGTCTATTTCTAAAAAATCAGGAGTAGCTTTTCAAAATAGCAAAAGTAGATGGCATAGAAAAATTGTGTAGTTTATTTCCCTTAAAAATAGGAAAATCTATAAAGGAAATAAAATTAAACAAATTGTCTATGATATTTTTGAAAAATGTATTTTTTGTGAATATTCTTCAAATTAATTGATTTTATCGTCTGGATTCTTATTGTTCTAGCTTTAAAGATTACCTTACCAAACAAACTAAACCAAATTTACATAAAAATGACTTAATAAAAACATACCTTCTTCTGGTGTCTCAAATCCCATCGTAGCTTTATCTGTTTCGATTTCAGCCAGGAGATCGCCTTCATTGAGCTTGTCACCCTCTTTTTTGGCCCAACTAACAATTGTTCCTGCTTCCATTGTGGGCGAAAGGGCCGGCAAAGGCACCCTGGTGTGGGAGGGGTAATCAGCATAACCCCTTTTTTGTAATTCTACATTGTTCGTATGGGCTAACAACTGAGAAGTGCTAGTTTCCAACCTTCTAAAAGTAATTTGTAGTATTTATAACATAATGTAATAAAAATCGTTTTGAAAATAGAAAAACGTGTACTTGTTTTATGATTTGACATTCAAGGTGTTAAGTAATCATTTTCTTGAAAAAACATTTTACTTTTATTGATTAATGAAATAAAATAAAAGTTTCCCATAGAATAATATGTATTTCCCAATAAAAATTGGTTTACTTTGGTTGTTTATCGATATTAAGTGAAAAATGAGTAATATTACACTGAAAATTGAGGTTATGTATGGTCATTCAAAGTGGATTTTAAAGTTAATCTGAACTTCAGATTCTGAAGGGTTTAAAATGGGGTGATTACCTGTGAAAATGTCTTCTTTTGGTGCATTGTACACTGGCATTTTTCAATAAATTATCTCTTACTGCCTTTCTGACAATACTTTTGGCCACTTCACTTCTAAAAACAATCGTTCGGAACATTTTGCAGGATTGTTTTATTCAAAAAACCCCAAAATAAAGCGGTTTTGGCAAAAATAATTCTTGAGGGCGACTCGCCAGTTGCGACTAGGTCATTTAAAAGACTTTGCGTTTGTGACAGTGACGTGAGGTCACAGGTTTTGACGTATGAAGTTCCGCAACCGCGCATTCAAAAGGTGATTGTCGGGGATATAAATGTTAATATTTGAAGGTTATCCAGGCTCTTAAATCTTATCTATTCCGTTAATAATTTGTTCTATAGATAACTTGTCAGCTTCCAAAAGATGAAATTAACGTGCAAAAAGAATTGGCAACGTTGCCAAATAACCTACAAAATGTCTGGAAACAATCGAAAAATTTTGTCTCTAGATGAATGAAACCAGAGATATGAAACCGTCATTATTTCAAAATGACCAGAGAAATATCGACACTGAAAATCGAAAAGCATAAAGTAACACAATTTAAAAAACAAGGCTATACAAGAATAGAAGATGCTATAAATTCAAATATACTTGAAGAAGAATTATTAACAAGTTTAATAAAAGCTCCCTTAACAAAAACAGCATGGGACCTATTAATTGAAGAGGAATCATTTAATTTATTAAACACATCTAATAAAAATTTGGATTTGATTTTAAAAAATGAATTAATCCCAAATACTATTGTTGAATTGGTTGGGTTGCCAGGTTCAGGAAAAACGCAATTGTGGTAGGTATATATTTTTATAACTGTCTTAAGAATGTCAATTTAAGCTAGAATATTACTGTATGTCAACTTAAGCTAGGTGTAACTGTTTATGTAATGTCAATTTAAGCTACAATATAACTATCTTAAGAGTCAGTTTAACCTAAAATATTACTGTCTTAAGAATGTCAATTTAACCAAATTATTACTCTTAAGAATATCAAATTAACCTAAAGGATCTCTGTCTTAAGAATGTCAATTTTATTCAAATATTACTCTTAGGAATGTCCATTTAACCTAACAAATGTCAACTTAACCTAAATATTACGCTTAAGAATGTCAAAATAACCCAAAATATTACTATCTTAAAAATGTCAAATTAACCTAAAGTATCTCTGACTTAAGAATGTCAATTTTATTCAAATATTACTCTTAGGAATGTCAATTTAACCTATTGAATGTCAACTTAAGCTTGATATAACTGTTTTAAAAACGTCAATATAAACTGGATGTGACTGTTTTAAGAATGCCAATTTAAGCTAGAATATTACTGTCTTAAGAATGCCAACTTAAGCTAAAGCCTAATTATTAGTTTTCAGCTTTGTATTTCTGCGCAGTTAAGTACATTTGACAGTGATACACCAGGAGAGGCAGTTTTTGTCAGCACAAACAAAAATTTTTGCAAAGAAAGATTAAAAGGTTTTTATTTTTTAATTTATTATAGTAAATTATATCTAATGTTTTTTTAGATATTGTGTTAAAGAACTTAAACCATAATGCAAAAACTTTTAATAATGTAGATGAAATTTTAAAACGAATACATTTTGTAAAAGTTGCAACTAAAACTGACTTATTAAGTTTCTTAAACAACTTGGAAGAATTTCTAAAAACTAAAAGGGTGAAAATTTTAATTATAGACAGTATTTCCTATCCTATGAGAGAAGTGGAAGTTGATAAAAGAAAAATATTGTTTTCTAGAATTTTTAAAAGTCTTAGAAAAATATCTTTGGCATATAAATTTGCTGTAAGTATTAATTACCATAATCACTTTTTTGAGGTTAGGGGCCCAGTGATCTTCTTTACTCTTTATCACTTTTGGGGTGTCAAATCAGTTGCATTAAAACAAAAAGTGTAAGTATATTTAAAATAATACATTTAAAAATTTATGTAGTTTCTGGTTGCCTAGGTTCGTTCCATGGTTGTTGCTTTGTTGTTCCTATAGCTACAAAAATGAAACCCCCAATACAGTAAATAATACCAGCAATCAAAAAGACCCATCTCCATCTATCCAATCCTTGGTCATCCTGCAAAAATATTTCCATATAAAACAGTAAAATGCTTAAAATTGTTACCCCCGTTTCCTAGTACTGCCCCTGCAATAATAGGTGCTATAAACTGGGTACATCCGCCAATTAGGGTTATTATGCCAAAAACGGTTCCAGAATAGTTGGGCGCCAGATCTTGAGAGTTGCGCAAATTCGTACAGACGGCGCCTCCGTTAAAGCCCTGATTCATAACCAATAGGGCCGTAGCAAAGATAAAGTTGCATTCAACAAACATCATGCATATCATACAAAGGCCAGGCAAAAAATGGGCTATTTAGCGTTAAAAATCATGTGAGATTAAGAAAAATGTTAACTTACAAAATATACAAAAGGACTTTCTTACAGCGGTTGAGGAACCCTCCCTCTTCTTCTCGATGTAATCTCCAACAGCCCCGAACCCCATTCCAGCAAACATTCTTGTTAATGGAGGTAGAGCCGATAAAAATCCAGAACGTTTTAAATCTTGATTAAGGTATTCCCTGAAGAATTTTGGCACGGTGAGCATTGTCACGAAGAGACCATACAAATTGGCGGTGTGGGCAAATAGCAATGCATAAAACGGAAGTGAAGAAAATATCTTGAGATATGGGGCGACCAACTAAAAAAAAGTAATCCTGCAAACTGTATTGCTGAATGCAAAATATCACCTTAGTTTTTGGTGGGGGTACCATTGTCGCCAAGTACTGCCTTTCCTCTTCCGATATGTATTTGCTTTTGACCGGCGAGTCGGACAGGAGGAAAAAAATTAAAATCAGGTATAAGGTGACGACACCTGCGACGAAAAAGAATCCCCATGCCCAATTAAAGTACTGATTGATCGCTCCCACGCTCGCAAACACCACTACCGTGCCCATATTGTTTCCCAAGGTCGCGCTGACGAATTTGCCTTTTTCTTCTTTTGGCGCCCAGTTCGCTATTATTATCTGAATCGCCGGATATATAACGCCCTAAATATCAATGAGTAAGTAGTTCTTTAATACGAGCGAGTTAAGTCTATTTACCCCCAAGGCTCCAATTACCATCCTGGTAACAAGCAGAGCCGTCCAATGAAGCAAAGCCGCTGGCACACAAGCCACAGTAAGGATCATACTGGCCAACGTTGAAAAAAAAATAACTTTCCATGGTCCGTAGTATTCCGACAAAAAACCTCCTGGCATAGAGGTCAACACGTAACCGATTCCGTACCTGTTAAAAGGTCAAACAATAAGAGTTGTATGAATACTGTTCATTTAAACCAAATGACATACCCTGCTAAAATTAACCCCTGTTGATGCTGAGTGTACGTGAACCTGCGGAACATTTCTTCTTCGGGCTTCTCGGTCGTGGTGGTTGTGGCGTTCGGGTCCATGGTAGTGGTTGGCGCTGCGGTGGTCACATAACCATCCTCCGAACATTGCCCTTGCGTTGCCCCTTTACTAAGCTGCATTGCGGATATACTAACAGACAAATTCGACCGCATCATATAGTTTGTGAAAGTTGTCATGAAAATCATACTCGCTATCCAAAAACGGTAAGGTATCTCTTAAAAAAAAGAGTGCTATTTAATAAGTATATACATAATTAACAGTCTTATCTTATCCAAAGTACTTCTTTAGTCCTGATACAGAAAGAAATAGTACTACATAAAAGTGCTGGACTTACTCATTTTGGTGTTCTTCTTTTTACATTAATTTTACAAAATCCTATTTGGAGTTAATTGAACATAAAAAATAACAAATTTAATTGAGTGATCTAATCATCCTACAAAATGACACTACATTGACATTCATTGTATTTTGACAAGAATATCAAACCATAAATGCAGTGTTGCCAGTCGTACTATTATGTGAACATGAAGCAATACCACAAGCATCTGGGTGTTTTATTTCGCTGTGGGGGCCTACCGTTAATTTATCTTTTATTCCTTCTTGTTCCCAGAGACCATATCAGGTTAAAACTTGGCCAAGAATTGCCCTTTGTACCCTGTACAGAAGTTGACTAATTTCTTTCCCAAACCATGGATCTCTGGGGACTGAAGTTTCGGCCAGTCGGCCTTGTCTTTGGTACCGTAGCTGACTTCAAGGAAGATTCAGCTGCTCCCTACATGTACTGACTTCCAAGAAGATTCAGCCGGTCGTTGTTGTATTAGCGCTCTTGTAAACGTCTGACTTCTTTAAGAGTTCGGTCGACTTCCACAGTCTGGGGTCTCCAGAACACCCCAAATGAAGATCACAGGGCCCCCATATTAAGGAAGCACCCGAGAACTCCGATGACAGCTTGAACAGTTGGGAAATTTCAAGAATCGTCTAAAATGTTTACATTTTTTTTTAGGTTGTTATAACGAATGATATGACCACAAGGGTAAACAATCTGGAAGCTTATGAGACTCCATCGTTTGGCGATAGCTATTATCATAATATTAACACCAGAATTATTTTGTCCAGAGAAAATTGTGGTTTTAATGCTAAAATTGTTAAAAGTGTTCACAAAAGTTGTATAAGTGTAAATTTTGATATTTAAGTTTAATTTAATATTTTTTTAGATAATAAAACTCAAGTTTTATTTATAAATAGTGTTTATATATATAAAAGCGGTCTTTTGTAATACATTTACATTCTTCTAACATTTAAAGAGTCTTGTTTTACAGATATCCTCCCACTGTTATCTTTCCAAAAATTAAAATCAGGTTGGGAAATATCAGAGCATTTAGTGTTTCCATTATTTTTGCCATTCCTTTCCATAACCAAGGGTAAAATCGTTCCAATACTATCCGAGTTGTCGCATATTATTCCAGCTAGACTTGTTTTTCTCAACTCGTCCAGCTGATTTTGTGTGAAAGTTTCAATGCTCGTTGGGTTTTCGTACCAAAACCGGTCACCATATTTTAACCTTACGAATTGGTCCAGAATTAAACAGGTCAACGTTGGGCCCAAAATGCTATCCTCCAAAGGTATTTCACTTAAAGCTCCCGTATACAAATCTATGTCTTCCACTGATCTACAAATAAATGCAATTAAATGTAAAGTCAACCTTTGTATGTATTGTTTACCTGTAAATTGATTTTATATTGTACCAGGAATCTTCGAAGAAGTACGGTTTCAATTCGTCGTAATTTGTTGCCTTCTTTAACCCACAATGTTTCCTCCAGTCTATGTATGGTGGAAGACCATGGTCCCTTCCCCGTTGTATATTAAGGGATACCAAATCCAAACCACAGAGTTGTGGATTTGTTTTTAATTCATCGGATTTTTCAAACATATGACTCTTCAACTAGGAAAAAAAATTAAAAACAACAAAACAAATATTTTACATGTTATGTAACACACCTCTTTGGTGAAGTACGAATCAGTGGCCTCGATGGTAGTATTCATAGCTCCGTTCAAAGTTTTATCCAAGTACTCACTTTCAAACAACTTGAACGGATCGAACAGCATTTTATGCGTGGCTACGTACTCGGGACTGGACGTATCGTTCGCCAACAACTTCATCAAACCCGGAATTATGGAGTGAGCAAACCTGAAAGCAGCCGCTGCGAAACTGTTAGCTATGGACGCATCCACAGTATCGTTATAGCCTTCGAAATACCCCTTTTTCTTTGGCAGTAACTCGAACTTTTCCATGGTACTTTTCCCCAGCAGAATCGGCAGAAACTCGTTGTACGTTACGTGTTGCAGCTGAGCGGCTACGATTTTTCTGGCCTCTTGAAACAGCCTTTCGTCGTTCCAATCGCGGTTGACCTTCGATAATTTTTTCACCAGCAGGTTGTGTTGTCTGGCCCATATTAGGTGCATGCTGGTCAAGTGCAGGTTCTCGTTGGCTCTGCTGTCGCCTTAAAGAAAACAGACATAAGTACCGGAACTATACCGTACCTTCATTTGCAAGCTAACCATAGGGAAAATACTTTGTACCTGGACCAGATAAGTCTTAGTCAGTACGAAGCGAAAAACGTTGTAGAAATGATTTGGACGCGTGGACGAGTAAGCTAGCATGCGCCGTAACAGTTGACCTTGCTTCATACATCGATGCTTTATTATTGTTTTGTATTTTGTGCGGTGTAAATCTGGTAAAATTTGTTTTAGTACGCATGTCTCGACGACGCATCCAAATCATTTCTGAGAAGGTTCTCGCTTTGTGTTGACTGCGACTTATCTGGTCCAGTTACAATGTATTTTCCCTATGGTTAGCTTGCAAATGAGGGTACGGTATAGTATACTATATATACCTGTCACGAAGCAGTATCTTCCTTTATTGTACTCTACCTCTCTATTGCAACCATCTGTTAAGTTCTCGGACACCGGCAGAAGCTCCCTGCCTTCCACCTCCAACATCCTCAACTTCCCCTTCTCCAAAGTGCGCAGGCTTCTAGCAGACTCCTCGCTGCCACCGTATACAACAGACCCGTCTATGTACGCCGACACCTGGTTGATTTGCTCCCTAGGCCCCAAGTAGCACTTGGGGGCTGGGGCTGATCGCACAAACTCAATACAAGAGACGTTGTACTCCATAAACGGATCGCCTTTGTCCAACTGAACTGCAAAACATTCCGGAGATCTGTATCCCGAATTCGAACAGCACGATATAGAGCTGCCGTCGGATTTTTGGCTTATTGCTGTAGCGGTTATGTCGTGGTCCAAAAATTGCCCCCAAACGGCCAGCATGACCGAGAATTTTTTTTCGCTTCTGTAGTAAGGTCGGTGCACCACAAGACTAACAGTCCTGGCCGAGGGAAGCTTGGCATGCGAAGCTGAAGCTCTCGGCATATTAATACCTGTGGATAAAATTATAAGTAAGTCTGTAATGGCAATATGAAATAAGAGTGGCCCAAGTAATGAGCTTTGTGGCATACCATCGCTATAATCTGGGGGTAGAGCGCGTCTAAAAGGAGTCAGGGCGACCCCATACGTTTGGGGGTGGTTGAAATTATTACACGTCCCATCATACGTCCTATACTTTTGGTACTTATTGCACAGTATGTTCTCTTTATCACAAAAATCAATCAGAATGTCATTGCTGGAGTTGTACTTTATTTTTTTGGACTTTAAATCTGGATATTTTCTACGAAAAAAATGTTGTTTGTTACAGTATTAGTAATGTTAATAATAATTAGCTACTTGATTAAAAATTGCGTGGCATGATCCTCTATGTAACCAATTCTGGAAATATGTCTAGCTTTTTTGGATGTAGATACAACCATTTGATGTCTATGTCCGGGACTTTGAATTGGTAGAGATCTAACTTTGTCTTCATTTGTATCTCTTTCTTTCAAGGCAGCTACACCCATATTCACTATGTCATCCCATTCGTCTTCTTTGTGAACCTCAGTTAAATTTACATCGCCAATAGGAAACTGAGTGAGTGTTAGAAAGTTCAGAGTTAGGTTGTCAGGTGTATCTGGCGGTAACTCGTGTTGACCAACTGATATGAATATTATTAGGCCAGTGATTATCGTTAAAATAATGGATCTAAAACATCTTTTACCATGGCGTTCGAGAACAAAATAATTTACTTACAGTATCACAGTAGCCACACAACATTGAAATTTCCTGGTTTGATATCTCCTTTGGAACTGACTGCCGTATCCGAAAATATACCTGGGCGTTTCGTCTTCGGGTAGAAGAAAAGTTTTTTCGGTGGGGTTGGCCATATTGCTAAACTATTTAGTTGAACGAGTAAGTGTGATCAAATGAATGGAAATAGGTAAACTAAACATGCCATGGATATCGAAACCAATGAAGTGTGTGAAACCTTATATGATTTGGAAATGTAATATGTTTTGAAAACAAATAACTATAGCTACATATATTTAAACCCAATCAAAATATGCTCTAATAAGTACGCTGGACATATAAGCAGGGGCGGCCTATGTCATTTTATGGGGTACCTACATATAACTTAAATAAAAAACGTATTCTATAAACACATTTATTTATAACATTTTATATCAATATATATTCGTAGGTACATTTTTGATAAAATTTGGTTTTATTTAGTTTAAAAATAAACAATTGACTAGTCATTAAATAGGAATCCATAATAAAGACAATTCTTGAAATTCATATCTTTCATATAAACTACAATTCAAATTTGTACTAAGTTGTAAAATATTTTCGAAACCTAAATCATCAGTAGAAATGTTGATACTTTTTTACGAATATTCATTTCCATGATAAGGGCTCAATTAAAAATTTAAGAGTCAAAAATATTTTGCTAAAAACATTCAACACTTATATCTATATTGATTACATTTATTTTTAACAGTAACGTTTATATTTTTATATTATATAGTATTTTATTATGTCTATGGGTAAGAAGTCTATAGCTGTCTAAGAACGTCGACAAATTGCTTTAAAACCTGTATAAATATTTAAATAAACACATTTACTACTACTAAATAACCATCTACAGGTATTTTTTATATTTTTTTATTACAAGTTATACAATGTATATAATATACATACAGGGTATCCCAACGTCGCAATAAACTTCCCCGGTTCTGATTTTTTTTTAAATTTGGCAATATCGCAATTTTTGAAAATTTGGTAACGTTGCAAAAACGGGTTCGGGAAATTTGGCAACGCCGCAAACAGTTGAAGGTTCTGGAAAATTTTGTTGGAGCAAAAAATAAAAAATTACAGATTCTGGAACTGCGCTGTTTCATCGATTTGTAATCTGGGTTGCCTACCTTTTGGCTGTATGTATTATATATATAACATATATTTTTGTATTTCAAGAATTATGACTATTATTTTCATATTGCTTAAAAATTATGGAGACCTCTTTAATGTTTGAACTTGTCTAGTAGGTACATACAAACAATAAACATTTTGTACGAAAAAAAGTTTGCTTCTATTTCAAAACTTTGGTACACGACCTAAATAATTTTTTCAACACAAATTGTTGATCTACTGTGATTATAATTTTATTATTATACACACGTTTAAAAAAAACATTGACAACTGGATTATTTTGTGATTTAGTTTGTGTAGGGCAGCTTCAATAGTTTATAAATACTTTTTTTATTATAAATAAGTAGCAAAATAAGTTTTGATTTGTTTACAAATATTTTTTATAAATTTGTGTATAGGTAATAAAAATAATAAAAAACCTAAATGGATTGAAATATTTGATATACATCCATTTATAATTTATAAGTATTGTCCATCCATTTTTTTTTATATTCTATCACACGTGTCAATTGTTAGGTAATTTTTTTTGCCCATTATTTTTTTTACTAACTTTAACAGAGGTTAAATGGTTAAAGGTAAAACATTTATTTAACATGTCAATGTTATATTTTTATTTAAAATGTTTCTTAAACTTTCTACAGAAAGTATAGAAAACAATTATTTTCTATAGAAAGTAATAAAGCAAACTTCAAGAAGTTAAATAAAAATTTAACAACGAACATTCTAACATTTATAGCATTTTTTAAACATATAGTCAACATTTATTTAATTCATTTTTTTTTTTGACATAATTGAGTAATTTTTAGTACGGCACCTCTAATATTATCACACAATTTAAAAGCTTGTCTACGTATAATTTTTCTATATAAAATCAGTCAGATTATTCACATATTAAAAAATAATAATTTATATATTGACTTTTGAATACTGTAACAAACATTAAAATACTTATTTTACCAAAGTACCAAAATAGGTTATCCAGCTACAGCTCTTCGGGTTGTTTGCAGCTGGTCTTCGTCAATGGGCTGTGAACAACATTTGGAGCATTCAATGTGGTGAAGTACCCACCACTTTTTGGTTTTACGTGTCGGTTGTTCATCTCCATATGCACAATCTTCATAAACTCTATTTGGGCTGCGAGTTTTTGTATCTCTTCCTTTAACTCTTCATTCTCTTGATATAAATCGGGTAGTTCTTCCGACACCAATCCAATACCATTCAAGGAAAACGATGCTGTGACACCTCTGGATCTAGCTCTGTTGTCCCATTGGTCACCCTGACCTCTTAGAACTCTTATCACCTTTGGCCCGAATACCAAAGCCATGGTCGTGCTTGTAGACAATTGCGTTCTGATGAAACCCAGCAAATATTTTATGTCGGGCCCTGCCCTTGGAAATATGAACAAGCTAAAAACAATTCATTGTAAAGTACGTTTGTTTCAATACCTAATTAACCTACTGGAAGGCTATCATGAGGATATTGACAATAGCTATGTTATAGATTGCATAGCTGATCAATCTAGCTTCATTGTACAGCGACTCCGCATTTCTGACGTTGTAGCAAACTCTGATCCCCCAGGCCAAAAAGAGGACTTCACCGATGGCCAAGCTATGATCCCACCAGTTGTAGACGCACTGCTTGAATCTCAGCTCTTCATTATCGACAATATCTTCCGCAGTAGGAGTATCGGATAGAGTCCATGTTCCGAGATATATGAGCATGACCAGTAGAATAGGTACCATCCATTGAAGTAGCTGTTTATCTGTTAGTTTCACTTTATGGGCTGATTTTACTCGGTAGGTTAGAGACACCCTCCAAGTTTTCATTAGTAGTGCTGTATAGGTGATACAGAATCCCAAATGTCTTGACCACTTTGTGGCTATGCAAGAGTATAAGTCTAATACTGGAAAAATTGCAGCCATCTGAAATATTACATAGGAGTTAAATGATAAAATGATGAATGTACGTAGACTTACCTCTAGGTACATAGTGGCACATCCAAACAAGGTAATACTGAGGAAAATAGGACTCGCCACCTTAAAAACTTTCAACTTTCTATGTTTGAACATGTAGATGTTTAAAATAAGTGTGAAAAACGCGCATGATACACTTACAACTAGTAAAGTAATCCTGAAACGTCACATTAGTGAAACTTAATACATTTGAAATAATATGCTTACCTAAAGGGCCAATGATATGTAGCTAAACAAGGAGAACCGTCTGTACAGTTGTGGCAGCCTGGGGCACATTTGACACATCGAAACATTCTATCCCAAGCATCACTCATGTTTTCAACTTTTTCTTCCCAAGCCACTAAAATCAATAGTAATACTTTTAGAATTTAATAATTTGAGAAAGCAATAGGTATACACACCTTCAACCAGAGTTCCATTAAATTGAGCATTTTGATGAAGAGAATAATAGCCTGGTCTACAAGAGCACAAATACTTCCCCCTTGACCATCCTATTGAGTTTGAATGAGATTCATATCCACACTGGAATAAACGAAACATAAGTTATGGAAAAGCAATTTTTATTTGCGCATTTTCTCACCTGAGACGTTCTATTGTGACACTTATGTGTTCCATGAAAAATGATTATTTCCACCCCTAATCGGTCTTTGTCCCTTTCTTGTCCCTCACATTGGTTAACTTCCAAATGGGAAACATCAACATCCAAACTTAGAAAACCTTTTAGCCTGAAACCGATAATATATCTTTTTAATGGAGAAGGTGGCAAAAACTTTAGTTTTCCCTGGAAAGATCGTAAAAAAGAATTTATTTATTTATACTCTCAAATTATGTCGTGTATTTGATAAGACATAATTATCTTTTAGTAAACTTCAGATAAACATTGAACTTTAACTGTTTTGGTTATTATTACATGTAATGTACCACATGTAAATATGAGGCTGGTACAATTTCGTGTTAAAGATTTAATAAATCAAGTAGGTATTTTGGTTGGTGATAATGTCATAGGGGTGGGTAGTGGGCACCTAGTTGATATATTGGCTAAAGAGAATGCTTTGGAGGACATTCAAAAGTAAGTACCTATAAAAACCAACTCAAACAATACAGTTTTTCATATTTTGATTTTAGATTGGCGGCGGAATCGAAAGATGTGTATCCAAAGTCTCAGATACAGCTTTTACCGCCGATAACTCGTCCCGATAAAATTTTAGGGGTAGCCGCAAATTATAAGGACTTTTGCGATAAAACGAACACCCCTTATCCTGTGGAACCAATCGCCTTCAGCAAATTTTCATCGGCTATCGTCGGTCCTAATGATCCTGTCAATATAAGTGCTTCAAGCGATGTAAGTGCCATGGTACATGTGATATACAAGAAATATACTATTGTGTTTTAGTCTGTAGACTGGGAAGTGGAGTTGGTGGCCGTGATTGGTAAAAAAGGCAAGAATATTTCCTGCACGGACGCCTTTGATTACATAGTGGGTTACACGGCCTGCCAAGATCTCACAGAGAAAAAGTGGATAAAAAGAAACGGGGGACAGTTTTTGATGTGCAAAAATTTCGATGATTTTCTACCCTTAGGTCCTTGTCTCGTGACAAAGGACGAAATTAATGATCCGCACAATGTAACATTGAAAACTTGGGTGAACGGGGAATTGAAACAAAGCGGAAACACGGCGGATATGATTCATGGGGTTGATAAGTTGGTGGAGTATTTTTCCAGGTGATTAATGATTTATTTAGGTATGCATTTTCGTATATAATTTTATTCCAGCGTGATGACACTTTTACCTGGCGATATAATACTAACTGGAACACCGTATGGGGTGGCAACGAATCACAACCCTGTACAATTCTTGAAGAAAGGCGATATACTGGAAAGTGAAGTGGGAAATGTTGGGAAACTAATAAATCATGTTTTATAAACAATATTTATATTTTTATTTACTCACCCTCTTCTCAGTGGAGGAGGTATTGGAACGCTGTAGGATATCAACCACTTCCTCGCTATACACGAATAATATGGGTATGTCCACCATCCTTTAAATGAAACATTCGGTGGACTTTGAACGAATTTCGGCGAGCGAAGTCCAGGGCTTGAATCTGCATCTTCAAACCTTCAAAACATATTCATATAAGTACATACTTTCTTCTTGAGAAATAACAATCTTACCATGGAAAATCTGTGTTGGGTCTGTGTCCCAGATCCATCCCAACTTCGGACAGCTTTCTGGGACCACCCAGCTCAAGCCCTTGCTTTTGCCACCACGCATAGTTTATTAAATTGCCTGTGGTGACGTTGATGGCCAAAACTCGAGCCGATAGAACCGACTTGTCCGTAACCAGAAGATTTTTCGTTATCGCATCTTGAAGACCTAAATCAAATAATGTGTTACGTTACCAAACAATTTTTTCACAAAGACTCGTTAGGTCATCTAAAAGTACCATTTTCCTCTTCAAAATCCATGAAAATGATGAATCAATGTTTTACCTAACAATAACTTGAAACTGAAATATCTCAGTTAGTGTGCATTTTACGAAAAAATGTTTAAAATAAAAATTAAATGATTCGAGGGGGAAATCAATCAGTACTGAAATTGTTCCTCATACTCTCCTTCTTTTAGGGGGAACAAGGGGTAACTTTAAAATTTCCAATGGAACACCCTATTTTTACTTTTTAACTAACTGAGATATTTCAAAGTTTCAATTTAAATTACTCACCCTGTATATAATGTAAATATTGAAAAAAGTTAATGAATTATATAATTACAAATAGGGTAAAGTCATTCATGTGAATCTGAATATTAATATGCTTTTTATTATCGAGAAAACATTTGATAAATTTTATTATCTCCTTATCTTTTAGGTATGTATACATGTAAAGTTTATTATATTTTAAAAGCGAGCCGAATACGAATGTCACTCAATATTTTATTTTAAAAATGTATCATTTACGATAAGTTTAATTGTTTTCGTTATAGTTATTCCAACGAAATAAGTAAGTAAATACAATACAAATAAATTAATATATTTAACCTATATTATATATATAACCTACTACTAGTACCTAAAATGTAAATATCTCTAAAAAAATTTGCTGACAAAAATAATAATTTCCAAGTACCTATTGTTCATCATTTAAATAAAAATACTTAGAAAATGATATCACGCAATTGTCCAAGTGGTTAAAACAATAAAATTGATTAAAAATAGATAATAACAATTAATATTTTAGGTCATGCAGGCACCTTTGATACCACTCTACAAAATAAACCAATTGAGGTGCTTTAATTGCAACCAATTCTTGCTATGCGGTCCCATCCATTTAAACCCAAACGATGGCTCGTCCCTGTGTGGACGTTGCCGTGGAATAGCCACTAACATATTCCACAACAAAGCTTACGAAGCTATAGCTTCAATCTTCGGACACCCATGCGTGAACTGGGAGAAACATTGCGACCAAATTTTGTTATGGAACGGAAATTTCGCGCACGAAAATGAATGTACTCAACCCGGTTGTTGCATTTGCTGCAAGAGTTCCAGAAAATTACCCAGTGATAATGGGAATGCTTTGCCCGTAGCTAAGGTGCCAATTGAAGCTCTTGAAAAGCTGAAATGCATTTTTTGCTATGGGTTTATTTCTTGCGGGCCAGTTCTGTTAACACCTGATGGGGAAAATATATGCAACAGATGTGTAGCAACCCAGGAGAATCTTTACAATGAAAAAAGGAATTTACCGTATGAAATGTTGGCAGAAATACTTATTTTTCCATGCAGATATATCAGGAGAGGTTGCCCTTCAAGGTTTTAATTGAATTATGTTTTTATTGTGATGATACACCTTCATTATTTGTAGTTTTAAATATGGCGTGGACATTTTTGAGCACGAAAATCATTGCGATTATCGACAAGTTAATAGAAGACAAGAACCTGAAAGAGAATTTTCTCAAAGGAAACAGGGAGTGATCAAGTATAGCAAGCTTAATGACAAAAAAGAGAGAGGGGTTATCCAAACACATGCTGGTCATGTATTCGGTAACATAAATAACTCAATACATTTACAATTATAATACACTCTGTTTTAAGGTACTATAACCCCGAATTACGTCCCTGCTTTTGCCCCACCAAACGCCAAATCAAACCAATTCGACATCAACAAAGACCTCATCAAGTCTCTCCAAAAAAAGCAACACAGGCAAAGAAATAGGGTCGACGATGGACAAGTATACCAGCAAGACTGCGATATACACAGCGAGGCTACTAGTATTTCGGATGGCATCGACAACAGCGCGTTTGAAAGAGATCAACACAGAGACAGTGGCAACCATAAACCTCCGGAACCCTCCCAGTACTCACTGGATATCAACAGGTTGGCCAGGCTAAGAAACCCAAGATTGAGCGACAACTCCTTTCAAAACTACCGACCCAGTCTATCCAGGGGTGAAAGTATCAATGGTAGCAGCAAAGGTATTCCCAGGGCCCATGCTGACGGTAGAAACCAACGAGATTCGTACCAGGGCAGCCAACTGAGTAGAACGAACTCGGTAGCGCCTGTGACTTCCCACAGGATACATCCTGTGGCAGAGGAGATCAGGCAGTTTAAATTGAGAAAAACTAAAAATCCTTACAAGGAGTGCAACAACTTGGACGATTTGCGTCATATTCAAGAAAGATTTTAGTTTTTTAGAAAAATAATAGTGAATTTTTAGATGTTCGCAAAAATTATGTTTATTGTGGCCCTGGCACAAGTTTTAAAACTGCATGTTTGGTTTAAATAAATTAGAATTGGATTGCCCCTACAATAATATTATAAAATGTTAGCAATAGTTTTTTAAAACAATAAACCATGTCCTTATATATAGCATTTTTAATCGAGTAATATAACACCTGACAACTTAAACAACACTGTGCTTTGTAACAGATGTGTTCCTTATCAGGCACCGACAGACTGTTTCGGTCTTTTGTACCTCACCAGTGCCGGGTAGCCATCCGCACAATCTGCCTTTGGCCGCTCAGCAGAATTATTTTAAACTATGTACTTTACCGTTGTGATGGGCAACTCCTAGGTCCTGCAGAAGCGTTGCTGCCAGATCGGCTTTTTGCCTTGCTGAGTCGAAGCGCGATGTTTCCAGAGGGACACTTAACGATTTGTACTGCTCTGTTATGCATAGAGAACCCAGTGATCTCGCCGAGACATCGTGTATTATCAGCAAACTTTTTTCTATGTCCTCCTATTGTAAAAAATGGTTTGTCTCAGAGCAGTTAACTCAAACACCCTGTATATGTTCAAATTACCTTTCTCACGAGCCCTTTTCCTGGTGACAGAACGCAGCTGATCAATATTACCAAAACAAACAAACGTCTGATCTTCCAGAAAGAAGTTAGCCCCATTATGGACCCTCATTGGTACTGAAAAATGTTATTTTGCTTTAAATGGTTTAATCAAATTTCGGCTTATATCTCTCCTTTCAGACTTTAATAGCCTTATAAATTCGCGAGGCTCAAATTTTAATTATCGGCCTGGCTTGCTAAGATAGACCAACACTGTAAAGGATTTGCATATTTTTTGTGATGATACTAAAGTTATTGGCAGTTAAAAATTTCTTAACATTATAATTTGGTTATTTTTAGTTTTCCATGGATGATGTTTATACTTAATATTACTATCGCAATAGTCCAGACTAAACAATTATGTGTTTTAAAAGAGAAAATGATCTAGGAAAAATAACAAAAGGGCTGTCGTGAATGTTTAATATGAAATTTTGCGTTTGCTTTGTGGATGTTTCACACACGAACGGACACACTAACCGAGATTTTTGTGGTGGAAGAGTTATGACGTCACATGTGTTTATTTTCGGTCTAGGTATATGTAAACATAGCAAGTTCAGCCAGAAAAATTATTGAAAAAATTGGAATTTTTAATAAAATACTTACATATTTTGTAGCCTCTTACTATGCTTATGAAACGATGTTCCTGGTAAGTTCAGCATTAAACCAAAATATATTTTGTTTGTATGAATCTGAAAAAAGGGTCTCTAATAATTAATTTAAAAAAATATTATTTTGATATCTGTAATTCCCCTATATACATATATGTATGATATTATCATCATATCATCTTATCACTCTAGGATAAATGTATATAAAATTAGGGTTGAATACCAGTGCAATCAGTATTCGCGTATTGTTAAGATTTTGTAATTAGGTAAGTACCTAAATATATTTTTTATAAAATTTTAATTTTTATTTGTACATATTATTTTTAACTATTTTAGTCACTATGGAAAAACTAATGGTAGCAATACAACGTCCCACTTCTTATTATGGAAAATTTCGTAATGGAATTTCTAGCATCCTCAAAGAAGATGGCTCACTGACAACTGATAAAAAAGAGATAGCAGATGTACTAAATGAACATTTCCAAAGTCGTGGAAAAAAAACTATAATGGAGAATTATAATACTCTTCCAGAAGCATTCCACTATAAAAATCCTGATGATCCTTCTCCAGCAGTCATTTTAGATCAGTCAACGTTTCGTAAATATATCGCAACTCTAAGGAATCATGATGGTTACTTTATTGAAAACATACAAATTAGGGATTTATCAGATAAGTACTTATTAGAAGTATTTAAGCAGTTTAATGAGTTTCTGAAACGAAATGAGTACCCTGAAATTCTAAAAAGACATAAAATTGGTCTCGCACCTAGTAATTTTAATTTTAATAAACATGACCCCAGTACTTACATTCAAAAAATTATGTTCAGTGTTTTTACATTTATTTTTGAATATGTCATCTTTAAAAAGCTACATGAAGCATGTACGTTTAGCTTGGATCAATTCTGCCAATACAAGAATTTTAATATTAACAGATTTGATAATTATGCGGCTTGTCTAATAGATTTTACTATGTATGTTAATAATGAGAGATTAAATTTGTCCAATAACGTTATCATTTTAAACGTTCAGGTAATGAGAGCATTTAGCACAATTTCTTCAGTTCTTGCCATAAAAAAATTGGAAAATGAAAATGTTCCAGAATATTTACTGAATATTGTTAAATCCTATGTAGAAGACTGGCAGCAATACACAGTAAATGGTGAAGTCCAATCAAGTACACAAAAGTGTAATAACGAGTTTTTGCCAAATTCGCCTTTTATTACCGATTTGTTATGTTCTTTAATATATAGAGATTTGAAAGTTAGAGGAAAGCTTTTTATGTACGTCGAAAAAATCGCGATTGTCTATAGTGGGAAAGATTTAAAACATTTACAAAAAATAATTAAACAAGATACCGATGCTATTAATACTTGGTTGAATATAAATAAGTTTGCCTTAGATTTGCACAACACTTATTATTTGTTTTGTAATCACAGTGTACTTCAAAGTCCCAATATTCCCATCAAAATACTTGATAATGAGATTGGAAGGAAAAAAGAATTACATTTTTTGGGCATTATTTTTAATGAAGAATTTAATTATTACATTAATTACTATGTACCGAAACAGTTACACAAATCTTTCTTTTATAAAAATAATTCATTCTGGAAATTCTTTGCCCAATGCACATTATTAAATTACATAGACAAAAAAATATATAATTTACATATGGACATATGGTCATACAATGTCGATGACCCTAATGACCCCATTATGATGGCTAAAAAGGTATACAATAAATTACCCGAATCGGTCAAAAAATACAACTCCTCTGATTTTCGTAAATATCTCGACTATAATTATAAAAACTACTGCTAATTTGTCTCTATTCCTGTAATAAAAATTATACATGTATTGTAGTTTAATATTTTGTCAAATTAATACTAAAATTTTTCTTATATTCTTATGAATATTACCAGTGATGGGTCAAGAAAGTTTCTTAAAGAAACTAAGAAAATTGAATGTTTAATAAATATATGTTTATAAAATTTAATTTTTTTTATTACCTTTATTTTCCTAAATAAACAATTCTCCAGATAATTGTACGTAAAATGGTGCTCTTGTTACAAATGCCCCCCCCCCCCAAAATTTCAAGCTAGAAATTAGTACACACAGCACAAAGATGCTAGAAACATGGATACACCGTAAAAAAAATCAACACTAATTAGAGTTCACACAGGTCTACACTAAATAGTGTTGTTTTATAACACTACAATTAGATTTAATTTGTAGTGTAATTTTCCCCAAGTAAGCAAGTATGATTTAACACTATAGCACTGAGGATAAAGTAATTTTACACTGTATTAAAGAGTGTTAATTTACCTAAAATCGTGTACTACTACACTTCCTGGGTAAAATCCCACTTTTGTTTAGTGTAAATTAACACTACTTTGGAAAAGTTCTAATTTTAGAAAGGTGCTTTTACTCTTTTAGTGCAAACTTCTAGTGTAAATTAACACTATTATTTGAGTAAAACCTATTGGTGGTAGTGAATAAAACGAAAAGGTAAATAAAGAGAAACATTTATTTGTAACAAAAATCTATAACAATTATCAAAATCGGTGCCTTTTAAAATATAATTTTATATTTGCCTTTTTTTTATATGCCTTTTAAAATATAATTTTATATTTGAGTCGTATGGCTGGCTTAAGCAAAATGGTTCTTTATAAAACGTAAAAGTTTTAGATCAATGCAATGTTTTACTTGCTGTCAACTTGTAAGCAATGAATTATCTTGAGAATTCATCAGTAATCCATTTTTCTGTTATAAAAAATGGGTGATCCCATTGGTAAGGCGTCAGGCGGCTGTATGTCGGGGATTTACCACACCTAATATTAATAAAAATGTAGGTATAGGTTAATATAACAACCATTACGCTTGAAAATAAATAGTAAATCAAGTGTGTATGTATTTATATTATTAATTTTACAAGTACCCGACCTACTGCCATAAATGTATTGTGTATATGTATTATAATATAGGTCGGGTATGGTATCCTTTTAACATATTGGTATTTATTGAGTATTAAGGCTTATAGAAAAAGGAAGTATAATACTTACCAAAAAAATAAGAATGTCCCTTTATGGATTCACCTTAATTAAAATCAAACTGAACAAAAATGCCACACTTCCACAACGCGGTATCTCCGGATATGCACTGCTTAGGTAGATAGGTACCAACCAAACTTTTAAAACGCATTTCGGTTATTACCAGTTTTTTCAGTCTATTTTGCCACTATTGGTGTAATTTAACTTTAATTGTGATACAATGTGCACTAGTAGTGTAAAGAAAAAAAAGCTCTTAGTAACATCAAAACAAACAAAGAAATTGGCATGCACTGTAGTGTACATTTTGTCACTATTTAACACATTAAGGGGTAATAAACACTCGCATTAAGTTTTTTTACCCTTTTGATTTATTTTAATAATAAATAGTGTGAATGTACCAATGAATAATGTTCATATTCTTTAAATGTGTTTAATAAAGTTAATAAGCACTAAATGCTACCTAGTGTATTTTGTAGTGTAACTTTTACACTTACAAATCAATTCTAATATTTTTACCCCAACACTAAAAAATTTACACGGGCAAATTTTTTTACTGTGTACGGAGTTTGGAGTAGTGTAGTAGTGCACAAAGCATTATCAAGTTTTATATTCTAATAAATTATTGACCCTAATATACCTAATAATAGCATTGTATTTTATGATGAATACATATTTAAATAAAGGTTTTGCTTGTTATTGCCTATAAAATAAAAATATATTGAGCGTATAGAGTTTTATGCTTCAGGCAAATATTTATTCTGATTAATATGTACTAAATACATCGATGCATTATGGGTTACACATAAATATAAATATGTTCAGCAGAAATTGAATTTTAAAAGTAAAATCTACGTCATATCAAAATTCTTTTCTTGGCAATAAGATTATCGATTTGGCAAAGTTAGAAAGTAACTCACAATAACAGGTGACACAAGTATATTTGGGTCCCAGGAGATTTCTTTTCAGAAATATTAAAAAAATAATTCATAATAAAACTCATTATTCTTCATGGAAATTGAGTTATTGTGTTAAAAATAACGTTGGAATTATTGATTTTATACCTATTGAAAGAATATTTTTTTGTTTTGTTTTATTAATAATTACCTTTATATTTCATCAAAATACTGTTTTATTGTATTATTATACACGCTCATACTTGGGCGTATCAAATGCAGCGAACTCTAAATTGAGTTTGTTGAGGCATGTCACATAACATAACAAATTTGTTTGTTCATTTGTTCTCCATTGTACTGCGTTTGTAGTAATTAATAAATTGAAATTGGGATTTAATAACCTCTTTCACTTAAATCATTTAACACAAAATATACAGGGTGAGTCATTTAACTTGAAACTTTGAAATATCTCAGTTAGTATGCATTTTACGAAAAAATGTTTAAAATTAAATG